TGCGACGTCAGATTCACTGGTATATCCAACATGGCCAACCGGCTGATTGTTAACGTGTCGGAGAATAAAGTGCTTTTTGACAAAAAACACGAATATTACCAAGATAATGACCTGAAGGACAACTTGTGGAGAGTGATAGCGTCGGATTTCTCATATGACGATGGTTTGTGTGCTTTAACAGTTTGCTTAACATCTTTGTTTTAACTTTCATCTGTGCTAAGTAACTTAAGCTCGTAAGCTAACCTGTTCAGATACAACATACCATATGTATTTTCACTGTCTCAAACTAAATTGTGTTGCTGTCACAGCACCATTAGGTCTCGGTTGTTATGTTTATGGATTATAGTTTAATGTGCTTATCTGGTACTGGTTGCGACTTAGTACATGCTATCATGACAGTCATCTCAACACTAGTGTGAACCGAAAAACAGTCAGTCTGGTGTTCTGTAAGTCTTCTTCCTTCAACCCGGGATGCGTCTTTTTTTCCCCTTGGAAAGTTGCAAAATCGCATCGTGCTTGATGTGTATAGCCAGGTGCGTCAAAACTCCCCTCCGAATATTTTGTAATTTCGCGTCGTACATTTGCGTTGATCCTGGTGTGTAAGGACCTTAACCCTTAAACATCAACAACTTTAGTAAAAGCATTTCTTTCTGTAACTCTGGTGTTAAAAGTCCATACAAGCTGCGATAAAAGAGATACCTCTAAATGAAAATATACTTTGAGAAGTTTTTGGAGCTTTTGATAGTAAAGCAGAGAAGAGATGACAATGTTGGGCGAGAGTGAAAGAAGACATGCCTTTTTTCTCTTTTTCATTTCATTCACTCACTTTTATCTCTCTCTTCTCCACCTTCCACTCTCACCACACTGGATTTGAGCTCAGAACCATTTCACTGAGAGACATCAGTCCCACCCTACACTCCACAGGCCTGCCTGGTAAGATGTGCCATTATTAGGTCATATTTTTATTATGGTAGCTCAAAAGCACATCTCAGACATCTCCCTGCACTAGATTTGAACCCAGGACCATTTCACCAACAGGAAGCTGACCCATCCGTCATGCTTCATGCCTGCCTGATCATCTCTTTTCATTATTTGGTCTTTTTAGATCACATTTTCTTCAGGGTAGTTCAAAAGCACATTTCAGAAAAGACTGTAAGGACAGGATTTTGTTTCCACTAAAGATGGTTAGACCCAGATCAGATAAAGAACCCAGAACCATTTCACTAAAGGGTTTAGCCATCACACCACATGCTTCCTTAGCAATGTTTGCCTTTTAACTATTTTTATAACACTTTTTTATCATGGTGGTTCAAAGCACAGATCTAAGTAGAGGATAGAAATTATCATTGCTTATTATATAGCACCATATCACCATACCATATTACTGATAGGCAACATTACCCGGTGGCACAGACCTGCCTTGCAATGTTTGACTTTTGATCCAGAATCATTCTGGCTACATCAAGAAGGTCTCTTAGTAGGATTTGAACCCAGAACCTGTGAGTCTTCTGTGTTACTCTACACCAAGTTGCTACTTTGCAAAGCTCACTTATTAAAGGTGGGGTAGGCAGGAAACCGTTAAAGACGCATTTTTTTTGTGGTGTATATACAAAAAAGCTTTTAATATCAGTCAATAGCTATTAGTCATTGATGACATTTGGTAATATAAGGATATCGCTGTGTTCTTTTTGTCTGTGTAGTCAACATTTTAATATTTTTGAGCGCTCCACTCTTTCTGACCGTAAACTAAGCCATTCTCCACCTCCCCCAACTTGATTGGTTGTGAGGTGTACACTGCTCCCCTGTGTCGTTCAGGAGCCCAAACAAAGTTAGCGTGCTACAATATCAGACAGTAGAAACCAACCAGAAAGTACAGAAAATTGTCTGAATCCCCCTTTAGCCACGACCACCAACACAAGCATGGAAACAAACTTAATACCAGAGACTCTGGCGGAATAACGGGCGCTTAAGAAGGAGGTAGACCGGACAAGAGCTAAAAAGCCGGGTCAGCAATGATGGGGGACGCTGTGGGATGTTACGGACCCTGTAACCTTTATGCTGGACAGGTAAACCACTTTAACAAAGTAAGCCAAGTGTCTGTAACAGAAGTGTTTCTTGTCAAAAGAGACCTGCTGCGTGTTGTAGCGCCGCTAAACTGTTTACCTCGGGTCCTGGACTATGTCACTTTATTCTAGTTGTAGAAGTCCTGCAAACATTGTGTTTGCTGGTAGTCTGTTGGCATCTACAGTAGCACCAATGCTTTTTACTTTCACGTTGACTGGACCCGATTTGTAATTATCTGAGGTATTTATCTGCATTATATCTGAATTTAATTAAAACAATAAGAGCGAGCAGGAGCATCTGTTTGTGGGGGGGGCTTGCTGGAGCAGAGAGTTAGGGGAGAGGAGGAGCTGAGGGGAAAACTGGTTGGGAGGGGTAGAGTTTACATTCAAGATTTCTCCCCAAAACTGGCACTTCCTCAGCTCCTGACTACCCCACCTTTAATTTTGAAAACACTTCAATTTAATCTCTTAAAACGTATGAATATAGTTTAAATATGATGAGCTGTGGATCAACCAAGATTAATCTAGTTAAAATTTATGAGACAGAAACAAATTGGAGTTAAAGATGATGAATACATAAATCTTTATTTTTGTTCTAAACACATTGGGTTTATTGGTATTATTACATCAATCTAAAAAAACGTAAAAACTGTTGTTCAGGACTGCTTACTTGTGCTTCCTACCTACTGTAATAACTGTTTTTCGAGCCTACATGCAACATTTTTGTTCTCATTCATGAAACGCTTAAATCTGGGACATTTTCGGGGACAGCTTTAGCCGGGGACAGATCATCCATTTCGGGGACTGTCCCCAGAAATCAGGGACATCTGGTCAGTTAAAAGCACATGTTGAACAGTGCTATTTCAGGGTGATAATGGCATCAAAGGTTAATTTTCCGCCAGCGTTCCCATTCAAGATTTTTCTCAAAAACCGGCACTAACTCAGATCCTGCCTACCCCACCTTTTAGTTTGCTTCTTAACAAGGAAGCTGTTCAAGTGTATTAGCACAAACTCGGTTGTAAGCTATTTCTTTCTTTTTTAAGGTCATAAATAAACACAAGAGCATGTAAAAGTCTAAAAACTGAAATATTTTTTAAGAATGTCACAAAGAACTTTGTCAGGAGTTTCTCTTTATCTTTTGGGACAGCTTTGGCTCTGTGAGAGAGGCAGCTGTCTCTAAATTAAAAGGTTAGAGGGTTCTTCCCCAGATCTGCTGACCACATGGTGAAATAAACCCAAACTGCCTCTGTTTGTTGTGCCAGCGGTGAGTGAACTGAATTAGTGCTAATGGGTGCTTTCCACCACAGCTTCTACCAGTGTTTATACATGGTCGATACATGGTAATATTGTGAATAATATTTTGAGTTGTCAGAAGACTAGAGAAAGTGCTGCAAAACAAAGACAATTTTTCCATGTTTTAAGATTTGAGCATTAAAAAAAAAACAATATCACAGTGTCCTGGAAGACACTAGAGTCAGTAATTTAGGATAATTTTTCCTCTCAGGCGATTTAAATGTCCATCAAAAGAAACGTTTACCAAGAGACAAAGCAATTTGTAACCATAAATCGTGAGAAACTCTCAAAGACTGTAATCAGAGGAAGAAAGCGTTCTTTTCCTGCGACTTAAAAGCTACTGTCAGATATTCAACCACTGAACATTAAAGAAATCAAAGAAAAGTTACTGCAGATGATGATAATCTTTCCTGCACTTACGAGAACTGAATAAAAGGAATATTTTAACAGTGATGGCCTTTACAAAATGTCAGACTTTATTCTGCATCAAGCACCTCTGCTGCGACATTATTAGAGGTGTGTTTCTGAATGTGAGCTTTGGATTTGTGAGTTGATTAGTCAAATCACATTAAGGCGTCATGTTCTGCCTTTCAGGTTACATCTGCCGCTGTCAATTACATCATTATCCAACAAAGAAATCCCAGGTGGGGACATGCAAACAGGTGTCTTATGGCTGTATTCCAGGCACACATACACACAGAGAGAAAAAAGCAGGTAATTATAGAGAACAATTAGACTAGATGAGGATAAATAGGGGACACACGGGTAAAGGAGTAAAGGGTAAGAAAAATAAAAGGTAATGGGAGCGAGAGAAGGGTAGAAGAAGGGGAAACTGATTCTGAATGCAAATTTATAAAAATGAGGAGCTAAACCAATCAAATGTCTCTTAGAGGTCAGGGACAGGCCGCAGTCAGAGCTCTGTCATCTATTCAAATAAACCTGATATGTGACGATGCTGCAGGGCAGGTCGGGGAAACACAGCTGCAGGAACAGCTTTGAGGCTCATCAACCCCTTAAGATAATCCCATGAAACCGTCATCTGCTGATGTGCAGTTTGATGTGTTCGTGGTAAATGGATGAGGCTTTGTATGGCTGCAGCCTGGCAACATGACAAAGTTGTCCCAATGATACAGACACCGCTTCCTATAAAGGCGAGAGGACAAATTAAAAAGCATAAATCAGTCAAGAATAGATAAATCAATGCTCCTCGACTTAGGTGTGTGTATGTGTTTATGGTATGACGCGCCTGTGTGTGTCTGTGTCCTTGCACACTATTCTTTGTGACACGGATGAGATTGAGTGCTGCAAATGAGGCGAGATGGTTTCCCGCTGTGTCCCTCTGGAGAGCGCTGCACATGCTGTTTCAGCACCTCTCTTATCAATTTGTCGTGGCCTGCTCAATAATTGGATTCATCTCTACAATGGAGAAAATTCAGTTCAAAAAGTGGGATCAAGAGGGGTGGTCTGGATTTAAAATGTGTCAAACGTGCTCCTTAAAAAATCTAAAAGCATGCGGCTTTTTCTTAGTGAAATAGGCTGAGTGATATCTTTAAAGGTAAAGGACATTAAGCAATTACATCAAGAAAGTAAATCCAATACAGAAAACACATTAGTTGATAGATTATGAGTGGTGTCTGATAACCCCTTGCACTAAAAAAATAGAGCCAACATAAAATGGCTGATAAATCATTCTCACAAAAACTGATATAAATATACCCAACTTAACATCAGGTATCAACAGGTTTACTGCCTTAAAATAAGTAAGATTTGTTTCTCTTGTACTAGTTTTACTTTTTCCCTCAGCTAGAATGGTAAGGTTTTTAGGGAAAATAGTCAGGAGGAATTGCTCTGCCCTAAGTCACATTAAGAAAGGATACAGTACAAAATACAGTACGATACATTGTAATATGATACAATGTGATTCTATATGATACAATACAATGTAATATGATACGATACCATACAATACAATATGATGCAATGTGATACTATATGATACGATAAGATACGATATAATACGATACGAAACAATACAATACGATACTATATGTTATGATACAACACAGTGCGGTACATTATGATCAGTATGATATGATACGATATGATACGATGCTCAACTTTATTTATATAGCACTTTACACAACAGAGTTGATCCAAAGTGCTTTACAACAACACAGAGGAAAAAACAAAACAAAAGAAGAGAACAAACAGACGATGAAGAAGAAGAGCAGACTGAGTGACAGTTATAATAATAATGATAGCAATAGAAATATATTTTCAATACCATCACTATATCATCATCATTCATAATAGTTAAAATATATAACAGTAATAATAATAACAAAAGCAGCAGCAATAATAATAACAATGATAAAGACAACACAGATCTACCGACCTACAGAGCTCACAGAGCCTACATGGGAAATGGCTGACATATAAAAGTTAGGGACAGTTAAAAGCTAGGGAGTAAAAGTGGGTTTTAAGTTGAGTCTTAAAAGTCTCAATGGTGGGGGAGAATCTGATTGTGGGAGGGAGAGAATTCCAGTTTTGGGGCCGCGATAGAGAAAGCCCTGTCCCCATAACACTTAGTCCTGGATCGTGGGACTGACAGAAGTCTTTGGTCAGACGATCTTAGCTCTCTCATTGTGTGATATGGGGACAAGAGTTCTGTGACGTAAGAGGGGGCAAGACCATTCAACACTTTGTAAACAAACATCAGGGTTTTAAACTCGATCCTGTAGCTAACAGGCAGCCAGTGGAGGGAAGCAAGAATGGGAGTAATGTGTTCCCACTTCTTAGTTCTGGTTAAAACTCTGGCTGCTGCATACTGAATTAGTTGGAGACGAGATAAACAAGACTGAGTGATACTAAAATATAATGCATTACAATAGTTGAAGCGGGAGGATATGAAGGCATGAATGACTTTCTCCAGGTCAGAAGTGGTAAGAAATGATCTGATTTTTGAGACAATGCAGAGCTGCGTTAAGCTTGATTTTACGATCTGATTTATTTGTTTGTCAAACTTTAATCCTGAGTCAAAGATGACACCAAGATTTTAAACATGTGATTTGACAGAGGGAGCCAAAGGGCCAAGAAGAGGGTCGATAATGTTGGTCAAATGCTGTGGTCCAAATAGAATAACTTCTGTTTTGTTTTCATTGAGCTGGAGAAAGTTTGCAGCCATCCAGGATTTGATGTCATGAAGACAGTTATTAAGGTCACTTAGTTTGTAGTTGTAGTTATTAGGCTCAAGGGGGAGGTAGATCTGTGTGTCGTCTGCATAACATGTTATGCTTTTTAATAATGTGACCAAGGGGAAGCAAATAGATGGAGAAGAGAATTGGACCAAGTATGGAACCTTGGGGGACCCCACAGGAGATGGAGGCTGAGGAAGAAGAGTAGTTTCTAATTGAGACACTGAATGGTCTCTTGGATAAATATGATGAAAATCAGTTTAAGGCAGAGCCAGAGACTCCTGCCCATTGCTTTAATCTGTGAATAAGAATTGAATGATCTACTGTGTCAAAGGCTGCAGTTAGATCGAGGAGCAGGGGGATGGAGCAGTTGCCTGAGTCGGCAGCTACAAGGAGGTTATTTGTTATTCTCAGTAATGCAGACTCAGTACTGTGAAGAGCTCTGAAACCGGACTGGAACTTTTCAAAAATGCAGTTTTGAGCCAGGTGGGACAGCAGTTGGTTAAAAACGACTTTTTCAAGTATTTTGGAAAGAAAGGGTAGTTTGGATATGGGTCTGTAATTGTTGAGGACTGAAGGATCTAGATTCTGTTTTTTTTAAAGTGGCTGGACAACTGCATGTTTGAAAGATTGGGGAACATGACTGGTTTCCAGGGAGCTATTGATAATTGAGAGAACACTAGAGCTAATGGTGCCAATGACTTCTTTGAAGATAGAGTTTAGTTGGAATATTGTCGAGAGAACAGGTGGAGGTCTTCATAGAAGAGATAATATGATGAAGTTCTGTTAAAGTGATGGAGTTAAAAGAATTGAGAACTGCAGTATTTTCAGAGGAGATGGATGGGCTGTTTACAGATGGATTAATACTAGCTCTGATGTTAATGACTTTGTCTCTAAAGAATTTTAGGAACTCCTCACATTTAGAGTCAGATGCTTCAAGGCAGGAGGTGGGAGTGGAGGAAATGACAGAGTTCAAAACACTAAAAAGTACCCTTGGATTATGACAGTTTTTTTCAATGATATCAGAAAAATATTGAGCTCTGACATTTTTGACAGCCAGCTCACATTTATCGATACGATACGATATGATATGATATGATATGATACGATATGATATGATATGATGTGATATGATATGATATGATATGATATGATCTAATTTCATCAGAGCAAAGTTACTCTGGAGAATTAGAATACTGTACTCAATACTCAATCATACTCAATAAACTATTAGCCCAAATTGATGTATCCTTTTTTTTTTTTTTACATTTTTCAGATTTATATTTTGGTCTCTGTGTTTGTTATCTGACGTGCCAGCTCTTAAAGATTTTCTGTTTAATTGGCAGCTGCATTAGGAGATCCCCCCAAAATAGACCTTCACGTTAAGCATTGTCATTCCAGATTTCACAGATCCAAAATCACTACAGTCTCAATGACAGTGCTTTAAAACAGCAATCCACAAATCAAAGGCAGAGTCATGGTAATACCATCAGATAAGTATTATTTTTATACCCTTCAACGGGTTTGACTATATGCTATTAATTGCATAAATTTGCACTGTTTATATAGTGAAACTCGTTAGACTAATGTATTTATAACTTAATGCATTTATCAGTAAGAAATAAGGATCTGTGAATTTAGAAAGAGCTAAAAGGCCATTAACTTGGTAAAAAAAAAAAAAAAAACACTGAGCTGTTTTATTCCCAGTTTGTTCGCAGACAGCACAGTAACAGCTCTTAACCATCAGCTGCTCATTATATTCATTACAACAGTATATCAGCCTATTATTCGGTGTAAAGGCTTAGATAATTAAACGATAAGCAAAGGACATAAATGAAAGAAGCAAGGCGGACATTTTGAAAGGGGTAATTTACAACAATAGAAAGACATTTGGATACATTTCCATCCCATAATTTTCTTTCAAAGACGCCTCTCGTGCTGCAGTCAAACCCGATTTCCCCCCCAGGACGTGATGAAATAAATTGAGTGTGAAGACATATCACATTTGGTGAGAGCTGAAAGTGCACAGCTGACTGAGCTGATACTGACTGACTCACCGCTCTGTGTCACTGATATTATTACAGTCACACACACACACACACACACACACACACACACACACACACACACACACACACACACACACACACACACACACACACACACACACACACACACACACACACAAATCAAAGGCAGGCACAGGGGGTGTGACAGGAGCCAACAGGTATCACATCTAATGAACACAGAAGCAGAGGGGCAGGGTACAGGGTTTGAGTTGCTGACTCATGATTTACTGTAATAAAAACTGCACAAATGTCAAACCCTTACACTCTTGTTCAGCATTAACAGTGTGTGGTTGTGTTCATTGTTTAAAAGCTGTCCATCTAAATGCACTTTAAAGGATGTTGACCAGAACCAACCTGGCTAATGCATCTTCACCCAACGATAATAGCTTTAGAGTTTCACTTTGGACTAATATGCAAACAAGTGATAATGTACAACAGTAGGTAATTACAAGGCCTGGATATAAACCATAGACTGTATATACTATGGACAGCTTGGTTGCACCTTCCGCCAGTATACTGATTTGAAGCTGAAAAGCTCTTGGTATTTTCGCGATTTTTCTCCATTTCCTGAAACCAACATTTCGCAGTAGTGTTGTACATATTTGCTGTGATGACGCTTGGCTCAAACAATATATCCCCCCCCGGTGGCGATTTTTTGTTTTGTTTTTTGTAGAGAAAGGTCCTTCCCTCCTTCGCCTCTGATTGGCTAGAAGTGCTGGGCTCCGATTGGTTATTCCTAATGGCTATGAAACATCATCGTCTGTCGGGTTAGGGTTAGGGATAGGTCTAGGATGAGGGTTGGGGTTAGGGTTAGGAGATTCAGAAGTGCGATAATGTTCTGTAATGTTCTGTTCGATGTACAGAGCCGACAACCCGCATTTGGCTTGAGCGTGAGATGAGGTTTCCAGCTTTTCTAGCCAATCAGAGGTAAAGGAAGTGGGACTTTCCCCAACCATCCTACAAAAAAAAATATCACCCCCTGGGTGAGCTATGCAATCTTAATACGCCCATAGGCTTTATCAACTGTCAGTCATAGAAAACATGAACCCCCTAGTAACTTTTTAAAACGGAGCTGTACAGAAAAAAAGAGGACTTGAGCACAAACCAGTCTTACTGTAACTACAAGTCAACATCACAAGCAGGGGGGAGAAAAATTTATGTTCTGTGTAATAAATTTCTAAAGTTTGTCCACAGCCCCATAAGCTTTGCTGGTAAAGGCGGGATTTATGACCTATACCCAGCCCATCAACAGAGGGTGCAGTTCTCAGAGTGGCTTCACCCAGCAAGGAGGCAGATGGCGTCCATTCTATATACAGTCTATGGTAAAAGCGTATAATTTCATACCAGACAGTATATGAATGAAGAAGAAATAGCCTTTTTTTCAATTAAATTCTTTACAATTGACTCTACATCTTATTTTTTTTTTGCATGCCCATTTAATAATCACTTTTTTCAATCCATTTATTTGTATAGCGCCAATTTACAACAAGATGCTCAACAAAAAAAGCAGGTCTTGACCAAACTCTAATTACAAAGACCGCAAAGTCTGTAAACGTAAAGTAGGGATCAGCCCTATCTTGTGAGCTCAAGCCTACTCCCGTCCCATCTTTAACCACATGAGTGCAACACTCTTACAATGAAGAGGAGAGGAGAAAGTTCCTTTAACAGGCAGAAACCATGAGCAGAACTAGACTCATGTAAGACAGTCATCTACCACTACAACTGAACCATAGAATATTGTAAAGTCTCCAGCAGAAGTTTGAGCTTTTTGAAGTTAGGTCCTGTAGTGATGTTTTTTTATTCAGACAATGAAAACTTTTTACTATATTACTAAGATTTTTTTTTTCAAAATTCATTTTTGATTAATTCATTTCGACAGGAGTGTTTTTGTGTTTATTCCTGGACTCTAGGAGGACTAGAAAATGCATTAGTAGAACCTCATGGGGGTCTTGAAGGTGTTGCACACTTGGATGGATAAACTGGGCTTTTGACTGCATGAACAATCTTTTACCATCATTGAGTTCTGCCAAGCATGAAGGTACACCACGTCCCCTGATATGGATTAGCTCTGGCAACAGTCCTACCTCCTTCAGACCTGTAAAAAGGTTGTATGGCAGTGTGCCAGTCTTCAATCACATGCGTGAAAGTATAACATTCAAGTCAAAATCAATGCAACTACAGTGAAAGGAACCATACAAAAGGTGTCCCTCAGAAATCCTTTGCAAAAACGAAAAAAGGAAACACAGGGTCGAAATTTGACTAGTGTACAAAGATGATTACAGAAAATACTTCTGTATATTTATAGAGAACTAAGAGGAGGATAGAGGGAAGTTATCGAGTGCAAGCATATTACAAACATGCAGTTTTCCATGGCGAGGAACAGCGAGTAATTACCTCCCACTGACAATTTGTACAGAAGCTGTGCTCAGCATTTTGTCCAGATGGCAGATTATAAGCAAGGTCACACACATACAGATAAACACGGGGGATCGTAAAGAAATAATTGTTCACAATCAACAAGAGCATGCTCCTCCACAACTTATTATAGACTTTTTTATTTTTATGGACTGTGTGAAACACATTAAAAACAATGAGGAAAACACTGAGAGCAGAATAGAAGAGGTAACAGTCGTGCTGAGGCAAGGAGACCAGAGAGACAGCGGCAAATGAGAAGCTGGTGGAAACAGAGCAAGGTAAGCTGAAATCATCCTCCTGATCCCACCAGGATAAAGAGAGATGTGTGAGAAAAGAGGAACATGGATGAGGAAATCTCGATCACTAATAACAGATTGAAAAGATTTGGTTTATGAGACTTAAAAGAGAAAATTAACCTTTCAATGTATTTATTTGTAGGTAAGCACATTTTGGATAGGCAGTACCCTGTGTGAACAAACTAACATCAAAATTTACATTACTTTTTTATAATTAGTCCTAGAAAAAGATGCATTATCCATTATTTTTGACAATCTTTAGTATCAAAGAGATCTGAAGTTTATGAAAAAATCTGATCTGTCTGACTTGGATGATCTACACACTTGCAGAGTATCTTTTCTGTTTTTGCATTTTACATAGACACAAAACAAACATGATCTCTTAGATTGTGTAACTTACATGAGTAGACTTCTCCTGTATTTTTGTAGTATTCACACCCATGGTCTCAGACTGTGTCTCCACCCTGTTTCTGTCCTGGTGAAAACAGCTTTTGCATACTTTCACTTCCTCTTTGAGTTGACATTTTCCCAGAGTTCAGGGTTTATTGACCTTTATATGTAACTGTGAGAACTTACAGTGTTCAATCTAAAGAGAATAATGAAACCACCAGTACAAACTCTGCTGCACTTTTCACAGGTACAAGTTACTGTTTAGTCTGACCCACAACTTTACAATTGCACTTTACAATCAGTAATACTGCTGATGCCTTTGAGCAGACAACACACAGTCAACATTTGGTCAAAATAAGATGAATAAATATTGTATGTGAAATATATCAATACAAGGAACAAAATTAAAGCTCCTGTGAGGATCTTCAGATTGTGGCAGTTTTGGTGCCACCTGTGGACAAAGCAGCTCCATGCTTATTATTGTGCCTTATAACAAAAGAATCCCCTCCTGCTGACCTCTGACAGCCAGATTGATCTTTTTTGTGAATATTTAATAGCCATGTTTTCATGTGCAAATTTTCTTGAGCCGATGAAAATTTTGAGGGATCGGATAATCTGAATCCACTGTTATTATGAGTGCAAAATCAAATAATCCGATCGTGATGTTCGTATACATGCACCAAGCTGTTCTCAGGTTAGAAGCATTTGGACATGTGCAGAGTTGTCTGATTTCGCTAACACAACCGCATAAGAAGAAGAGTTGTATTTACGCCTGTGCTGTCAACAAACCAATAAATGTGGTAGTGGCTTTCCCCCTGTTACACGTTGTCACTAGATGGCGCCCTTGTGTACTTATTTTACTGTTCTGTCAAAGGTTGCACTGTGCGTGCAGATGTGACATCATTACGCTGTATGTACGCCTTGTTATGTTACCAGAGGAGCAGACACGGCATCTGCGGTGGTGTTTTCTGCCAGAGCGTTAATAATGAAACCTCCTGGACTGGCCTCGATAAATAAGCGAAAGGCTAAAGACTGAAGATCGAGTCAGGTAAGAGAGTCATGATCGGAATAAGTGTTTACAAGGAATAAGTGTTTCGGAATAATGATCGGCATAAACCACCCCTCTCGATCTGAATACAATTTTATTTAATCCGAACTGGATTAGTATCTTCCGATCGACATGTTTACATGACGCATTTTTATTCCAATAGGGCATTTATTCAGATTATTTGTGGCCATGTGAACGCAACTAATATTAAAAATGTAATACCCGTTCTGTTTCTCCAGCTGCTCCTTCATCATCTACCTCTTCATAGTGGTTTCAGGTTCACAAATTTGTCCATTTTATCACTGACAATCTTGTTTGTTTTTGTGTTGCAATAAAAGGATTCAATGTGAATTTCGGTCTATTTCATAAATGTAAAAAAACTCCTCATTAGAGCTTCACACCAGAGCTATCAAATGTAGAATATGTGACAATAACAAAAACCTGCATGTCAAGCTTAAAAACTTGATGTGAAGATCTCAGAAATGAAAAAGGGTCAAAGGGATGTCTTCATTTGTCATGATAACTAATATAATACCAGAGCGTTGCTCTCCTTTCAGAGCATACAGACATCTTGGTGTTTTTCCATCTCCCTTTTTTTTTTTAATTGGCTGTGATTTTTGCCTTTTTTGGGGGGTATATAAGAGTTTACGTGGCTTTACTCATGTTTAATTTGCATTTCAGTATTCTGCTCTGCCATTACTTGAGTCAACCAGCTGTAAACACATTATGGATTCAACCTCTCTTGTCTGACACTATGTGCAGTGTATAATTTCACAGCACCATGATAATTTCACTCTTTGTTAACAGAGGGGAGTGAATTAAAAACAGAAAAGACTGAGCGCCTTCATTGTGCTAAAACAGAAGATTCAATTACACGGATGGTGGAAGCTGCACTGAAAATTCAAGGTTATTTTAGACATGTGGGAGACACAAAGAAAATTATTAAATGACATTTATTTGTGATATCTCCAAGCTGGTCTGAGCTCAGTAAGTCAAACAAGACAAAGGATGTTGCAAAATTTAATATTCTTAAATTCAGACTGAAAACACTGTAATGAGAAAACGCTCACTGAGGGAATACGCTGATAAAGATTTTGTTATGCTTGGACTGTCTGATGAAATCTGTGTGACAAAGCAAGGAAAGCAGAGGAACCAGGGGGAAGAGGGAAAATTGTTCTTTCACATGACAGCTGGCCTTCCTCCACACTCTGAGGGACTGAGATGAGATGTGACCTGCTTCCCTAATTGGCCTTATTCGACAAAGATTTGTGAAACAGGCGGGCCGGTCATCTTTTTGGTCTTGGTGATTATTCGAGTACTTGGAGGGAGCTGGAAGATAATAGGCCCAGTGGGTGATGAGACAACCCACAGGGATAATAAAAGAACAAGAATGCTGGCTGTGGATGTGCAAAGTGCTGAATAGTTATCTAAGATTTAAAAGTTCTCAAGGAGTTCAGGTCAGTTTACTTCTCACTAAATCGCTAACAAGATCAGACCTGACTGGACATCTAAATGAGTTATCTAAATTTCAGTCACTCCGGGCTGGTTTGGCTCATGTTCAGCTATGCTATTTACAAGGTCCTGACAGCAGCTCTTAAAGCTCACTAGCATCAGATAAACTCTCTTGATACGGCCTTTAATGGTAAGTGGTGTTACCTTTCTTTCCCTGACTTTACCACTGGCCACTGCATATTACTTAAAGGTGGGGTAGGCAGGATCTGAGGAAGTGCCAGTTTTTGCAGGACTTCTACATCTAGGATAAAGTGACATAGTCCAGGACCTGAGGTCAACAGTTTAGTGGTGCTACAACACGCAGCAGGTCCGGTTTGACAAGAAACACTTCTGTTACGGACACTTTGCTTACTTTGTTAAAGTGGTTTACCTGTCCAGCAGAAAGGTTACAGGGTCCGTAAGATCCCGAAGCATCCCCCATCATTCATGCTGATGTTGACCCAGCTTCTTAGCTCTTGTCTGGTCTACCTGTTAGTCTGCCGGAGTCTCCAGTATTTACTTTGTTTTATTGCTTGTGTTTTCTGTACTTTCTGGCTGGTTTCTACTATCCGATGTTGTAGCATGCTAACTTTGTTTGGGCTCGTGAACGTTATTGGAGGACATGAAGTGTGCCTCACAACACAAGGGAGCAGCGTCTGCCTCACAACCAATCAAGATGGGGGAGGTGGAGAATGGCTTTGTTTACAGTCAGAATGAGCGGACCGCTCAAAAATGTTAAAATGTTGACTACACAGACATTACAAAACACAGCGATATTGTCATATTACCAAATGCCATCAATAACTAATAGCTATTGACTGATATTAAAAGCTTTTTTTGTATATACACCACAAAAAAAAAGATGCTTCTTTAGCGGATTTCTGCTTTCTTCACCTTTAAATGTCTAAATGCCTTTGGGTTTTCTGAACGTATGGTTGTGTGGTTTGCCAACCATCTCATTGGTAGAACCTAAACTGTTAAGTTAGATGGTACTGCCTCTGAGGTGTTACAAATCCACAAGGGGGTACCACAAGGATCCGTTTGCGGCACACTACATTTAACTGTGCTGCTGTTCAGTTCTATGCTGATGACACTATCATTTCATGCTGTAAACTTGCACCAGCTCAAGCATTCTCAAATTTTCAGCATGAATTTGAAGACAAGATTAGCTTTGACAACCGCAACTTGTCCTGAATGCAGACAAAACTAAACCTGTTTTGTGTGTGTGTGTGTGTGTGTGTGTGTGTGTGCGTGTGTGTGTATGTGTGTTTTAAATCTTTAAGAGCAGTAAAAACGGTCTCATCTGGGAAAATTGGTACCAAAAGATGTGACATTCAGTTTGTATCTACTTTTAAATACTCAGGGTTACGGAGCATTTTCAGTAAAGCTGAAGGTTTTGCTCAGTCCTCCTTTTAATCTAAATAACAATTGAGTGGACTCTTCCTTTGTACCTGCTCTTGATTATGACAGTGAGTCGTCATTCACATGCCTCTGCAGTGCGTATCATGGTGCGCTGAAATTTATTACACATTGTGGCTTTCTTACTCACTATTGTACTTTATATTTCAAAGTCAGATGGACTGCTTTGAGTCCACACTGGCTTAGTCACTGGTATATCTTTATTTATAAAGCCATTCTGGGCAGCATACCAGACTACCTTTCCTCCCCTTTAACCACGAAGGATGGAGTAAACAGCCTTTGTTCATTTGACATTGTGCAGTTTGTTGTTCCCAAAGTCCAAACTGAGTTGAGAAAGAGAGTTTTTTGGTTTTCTGCACCTTATTCTGAAACAATCTACAGACTGGTTTTAAAATACAAAACTTATTTAACCTCAATGTATTTAAATCCTTTATTGAAAGTCTGACAGCCAGGCTTTCTGTCTGCACTTCTTTGAGCTAACTTCTATTATGCCCTTTTTACTTCTACTGTTTAAGTCTGATTGTCTTGTTGTTGAAATGTTGTGTTGCTGCCTTTCTTGGCCAGGTCCTCCTCAAAAAAGAAATCTCTGATCCCAGTGGGGCTAAATAAAAGTCAAATATACACAATTTAAACAATCATGTCCTCTACTGACAGTGTATCCTATCAACTGCGCAAAAAGGCAAACTATGAGCTCCCATCTCTTCCGTCCATTTGGGTTCTGGCTCTGGTATTGAAGTATTACTTTTAGAAAAAGATAGAGGTCTTGTGGAATTATAGAAACACTGTGCACTGATAGAGTTATCCCCTGAGTCCTGTAGAATTAGAGTTATGAATGCAGAGTAGCTGAGGAGTTTATTTTTAAACCTTTTTGAATCTTTGGGCGAGAGTAACAGGATCTTAATGCTTTTCCCTTCAATATTCTCAGAGATGGAGAACTTTAAAAGTCCTAATGCTCCCAACTCTGGTGATCACCTTTTACTCTGGTGAAGTTTTAGAGGCTGTAAAAGCACATATGAAAAAACATAAACGGCCATGGACCTACTGTACCGTGTGCTTATTCTTATAGCACAGACGTTAACTCTCTCAGGCAGCTCAAGGCTTTTAAACACACGCATACACACATACACAGACACAGACACACTAGTACTGAATTACTATTCTGCACCACATCACATCCATGTTCACAAAGACCAAAGGCTGTGAAACCCCCGACCTCGTGTTAACTCATACATAACACGCAGTAATCTTCTCCGCTCCTGCTTCTTTCCTCTGATCTTCTACACAGAGACATGAAGCGGCTGCCCATCGCCTCAAGCAGAAATGAAACCACAGTGCTTCACAGTCCGAGCTGCCAGAGATAATATTATGCTGTTATTTCATATTCCTGTCTTTCTGTGCAACACCATCGATTACCATATCCCTGAGAATCCCTCTGGATATTTGGCTTTTGACTTAAAATATATTTACATTGCCGTTCACACAATATAACAACAATAATTCTCCACAGTTTCCACCCTCACGTTTTATAAGACCTCATAGCCCTTCAAGATTTCACCCTCCTCTCACTCTTTATTACAATTTCTTCCAACATGTTACTCCTCTCCACATGTCCACATGTGTGTTTTCCCATTATGCAATTTCTCATGTTGACAGTGTGAAATTGAGTGTGAGATTGGTCATAGGGCATTATAGGAAATGTAAATATTTGCACTCCCTCAGAAGTATAGATGAGAATATATGAAACCCTTATATATGTAGTTTGTTTGATTTGAAGGTGTAAAACTTGTATATTCCAGTTTTGCAGGGATCAACTCTAAGGCTTTTTAACTGAACAGATTTGAAGGAGGTAGGAAGGTTTACATCTAACCAGTGTTTTTCTTCACAAAATTCAGATCATCACACATCACATTGACAGAGGCTATGGACCACAAAGTAGGCGGGTTTGAGTCCAACCTGTGGCCCTTCACTTTATCTCATAATAATAATAATAATGCATCAGATTTCATATAGCGCTTTATCAGAGACCCTCAAAGCGCTTTACATTGGATACATCATTCATTCGCTCATACAGTCACACTTTGGTGGTGGTGGAAACGTGGCTGCCATTCTGCGCCTACGGCCTCTCCGACCACCACCACACAACACTCATAAGACATGTCTGCAACAGCAGTTCTCATTATTGAGCTTGTAGGTACTGAAAGTATTCCTCCACTCCTCTTAGTTTCTGAGTAGAGTAACTGCTGGCTATAGCTTTTTTTTTTTTTTTTTTACTGTGCATTAAACTGAATAGATTCAAGTCTCACTACAAGAGTAAATTACATCAATGCACTGATTTGGAAAAAGCTAAACAGAGACCGGTCAAGCAGCAACATTTCTGCACAGCTTTTAACAAGCCAAATATTTTGATGCAATGTTTCTTTCTGCCTCCAGCTTTAAATAAAGCAAACGTTGCTCTTCGGTTTATTATCACTGGCTATTTTTAGCCTCTCAAAACGACCGGTTTGTAACAGATCCCACACAAGAGCCTCTTGGCTTTCAGGCTGTTGTCGACCTTTTTTAGGCAGGCTGTAAAAGCAGCAGTTGGACACCAAAAGTATTTATTCTCCTTCACTTAACCGCGAAAGAAAACATTTCTGTGGAAAAGGAAATGGTTTTAACCTTGGGGTTATTGTGTCTCCTCATGGGAGTGACTTCAGACACCCTTTTACCTAAATGCTTCAATCAGAGCTGCCTCACAGGTCCTTTTTCATGAAACACAATGAGTCCAAACACTTTATATCTGACCATTCTGGTACTGGGTTTGCTACAAGCCAATAAATAAAGAATGACAAACAGAGAAGAGGTCTGCGAATGAGTTAAAACAAAGCTAAATCTGCAGTCTTATCTGCCCTCCGGCAGCTGTTTAAACGAGACGGCATGATGTGAGTAGATTTCAGCATCTGTGATCACCATCCTCACCCGCAAAGCTTTGATCACTGACAGGCTCACTCCTGTCCGTTCAAAGACTAATGACTTCTCAGCACCCTTAATAGGCTCATAGGGGACCGGCTTTTTAAAGCAGCTATGTGGAGCCACACAGCTGAGGTTAACAGTCCACTTCACGCTGTGATACGGCTCTCTGCAGGCACGCCGGATTGATCTCAAATCAGATGCAGTCTGGTATTGAACAGGATCAGAGCGAGGCCACCCCTCAGGAGACAAAGAACAAGAAGAGAGGGAACAGCTCCTGCTTTCCTGAGCCACACAGACATCCTGCATTATTGATCAGCCAGGTAGGAAAACTCCAAGTTAAAGGAGGACATAGAGTGGCCTCAAGTAAAGCACAACACGCATCAATTCTTGTTTTTAGCCAGTACCAAAGGTGGTGTTTGCACTCCTGAGATCAAAGAGGTGCAGGGGAAATAACAGCTCAAACACCTCTGAGCTGCAGAATTTCTTATTTGCCTTCACTCTCATTACTGCAACCCGCTGAGGCCCTGAACACATCGAGCCTGTCAGTCACCTGTTCCTGCCTTGAAGCGACAGCGTACACTGCAGAGGCGGGCTGTGTACACTCGGGGACAGCGGAGAAGAAACCAGCAATAAAAACTCACCAGCAAAGCGACAGGGAAGTCTTGAAAATGTCAGAAGAAGTTTTAGAAACAGAAAGTTTTAATGCCAAGCATGAATGTAAGAGGGAAGCAGCTTTTTCAAAGTAAAGAGCAGAGCTTGTTACCACTCAGACCAAAGAGAAAAACAGCGATTATTTCTTTAATGGTTTCATTCACCCAAAGGTTTGAGTCAAACTGTGAGCTACTTTCTATAATGACCTCAGCTGAACCTTCACAATAAAAGCTTTCTAGGCAGCCAATCTGACTCAGCGGGTAAAATCACATTTAGAGCCAACAAGGGTGCAAACAAGGTAAACAAAAAGATGTGTGTAAACAAGGAATCTAGCGGGTGAAAAGACAGAAAAGGCAAAAGCTTCTCTGACAAGTCTGCAAATGCATCATTTTTCCATGTTGTCACTCAAATAAGAGAGAATTACACAACTTTTCAATCAAATATCAAACACACAGACTTATTCTTCCACTAGTCCTTTTATTTATTTTTTTTCCATCCTTGTGTTATTGCTCTCACAGCTCCTCACCACACGTGACGTTGAGAAAAGCCTCGTCCCCGGGTGTAAAATGCTTCACACCTGCACCTGCACCTTTACACTCCCTCCTCTTCAAACGCCTCTGCTGCTTTTCCCCTCACGGCCATTTGTCGGCACTTCTACCTGTCAGAGATCACACTAGTGCGCATAACAGCTGAAAAAAAAAACTGTTACAATGCTGCAAAATCTTATCACATACATGTCAAAGAGGAAACACCTCCACATGTTCATTTCACTTACTGGAACAAGTTATTCTGGTACATTTGGATGGGTTTGGTGCTTAACTAAAGAAATTATAAGAATAAGAAGACCTTTATTGATCCCTTAAGGGAAATTCAATTGTCTGCCGTCTTATTTGTCATGTCTCTAAAAGTCATCTACTATTTACAGAATTTGTCAGCCAAATAACAGAGAGATATCCACAGTACGGACACAGATCTGTAAGAGCAAACAACATTTTTTTATGTTTCCTTGTATTTAATCAAGCGAAAACTATATTTCAGATTTGAGATGCATGATTTATACATCAATCCAATAAATTATTATTGGATAATAATGGGATGAGATGATTTCTTTCTATTTTTTCTTCATTTTTCCATTAATCTACTTTTGTTTTTATTCATTTTTATGATCATTTTATTTGCTCATAACAACTAATTAAAGTTGCATGTACTTATTATTACATGTTTCCACACTGTGGGTGATGGTTTTGGATCTGCTGTTACTTTCTTGTAGAAAAGAGAGTGCAGCCAAGAGTTAAAATGGTGACCCTGGTGTTTTTTTGTTTTTTTACTGTTTCAGGTTAGAAAACATGATTGCAATTTTTAAAACATGCAAGTCCTTAAGTTTTGGACCACAAATCCTAGAAGTCACCTAAAAAGTCAACAATAGAACAAAGTTGTACACAGAAAATTTAAAGTAGCAGTAGCCACAAGCATTGACAAACAATAAACTGAGTCAGCAGATATTTGAAAACTGCAGGAACTTACTCAGGACTGAATTAACGAAAGTCGATTACCCATTTTTTCCTTTCAAAGACTACACCAACCAATGGCATATTTGGAACATAGAAAGGATACGAAATGGACCTCATCTTTACCCCCAAAATATGTTTGGTTTTTTTTTTTGGCCCAGTCTGTATTAGGTGTCTGGTCCGCATGGAGCCAGCCTCTAGTGGACACTCAAGGAACTGCAGTTTTAGCACATGCACATCAGCTTCATTTCTTGAGATGTTGCTAATTCATTTAGAACAGAATATAATAAAAATGAAATTTGAAGTCAGAGCTATTCCTTGTTTTTTTGTGCATTAACAGGTGATTTCAGCCTGAATTGGTGGTTTTAAAAAATCTATATCATGCATCTCTATTATTGCAGGATCCATACACATAAAGGCAAAATATAAACGCAACAGCCGGAGTTTTCTTTTAAGGCTGTAAATGAAACAATCTGCGCATTTTTCAGGATTTCTCAAAGTGAGAGCATACAGAGGAAAAAAAAAGCCCCATATCCACTTACCGAGTATGTGGTTTTATTTCATAACAGACTATCCACTCAAACAGCTGTGACCCTCAGCTTTAAAGGTCATGAGCTCTTTGAGTGGATGTTTTTGATGGTTTGCTCTTCTTGTACTTTCCTCAAACCCTGCATTTCACGTGGATATCTTCTATTTTGAAGGATTAAATCCATTAATCAAACAATCTAGTGCAGACTTTAAAAAACATTCAGCTATCTCACTACTTTGACCGCGCTGTAAAACCCCAACAGAAGTAGCATCAAACATACTAAAACCCGCTCAACCTTGGTAAACAAAAACATACTACACAGCCTCAAATGGATGTGTATAAACCAAAAACTATCCATCATCCCTATTTTCCTCTTCTCTCACTTTCTTGTTCTTTTCTTTCCAAACATTCTTCAGTGAGGTGCTTCACAGAAGACAAGGCTTTTCCCAACACCCGAACATCTTCACCACCATTGTGCGTCTCTTTGTCTTTGCGCCTCAGTGAAGCATCATACATACAAAATAACATTTTCATCTTGGCTACTAGCAAAAATAAAACGTGTTCCCTCATTGCTTTTGAACTCTACCGTAAATTACTAGTGACCTTAACAGTGCAGGACCTGCTACATGTATTCTGCTTAAACATTCTAGCCCCTAAAAGTAAATTAAATCATTAAATTCATTACAAAAATACTAACTCTGTACGTTGGCTAGTAATTCATATGATGGATTATTTCAGTAATTGGTTTATGCTACAGTTTCTCTGTAGTGTGTCACAAGTGGACGGAATAATTAAGGTTCCCAGTGCAAACATAGAAGGGTCTGATAAGAAGTATTGCATTAAAATCTGATTGGAGCACAGTGGAGCGTCTCCGTTTAGCTCCTCTGTGGGATATCAGCGTCCTCCTGGTTGCTCTCCAGCAACTCATCCTCTGAAAAACTGATGTGAAGGCAGGTTTCATTCATGGGTGACGAGAAGGGCTGCGGGTGCTCACAGGTGTCCGAATTTGAGGGTTCAGAGGAGGGGAAACCTGCTTCACATCCATCCTCCAGCGGACTGTCACAGCCGCTGGACGCCGTCATAAATGTCCCGCGGTCCCCGAACAGATCGTCGTCATCTCTCAGAGGCGACAGCAGGGACTTGGTCTCCGAGCGGACACCTGAGTCCTCGGAGCTGCTCTCGCCGTTGCTGAGGGAGTGGAAGTCGGCGGACGAGAAGGAGCTGGGGGTGACGTCCGGGAAGGAGAGGCTGCTGCTGCGGCTGGGGGCAGTCTCGATAGCGGTGGCCTCCGAGGGGGTGAACACAGCTGTGACCTCTGAGCCAGGGGATAATGTCCTGCTGGCCCGTTTTCGGTTCAAGGAGGGCGGAGGTGGGTCCAGTTTGGGGATGACCTGTTTACACCTGCAGAGAAGAAAACAGATAAACTGGTTAGTTGAGTCTAAAAATGTTACGTTTTGACATTTAGACAGATACATTTAGCTCTTCTAACTCCTCTAATTTGCATTTTATGAACAAAAATAAGCCTCAAGCTAGTTTTCCCCTCCATCAGTCACATTATACCCCATTAACCCAACATAATGTGTCTTAAACTGTCACAACACAAGACTGTAAGCCTCTCCTCTCTACGGTTCCCTGTTGTTTGAGCTCTCTGGGGATTTATCTACATCCCGCAGCTCCCCGTTGTGAGAATAGAAGGACAGGCAAAGAAAGAGAGCTGAAGATAAAAAAAGAGTGGGAGGTAAGGAAGCGAGAAAAGAGCTACAGGCTTTCCCCCTCTCTCTAGTCCAGAAATAGCTCCATGGCAGCCTCCTTGATTGTACCACAGAAATGGCTCGACAAGCATCAGTGCGCACAACAACCACACACAATCACAACCATCCTGCTGGAAAATGAATCCTGACACAAACCCGCTAACAAGCCTCACTTCCTCCCTGACTCCTCCCATCTGTATTGTACTGGTGGCTGCTAACTTCGTTCCCCTATGAGATCCGGTGTGTGGTTGATTCCTGGTCTCAGTAATGAACTTATGCGACTGGCTGATGTATTTACTGTCTCCGCTTCTCTGAGATGTTGGTGTTGAGAGATACGCTAATGACAAGCTTGTGGTCGTGGTGCAGAGAATCTGTCTCCAGAGATGATTATGCACTGTTCTCTGCTGCTAACAAATGGCCCATGTAGGATTGGGTGCAAAGTGGAGTTGATCTCTGACTCCAGTATTACAAGAGGAGAGCAGAGTTTCTAATATGACGATGGTAGAACCAGCAGGTACAGAAATGACGATCAGGGGCTTTCAGATGTGGCTCTGTTCAGTTTGGTGTGCTAAACCCCCGATCTTGTTTGCAGCTCTTAATAGATGACTGTTCAGATCACCAGCAGGAACAGCGCATCTCACCTGAAAACGATAAGCTCAGGGCTTTATTCTCTGTCACCAGCATGAAAAATACACAGAAGTTGTACTTCTAGAGTGATTTTCAAATTTCAATTCATGTTTTCTTTTCATGAACTGGACTATGACAAAACAAGATTGTTTTAGGTTGAAAGTTTTGCATTTAAAATCAGTCATATTTTTACTGCTGAGGATCTAATCCATCGTGTAGCAGGCTAAGTTAGCTGAGGGGTGCAGGGTTGTTTTTGTGTTTTTGTGCCTGCAACTAGTGAACTGTAATCCTTTCTGTCTCCACGATTCAAGGTGTATAAAACGTGACGAAAATTAAAAAGCATTTTAATCCAAAGACTAAAGGTCCTTACACACTGCAAGCGCTTTTTTTTGTGCAATTTTTTTTTTGCCGTCAATATTTTTTTTCGAACCCTGTATCCTGTCAATACAAGCATTCACATCAGCGACGTTTTCCCGTCCTGTGATATTGCGGCATTTATTTTTTCGGATCATGGTCGATTTTTCTTAAGTTTCGCATACTGTGTGTCCACTTCTGACCAATCAGATTGCATGTAGTTGCAACGTCTGATTCACCGGTATATCCAAAATGGCCGACTGGCTGATCGTTTATGTGTCGGAGAACAGAGTGCTTTTTGAAAAAAAAACACAAATATTACAAAGATATGGACCTGAAGGACAACTTGAGAAGGGTCATCGAATCGGATCTTTCATATGACAATAGTTTGTGTGCTTTAACAGTTTGCTAAACGTCTTTGTTTTAACTTTCATCTGTGCTAAGTAACTTTAGCTCGTAAGCTAACCTGTTCAGATACAACATACCATATGTTTTTTCACTGTCTCAAACTCAATCGCGTTGCTGTCACAGCACCATTAGGTCTCGGTTGTTACCTTACATTTATGGATTATAGTTTAATGCGCTTATCTGGCACTGACCCCGACTCAGTTCATGCTATCATGACAGACAGTCATCTTAACACTCGTGTCCAATCAGAACTGAAAAACAGTCAGTCTGCTGTTGTGTCAGTCTTCTTGCTTCTACCACAGGCGTGCCCCCCCCCCCTTATAATTTCGCATCGGATATTTGCATTGGTCCCAGTGTGTAATGACCTTAAATCTAAAACACCTTCCAGAGTTCGCACTAGCTGCGGGATAGTTGTGTTATTTATCTCTTAACATCAGGTTAGAGGAGGTAGTTCTTTTTGTGCATTCTCCCTCTACCTTTGAACCCGCCTGTGTGCCCCTCTCTCTACTCAGCTGGGGTCTGAGCATCAACTGAGACCCTGTTTTTGAACAAGATTGTTTCATAATGGGATCCACATCCAACAACCTTTCCTTCCAACTAAAGCCAATAAAAAAGATTTCTTTACATTTGACTTGTCCGTGCCAATTAAGTAATGGTACTGAAGTTACTACCAACACTGTAAAGACGACTTTAGAGGTTGTATAACATTTAAAATGACAGGAAATTGCAATCTAAGAACAATTTTCCACTATACATCCCAACTAAGTGATCAATTTTACAGGAAAACTGCAAACCTTTTCATTGACTTTACTGTAAATTCGAGTATTTAAAATTTCCTGCCTCCATTTCCAATTTTGCCAACAACAAATTCAGTAAATTTCAAGGTTTCATAACAGTTGTGACTGTGTGTGATGCCCACATGGGGTCCCTGTGTGACGGATAAGGGTTCTACCTCCCTCTTTTATGAAGAGCTATGTTCAGCTGTGTTTGTTTCTTCTCCTTCTTCTTCACTGCCGAGCTGTGGAAATTAATTTGCAGCTGGATCAAGGAGCAGACCGTCCCATTATCATAACCCTGAGTCAGCACTTTCCCTCTCTGTCACAGTGCCACTCCTCTTCACTTCACTGACTCGTCTCCCTCCACTCTGTCTTTGCTCCCATTTCTTCTACCCTGTCTTTTATCACTCCAACTTTGTCTCTTCATTCATGTTGTTTCATCTGAAGTACAAACCACGGTAAACCCTAAAGGACTCATTAAACCAGGATGCCATACAACTACAGATCCTCTGATGGAGATCATTAGAGCCTTCCTTTCCCGACAGCTCGTATATCCTTCATAGTCCTGATTCTTTCCTTCTCGGTGTCATGGAAGCAGACAGTCATTAGGTGTAAAATAAAACATACATTTTTATCCACCTAATGGGGTGACTTGATCTCAAGTTTAGGAAATGGGGACTCTACTAGCACTCAGGTAAATGGGACTTGATAAGATTCTTTTATGTTGTCAAACGTTAAACACTTGGGACTGAAGACTCAGCTTGTACTCAGTTAATGGGGAGTCAACATAGACTAAGACTCAGGTAATGGGGGCCTGACTCAAACCCAGAGCCAAAAATCAGGTTTGAAAATAGTCGCCAAACATGGACAGAAACTTATCTTGTCAATGGGACTTGAAACCCTGTCTTAGACTTTGATAATGGAGAGTCAGCTTTACTTAGGGTTAAGAAATATCGAACTGACTTGTCAGGTAATGGGGAGTCAACTCAGACTTGCCTTCGTGTGCCTATTATCTGATCCTTAGTCTGCATCCCTCATTACCTGAAGGCAAGTCTAAGTTGACTCCCCATTACCTGAGTCTATATTTGGTCCCTGTTATCTGAATACAACCAAAACTCAGATTCTGGTAATGAGGACTCGGAAGTCGGATAGCAGAGCTGGGAATGATGCTACACCTGAGTTGATGGCGTTCCAGTAAACAAGTTGAAAAACCAAGATGGACGCCTACTGTTAGCCATTGTTAGCTACTGTTTACAATTGTCAGCTATTGTTGGCCGTTGTCAATTGTTGTTAGCTGTTGTTAGCTATACCAGTTGTAAACAACGCATAACACAGTATTTTACTCTTACAAACATCATAACACTGTGTTAGACATCAAGTTAGACGTTGGGCAGTACAACATATACCACTTATTTAATTTCACAAAAACAAAACAGAAGTGCTAATAAAAAATACATTACAATAGCTTTCACTGCTACTCTTTACTGTTGATGCACTGTGCTGCCATCTTGAATTATGACGTTGTCGTCAAGTCGGGGTTGGTGAGGATCGTCCGACTTTCCGAGTCGGGAATCCCACTTCAGGGGGGCGTTCCAGATGAATTTCCGACTTGGAGCTCGGAAATTCTGACTTCCGAGTACAAGTGGAGTGCAGCATTAGGATCAGGTAATAGGCACCTGACTTGAGCTCAGACTCAGACATGGGGACTCATTACAGACTTAGACAGTAGGAACACAACTTTATCCCCCCCGTTGGGACTCAGAGTTGTGCACTGGTGACTGGAAACTCAACATGTACTCTCAGTTTAGTGACTCCACATAAATACGGACTCTGTTGGTCATCTGAAATCACCTTGTATGCTCAATCTGATGCTTCAAAGTAAACAAAACTGCTAAATTTCCTGTACTGCTCTCAAAGTGGCTTTTAAAGTTTGTGACACTTGTGATGTATAAGTCACGGCGAAAAACCCTCCATATCAGGAGAACTGTTTTACGAGATCCAGTATGTGAGACATGCATATAGCAAAACACACACTCATACACGCACTGAATAATAATAACACAAACTCTAGTGACAAAGTTTGCGTAAAATCAAGAGGTTTGTCTGCCTCGGCTCGGACAGCTTGACTGTTCAGGTGGAACCTCCTCTGACAAAATAATTTCAGGTCTTGACAGGAACATTTTGAGGCAAGAACACAGAAAGTGCTTCCATGCATTTGTGTGACTGGCTGGCTGCCTCAATGCCAATGCAATTATGAGTATGCAGAATTACATCTGTATGGGAATGGACGTTATTTTGCAGTCGTTAGCAGAGGTGGCGCCTGACAGACAAACCCAGCAAACACCCACACTGACTGTTCATCCACTACATGCCTCATCTCATGCCTGTGCTACAAAAACACCAATTCCACATGCTGGTAGTCATGAATAATACTCACATAGAGGGAGGAGAAGGGGCAGAGAGGAGAAGAAGAAAAGGAGGAGGAGAAGGAGGAGGAGAAGAAGAGGCGGGCTGGTGCAGCAAACAAGGAGAGGGACGGGGATGGGGATGGTAGCGAATGGATGGTTTTCTGGGGTTTCAGTCTGTTTGATTGAGCGGCCTGACAATGAGTGGGTGGTTAGAGGAGGAAGAGGAAGAGCAGGAGAGGGTCCTCGCACCTGTACCAAAGAGAGGCAACAATTAGAGGATCAGGGTGCTATGAAAGGGATGAGTGGGTTTAAAGCCTTGTTAGTGATTTTGCATGTTAACGCCTTACGTAGCCTCTGAAATTTTTGGATGAAAATAGTTAAAATTTCATATTAAAGCGAAGGGTATCTTTAAGGATCCACAGAAATCAAGGAAAATAAAATGCTTACAACTATGATGGATGATTTCTCGAGACTGTGCTGATGTGGCTGATCACCTTTTCATGGACATCCTCTTGTATAAATTCACCTCTCTTTGGCTAGCATTCGGCATACTGGCTTATATGCTTGACTTGTTCCCAGAGTTTTAAAAGCAATCCTAAAAATAACCTCAAGGCTCATCACAGGGCTCGGCGATGAACTGAAAATTTACCAATACCAAAATTTATGACAATAACCAATGTCATTTTGCCCATATCAGTATATTTGGTGTCAAAAAAATAAATAAAAGTTGGTTTTGGATGTGTGTAAGTAGGCTATGGTCTCATGTCCCTTGAAGATGTTGTCCTACGTCAGAGACATGACTCAACCCGATCCAGTCCATAACAAAGAGGGAAAGACAGGTGAGGAGATGGAGCAGCGGTTGAAGTAGATGAAGTTAATGTGGGAGGGGGTGACCAGCTTGTTGAGTCGTCCAGCCCTAGATCATCAATCAGATCATCATCCAAGATGTCCTCATCAGCAGAACCCCCTCACTATGCTTAAGGTTCATCAATAATTAGCTAAAGACTACATATTAAAGAAAAATAGATGCTGCAATATCTTCCTCTGAATTTCTTTGTGGAAATGAAGTTATCATTTTGTACCCAGTAACTATTTTCTTTTACTTTTTACAGGCTTCCCAATATGTTTAAAGATCCTTTGAGTTTAGGCGTCCATGAGATCTGTGAAATTAATCCCAGTTTTCCATAAATACAATATGAGCAGCCATGATAAAGTCTCTATTTATCGTCTGATAGATTAAATGTTGTTACTTTTGCTAGTCAATGATAGAATTTTTATATTTGGTGAGTAAATTCCCAATATTTTGACCAGTAAAGGCCCACATGTTATTTCCAAACTTAAACTTAAGTTCCTACAGCAATATACAAATCAGCTATTATAGCAGTACAGGTTTTCTCCCATTAGTTTTATGCCTGAAATAAACACTTAAATACCAATGAGCAGCAAATGAGAACCAAAGCTGCTTTAAAAAAAGTTTCTTTTACAAAGATGAGATTAAAAAAAAAAAAAAAAAGAACATGGGAGAGTTAGTTGTGTCATCTTTTTCTGTTTTTTACCCCCGATGGTGAAATCTTTCTCTTCAATTTGTCCATAGTGGCTCACTAAACCAAATAGTTTTTTGTTGATGTTTTCATTAAAAAGCACCCAGGGAGCCGCAGTGAACTTCACACCATATGTTTTATCTACACCGACTCTTTTACTTTAAACTTCTCTACGAAAATAAGACACAATTTAATGAAACTATGAAGATTTGAGTGAGCTTTGCAAGACCTCAAACTGTGTCTCATCAAGGTCTTTAAGGAGATTTTTACAAGACTTTTCAATCCACTCATGAGGGGGGAGAACAAGCTCAGACTGAACCCAGAATGACAATGAACCATACAGCAAAATGCTTATCAAGGATTGCAGTTTTTTTAAGTGTTTCATTAAAATTCAAAGCACCGGTTGTCTTGAAGTTAGCAAAACACCCGCTGGAAGAAATAGGCGGCTAAAGGATTGCACTTATAGCTTTAAAGATGAGTATTACTGGGTTCATTTTGAATCATATCGAATCAATAAAGAAATGAAAGCAGCAAGAATGTTCAAGAAGCAAAAATGAGCCCTCATACTGTTCACAGTTTATACTCTATGAGTCATAAACAGCATGCTAAGTAACTTTCAATAACACCAGCAGAAACACATTTTAGAAACAACCTGGGGGAGCTCTCCAGATCGACAGGTGAAGAAGACGGATAAAAAAAAAAAAACCTTGAAACATTTCAGACGTCCGATTGACTGAGGCCTCTGAAAAGACCAGCTTCTGTTAAAATCCTCAATACTTCAACATTTCAGACGCACAAACACAAAAAAGCAGCTGAAAGAAACTAGCAGGGGGTTCAAAATTCACAAAGGGGCCTTTTGTAAGTGGACCTTGCTTTTTAATAACACCCGTCTAAGTGTGTGGTAAGTGTGTGTGGGGTGTTTAAGCATGTAGGTGGATGAATGTGGGAGCCTGCAAGACTATGACATCTTTAAGTGTCTGAAAATCTTTTAAAAAAATGGACCAATTATTATAAAGAGTTACCTGCCTGAATGAGTCTTTGTCGAATGTTACACAACAGCTAATAGATCAACTTTTAGCCCTCTCAGTTATAACCTTGAAAAACAGGTCCACCCCTCCCAAAAACTCCAGAAAAAACAACCTCCTCCAATTAAAAAACTGCAGCACAATGCCTGGAAATCATCATCATCATCCATTACACTCCAATCATATAATCTATGCTATTGAATTAGCGGCTGACGATGCTGCCGGTTCAGCTTGGACACAGAGGATGATGTTAATGATGAAGAGGGAAACAAAATGTAGTAAAGAGGGGAAGGCAAGATCCCTGATAGGTCAGGAAATGTGATTATGCAACAGTTAATACTGTCAGAGAGTGAAAATGCGTGAGAGAGTGCAGGCTATACCTCTCTACGGGGAAGCATGACTCACTGATGAATGATGTAAAGTTTGATGTTCATGTAAGCTGGTCACCATATGTGTTGGTTTCGGCTCTGAGTGGGTGTGCTGCAGCGTTAAGCTTCATGGCTCAAGCTCAACATCTATAGGGATGACTTTCACAAAGTTTCACATGACTTATTCTCAGATGTTACAGGTTACTGATGTTGGTGATGTTCAGATTTATTTTTAGGACTTTTAAATGACAGTTCTTAATAAGTATTGCTTTCAGATCTGCTGATTACCTTCCTGCCTTTTCATCATCCTCAGACTTTTTCTCATCTAGCACCACCGTCTGATCAATATTACTCTTGTCAGTACTTTTGCTAATGACCAACAACAGCAAAAACAAAACATGAAATTAGAAATATAACAGTCAATGTGTTGAACTAAATGTTAGTGTTGAGTTAAAGGCGGCGTAGGCAGAATTCTGTTAAAGAAGCTTTTTTTTGTGGTGTATATAAAAAAAGCTTTCATTATCAGTTAATAGCTATTAGTTATTGATGACAATTGGTAATACAATGATATCCCTGTATTTGTTATGTCTGTGTAGTCAACATTTTACATATTTTGAGCGGCTTGCTCTTTCTGACTGTAAACAGAGCTGTTCTCTGCCTCCCTCATCCTGATTGGTTGTGAGGCAGATGCTGCTCCCTCGTGTTGTGAGGCACACTCCACGTCCTCCAATAACGTGCACGAGCCCAAACAAAGTTAGCGTGCTACAACATTGGACAGTGAAAACCAACCAGAAAGTACGGAAAACACAAGCAAGAAAACAAAGTAAATACCAAAGACTCTGGTGGAATAACAGGTGCATAAAAAGGCGGTAGACCGGACAAGAGCTAAAAAGACGGGTCAACATCAATGATTAAACGATGGGGGACACTTCGGGATCTTACGGACCCTGTAACCTTTTTCCTGGACAGGTTAACCGCTTTAACAAAGTAAGCCAAGTGTAGCAGAAGTGTTTCTTGTCAAATGGGACCTGCTGCGTGTTGTAGCGCCACTAAACTGTTGACCTCGGGTCCTGGAGTATGTCACTTTATCCTAGTTGTAGAAGTCCTGCAAACATTGTGTTTGCTGGTAGTCTGTTGGCATCTAAAGTAACACCAATGCTGTTTACTTTCACGTTGACTGGGCCCCATTTGTAATTATCTGAAGTATTTATCTGCATTATATCAGAATTTAATTGGAACGTGAGGACGAGCGTCTGTTTGTGGGCGGGGCTTGCTGGAGCAGAGATGGAGGGGAGAGGAGGAGCTGAGGGGAAAACTGGTTGGGAGGGGTAGAGTTTGCATTCAAGATTTCTCCCATAAACTGGCACCTCCTCAGATCCTGCCTACCCCACCTTTATATGTAAAAGTTATTTTTTTGAGTTCATGTTTTGTTATGTTAGGATGGTGACTTAAGGAAACACTGTAAAAACACTGTATAAAATGCTCCCTTGCTCACCCATTCTGTTAATTAAGTGACGGTGGCCCCTAAGGTCAAAAAGTCCTTAATTTGTCACGTTTTTACCATCAGAAGCTTCTATCTCTATACAAATTCACTCAGGCATAACAATCCCTCTCCTCTTATTCATCTACCAACCAGTCCATTTCATGCAGCCACTCACTAAATACAAGAAAAACATGTATGCTGCTAGTCTGTCCATTCTGGTCCACCATAGATATATAATGGCTGCCTGGAAAAAGGACCTGCTCCTTTGCAGACATAAAAGGCTCACTCTAAGATGATAAAAACTAATTTTTAACCAATTTAAACATAAATATAATCAATTTCTACCATGTCTGTTCCGCTAGATTTCACATAATGCACTCTTAAAAAGTTGCAAATAATTTATGGCTCCATTAAGATAAAAAAAACATCCAGTTTTATTTCTACTTCCACTCTTGGTTTGTTGTGCAAAGCGTGATAGTACCGTTCAATGTCAACATACCGTATGCACAGATCAGATAGCACAAAAGACAGCTGGCCAGTGTGAGAGCACACAAACACACTTATGATCGTACTGGTTGATAATTCAAGAGTGATTTCAAGCCTGGCTGCACTTGTAATGTGAGGTGAACACATTTGATGGTTTTGCTTGACCAGATCTGGACCTGGGTGGAGGTCAGCTAAGGCTGGGTGATAAAATGGAGAATAAGGAAGAGGAGGAGGCCAGACGGGGTGAAGGGACGGCAGAGGAGTATCTGACTGTCTGCTAGTCTGCAAGACATAAAACCAGGCCACCAAGGCTGTAAACATTGATTCGCCGGGGAAATCCAGAAAACAAAAGCAAATGGAAGCAATAAAATTTGCCTGGTGGAGGGGGGGAGAGCGAGACGGAGAGTGTGACTGCGGGAGAGGTAATGCAAAGAGTTTGAAAATAACACAATAAAGCAGCGGTTTCTGGGATTTTCTTTTGCTGCACTGAGACTAATATGCAGACCTAAAATGAGCCTCTCTACACTGATTTTCCACACACTGAAAGGTCAGAGTTGTTCTCAAATCATCAACTAAGTTATTAGTGTCTTTTTCCAGCACAAGCTTCATTATGCGAATGCGCCATTTGTTTACTAAACCGGCATTAAATTTTATGATGCTATTGATGGAAAGATGATGTCATGCAGGAAAGGAAGCAAATAAAAACCAGTAAAGGAGGGAGGAGGGACTGCAGGGAGAGGGAGGGGGTCACTTTGAAGAGAAAACATAAAAATGTCCTGGCACGAACATTTCTCAGCTTCTCTTCTTTTTAAGCCTCTGAGTGAGAAAATGAAAAATGTGGTGGCAGAGACAAGCTCAGGAGGAGCGGGAGAGATGCAGGTTGTTATGTAACATAAACAAAGGTAGACGGGAGAGTTTAACTTGGCTTGCAGAGCTAATACTCAAATGTGGAAATGGAAATGGAAAGTAATAAGGAGGAAAGTGCAGTCTCTGTTTTTGCTTCGAGCTCATGCGAAAGGGAAAAAAAAGGGGGAAACCTATCGGACATATGTAGCTGGGTAGAGTTTCATGTTGTGGAGGGCTAAGAGCTGTGATTGGCTGGAGTCTGTGCAGCAGGAAACCACAGGATGTGTGGCTGTATAGAGCTAGACTGCAGACAAACACACATTAAACAAAAGCAGACAGCCACGCCAAATACACACCAAACCATAGAGTCAGTCCCAGCCTCTTTCTTTTCACTTGTCTGTTTGGAAATCAACTTTAAACACCCTCTTTTGAGATTCTTGCGTGATGACTAGAGAGAGATGATAAAAGAAAAGAGATGGCTAAAAGCTGAGTCCTGCTTGATCTCATGTTGTAATGTTTTTCCTTGTACCACGACGGGTCTTTGTGGCGGCTTTAAAGCGATTAAAAGCTCATTAAAAAGCTCATTACAAAGTCATTACATGCTGTAGCTTCATATATGTTTGAGTGTGAGGTGTAAGCTGCTTGTGTATCACAAAGCTGTACAAGAGTCGGACCGTAAGTCAGAATTAAAGTCAGTGGAAGCACTCAATGAGATAAACTGTACGAGACAGCGAGAACTAGAGCTTAAAATATCCTTGAAAAGCAGACCTTATAAATTATTCCAGAGAAAACGATTCCATTTACCCTCTTTACTCCCTCGACACGTGTTTTAAGCAGCTTCTTAAAATCTGTTATTTCATGAAATAGAAACGCTGAGACTGAGAGTGAAACCTGATGGAGTTTCTGTGTTTCTCTTCAAATCTCATTCTTTCTTTCTCTGATTCTCGCTTTTCACTTTAAACTCTGATCTGCTCTTTGTTTTTCTAACCCCAAACCTCCTTTTCCTCTTTCTGTGTGTTCTGTAATCCCTCGGTTATCGTCACACTTTCATTAGCCGTGGGCTGTTTCTGCTGAGCTGAGCTGTTCTACGCTAATAACACTAAAAGCTACCGCCTGTGTGTGTGTGTGTGTGTGTGTGTGTGTGTGTGTGTGTGTGTGTGTGTGTGTGTGTGTGTGTGTCGCTGTGTGTGTTTGTCACTGTGTGGCCTGGTAACCTCGAACACACACCAACTGGTATCACAAAAGAAGAGACTTTAGAGGATCAGTTCAACATGTTGTGAAATATTTGCTGTCTGGCAGGAAACCACAGGATGTGTGGCTATATCTGAATTTAATTGGAACAATACGAGCGAGCAGGAGCGTCTGTTTGTGGGCGGGGCTTGCTGGAGCAGAGAGGGAGGGGAGAGGAGGAGCTGAGGGGAAAACTGGTTGGGAGGGGTCGAGTTTACATTCAAGATTCCTTCACAAAACTGGCACCTCCTCAGATCCTGACTACCCCACCTTTAAGTTAAAGCGAGAATAGTTGTTTTGGCATCATGTCACATGATCATGCATTGAGTTGCAATGAAGCGGTTTGACCTTTATGTTGTAAAGACTACCTGCAGGTTGAGTGCCCTAGCTTTCACCATGGTTCAGGATGTCTCATTTATGTTACAGCAACAAGTCAGTTTTCTTCGCCAGAAACTAAACAAGAACATTTCTAAAAAGTGTTGAACTTCTCCTTTAATGCTTTAGCAATTCAGTATGCTTTGCAGTAAACTAAAGTACAGCTGTCTTACTTTTCATCCAGGTTGGCAGAGTTTCTCAGTGTGAACGGGACGATCTCGTTGCCTGAGCTCTCTTTGCTCCCCGCCATCTCATTGGCCCTGATGAAGGGGTCCAGGTCCCCATTGACTGGGGCGTCCACTTTGGAGCTGTTCTCCAGGTTCAGCAGGTTCAGGTAGGACTCTGCGCTGTCCACCTGGGAGGGGGAGAGGGGTGAGGTCTGGAGGGGCCATGCAGGGGTGGAAGTGATGAGCTGCTCCAGGGCCTGGCTGTACTTATTCTTCAGATTCAGGGACAGGGACTTAGCTGAGGTGGAAACAGGGCTGCTGGAGGACTGCTGATCACCTGGGAAGACAAAAACAGACAAAAGGAAAAATGATTCAAGATGCAGGGACGATTCATCTACAGCTAACTGTTTTTTTTTCTCCTAAGTGCTGACTCTCATTATTGAACAGAGCAGTTGGCTTGATTCCAGGAGACACTTAGTCCAGCCATGTCTGAGATTAGCAAGATTAGCATTTTCGATCAAAGGGACTAATATGATTAATTCAAGCATGAAACATGACGTTTTATTTTCAGACGCACACACTGCATAACACTTTAATGCACACTCACACACACACTCATTCAGCTCTGTTCAGTGTGTATGTGTGTGTGTTTGTGTGTGGGTGTGTGTGTGTGTGTGGTTTCTCATTGATATCTGGCAGACTGACTCTTTTTCAGCATCTATAAATAAATTCCTCCTCCAAAAACCCTCCAGTGGGAGAAAGGTGTGTGCTTCCACGTGGTGCGTACTTGTGAGTTTAGTTTGTGTTGTTTTTGTTTTTTTCCATAATAAAATTGTTCACACTATCATAACTTCTCGCAGAGTCTGGGAGTGCCAGATAATGAGACAGAATGGTTTTAAATCCACTGCGGTTATATAATCTCTTATTAGGTTAGTATAGAGAGGCTATTGTTTTGGAAAATATGTTGACACATTGTGTGATGCAGAGTGAGCATGCTGTTTAACACAACGTGAGGCCCTCGATTTCATTATAAAGCTTTTGTAAAACCGCAAAACCGTTTTAAAGTGAGATCAATAATCCTGTTCTGGTCTCTAATCAACACAACCAGAGTCGAAAAAATGCTTTTTTATGTCCAAATAGTGCCAAGGCAGATCTATTTAACATGATGTAAACTACACTTCAATGAAAGTTAACAGTGATGTGCTCTAACCACCTCTGCCAGAGTAGTCTGAACCTAACTACATGTGTTTTGGTAAATAAGGTAGTCCATTTACTGGATTGTTACGTTACGTTAGGTATAAGGTATTAAGAGGTAAAATCATGGAGGGTAAGATGATTGGAAATACAGGTCAGTTCAGGTCAACAGCACTGAAAGCTATTGCTTCACATAGTAATACGGTAATACACATAAAGCTGAATTAACACTTTTCAGAAGAAAATATAATAATCTGTTCATTTAGATTGAATTAGATTGCACAAACATGAATATCTTAAAATCAATAAGAAGGATGTTTAAACATTTTGCATAGACATGCATAATTTCAGAGATGATCAATTCTTGGATCAGTCGAGCTGACCTTTAAGTGCTTCAATCAATCAATCAATCAATCAATAATCTTCATTTCTATGGCACCAATTCACAACAAGTGTTACCCCAAGATACTTGAAAAAAGGTCAAGACCATATTCTATTTACAAAGACTCAATGAAAAGATGGATTGGATGAGCCCCATCGTGTAATATCAGACCCAGTCCCTTCCCATCTTCATCCACATGAGTGAAACACTTTACAGCATTTAGCAAGTTACAATGGGGAGGAAACACTTCCTTCAAAAGGCAGAAACCTTGAGCAGAACCAGACTAATGTTAGACAGTCATCTGCCACTGCTGCATTGGGTTTTAAAGAAAGAATAGAGGGAGATGCAGAAAGAGAGAGATGGACAGAAATAAGATCAATGCAAGTAGTTGATGCAGCTGGAAAGTAGGCAAGTCCACAGCAGCAGATCATCAGCAGCAGCGATCTAGATAAACCAACGACATGATGGAGCTCAGGGACTTCCAGAGAACATGAACGAGCCATGTCTTGGTCCAAGGTCAGTTCTCCCACAGGCCCCCTTTTCACTGAGTGTAATATTTACCAACATGCATGTACAGTCTACATGTTATATATCAAAAAATGTGCAACTTATGTAATATTATTCAATCTCCTATCATCTGCACACATTTAACGCTTGGAAAACATCTAGTTAAATAAATGTGATAGCCTGAGTGGATTCTCAACCTTCAAGAAAAGCACTTGTTGGTATTAGATAACTAACAGGTGTTACTGTATGTATTCATGCTCTAAGAGGACACTCTGATTCTCTCTTCAGTCTTGGCTTTGCATTCTGGATCGAGCTTTTCTGTTTCAATTTTGCAATAAATATGAAAATTATCTAATGTGAACAATCCGTGATTTCTCATAATGTACTTTCCAGAGTACTGAAACCCAGAACTTTTTATCGCTTTGACTTTCTTTATCTTTGAAAAGAGATTCATTTTAGATTTTTTTTTTTGTTTTTGTCATCTCAGTCTTTCATGTTTAATTTATGACGTTTTTATGTATTCATGTCAAGCCTTTTTAAAGCACTGTGATGTGTCTCTTATCTGACAGGTGCTGCATAAATAAATCTCCCTTTCTTAACCTCCTTTGATTCTTTCATCAAGACATCTTAGACATAAAAGCAAGTGCTTAAACTGGTCGTGTTTGCAGACACTTGGCAGACACTGATTTTCTTCTTTTAGAGGATAAAAGTTAAATGCTTAATTAAAAGATATACAGGTGGCCTAAAGGGAAAAGCACCCACGACCCCAAGCAGAGTGAAGTTCAAACACTGGCAGCTGTGCTTCTGCCCATCAAACACGAAGGACAATGTTTTCAGGCAGGAAGCCAGTGAGGGATCATAGTTAGTGTCATGGCTGATTAAACATCTCCTCGTCAACAAGCCGCCGAGTGATGTCAAGAACTGCAGAGCATGAAAGACCCTGACCTGACACGAGTCCCTCTGAGGGATTACACTAGTCCTAACGGTCACCTCTGGAGATACTTACTGTGTCCGTTAGCCAGAGACTCCTGTTGTTGCTGTGTCGCGTTGGAGGAGCGGGCCTCCAGCTCTTTCAGCTGCTGCACCAGCAGGGCCAGGTGCTGCAGCAGGTCCCTGTTTTGCAGCAGCAGCTGGTGGACGCGGGCCTGGGCCTCCATGCGGGCAGCTGTCTCTGCTGCCATTTGATCCTTCAGCAGCTGCACCTGGAGTGGACACAAAGGACAAGGTCGGGCTGTTATAAGGTGTGTTTGTTCAAGTGTGGAAAATACTGATCTGATTCATGAGTAAAACTACAATCAGTATGAGTCCAAATGTTGGTCAGACAACTTCCTGTTTCCTGCTTAATCATTTCCAAATCACCATCATTGTGTCTTTTATAATATAGTAAAGATGAAATCAGACTTTAATCACAAGATTGAGACCCACATAATGACTGGATAGTGTCTGAGGTAGATCAACAACTCCTAACTGGTTATTTTTTTCACATTGGTGCAATAAACTGTTCACTAAATGTATCAAAAAGTCAGCAATAGATGTGCACATCCTGAAGTGTTGTTACAAATAGGATGTTTAATGAATATCAGTAGATGTTTAGTTACAAACGTGCTTGCTAATTTCAGCAATGCCTGCATTGTGCTGAACTGACTTTCCTTCATTTTTATGTAGGTGCTGACCCCTAGTGGAAGAATATTGGAAAAGACAAACAGTACAGCCAAATAAATAATTCATGCCATATCGGACATGGTAAATGAACGATAAAAGCCAGGATCAATCTGTCAGATTTGAGGAGAATTACTGAAATTGAACGGAGAGTTAGGGTACATTGGAATAATAATTGGTACATTTTACTGAAAGCAAGTGAGTTTCTGGCTTCATTTAGTTCATATTGATCATGTTCGTTATTAGGACAGCCTCTGTGAGCGTGTGATTTGAAATTAACTGCTTAATGGGAGATTAAATTGGAAGCACAGACTCGGAGGAATGACTATCATCGATAAATTAACCAAGGTGACCCAATGAAATTGAGCTGAAAAATGATAAAACAACAATGAAACAACAAAACACTTTTAACCATCTTAAAAGTAAAAAAAAAAAAAAAAAAACTTTTTAACTTTTTTTTTTTTTTTTTTTTTCATTTTAATTTTTCCAATGCCAAGACTGGAAAGGTGCAGGATGAAGCAAATTTATAATCCCTGCAGCTTGCTTAAAACAAACTTCCACTTACATCAGATGACTGCCGTGTAATAAACCTGTATAAAAGTAATCATATAAATAACCAATCATATAAATAATCATATAAATAACCTTTAAAAAAGGTACATACAAAACAATAAAATGTATATATGTATTTATGTATGTATAGATAGATAGATTAGACTCTTTTATAATAAAATACTTTTATACGGCTTCCATATTCACCACTTAAACCTTTTCTTAAACTAAAAAGTGTTTCTGCAGTCCTTTTCTTCTTATTTTAAACTTTAAAGAAACAAAATTGGTAGAAAAGACTAACTCATTGACAGAAACTAAGTTAAATCGCACAATACAGCATGATTCAAAGATATTTTACAGTTTTAGTTTAAAGCTCTTTTGAGGATTTTAACCAGTCACGAAACAGGATGAAATTAATGTTGACAACCCTTACTGTTTTCTATATTTAATTTCACTTTGTATCGGTGCTGCAGCGTAAGTGAAGGAAGTAGGGATGTTACACACTCTGCAGAAACAGCCTTTTTCCCATGGTTCATTCATAGTGGGTCAAACATTTTTCAGAAAAAGGCATGATACATTTTTTTGAGAATGATCAGAATCAATACAATCTGAAAGTTCCTTATAGTAGCTTTAAGGCTCTGAGTCAACAACCATCACAGTGTGTCTGAATGCATGTGTCTGTCCCTCACCTGTGCCACAGCCACCTGTGTGTGCTGCTGTTGCTGCTGCAGCTGCTGCTGAAGGAGCTGCAGGTAGTGCTGCGATGCCAGTGGGGTGAGAGATGTAGAGCAAGGGCTGCCAGGAGTGACGCCTTGAGATGTCACAGTGAAGAGGGACCTCCGATCCAAGTCCTGATCAGAAACAAAGACAAAAGAGAAAACATTTAGGCTGAGAAAGGACATTTTTAAAATCTATATGATGTACAAGATTTCTTTCTTTAGACCTGGTACCAAAAAAAACCTCATTAAGAAACCAATTGGACTGAACAACCCAGTCCCTGAGATCAAGACTGGGACCAACTGATCCAGAGCCCCACGGTCACTCCTCACCAGAGCTGGAATAATCTCTAAACTCATTATCACACCACATGCCCTCTTCCTCAACCTCTATTCAACCGCCCTGAGTCTCTTTGCTTCCTGAATGTGAATATTTTTGAAGACAGATCCTTGGGGTGCCATGATAAGTCATGCATAAATGTATTAAACTCATAAATGTATATTAGTAAAATACTGCTTCATCTGTCAAGAGAAAAAGGTGCAGACTGTTGTGGGAGACAGACTGCTGTAACTCTGAAATTACACCACTAGGGGGAGATATTGCACACTGTAAAACAAAGAAGATTCGTCTTGGTGTAGAGGCTCCTAACTCCTACCACCATCATCATCCTCACTCAGACATTACAAACAAACAAAAAAACACTTTGAAAGAGTATAAAATAATGTCATAGAGACTTGTTTCATTCTCATTCTGTGTCCTGAAGAAACCAACAACTTAGTTTGAACGGATAAAACCTCCCAGGAGAAGCCCTCAAAGAAAACCCTCCTGTTACAAGTCTAAGCTTGGTTTTCTGAGTGAGGACTTAAGAGGAGGAGAGAATAAAGAGGATCTTTAAAGGTTGATAAAAACAAAGTGAACTCCCAAGAGTCCAGAGAAGAATTATTGACTGACAGATTTTTAGCTATTGAAGACAAGAGAGTGTGAACTGCAAAAACACAACATCAAAGACCACAAAGACCTTAACTGGAGTATGAGTGAAAACTGAAACATGAATACAACATTTCAAACTTTAATCGGCAGGCGTGAGTTTTTCCACTAGTTTTGAAAAGTTTCAGTCAATTTCTTCTTCTAGTTTCCATTTGAGGGTCTTGAAATAGGTGGGGCTTACATAAAAACAGTGTCACATGTTTTAAAGACCAATCAGGACCTTCCTTTAGTTTGATTAAAATGTGATATTTCTATCAATCATCAGTAAGTCTGCTCAGTTTGGTGATACATGATTTTTCCTAAAAGCAGCAACATAAAATGAGCGTTTAACACTTCAAATGTGATCAGACTTGGATTTTTAAGCTCCTCAAACCTGCTTTGATTGGTGCTCACAGTTAGGATTCAGTCAGTTAACTCAGGGATGGGTCAAAGTTTCATTACAGCAGCAGCAGAATGTTTTTTGTACTTGGTGTCTTTGCTTTAAGATCAGGCAATAATAGGATTGTAAGGTATCCTGCAGTATTAATAAAATAGCAGAAGTATGAGTACACTACCGTCAAAAAATACTACCAACAGGAAATGCCTAAATAAAGATTTGAGTTACCTTAGAATCTGTGTGCAGGAATAGTAATCCACACACAGATTTGAAAACATTGCACACAGATTATAAATCCATACTAATGCATATTTTTAGTGCATGTATATGTTTACAGCACACTAACTATATCAATTACTTATCAAAGCTTTACATGGAGATTTTTATTAGTATAAAATGTGGGAGAGATTAAACAGTTTCAAAATTAGGAAAGCTCTTCTAGGCAACAAACCTTATCACACCAGAAAGATTACTCCACATGCCGAATTTAATAAAAAGCATAATATCTTAATCCTCCTACAGATTGGAGCCTGCAGGTGCCTGCTGGACATAATGGTCTAGGTCAGAGGTGGTACTGTCAGAACAGAACCAAACTGGGAAGATTCAAATTAAGAATTTAGTGCATCACGAGTCGCCTGCTTGAACTAACCTGCAGGTGTCGCTCCAGATCATTAACTTTTCTGAAAGTTAATGATCATCAAATTGATGGAAAAAGCAAAACAAACACAAAACAGAAATCTTTTGTGAAATAACTCAACACTTTTTTTTTTTTTTTAACTCTGTCAGTCTCACAAAGAGCTCATCCAGAATGTTCTTGTTCACATTAAAAAGCTGATAAGAGAAATGAGCTTTCAGGGTCTTAAACCGAAAACGAAAGCAGACCAAACTCACAGCACTAACCGTGCAGTTTGAACACAGGTAGATCAAACCCTTCAGATGGTTTGAGGGTGATTTTCTTCACTCCAGTACAATCAGCATTATGTGTGGTTAATATCTTTTTGTTGAGTCTTTGTGCACACTATCTGAGCTCCCTTCCACCATCTCTCTCCCTCGCTCTGTTTTTCTCTCTCCTTCATTTCGTCTCTTATCTCCATGGAGCAGATGTTCATGAACCCTTCAATGGGATTATGCTGGCGTTTCTCAGAAAATCAAAGAGAACAGACTAGGGTTTTTGGGATTAGGTGTCCCCCTTTCACAGCCAGCAGGAATATCCAAGTTCCCCCAGTCCAATCCAGCTCTCTCTTTACTTCCCTCGCTCTCTCTCTCTCTCTCTCTCCCTCTCTTTTAGCAGCCTCATATAAGCTGCATCTCCCACACTCGCTTTAGTGACAAATCCAAATGAACACATCATGACACACCACAGCCTGAGTGTCTGCACAGTCAAATACTCTTGAATGATAATTTCCTAACTCCATATGGATTTAAAGTCTGACAGATCTAAAAAAGCAGAGGAACAAAAATGTAGTCGCTTCATTTACGGGGAGAGTGCACAGGTGAATTTATACCTGCAGAATCTGCTGCCAGCGAAAGAGAACTGCACTCTCTGATCTGGTCAGGTGCTGCAGTCGATGACAAAGCACTTTGCTTCGCTTTCAAAGTTCAATGAGCCGTTTGGCAGCAGATTGCTCGGATAACAGCATCAAAACACGACTAAAGCCAAAGCGATGAATCAAAGCAGAGATGAAGTCCTACAGCTACAAGGCCAGAGAAGTCTGGAGGAAAGGAACCTGTAAATATTAAAATATGGACTCTGCTGCTGACAGGATGAAAAAGTGCGAACATTCACCATCTTCACATTGTGTCGCTCATATTGAAAGTTTCAGAGAGGCTGTCGGACATGTTTTTAAAAACATCAGGCATACCTGAAGGTTCTTCAGAAACATTTGCATTGTGTTGTTTTTCTTTCTCTGATGACGCTGCTGTTTATGTGGGTAACGTGACAAAAGTAATGAACCTCAAGCATTTCACCACACAAACACCTAACCTGGGAATCACTCCCACCTATATTACCTGACAATATATTTATTTATTTTTGGAGAAACGACACAATCGGAAATCAAAGCGCACACTCAAATCACTCTGCTCCCAATCCTACTGATGGAATCGCTGAGTCAGCAGTTTTAAAATCTGTATTATAAAGAAATAAAACAACGCACGAACCCTTGAATGTTTGTTTGTGTGTATGTATGCGCGCGCCTTATCTTACTATAATAGTCTGTCCAGGTTTGACCACGTTCAGTTCAGCCAGGCTCTGCAGAATTTCGCTGACCGCTTTCTCGCACAGCGATGTGCCAACTGAAGGATCTTCTCCTCCTTCTCTTCCTCCATTTTTGCTCTCCTCTTCTTCCTCCCCTTGTTCTGCTCCTGTCAGTTTACGGCCTGCGAGGGAATGCACAAACAATAACCATTAAAGTCTCAGGGATCAGGAGAGTTTATTAATGCGTGTTTGATGTTTGCAAGTAAAATAAAACAGAGATCTTAAATTGGACAGTAAAAAAAAACTTGAACAGCAATATAAGCATTGTTTTCGTCATGACAGAAACCTGTACGGTGTTTAACCTTCTCTAACATCACATAACTGTAGTTCAGTGACTGACGATTATTTGCTCACAGTCCAAATTACACTCATTACAGACAACACAGGCAATCATCTTCTCCTCTTCTCCAATAACAGTAAAGGCATAATCACAGAGATTTCTCCCGTCATTGCCGTCTGTCTGACACGAAACCACAGCAGCATGAGGCTGAAAACACTCAAACCGAGATAAGCATCATGTTGTTCCTGTTATCTGTTTACATTCCAGCGTAACCGGACAACTGTGTTATTGCTGTTTGATCGCTGTGTTGATCTAAGAGTGCTCATGGTTCCAATTTGCCCGTTTAGAGGTGTGTAATCCAACTGATCGCACAAGGACACACTTATTCCAGGAGGGAGGCAGTTACTATGCAACCAAAGTGACCAAAAAAAGCTCATAAAAGCCCCATTTTCTGCAATAAGCGCCCAAACAAAAGTGTTTTGGTTAAGTTTTTCTTTTTTATGAGAAAAAGCGACGAGAGATAACACATTCCAAATGCGTTTTTCATCATTTGTAGGGCTACAAAAGTAACCCAAATGGTGAGATTGTCATTCCTCTTGAATCAAACTGATAAAAAAGATCTTTTGAAAGAGCTCAACATCAGGTTGACCTTTCAAATATTCTGTTTCCCACACATGGATGAAAAAATCACACGAGAATTTAGTGAGATCGAGACCAGATTTGCTCATATTGTGACATCACCAGACAGTGAATCTCCCTCAGAAGGCAAATTTGTCGTACTATAAAAGAAGCCAAACTTTGTTGCATGGCAACAGTGGAGGAGGCTTCCAGGAAGCAATATTTTTTTTCGTAGGATGGTAGGAGAAGGTTCCACCTCCTTCGCCTCTGATTGGCTAGAAGTGCTGGGCCTGATTGGTTATTCATTATGGCAGTGAAACGTCATCGTCTGTCGGGTTAGGGTTAGGAGATTCAGAAGTGCGATAATGTTCTGCAATGTTCTGTTCGATGTACAGAGCCTACAGCCCGCGCTCAGCTTCAGTGTGTGATGACATTTCCAGCTTTTCTAACCAATCAGAGGCAAAGGAGGCGGGACCTTCCCCTACCATCCTATGAAAAAAATATCGCTTCCACGAATGTCGGGGCGCCCTTAAAGGGACAGTAGCATAAATTGAGGCTCTAGACTGCAAAATTTGGCTTCAGTCTGGAAAATTTTAACAATAAATGGATACTACAACATTTCATATTGACATTCATGGTGTCCTGAGGATCAACCCTCATGATTTTACATCAGCAGAAACTTTCATTTACATCAACTCAGCTGATCTAATTTGGAGCAAGTTTGAAAAGGTGAAAACTTGTTTTAACAGGAAAGTTATGCTCATTTAGAGTTCTTCTACAACTATAATAACAGTAATAAAGGATTAAACTAATGGAATTATACGTGTCAATAGTAAGTGTATTTATAACCCATAAGAAATCCAGACAGCCGGACCCCTTGAGAAACCAGGTGGAGAGCCAGGCTATAAACCGCTACAGATTTAACCAGCTGATCAGATTTTAAGCTAATTTCCAAAAGCTCTGACACAAACATTTAAGTCAGCTGAAATTCTTTGATCAGAAAATGTTCAGAGCTTTATTTTGCCATGAGAAAACATTTTAGTTTCAGCTCTAACGCAACACATATGTGCTCCTCCGGTTGCAGCACAGAAACAAGTTGTGAGTAATCCACTTACAACTGAAGAGCACCTCATCCAACCCCACTTCAAAAACAACAAACTATCCTTTTAACTATCCAAATTCAAAGCTGGGTATGTGCAGAAGAAAACAACTCAAAGATCCCAAAGGAGATGAGTGTTTGTATCTTCGGTTTGTGTGATCTGGGCTCGTTTGGCCCACAAAGAGATGTTGGCTCTGAAACAGCTGGGAGGCACAGAAAAGCAGCAGGTGTTTACACGTTCCTAAACAGAAACTAAACCGTACAAACAGACTCTGGCACACCAAACCATGAGCAAACAAAGCCAAAGAATTTAATGTCACAGTCATGGTGGTTTTGTTTTGTGCGAGTCTTCATAGCTGTGGAAATCTGCTTCAGTTATAATAACCTTAATGTGTGCTTTTCTTTTTATAGATTCACACACTCTGCATTCGAAAACCTTTTCCCGGTCTTACCATTACTGCTGGACTCCTCTGTGGACTTGTCACTCTCTCCATCAGCCTGTCCGTCAGCATCCTGCTCAGCATGCTCCAGACTGAGCTTATGGCACACTTCGAATGCCTGACCCACTGTCCGCACAATGCGCATGGCCTGAGTCTGACAGGAGAGGGAGAGAGAGACACGGAGAGCTTCAGATTAAAGTTCAACCTTCAGAGGAGACTTATTTAATAGTTAGCAGAGCATGAAGCTTCTGTCTGCTTTAAGAAGAGATAATCAGTGAAGTCAGCCGCTGAAGATCGACTGAAAACAGGCTCGCTCTCAGTCATCTTTGGCACACAGTTGAACACCCCCGGCGCAGAGACTAATAATATCACTTCTATGGAACATTTCTCATTACAGCTGACTGATAATGCCAGATGTCTGAGCCAAGACAGCAGCCACTTGCAACAACTGCTGCAACACAGCTCAGACTGGCTGCAATGAGCTGTGTAATTTTGTCCTTGTGTGCAGCTATTCTGCGTTCAGTACAGGCTAAAGATCTGCAGAGCTAAGCTGATGGATATCAAAGACACTGTAAATTGAATTCCAGACCAAAGTTAATTTACTAAACTTAGAAAATTCAGGACATTAGCCCATGAGAAAGTGCCACAGCTGAAAACAGAGAGAACAAACAACTCTCAGGAAGAGGAAATGGAGTAAATCAGGTTTATACTTGACTGCTGTATTCAGATGAGGATTTAAATCACAGATCGATGTCAGCAGCAAAGTCTAAAGAGATCTATTTCAAGTGATCAAGTGCAAACATACTGGTGCAGCTGTAGCAGGTAAAATCTCATATCCCCTCTGATTTATTTCTTACTGCATGCATGATAAGTGACAGTTTCATTTCCACTCATTCGAACAAGAAATCTCATGAGGAGTGTAACATAAGAGTAGCAGGGGAGTTAAGCATCAAGTCATTTTCCCAGGAAAGTGTGATCCAATATTTAACAGCTCTGTATCAGTAGTTAAATGTTGAGGGAGCTGTTTAACATCTTGGGAAATTGAGCAAAATGTCAGTCCATTAAATATAAAGTTACAGCAGTGAGACTCTTAGCTTGGCTTGGCTCGAAAAAGAGAAGCAGGATGAGCGAGATATCCTTTTCAGGACAAATGGTATTATGTGTTAATTAGAGAGTCAATATGGTCTTCATACGATGATTGGTTTACTTTCAGGTAGAGCCAGGCTAGCTTAAGGTTTAAGTGGGAAAAATCAAACACCAGCCACTGAAATAGACAAGGTTTTCCATTATTTTGTGTTAAACTGGGAAGAAACAATTTTGGTTTTTGTCTCTGTAATGATGAAGCTTCACATTGAGCAGCTTATATCTACAGCTCGGTGTTCATGTTTATGGTGAGGGGATGTATAAATGTGTATTTTTCACACCTTCTTCTTAGACTTGAAGACGTTACATCTGAAGGAATTACTGGACCCGTCCCTCGCGATGTAGCTGAAGATCTTCAAGTCCTGAGAGTCATGAGACACGTAGAAAATCCTGCAACACAAACATGAAACAGTTAAACATGCTCAACATCATTACTTCCTTAGTGACAAAATAAACAGAAAAAGATGGAGGAATACATTTTCTAACGCATATAAAGAAATTGAAAGAGAAATTACGACTTTTTATCACACTGGGAGGCAGTTAATGGCAACTCATAATGTGCTCTGTTTCATTTTTTCTTTTTTTTTCTATTATGCTTGAGTACAGTGCCCCCTACTGTCCTATTTGATGTGCTCTCTCAGTCTATGTTCACACTGCAGGTCAATTCAGATTTTTTAACCATATGTGACACATATCTGATTTTTTCATGGAAGTGTGAACAGTGCAATTCTGATTTTTTCAAATCTGACCCAGGCCTCTTTCGTGTGTGGATATAAATCGGATATGTATCCGATGCGACTGCAGTCTGGACGCTCAGGTCGCGTTCATCTGACCCATACGTCATCAATATGCAACAAAGGTCACCATTGTTTGACAACACAAATAGGTGCGGAAAGCAATGGTGGACAAGGGAACGGAGAACAGCCAGGTCACTTCACGGACACATTCCGTTCACATTAGATGCCGCATTCGTTGTTATAATGTGAACGACCACACAAAAAAATCGGATTTAACAAAAAATCTGAATTGTGCATCATAACCTGCAGTGTGAACGTAGCCTCAGTGTTGTTGGACACTAGAGTGAGGATGTTTCTGTCCTGTTTTGGTATGAAGGACAGACTATGGACAAATGGAACAAAAATGACTGAAAAATCTCTAAACCCTGGGCCTACCTCTTGAAATTTCCACAGTGTTACAATGATTCTTCTCTCCCTTTGTAAAAACATATATGTGTATGTATAATTTTCCATCTGTGCCTTTTCTTTCTTGTTCTTTCCCTTTCTTTCAGTCTTTCGAAGTATTTTGAAAAAAATGAATGTCCTCATAAAAACATTAAGTAAAAAAAAAGAAAAGAAAGAGACATTTTATATAGGATGATAAATAAATGCTACTGCTTTACTATTCAAGCTGTAAAAGTCTGTCCTTTCCACCAACCCTGAAACACATATCTACAGAAGAAATACCTCCTGCATCTACATTTGCAGTCACTGCCTTAATCTATCTCCACAAATCATGAATATTTACAGCTCAAAATCACATGATTTGGAGAGCACTGTATATCTCCACTGCTCAATCACATCCAGTCATCCACTCAGCCAAATTAGTAAACATGACTGTATTTAACACACGGTTCTCAAATTGGATGTGGCTTTGCTAAGTGAAATCCCCCAACAGTCATATGTATAATTCACACACACACACTTACAGGTTGGCTGTTAAATGTTGCAGCAATCTCAAGTGGCAACCCACATCTCCGATAATGAGGTATAACTCTTAGCTATAAAGCTCAGAGATCACCCAAATGTTCAGTTATTTCACACCCTCCTTCACTAAAAGTACTTAGAATTTACTATGCCATTATAAACTTTTCTGTCCTGCTCCTCTCTCCCGGCAGGTTGTATCACTCTGACACTTTGGGGTTAATTGCTACGAGCTGTCAAGCGCTGACTGACAGGCTCACAGGTCTGCTGAGGATTGGCAGTGTGCAAACAGTCAAACTGTAGGGATGCTGAGGCTGTAATAAATGCATTTTCCTCAGGCAAATAAGCAGATTTACTTTATCTAAAGAAACAGGAACTTCATTATTCAGGCGCTTCTTGATAGAGAGTAACTCAAATAATCAGAGACTTGCTGCATCACCTGGAAAAACTTACATACGCAAAAGTACACTGACATATGCTACATGTACAAGCTATGAAAAGGTGAATAATTCATGATCCTGCCTCATGATTGTGAATGAATTCAGCTCCTACAGTATACTACATCTGAGCGCATAATTCTTGCATGATATATTACACAGGATAGCCTACAAAGCAAGCATCAGTTAAAAGGTCTAATTTCCTCTGAGACACATGCAGTATGTATTATCTGCAGCACACCCACAGTGATCACTCCAGTTAAAGCTAACAAGAACCTGCAGATTGGGAAAATATCAGGTAGGTTAAACCTCGGAGCAACATTAAAACTGACCTGTAGATGGGATCTTGCATGATCATCATCTTGCTCTCGTCCCATGTCCACTCTTTTCTCTGTGGGTAAAAACAGTAATTGAAATCCCACACTCAATGAAGTTACGCATCTTGCAGCCTATATGTAAAAACTGAGCTTCAACAGACACTAGTTTCTCATTTCTCAGGAAAATGTTGAATTGGTTAGCAGGGACTTACCTTCTGTTTCTTCCTCAGCATGATCTTGACTCCGTCCACTGACACCACGATGCTGACCTTCTTCTTCTTGATGTTTTTGGCCTTGAATTCATACTAAAAAGAGAAAACAGGAAATTCCATAAAGTCCTGTATTTTCTGTATTAAGTCACTAAAACTATTTATGTTTACAAAGGTAAGTTCAAGTGAGGCAGATAGTGTTTTATTTCACTCCTTTCTTTTCACGACGTAGTTAGTCGGGGCATTTAAAGTGAGGTAATTTAAAGGTGGAGTAGGCAGGAATCTGTTAGAAAAGCATCTTTTTTTGTTGTGTATATACAAAAAAGCTTTTAATATCAGTCAATAGCTATAAGTCATTGATGACATTTGGTAATATAACAATATCGCTGTGTTTTGTTACGTCTGTGTAGTCAATGTTTTAAAATTTTTGAGTGGCCTGCTCTTTCTGACTGTAAACAAAGCCATTCCCTGCCTCCCCCACTCTGATTGGTTCTGAGGCGGACACTGCTCCTTCATGTTGTGAGGAAGATGCTGCTCCCCCGTGTCGTTCAGGAGCCCAAACAAAGTTAGCATGCTACAATATCGGACAGTAGAAACCAACCAGAAAGTACAGAAAACTGTCTGAATCCTCCTTTAGCCATGACTGCCAACACAAGCAAGAAAACAAAGTAAATACCGGAGAAAAGGGAGGCAGACCAGACAAGAGCTAAGAAGCCGGGTCAACAATGAAGGGTAATGCTTTGGGATCTTACGGACCCTGTAACCTTTCTGCTGGACAGGTAAACCGCTTTAACAAAGTAAGCCAAGTGTCTGTAACAGAAGTGTTTCTTGTCTAACGGGACCTGTTGACCTCGGGTCCTGGACTATGTCACTTTATCCTAGTTGTAGAAGTCCTGCAAACATTGTATTTGCTGGTAGTCTGTTGGCATCTACAGTAGAACCAATGCTTTTTACTTTGATGTTGACTGGGCCCCATTTTTAATTATCTGAAGCATTTATCTGCATTGTATCTGAATTTAATTGGAACGATATGAGCGAGCAGGAGCGTCTGTTTGTGTGCGGGGCTTGCTGGAGCAGAGAGGGAGGGGAGAGGAGGAGCTGAGGGGAAAACTTGTTGGGAGGGGTAGAGTTTACATTCAAGATTTCTCTCAAAAACTGGCACTTCCTCAGAGCCTGCCTACCCCACCTTAAACAGTCACACTTGGATAGATTTATATTTAAACTTGGTTGTAACTCTGATCTGATGTTTAAATACTTATTTACACCACAAAATGGCAACATCCCAATCTCCCTGCCTTGAATCTTTCAGGACTTCACAAGACAACAGCCCAAATTATTCATTTCAACAACATTCCCACCTTGGAGTTGCACTTTCGGTGACTAGCCTGATCTGCCCCTGATCACATAACAAAATACTCAGCTTTTTTGCAGTTCTACTTGTTGCAAAAATTCATGATAAATCCTCCATGATCTCACCAAAAGCTTGTAACCCTTTGATCCCCCTGGTGAACACGTCTCATTTCATATCAAACTAATTCAGCTTCAACAGACTGCAATTGAGAAGCCCATATGACTTATTCAGAGGGATTGTTTTGTCCTAAAACTGTTGGTTTTTTGCCCAAAGTTACTCTGTTCAGCATGCTGAATGTCAAAAGAAGGAGAGGGATTTTTCCCCCTGAAAGAGCTGAAGCATATTTTTTATAATTGTTGCATCAAAAAAAAAGAAAGGATGATCATGAATTATGAAAACTGTACTCTTAACTCCTTTGACTTAATCATGCAAACATCTGCTCTGATACACAGCTACACTGCACATACACACTGTTATTTTTCTTTATAGTGAGTCTTTGTCCTGCTTCACATTTGACTTTTTTACAGAATCAAACCCTGAATGAGAGTGGGGACAGACTGGGAGTATTAAAACATAATCTGCAGTGCACTTTAATATATCAGAATCTTTAATATCTTGGCAGTCGGCAGTGGGAGCACTTATAAAGTCCTTTGAATATCTGTAGCCAAGCCAACTAAATGGAATCCAAGAGCTCTGTGATGGCAGTGAAATGACAAAGTTGGGCCACAGTGATTCATAAGCAAAGTTTTCCTAACATCAGACAAACACAAAGTCCAAATTAACTGGTTTTGGAGCACTAACAATACTAAAATTAGGCTGTTTTTGGCACAATGATCCTGCTAAAAATCTAGGAGGTATTATCACACATATATCAGGATTATAGTACTTAAAAATAAGTAAATTTCTGCTTTAAATGAACACAGCACGGCTAAATAAAACAACATTGAATGGAAAGGCCCAGAGTTTGGTTTTGTATCCATGTTGTTCACTGACTTGAACACAGCAGCTGTGTCTGCACTGAGGTACTCCAATGTTTCCACCTCGTCAGCTGTATAGCCTCTCTGCTGGAGAGCTCAGCAGGTCCGACCTGTCAACTCACATCAGCTTTTAACCAGGTTTAACCCTTATTCACCGACATCTGACCCCAGCTACAACAAGACGATCCAGCCAGAGACCTTTAAAATTTCACCAACTGTATGTCTTTGACTCCAGCAATTTTTAAAGTGTGTTGACTATCCCTGTGAATATATTTAGGTAGTTTAAAATACTCAAAGTTTTTAGTTCTGTATCTGGTCAGTATGAAACTGAATGTGACAAAGATTGATGCTGCTCATGAATCGGTTAAGCTGTAGGGACAGTTAGCTTAACCTAGCATAAAAACATTAAAATATAATCAATTTAAATGAATTAAAAATAAGGTCTGAACAGTGATAGTGCTCCATTGCATTTAATCTGTTTAGTATAAAGCAGGAGGTGACAGTTAGCTTAGCTTAGCTTAGCATTAAGGGCAGAAATTAGCATCAGTTAGCTCGACTGTTCTCTCCTGTAGGGAAGAGTGGGGTAAGATGAGCCATTTTTCATATTTCGAATCACTACATCAAGGCAATCATAGTTTTGTCTCTAACTCGTGTATCTGCATTTATTTCAAGATGTGCCTCCCTGCAAACCAACAGAATGAGTGTAAACAGAGCTGTCTTGATAATATAGCATGCCAAAGAAAGTGGTCTCCTATGGTCAACTTAACCGTGTATGAGGCAAGTTGACCACAGGTGGGGGTAAGTTGGGCCGTATCCCTTCTATTAACTACTATTATGACTTTATCAGCCCTCTAAGTTACAATGGTGGACTTCTATGCTAGGTTTTTGACCTCATGTTGTAGCTCATAGATACCACAAATGATGTATAAAACAAATTCAAATGATCTTTCTTGGTCTGAACACAATTCTAATAAAACTTATGACAGACTAAATTCACTTTTAAGAGTGAAAAATGTTTTTTGGAAATAAATGTCTAACCCACAGGTGTCAAACTCAAGGCCCGGGGGCCATATCTGGCCTGTGGAACAATTATATCTGGCCCACAAGATCATATCATATTTGTATTATTATTGCCCTACCAGTATGAAGTCTGGAGATTTACTCTACTATAATAATGTAAACTTTAGCACCATTATTTTAAATGTCCTTAATAAGCCACAAAAATCTGGGAAATTAAAGCGTAAGGAGGATTTGATAAATAGTCAAGAGTGTGGGGAAAAAAATATTTGGTGTGTTATTTCATGTTTTCAATTTTGCATTTCAAGATTACAAGTCAAACATGTTTGGATTTTTTGTTTCATGCTTGATTTTGTTCAACTCAGTACTTAGACTTGTGTCATTTTTATACTTAAGATTCCAATTTTAAATGTTAAGTCATATTTTGAGCTTTTAAACCTGATTTCAATGTTCTCTTCATGTATTTGCTCTTTAAAAGCATTATTTTTCTATTTTTAATATCACGCTCTGATCTTTTGAACTAACAGATAAAAATAGAATATAGATAAAAAATGTTTCTATCTCAGATTGCCTTTAAACTTATCTTTTTTGAATTTCCAAATGATTTATAATCACCGCTGTTTTTGTTACATATTTTTTGAAAAGTAGGGTTGACAGTTTTGGTGAAATATTGACCCTGTTTGGCCCTCAGGTTAGACCTAAATCCAGATTATGGCCCTTGCTGTGGTTGAGTTTGGTCTAACCCCTTCACCCATGTGCTCATGTGCTTCTAACCTTTACAGACTCCATGAATTGATGCCCATCTCTTAAATATTTGGTCACATGATTAATTTCTTTTACCATTTCGAAGCAACAAGGGGTGGCTGAACTTACCCCACTCTCCCCTACTGACCTTTCAAACTCAAGTAAAGAGTTATTAAGGTTTCACAGTTTTTAATCACTCTCTCTGTTCACGACCGCACCAAGAGTCAAAAGTTGAAATCTGTAAAACTTTCTTTCCTGAAGATCTGCTTCTGCTGATTCAGCATTTCTGACAGGCGCTGGCAAAGCCTCTCGAGAAACAATAAAACACATTTCTGCAGCTCAAAACATTCTGCCAAATGTTAACAAACAGTAAAAGCAAACCGTCTTTAGCGAATTGAACACGTAACAAGGAGAAGGGGGAGAATATGTGGTCAAAAAGACGGGGTTAAGTGAGCGCTTGTGTAGAGTGGGAAGTGGACGACTATAAAGCCAAAAAAGATGAGGGGAGAGAGATGAGCCGATAAGAGGAGACAGGAGGAGAGGAGCTGAGGAGACAGCTGTTGTTATGTAAGGACCTCCTGCAAACCGTGACCTTTTATTCCAGCAACACAATGCTGCAGTGGATCAATTAGCCCAGTATTATGAACAGGTCACACACAGCAGACGGGGTTTGGAAATAATCTGGCTCATGTAAACTTCAGATGTGTCGTCTCTGTCTGCGAATGCCTGCATAGACTGACAGTAATGTCATGATGTAACTGATGCAACACTTTGACACATTTGTTTCCATGTCTCACATACCTTCTTTCATGCTAATTTTCTGCTTGTGTCTGTTTGAAATGGCCTGCTCAGCCTGCCCCGGATCCATGGTGATTAAAGATTCAGCCTCTAATTATACAGAGCCCAGTCCTGGGAGAGCTGATTAAATGGAGAATAGGTTTAGAGAGGGAGAGCAGGAAACACACCACAGAGACAGACGGGGAGGAATGGGGAAACGCTCGGTCTGCAAAGTGAAGGAGAATAAGATGAAAGGAAAGTGCCCGAGTGAGAAACCAGAACCCAGCTACTGAACTCTCATTTGTCTCCATCAGTGAACCCTGAACAAAATGAACCGATATCAAGAAAACAGAATCAGCTAAGGGGCAAATAATGACAAAAAAGGCCGTTCATTGAATACTAATTAAGGAAGAAAGGAATCATGAATTCATGTTGGGGACTAACTCACCCAACATGCAGCTCTGAGGCACAAAAAGGCATGACAAGAAAACATGACTGAACGCATGTTTTTCATGCATTAAGCAGGATTTAATCTGTTTATTAGCCGCTAAAGAAAACAGATCTTTCCTCTGCTGCCATGAGATCCATTCCCTGGATGAATTTTATATAACACACCAGCTGGGATTAAAGTGGGGCTTAAAGTTATACATAGTTAAGGACATATAGGCTCTTTAAGGGACTGGTGGATGCTGTCAGCTTACTATTGGGTGTTGGCTACTTCCAGTCTCTCAACTTGACCACCTGGCTGTATTTGATGCTGGTGGTGGGAGATCTGTTAAACCTCGTACGGCAGCTGCTCTATCTAAATGTACTTTCATTCAAACAAGACTGAACAACTACACATACACTGGTGTAAAAGATGTTTCTTTCCACTGCTGTTGCTATGTACATGCTGTGATAATCTGACCAATTGTAGGTCTGTACAAGTGCGACCTTTGCCAACAAGCTCATGAAAAAATGAGACTCGAGACCCATTCTCCAAGGTCTGATGACACCACCTTGGGCTAAAGTCACAGTCTAATGGTTCCACCACCAGACAAACAAGTACCTGGGATGAGAAAGAGAAACTGTTTTTGTAAGAAATAAACTTTACAACTTTTAATAAACTGATGTTCAGAAGTTCAAACATCATGACCCTGAGACTCTGCTTGGTTAGTTTGTTCAGTGTTTGTTTTAGAGAGAGATGGGTTTGTTGTTGGCTAGTAAATCATAGTAACCAGTTTACAGCCAACTAAATTAGCCTTTGGTCTATATAACTCATTTATTCCCTCAGCGATCAGGCTGCTAAATGCTGGGAAGTAGCTGGTTAGTGGCCTGTGTTGAAATTGGTGTCTCAGGATTGTTTTAGTTCTTATTTTACCTCTTTTATGGCGTTATTTCTTATTGCATTTTAGTCATTTCACTGTTGAACACATTCCACATGAATCAAATATCTATTTGTTTATTTATTGCTGATTTGTGGTGCGATTTGTGATCTGAATCTTATATAGTTGTATAGCTCAGATAACTTATCATTTACCAAACATTTTACTCCAGCTTCAACTTTTTCCTGATGTCACTCCTGGCTGCAGAAAACCCAAATGGCAGCTGCTATAATGCCAACCCAAGGTATTCAAAACCGCACAAACTATCCACACTGTTTGTACCATTTATACTGACAATATGTGTCATTTGGTGCACAGCACACTCCAAATTCATGACATATAATTCTGAGTATGTGGGAAATACCTGGAGGCGTACTTGATTGGTCACGCTTAGCTATGAAAGCTGGGACAGGAAATATTTAATTGATGAAGGTATAAGATGCTGAGAGGCTGTGCATTAGTATGATATTAATAGCATACTGTCAAGTAAGCATGAGGTATGCAGAACCTATATTTATTGAGTACATAGTCAGTGTTATGGCCATGCACAAACCCTGAGCAAACAGTCAGAAAACACTGCAAATGCATGTAGTGCAAAATAAGACAGAACATTTTAGCTGGCAAGATAGCAATGTAAGCTAACAAAAGAATCAAACAACTGAGTCCCTTTTGTAAGTTTTGGACAGTAGGACTCTTAGAGACAAAAACACAATCAGGAAAGGGCCCCAAAAAAAAAAACTCTGGACATTACGGCCAAACACACACCTGCCACTTCAGGCACCTTCCTAACTTCTCAAACACGATACTGCTGAAAAACTAAAGACACAGCTCTTCTATAATTCATATTTTATGCCAGCGTTCTGATGAAGCAAAATGGGACTTTGCAACTTGATTCAAAGTATGAAAATTTTATATTTTCTTTGCTTAAGTGCCAAGTGTTTTGAAATATTGAAGCTTTTAATGCACTTGGTTTGTTATGGTTTTCCTCCAACCAACAGCGGAAAAAAACAATTAAAAGCTCCTTGCTTAGATTCCCCGAAGCCTCATCATGTCAGCTTTGAAATCTTTCAGACAAGGCACAGAAGAGAGCTTAGTTTAGCTTACTCTGCTGTTGAATATTCTGTAACGTCACAAATTTTTCCAAAACCTTGGAGAGTTAAAAACAAGTTGTAAAAAAGCTGAAAACTGATACTTGTCCTAACACGCACTTCTTAAAGATTTGTTTCAACACCATCAAATCATGCATACTTCAAGAGTGCTGAAAAAAAATCAGAGAGAGAGTTTATTCCAAATCTTTCTCAGTCTGGATGTGCGCTATAAAGCCATCGGACTCATCAGTCTTCACAGACAGCATGACAAATTTCAGCCGGCGTTTCTCTGCCATCTATTATGAAAGTGTCAAACAGAATAGTGATGGCTGTTGCTATGTGCACAAAATGAGAAAGGAGGGAGCAGACCCTCTGCAGACTTCAGGAACCCAGTTTAATATGTTCTGCAGCGCTACACAAACAAAACACATTAAAGTTCAAAACCAGAGGTGATACAAGGCAAGGCCATTCGCTCTTTATTAATAATGTCTGTGCAAACAACACAGGAGAATTTAGAGTGACAGTTCCAGAGCAGTCACAGTATAACAAGCTGTGACCACAGCTCAACTATTATCACTATCTCATATTCATCAAGAAACGAGCCACAGCTGAAAGCAGTTCCCTTCAGTTTCTCTATGTATGAACTCTTTGAGTCCTCTGTATCTAATCAAGACCAAATTACCTCAACAACTATTGGATGGATTACAGTCATGTTTATCATTCATTATTCTGACTCTATTGCTACCTGGACTTATCTTCTTTTACAGCCAAAAGGCAGACATTGTTGGTTTCAACTGTAAATCTCTCAAAATGGTTTGAAATTCATGTTTCCCCAAAGGTTGAACAACAGTATATATGCTGTTTATTTTGTTTTTTATTTCATCCAAACATTAATTTAGATTTTCATCTGCTCAAAACTTGTTCGTAGTGTGTTTTAAAAATGGATGTCAAATTATTCATATAAAAATGTGATTAATTTCTTAGTTTTAAATAGTTAAACTTGTTTGACACGTTTCCAGTTGTATGTCGTATGTTATTTGTCAGAGAGCTGAAGACAGAAGATGAAGAGGGTACCAGGGGGCTTTCTTTGGTAGGCTGCCTAACACACAGAAAACAGAACTCCCGAAGTTGCTGATCCTGATGGCGATGTGGTGAATGGGGATGCAACAGCAACAAAGATGGCTCACAGTTTTCAGCAAGTGAGCCTGACAGATATTGATTGTTTTCACTATGAAAATGGCACAATGCACTCCAAAGGTTGCAGTTAACAGAGCATTTGCCATGAAATCCGGATGCAAGAATCTGCAACATGAAGAGAAACAAACACAAGTGAGCTGGACAAAGATGTGGCAAAGAAGGGTCCAGAACCAGCTTTAGGAGTTGAAGCTTTCTTCATCAGGGTAAACATGAAATTCAGCACCACTTACAACACCCTAAATATTTGCTAGTGACCTGAATCTTTTGAACAATTTTCTGAATGTCTAGATTAGTAAAATCCTAAAAATGTCAAGTTGTGGTTTCTAGCACGGGATTTTTGAAGCTTTTATTTTTTATTTTGCCAGACAATCTTCCTCCTCCTGTTGCTCGTCTTCATGCTAAGCCAAACTGAGACTAATATTGATTTTCTCCGAAGAATCCAGAGATACAGATCAAGATCTAACCCTCCTCACATAACAACAGGAATAAGGAGGCTGGGGTCCAGGGGCAAAGTGTGAACCACATCCAAGAGGACATGATTTCATCTACTATCTACCGCCCTTCAGATGTTGATGCCCAGTCATAGCTCCCAGTCATCACTGTGGAAAAGTTCTCAAAAAAGGTACCAGCCAACGACAAGCTTTAATGAAAGGCCTCCGAGTCCTCCAGCTGATGTTTTGATACACACTTCAAAGTCTGGCATCAGAGATATTCAAAGCAAAAGTTGGCGTGGGGCCCTTTTTCCCTCCTGGATTTCATGAATATTCCTGAAGTGAATAAATATGCAGGATCTAGTTTTGCAAACCAAATCATGGAACAGGAAAATATGGGCAACCCCGCCCCTCAGTTGATCCTGAAAAGCAGAGGAATGTGGGGCGCATTGTTGGTCGGTGGTGCTCCCTGCAGTACAAATGAATCCATACAGGAGTACACAATAGCTGCTATAGATCGTAACCCGGCAACGCCTTCATTACAATTCCCAGGATTTGGGGACTTCCAAGGAATTTCACAGCTTTTTCACAATTTAGCAAACAAAGAGAAGACTGTCTTGGGAGCTGAGAAATACAACAGCTGCACGACCGCCTGGCATTTAAGGAGGAAAACGATTCCTGGAAATCCAAGTAGCAGGAAACAGTTTGAAGTAAAATTAGCACATTTATTTTATTTTCAAACTCCCAACTGTGAAGACTAGAAAGAAATCACGTGTTTTGGCACTGAGGCGGCTGCTCTCCACAAAGTCCTGTTAGTTTAACACAGAACTGGAGCTTTAATCACCGCTGCTCAACTAGTCCCTCTCCCAGGGAGAGGTATTTTCAGACAGGCCTATTAGCCCTGCAGCAGAACGGGGAGGACAGAGTGACTCCCATGACGCTAAGGAAGGGGGCCTGAACCTCCGGAGTGAACTGGCACGTCTCATTATTAGTCAGCAGGAGTGTGATAAGGGGAGCAATTACCTCGAGAGCCGCCACGGACAATGACCTTGGCCTAGATTGGAGGGGGAAGGATAGTTTGCGTGTGTGCAGGCGGGCAGGGCTATGTGTTAAAACAGACAGCAAGAAAGAGCAAGATACAAGTAAAAGACAGGCAGACATAATCAGAAAAATGTGTTTCTCCTGGCATTTCGATGCTTGCTGGTGCCTGTCTGTGCCTGCGTGAGAGGTTTCAGCCTGAGTGAGGATATCCCGGATTGGACACTGGTGTTTTGGCGTCCTCCAGTGAGCAGCAGCAGTCTGCTCCTGTGGGAGAGATGGCACCAAACTGGTAGCGGCTAGCCTACAGAGCTGCTAAATGGTTGGTTATTGCCTAAAAGTGAGGTAATATACACAATTTCAAAGTACAGCTGCAGTTTTAATTCATGTTTATTGATTACTAACTTTGTTTTTGGTGTTAGTACTTCATCAATTTTAAGTTTTATTGACCACTTTAATAGCTTCTAAGCTAAATCATACATCTTGCAACCTTGGAAACTCGGACTGGGCTCTTCTTGTCATTACAAAATCAAGGCTGAAATCTAAAGACACTCGTGCTTTTACTCATCAGTGCCCTTTGACTTTGGAACGACCTTCCTGAGATGCTAAAAAGAAGAATTAGACAGAAATAATTCACTTCATGTAAAGTCAAATGGGATCTAGAGCTAAATATCTAGATCCCATTTGACTTTACAAGAAGGCCAATGATGTGCCAATCATTCACATATTTTATTGCTCATATAGAAAAACAAACTTTTTGGGACAAGGTTATCCGGATTTTTGAGGATGTTAGGTTACAAGATCTCAGGGATGCTTGGATTATGTACTCAGGCCTGTTTACCAGCAACATAATTCAAAAGAAAGACTTAGAAATCTGAATACTTGCATGTAAAAAAAGAAAATGTTTAAATGTGATCTCTTAAAGCCAGCACAGTGAGTAGAGGAAGTCCATGGAAAGACTGACTCATTACCTCAAGACTAAAGCACATCCTCATGAGCAATACTGGAGGAAATAGACTGAATGGCAAAATTAGGATGGGTCACGACCCCAGAGATGGGCTGAAAATAGTGGATAAGAGGATGTTGGGACACAAAGCTTCCTGCAATATTCATTTCTTGGACGTAAATGGAGTGTTTTGTGTGATTTATAAAGAAATGTAAGAAACTTGTGCCTGATACTTCCGAACTTGGAGTGGCCTCAACACCCTGACCATGGCGATTAGATGAGTCAACATATAAACAAGGTTATCAGCAAGCTGTTTTGTCAGTATGACATCCAGCGCCCATCATACCCCCAGGTCAGGTAGTCTGCTCCACCTTCCCTCACTCCCCCTTTTAGGCTGTATAGTGCCTGTGACGGTCAGTGTTTTAGACAAGAGGAAACAAATTGAGAACTTAAGGATAAGGTCCGACCGATTTGTCGGTGAGCCGATTAACTCGGCCAATTTTAGCTCGTTTGAGACTAATCAGTAATCGGCCAAAACTTGCGGTGTTTCTCCAATATTTTCAGAAATAAAATGCAAAGAATAAGATTCAGTTTCACCTCGAAAATGTTCCGCCATTTGAAAAGTTCCCCGACTAATCCTGTAGATGGCGCAGCGACCTCATGACAGTCTTCATCCACTAACTACCTCACAGCACAGCAGAGTGAAGGATCTGCAGCAGGCAGCTCAGGGACGCACGGAGGAGAGTTGTCCGTCTCAACGGTAAATAAACCAGTTTGTGAAATACACAATAAGTCAACAAGTTTCAGTTCAACCCAGTTCACGATGTTCCCCGCTGTGCTGGTCTCAGTCACGCCAAGTTAACGGTGACGCACCATGTAATATGCAAGCTAAAGTTAGAGTTAGCCATCTGCTATTAGCCTTGCGACACTGTTAGCCGTGCCAGTAACGACACAATAAACAACAGTACACATTATGTGATCGAGCTACTTCTCTTACTGAGGCAGCTACATGTCTCCAGATGAGACCGGACCGGAAATGAGTAACATGAGTTAAGACCAGGAGGCACCTATTGGCGGGGGTAGTTGAAAACGCTTCTCTGGTCCGAGTTTGATCAGTCGGCCTTCCTGTCGGCGTGAAGAGCAGTAGTTTATAGTATATTTACAGTATATAGTATACTGTAGATATCTACAGTATATATGTATATATATATATATATATATATATATTTTTTTTTATAACTTCATGAAAAATTTTAAAAATCTGCCAATTAATCGGTAATCAGATTTTTTGCCCCCTTATAATCGGTATTGGCATCGGCCCCAAAAATCCACATCGGTCAGGCCCAACTTAAGGAACAATTGATTTAACTACTGTACCAATCATAAAGAGATGCATTCACCTGGTATTGCATTTAAATAATAGAGGCATTTCTGATACTCCTGTCGGACAGATTAGCATCTACTGCTGGCAGCGACTGTGCACCAGCTCCATCTGGGAGCTACAGCTGTGACTTTATAGATAAATGACTTTCATTACTTACACCGCAACAGTGTATATAGTGGCTGACAGAAAGAATTGATCAGTCCTATGGCTCTGTTAATGTGCCTGTGCAGAGGGAAAGAAAGAATCAAAGCCCCTAAACTCTAGGCAGCCTTTACAACAGAGTGTGTAGTAAACCAGATTGATCACCATTATACCCCAAGGTCAGAAAGAAAAGACCGCACAGCTGAAGACATTAAACGCGATGCAGGATGAGTCAACCCGTACCTTTGGAGAGGAGTCAACTCCACTCGAGGCGGGCTTGTCAGAGGAAACAGCTAAGCCCCAGCGCGGGCCTGGGCAGACACTCCTTGAGTGTTGGCGCCCTTGCAGTGAGAATGGACTCACGCCTGAGTGAGTCGCTGACAGGCACGGTGAGAGGACAGCCAGTCCCAGTGCACTGACGGCAGCTACTCAGGGTTAGTCACATGGGACGAGGGAAAATACAAAGGAACAATCTGAGCATGCCAAACACTCTTTCTCAATGAGATACAGAGAAAGGCTGCACAAGGATACGCACTTACTATATCAACATGTACACCTTTGAAGAAGCCTTCAGTTAGACTTGGTGTCCCTGATTGTTCTGATAACTGTTTTTTACATAACTTGTGTAAACTCCAAAGTAATGTAACAGTTAAAGTCTTACATGTGTGCTGTCAGAATTTTAATAAAGGATAAAAATGTAAGCATGTCCTATAGCGTGGAGAAATGGAGGAAGAGCAGAGCTGCACCTGCAGTCTGAAGAGTCTGACACATCTTAATCTCCCCCAAGTCAGCGCAATAAGAGACTGTGGCAGTCTCACTCCTTAAAATGCAAATCAGAGAGACAAGAAACTCCACTGCAATTAGAGAAAATTAGTCACCATGTATCAGATCATTGTTGGTGTAGATATAAGGAGGAAAAGAATCTCTCTTCAACTCTTTTCATACATGCTCCTCACTTCTAAAAATGTCAAAAAGCATAGCTGCATGTGGGAACACAATTGTTCAAATCAGTTAACTTACCTACCTAAACTAACCCGCCTTTTTTTTTAACTGATTTCCTCATTGTCTTTCACGACTGCAATCACAGTTTGCAAGTCCACTCATATGGGTGACTTTGGACTTGTTTTTCTGTATGTTGCTTACAAATTTTCACATGAATTCTTTGGCCTTGTTGCTATTTTAGGCTTTTTCTGCTTCCTATATGAACCCCTCCGTCTGCTGTCCCAGCTCTCTCACTTTCTTGTTGTTATATCTCCTCCTCCGATTACTGGCACCCCTTCCTTTCACATTAAAAACTGTACTGATCCAAGTGATGGTTTAATTTTTTAATTAAAGCACTCCTGAAAAGGTGGGATCCTCACATGTTCAGGGTTTAGCGATAAGTGAATATTTGTTATGACAGTGGACAGCAGGTGTACCCCTTCTGACTGAGGCAGCTGTCGCTCATCGCTTTCATACCAAAGGCAATGAAAAATCAGTGCACCTCTCCTTGAGCCAGATCGACTGTTTCCAGTGCTTGGAAATACATCATATTTAGACAGTCTCCTGCTGTGTGATGAATGCAAATGTCTAGCCAATTTCAAAGCTCCAGTGTCCAAAAACAGGCATTCATATGTAGAAATATCTTTGGATATATCTCCTCTGGAGCTGCAGCAACACGAGAAGATTGGTGGGTTATATGTTCCATATTTCACATGAATACTAACATGCTTGATGATGAAGTTTGAAGCTTCTGCCCTGCAGGAATCAAACTCCAAAAATGTTCCCATCCCACTCAAACTTGTGTTGCCCTTTCTGTGGCTTCACTTGTAAGTTTGACTTTCACCGTTCAGAATGAAAGCAGAAGTTAACACTGATAAGTTCATTTCACAATCTTCTTCTGCATCAAAGAGAGAATCTCTGGACTCAGTTCATGTGAGTTTCAGACGTGTGTGGACCAGCAGAGTGTGAAGGAATTAAAACAAGTAAGGACACCAGCCGTATTATCAGTGGGATGCAGCAGCAGCTGACGCCTCTACGCTGAGGATGAACTTTACTGTAAGATAAAAATAAACTTGTGTAGTGGTTAAACTTTTGAAACAAAGATGATATTTTTAAGGTGGTAAAAGAAGTCAAGTTAGTTTCTTTAATTCTTGGCTGTTAATTAGACTCTCAGTTAGAACACAGACACAAATCATTTTTCATGCTTTAATATTAAATGGATCTCAACAAAGTGGGAAGCTCTGGTCTTGAGAAGTCAAGTTCCTGAGTGTCTGCTTGAGGCTGCCTGCAGAAGCACTGGAAACCACATACACACCAAACCAAAAAAGCCTGTAATTAGAGCAAAAATAAACACTATACAGCCTGGTATAAGATTGTTTTGTATCCCATTTATTTAGAGGATATTGAGGTGTAGAAATTGGCAAATCAGAGGTGCAGTTGACTTGACTGACAGGTGGGCACAGCACACTGTAGCTTTTTGGTTAAAGACTTACCCCTGTAAACTGATTTATAAATGCAATCTGGTTTGATTGCTTGGACAGACATGTAAAACTGTTGATTTAGGGGTGTGTAGATTTGTGGAATTAATTTAGAGGCAGAATCAAGTCAGTGAATTTCTCAAAAACTCACTGGAATAAAAAAAAAAATTCTCTTAAATTTTGCATTTTCTTGTTGAGTTGTTATCTAGCTCAGCATGAACAACTTAAACTGTAAAACCAGACAGGTGAAGTGCTGTATAATCCCAGACTGCAACAGAGACTCATGCAAAAGCTTTCTAAAGCTTGTAAATGGTCGCACATCATTTCCTAAAGTGCTTCACTGGCTCAATAAGCGAGACTGTCTAGGTACCATTTAGGCTTTGTGCAGTCCAGTGTTAAAGGAAACCTTTTTAGCTTCAGTCAGAGTATCTGGGCTGATCTAGAACTCAATAACAGATAAAACAGAACCAATACATCCGAGTACAAACAGGCAGGCAGGTTAGAGAATGAGGCCAAAATCCGGGGCAGCAGAGCATCCAGCAGCAAATGGCAATGGAGTGATTTTGATACAGATATGCTGAACGCGGCTACGTGTGATGCAGTAGTCGAGTAAAGCAGCAGTCAGGGTAATAGGATTACCCAGAAGACCCTGTCAGATCACAGGTCTCAGAATCCGACTAACCAGCACATGAAGGGAGAGAGCAAGCAACAAGAACCAGCATGCATCCAATGAAAAACACTGTGTAACAAGTTCTCATATCAGACTCAGCTCCCACATGGTGGTTTTTAGGGTTTGTTTGATGTATCACTTAACAAAAGTTGTGAAATTAAAATTTATAAACTGGAATAATAAGCCGGCTAAATGAGAGTTTGATCAGCACTAAATAAAATGGTACTACTATCATTTTTGCTGCAGAAATTAAAACTCTCCACTGTTGCGAAGGGAAGATTTACTCGTTTACTTCATTGTTAATTTATTTCTGAATTTGAACACTTTGAGAGACAAAAAATGTTATGCTGTTCCAAATCTAAAGAAAAACTTTTAGACATTAAGGAGAAGATCTGACAAAGGATCAGAATAAAGCAAACCTCAAACATAAATGTAAGGTGAAATCACAGAAAACTGAGGAGCTGAAAGTGCATGCTGTGAACAAAAGAAAGCAGGCGGAGAGAAAAAGTAGGTGACAAACTATTTAATAAAACAATATGAGGTTTGAGGCCGACTGCCTGCTTAAGCACATGTTAACCCTGTTTAAGGGGGTAAACATGGAGTGAATCAGGGGTGCCATCTGTGCCTCACATGCAAATACGCCCCAAACAGCCCCTTAGAGGAGTCTTTGAGAGTGTGTGTGAGCTTTTATAAAGCTCAGTCATGAGTAGCTTAAATCCCTGTCTGAGGGGACGGAGACAGCTCCTCCAGCAACAACTCGTCTGACAGCAGCAGGTCGAGCGTGCCACCACATGGCACTGATTGATGACGGTCATTTTCCCTCAATTCACTGCCGTCTGCGCCAATCCCCCCCCCCAAACTTACTGCTTCCATCCTTGTGTCGGGATAAATATGGTTTGATACCAAAGAGAGGTGCTTAAATCCTGGTGAAAAACACCCAAAAACTGTCAGCATAGGCTGTTTTCATGTAGCTGCACTCTATTACCGAGCCTCTTCGGCTCACAATGAGCCGTGCACTGCGGCAGATTCAGGCAATCAAATGATCAAGAGCTGCTATATCTTTTGTGCAGAATTAAAGGGCTTAGTGTGAATGAACAGTGTTCAAGATGACTAAATGATCACTCTGCTATCTTAGATATATAAAAAAGCCAACAATCTACTGCTCTTATTGTGATATCTAATGCGGTATTTCCTAATGATGGCATACCACCAACCACAGGCTTAGATTAGCTGTCCTAAAAACTCATTAGGTGAAATGAATTTGATTAAATGAGCAAGTAAAGTCATCACCCTAGCTAGACATTAACATGACAGAATGACAAAAAATGGTGGTGCTAGCTCTTCTAGACTTAGCCACACTTAAAAAAACACACCTATTAGGTACTGTTTAAACCCAGACTAAAGATTTCTTATTGCACAGTTTGTTAACACTAGTATTTCAAATTTAGATAAAGCTACAGAGTTCTGGCCCTCAGTGACATCCCAGCTGGTTACAGGTTTTGCTGCAAAGACACATAAAAACGAAGCGCCATTGAAAATCAGATCATATTTTACTTGCACTACTGTGCCTAACTGGGGGCGAACGTTGTATCGTACTCTGAAGTAAATGCGCAGTACTGCAAATAAGCATTAATAGTAGGGGTGGGAATCACGAGTGGCCCCACGATACTATATTATTGCGATTTTTAACATTTTGTAATACAGTAAGCATTGTGATACAATATATTGCGATTTATACAAATTTTTCCACAGTTTAGCTGATTTAGGATTTGGCTTTCCTTTATATTTGTCTTATTTGCACAATATTTTACTTTCTGCTGCTCAATGATGTCACATCTGCCAACCTCACTGGACAAACAGTTGATTTTATTTTTCCATTATCACAGATATGACTTCATTTTAGCAATTAATTTTTTTCTCCCACCCCTCATAAATAGCTAGTATGGCTTGGTACTTTTATACTGAACTGAGTATTTAAAAATGAGACAAAGTTCACAACCAACAGTCTACCAACATACCATTAGCCTTGGTTAACAGGCTAACTGAATCATATAAGTTCTACGTCATTTAACACTCACTGAAAATTTACATATAAACCTCAGAGAGGAAAACCAATGGGATCAAATGTTCAGCTGGTGTGTTACCGTCTAACATCATCTGTGACTGTGACAAAAGGTGGTCAACTTCAGCGAAGGTCGGCTCTGTAATACCCTTAGCTGGGATAACAGAGTCTGGATCATGTTAGGAAGTCACGACACACTCCTGCACTTGTTTGATGTGTTTGATGTCGGTGATGGCGAGGGGAGACGGAGACAATCAAACACAAAAGATAAGAAAAAGATGTGAGGGGAGCAGCGGGCTTTATCAGAACACACAAACACACAGATAGATAAAAAGCTGACGTCCAATTGGGATCAAATTATTTAAAGGAAGCAGATGAAAACATGACAAAAAGCACAGAGTTTGGGAAATTGAGATTCTGATCCAAAAATATGCGAACGCCTCCAGTGCATGTGATTATACTGCTTATGGGCTGTCTCTCTCATTACTCATTCAGTTTTTTTTTTCTGCCCTGATGGGTTGATTCATGTGGAGATAACAATGATTGCAGCAAAAACAGCTTCTCCAACTTTCTCTGCAGAGGGGCGTGTTACACAAACAGAAACTGGGAATCACACAGCAGAGATGCTCTTCTAATCTGATCAAAAATAAAAATGAAAATATACACTTGAGTTTTCTTTTCAAACTTCATGCAGCCTAAACGGTGTGTGTATAATGAGAGGACAGAGCTTGACAGGCAAGGATATGGTCCTCTGTGACTCTGAATGATGTTAATCTGAGTGACATCCACATTACCCCCGTCAACTTGGACATCGGATTATACTTTATCGTGTTAGCGGCTGTGTGGTTTGCAATGCTAAAGCAGTTTCGTGTCCTTAAGATGAGCAGAAGCAGTTTGCACACATCATTTATCCAATTAGAGTGTAACAGGGTCGACTCTTGTATTCCCAGCAGTCTGCAGCAGAAAGCACAGTTTTAGTGACCAGATGGGCTCTTTCTCATCCACGCACCAGTCAAATGAGGGTCACATTACAACACAGTGACAAACTAGAAAATTGTGCAAGGGGAGCAGCTATTCTATGAAATTCTTAGCATACAACTCAATGCCGCTTAAAACTGAAATATTTATTGAGTCTTGTTCTTCAGAGCATGGGAAAATGTCTAGAAATGACATCTTTACAGTGGTTATGTTATTCTTGTCACTGATGGTCTTGTTTGCTTTTCAAGGAGCTGGGGGAGAAAAAGTAATAAAATACTTTACAAAAATAAAAGTAGGGTTGTAGTTATCGAGATGATTCTGGCTTTTATTTGAGTAATATATTTCAAAAAGTCACTGTTTTTGCCTTTCCTGCAATTAAGGCTGGGCAATAAACCGAAAATTTACCGATACCGAAATTTACGACAATAACCAATGTCATTTTGCCAATGTGAATATATTCTGTGTCAAAAAAATAAATAAATAGAAGATGGTTTTAGATGTGTGTAGGTAGGCTATGGTCTCATGTCCCTTTAAGATGCTGTCCTACATCAGAGACATGACTCCGCACCATCCAGTCCGTCACAAAGAGGGAAAGACAGGTGAAGAGATGGAGATTAAAAAAACAAGTAAAAACAGGGTACATATAATTTAAAAAATTTACACATTCCTCCTTGAATATAAAGTTAGTCCTTGTTAATGACATTTTTCAGGTTTTTTTTGTTTTTTTTTTTGCATTTAATCTTAGAATTTGCTTTTAAATGTACAGTTTTTAAGTGCCATAGTTTGACTTACTTTGACTTGTCTTACAAATCACCTGTGGTTCACTTGAAGAGTCAGCCTTCTCTTAACAGGTAAGTTGGCTGCTTGATCTCAGCTCCTAGAGCCTATATATGGAAATAGGACTAGGAGATAAACCGAAAATTTGCTGATACCGAAATTTACAACAATAACCAACGTCATTTTGCCCATATTGGTATATTTGGTGTCAAAGAATAACTAAATAAAAGTAGATTTTGGATGTGAGTAGGTAGGATATAGTCTCATGTCCCTTCAAGATGCTGTCCTACATTGGAGACGTGACTCCACCCCATCCAGTCCATAACAAAGAGGGAGAGACAGGTGAGGAGATGGAGGACAGTTCAAAAGTTGTAGCAGCTGGAGCAGCGACTGAGGTAGACGAAGTTAATGTGGGAGGGGGGAGCAGCTTGTGGAGTAGTTATTGTCCATTTATCATTACTGGGGTGAACTGCTCAATATATTGTGATATTGATTTGAGGCCATACCTGCAATACTATTCTAAATTTTCTGTGGGAATGATAAAGGATTATCTTACCCTGTCTTATTACTATACCTAAATAAATAAACATTATTACACTAGCTTATGAAGCTATTTGCCTTGTCAGAGGTGGAACTTCTAGTAAAATGAAGTATAATTTATCAGTTTTCATTGACGAGTTTGCCCGCCCACAAACATGAAAGTATAACGATCAAGACTGAATGATATTGTGTCGCCTGCTGTGTCGCCCCAGTTAAGTCCTGTACTTTGAATGAAGTGCACCCTTTCTATCTTTTTCAACAGCAGAACGAGGGCAAGTCTCTCTGCTCCATCAGCTCTCACTTTTACTTCATCATAAGTAGCTCGCATCAATGTGAAACTAAGTTTGGGAACACGGGGAAGTTGTGTCTCCCTTTGACTAATGGTGGACTGCAGAATTTACAATTTGGTACAATTTATCAGACATCAGTGACAATTTAACGCATGGTCTCGTTCACTAGCAGCACATATGCCTTTATTAAAAACCTTTTTTAGCCTTGTTATCAGACTGAATATTTTTCTTGTATGTGGTAGTTGTATGTGTGTGTATGTGGTTTTTTAATTATTCCCAAATATTCCACAGAAATGAGTTTTATCCAGGAATATCTGATGTCTGTAAGTAGCTAATAGAGATGTCACATCAGGAAGCCGGTAACGATTTACTGTCAGCTCGGCATCAGCGCTTTTAGACCCTGTCTGCCTCCTGCATGTTTAAACAATCACACACTGAGACAAGAGAAGAAGAGTGCAGAATAAATGTAGCTACGATGAAAGAGGCGTGAAGGTGGCGAGACAAATAAAGGAGTCGGTGCAAGGAGGAGATCTTGAATGATGGGAGAAGAAGAACGAAACCTTGAGGCTTTCCCATGCAGCGCGCTGGAACAAGATGAGAGGAGTGAGATGACTGCACACACACACACACACACCTATACACATCTACACACACACACACACACACACACACACACACACACACACACACTGACAACTCCAAATATCATTTAGAAGTAGGGCAGCCTATCTGCCAGCTCTAAAGCCTGCAGCGCTTTCCTCAATCATTATCCAACAAACGATACCGTAATACAATAGACCTAGTTTATCTGCCTACTCATGCTAAGAAAGAGCGCTGCCAGGCAGAGGGGCACAACTTACAATCCGGAAATAATTTTAAAGAAACAGAAAAAAAGCAACAAAATGGAATTACTTTGAATAACAACAACTTGGTTTGAAAATAGAAAACAGAGATTAAATTCAAGTTTATACAAAATATTAAAAGAGTTTTCATCTGTTCTGTAGCTGCATGTAGTTGCTACAAATCCAGCAGGGTTAAATTTTCTTGTACAGATTAGAGAAATACTAAAAGCAAATAAGACACAGAGGCCAGCATGAGAAAAGGGGAAGAAATGAAGAAGCCCTGACCTCAATGTTGACTTCTCTTGATGTTACAAGAGAAATTTTCAGGAGTTCACCATGGCACTGTACCAGGACAACTTTTAGGAGAAGAATTTTTTAAGACCAAATCTTGAAGTGTCTGTAACAAAAGTGTTTCTTTTCAAACGGGACCTGCCGCGTGTTGTAGCACCTCTAAACTGTTTCCCTCGGGTCCTGGTCACTTTATCCTAGTTGTAGAAGTCCTGCAAACATTGTGTTTGCTGGTAGTCTGTTGGCATCTACAGTAGCACCAATGCTTTTTACTTTGATGTTAACTGGACCCCATTTGTAATTATCTGAAGTATTTATCTGCATTATATCTGAATTTAATTGAAACTATACGATCGAGCAGGAGCGTCTGTTTTAGGGCGGGGCTTGCTGGAGCAGAGAGGGAGGGGAGAGGAGGAGCTGAGGGGAAAACTGGTTGGGAGGGGTAGTGTTTACATTCAAGGTTTCTCCACAAAAACTGGCACTTCCTCAGATCCAGCCTACACCACCTTTAAGTAATGAAATAGTTGTCGACCAATACCAGCCAATATATATAACTGATATTACTTTTTTTTTTTCATTTTTTATGAAGACAGAAAGAGGGCCAAACACAAGAGATATCAAGACAAGTGTGCGGATAATATGGATACATTTTTGTTGAGTGGCTTGTTCTCCAAACTTATTTAACTTGGGTGCACCAATGCTACAACTCGAACTTCTGTTTGAACAACATGCTGTGGGGAAAAGTAAAGGTCGTTTTAAGAGTGATATACAGAGTCCCCTTCTTGCCTGAAACAGTAGTTCAGCTGCTGAACAGTTCAGGATCTCCTGAATCATATTTTCCTTTTATGATGTGCCACATTCTTTTACAAGGCGACAAGTCAGGACTGCAGGCGGCCAGCTTAGCACCCAGACACCTGTACTATGGAGTCATGCTGTTGTAATACAGGGAAACTAGAAGATCTTCTCTGGAAAGGTTTTGTCTGCTTTAAAACCTGGAGCGTATTCAGTATTAATGGTGCGTTCCTGGATGTGTAAGCTACCCGTGCCTTGACGCTGCATCTCCACACCGTCATGAATACTGGCATTTAAACTGTGCTCTAATAACAAGCCGGGTGGTCCTCTTATCCTCTTATACAAGCTGCCTGTAACTTTGTCCTAGCCTTATACATCTATAGGAATTTCCACCCTCACACTGTCCATATGGCAGTCTGTGTAAACCCAAGGACATAGGAACGCCTGGATGCCTGCATGGCTGCCAACATGCAGGTATGGAAACACAAACACATACACATACACAGAGGCACACTAACATCACCCACCCTATACACTGACACATGTCCAGCCTTTGCTTTGTTGACTAATGCTGTGTTTGTAGTTGAGATTAGTGACAGACTGCTTGGCAGCAGCAACAACAGTAACAGGCAGGTTTCAGGACCTGGACCTTTATACTGAAATGTTACTAACAGCTCTGACTTGCTGACATATTGCGAAAAAAAATAATCCTGACCCTATATGGAGCTGACCTGGTTAAAAATGCCAACACTAATCATTTGATTTAAGACACTTATCTGTCTGTCTGATAGAAAAAGCTGAGTCCCACACTTCTCTTGTGTTGTTCTTGAAAAAAAAACACCCTTTTTCCAAATGCTACAAACAACACACTGCATAAATTTATGAATTGCACTGAGCAAATAAAACCCTGGCTATCTCCACTATATGCTGAGGCTGCAGATATCAATGGTCTGGGAATGTCTCTGAAGAAAATGTGCCTTCAGGCGCTGCAGGAGGATTGAGTTCATGGCTTTAGTGATGTCTTTTTCTTAGCATGGGGCTTGTTTTGGGAGAGCGTGGGTAGAGAGGATCAGAGTATATAAAGCTTGACTAATTGTAGTGCTGAAAGACATGGCACAGCTTCAGGGCGGATGATGAAAGCAGAAGCCTGTGTGTGTGTGTGTGTGTGTGTGTGATTTTATGCGTGCGACATGCTGCTAGTAGAGGAGGCAGGGACCACTCACCACCTGTCTGTCCATCCATGTGAGTAAAGACCTGCTGTCCCTGCAGTGTATTTAACCAACAGCACACAAGTGTGGGAAAAAGCACGAGCAAAGCAAAAAAGAAGAGGCTTACATAACCTGCTATTAACTCAAGTGTGCATTAAAACGACTCTATGCATCTTTCAAAGGTAAAACATAGCTTTCAACTGCAGCAGGAGCAGAAATCTCTTCACAGGGGTGATGTTTTGGGACTCAGAGGGCTGCTGGTGAAATCAGGTTTCTCATCTCACTTCTTCTAGGATGCATCAGGTTTCACAGCCTGTGATCATTTTTGTTGAAAACTGTCGACAACTTTCATGATTTTGAAAAACTGTTACTATGGTTATCAGTTACCTGAAGTCAAGAATAACATCTTCAAATCACCTTTTTAGACCAGCCTACAGACAAAATATCAAGACTTATCTAGTATTAACAATAAAAAAAGAAAAGTTGCAAGTTCAAGTATTAAGAAGACTTGACCAGCGATTGTTTGAAATTTCTAATTGAAAAATGACTGAGATGGTTGTTTCTCAAAGAGCCTGAAAAAACACATCTATAATTCAACCGTAGTTGTAATTATAGGTAGGGGTGGGAGAAAAAAATCGATACAGCATAGTATCGCGATATTTTGTCTGGTGATATATCATATCATCTCATTTACCAAGTATTGATTTTTTTTTTAATTAATTGCTAATATGAAGTCAAATCTATGATAATTGAAAAATAAAATCAACTGTTTGTCCAGTGAGGTTGGCAGAGGTGAAATCACTGAGCAGGAGACAGTTAGTACAACAAATATAAGGTTTACAAGATGTACTACATGAAATAAAATACTGTGTAAATAAGATAGACATAAAGAAAAGACAAATGCTTAATTAACTAAACAGTTGAAAAAATTGTATAAATTACAATATAAGGTATCATAATACTTTCTGTACTGCGAAATGTTAAAATCGCAATAATATCGTATCATGGCCCAATTATCGTAATAATATTGTATCGTAGGGCCACGAGTGATTCCCACCCCTTATTATGGGCCTTAAATCCAAAAGTTAAAAGAGCAAATTCATGGCATTTCTTGAGTATATTTACTCACATCTCTGTCAATTTAAAGACAGCATTACTGCTAAACTATGATGACAATGTGAAATACAGAGTTTGCCTGATTTGCAGCTAAAAAAAAACTAACTTTTCTTAAACTGGCATCCTCATTATGGTACTATTCAGCCTCTGCCTATATCACTTCACTTTGACTGCTTTGGGGTGTTAATTTTCACACAGCTTTGTAGTCATGGAACAACTCAACAGTTATGCCATTACAGCTGTTTAACGTTTGATGCAGTTAAATTTCCTGCTGTTATATCATCACTTAAAAGCTCTTGTTCAGAGCCTTCAGACAGGTTTTTACAGATACAGCAGCCCCTCGGGTGTAAGTGATAGTTAACATCAATCCAACTTGCTAGTAGGGCTGGGCAATAAACCGAAAATTTACCGGTACCAAAATTTACGACAATAACCAACGTCATTTTGCCCATGTCAATACATTTGGTTTAAAAAAATAAAATAAATAGAAGTTGGTTTTGGATGTGTGTAGGTAGGCTTTGGTCTCATGTCCCTTAGAGAAGCTGTCCTACTTCAGAGACATGAATCCACTCCATCCAGTCCGTAACAAAGAGGGAAAGACAGGTGAGGAAATGGAGGACAGTTCAAAAGTTGGAGCGGCTGGAGCGGCAGCTGAAGTAGACAAAGTTAGAGGGGGTGAGCAGCTTGTGGAGTAGTTATCATCCATCTTTCATGATCGAGGTGAACTGCTCAATATATCGTGATACTGATTTGAGGCCATATCACTCAGCCCTAGTTGCTAGTCTGTAGTTCAGCAACCAGTCCTGCTTGTACTCAAAGTATAATACCGAGCTCTTGAACCTCTTATCTGTGAAGACTCCCAGATAAATGTCCCTCTTTTTAAATACAGCAGATCATGCAGAAGATCAGTGACTCACTTTTAAGTGATTGTTAATAGACAAGAATGGGACACCAGTTCTTTGAGGGGGGGGTTGGTAAACAAAGGCTGACTGCATCCTTTGAAAGCTAACATCGAATCTAATCCAGTTCACATATAGGTCACCCACTATGCAACTGTACATCTGCCATTAAGCTAGCATGAATAGGCCACAAAGTGAAAACAATGCCCCCCAATATGTGTCATGCCTCCCTAAATACAACATGCCCCCAATTCACTCTTGAGAGTTCATGCCAAACAACACCCTGTTCTGCCATAGATCTGAACCCCCCCTGGAGTTAAGCTGTGCTGTCATTTCAATCCGAGTTTTCTGGGACACGTGGGGACATACAATTCTGCAAAATTACAATCCAATAGTAGTTATTAATCATTCATGTGTGGTCTTTCAGTTTTGCCACGGGCTGATATTTGACCGTCACACAGCTTTTGTTGTGATGGAGATTTAGCACAGAAGGTCACATTGGTGTATTTTACACTCATTAGCAGCTATACTGTATATGATGTTATCACTGATCCGTGTGTGTGTGTGTTCTCTAGCCCTCAGGCGTGACTGGGCATTAGTGTGGATGGCTGCCAAAGTCTGACCATAAAGACTGAATTGAAAAGAAGAGGGGCACAGAGAAATGGTGGCTAGACGAGTAACATGCACATGTTTTTGGAAGTTAAGCTGAAAACCAGATGATTGATAATGAAAAAAGAAGCCTTTGAATACATGAGAGAGTTGAGCCTATCCATTAAATAAGCAGTTAATAGTGTTATTTTAATGTTTGGGTGACGGTTTAATGTCTGACCTTGACCACTTGTCTTCGAATGTTACTTTGAGTTCACATTGAGCTTCAGAATTGGGACAAAACACAAACACTACCATAAATTGTCATCCTGGTTCGTGCATGAGAACTATCACATCACTGTTCGCTAGCATTTAAATTTAACAACAACAAAAAAAGACCCTTTAAACAGACTTCTCTCCAATTTAACTTCCTATCACCACTTCCCAATCCTTATGGTGACACTAATATCATTAACCTTGAAGTTTACCTTTCAGGGGAAATTTGTATCTCTCACTTTATCAGATATTGTGATGTTTATTATAATGTGTTGGGTTTTTTTGCAATTCAAAAAAATGAAACAAAATCCCTTTGTGAAACTTGACATTCAAGTGAAATTATGGCATCATACCAATGTAGAAAGGGCACAGTAACAAAATTAGTCCAGTGCAGCAGTAAAGGCGTTACCTAAACTACCAACAAAAGAAGCAAAGTATCAGAAACAATCTGTGTCTGGTAATTGGAACCTCAGACTGCAGTTTATTTCAAACACTCATAGACCTCATAGTTATACTTCAAAGTAACACAAGACTCTAAATATCCTGTTTTTGTTTCACGTCTGCACCTGTATCAATATTCACCATCACCTCGTCCATCTATCTGTAATGTGCTTCGTTTTTTTGTCCAAGTGTAGAATATTAATTTGGAATATATTCAGCTCCCTCACGTCTTGGTTACAGCATGGTAGTGTGTTATTAAAGAGCTCTGACAGGCACCAGTATTAAAGAAGAATGCATACTGATAATAAAAGGATAACAGGATAAAAGCAAAGTAAAAAATGGTCACTGCCATGAATAGTCAACAGTATTTCATTTCTGTGTTTATCATAACCCAATGTATAATGCAGAACGGAAAAACAATCCTATACAGGTACAAGTATTTTTTTTAAATTGCTCTTAATGCCAATCATTATTGAGATTTCTTTTATCTCAACAGTGTGAGTCTTGGCTCATAAACAGACTGTTACTTGTGCAGAAGTTATCCGAGGTAGATGTTTCATCTGCTTAAGCAGCAAAAGAGCTTGAAGCCGACACACCTGTGCAGCAACTAGACAAAACCTTAATGGTTGCACTGCAGTTTCTCTTATATACCATGAAACATCCCTCTCTTTTGGTTCTTCATCCACAGTTTCAGTCTAAAGACTCTTAAGGACACTGAGTACAGAGTAAAAATATCTGTTTCACTCTTCAAAAGTCTGGAGGGCCTGTTTTCCCTGCTATATCCATCTTGTCTACTAAACATCTGCTCCTGAATGAGACACGACAGCTCAGCATGCACTCAGAAGACTGACACGGACTCATCTGACCCTAACTGGAATTAAAGTACAAGAAAAAGAAAATTAATAATTGAGTTAAGTTTTATTTTCTTACATGGAACACAAGAGATGCTCCCATGAGACGCTCCTGGGAGGCATGGGGACAAATGGAGAAAGAAGGGGGCCATGTAATTTCTTAGCAGGAGTCTTGGCAGTCTGGCAGAGGAGGGAGGCTGCATCCTGACGGACATGTGAGCGAGGCTTAAAATCCCATTAGAGCCGATCAAAATTCAAAGGGAAGCATGCATAGCTTGCCCTCAGTCTAAAAAATCTATTCCTGTCCGCACTGAGTAGATGGGTTGAGATGGGCTAAATTGAGACGGTCTATTTTAGTAGGAGGAGAGTGAGGGGTGGAAAGAAAACAAGTGGAGGGAGAGAGGGGGGGATGACAGAGGAGAGAATAGCCTCTGACATGTTTCTTTTTTGAGAGGCACAACGGCCCTCCTGTAAATACTGCATGTTTGTGTCCTGAGTAAATTCCAGTATATACACATGTCCTTTTCGGAGGCAGTGAGCTGTGGACGACTACACCTCGCCATGTGGGATGCAGCCACCCCGGCTTTTGTCATTCAGCTGCGTTAATCAATTATGGAGGTTGTTAGAATGCAAAGGGTCTCTCACTATTGTGGAGCACCAGAGCTCACAAACACACACTCATATGTGCAAAAGCGTGTGTGAATGCACTCAGGGTGGTTTCTATACCAGTGGTCAAACTGAATGGAGCAAGTTCTCACACGGCGGCACAGTAGGAGCAGTCGGCCATAAAGAGAGAAGATTTTAACAAAAAAAAAAACTCTGAAAAGATCCACAGGGTACAAAACTGGGTCCTTTCACTTTCTCTCTGTGGGAGTGGCAGGTGTGTGTGTTTGTTAAACGGCGGAGGTCTTGACTCAGCGAGTACACAGCCCCCCCACTCTGTCGGATTCACAGTTTGTTCTGAGATGATCATCCGCTGTTGTCTACTGTGCCTCTCTCTCTCTTCTCATGTTTGCTTCTGTTTTCTCACATCGACTGAGACTAAAGAGATTAGCCAAAGGGAGATGAAACGACTACGCCTCTGCCAGCCACCACACAACCTCTCTCCATGCCAGGACTTCCTCTCAGGTCTTTCTCCCATTGCCATCACTTCATTCCTCACTCTCTTTGCTCAGAGTCTCTGAGTGGTCCTCTGCCTGAAAAGTCCTTTTCTTTGGTGGAGAGTGATGAGGAGAAAGTCTGGGCAATCTTACCCCACACATGCTAACTGCATTTGACTTTGCAACCGGTCTTTACACGCCCTCTAAAGCATGTTTTTCTTAAAGAGAGCCCAAAAGGAAGTTGGCCAGCACCAAAAGGAGAACTTGTTTCCTCTAAACAAATACAAAACAAACAATCCTGTTTTTACACAAACAAGACGATATCACATTTAGTAGAAATACAAACACAATGTAGCTCACGATAGCTAGTTTTAGTTCACTTAGCATACACACCTGTGTTACTGCAGCATAAATAACTTATAAAGATAGTTTATGACTTTTCAAATATTTATTGAACTTTTATTTTACTGGAAATGTTCCCACTGCGATACACAATTTTGTATGCCAAGTGACATATCAGCGTGTAACAGAGGTTTTTTTTTTTTCGCCTTTTGTACCATTCAAATGAAAATTAGAAAAGCACTCGGAGAGCGCAGACCTCCGCCAAGCAGCTCATGCCCCCCTTTCTAGTGTGATTCACACCAAAACTTTTACTGTTGTGTGTCTTTCATTAACTTTTACTTGTGTTTAAACTGGTATGTTCACTGTTCATGATGTTTCAGGTCAATGCATCTGTAACTTCCTCCGTAAAGTTGCCAACAGACAAACAGACAAACCAAAAAACAAACCAACGCTACCGAAAACATAACCTCCTTGGCGGAGGTAATAAGTTGTTTTTCGCATTTTAGAGGGCTTGCCTGGTCACTTTACTGCAAAGTGGCAAAAAAAGGTCAATACCAGTTTCACATAAAGTTGAAGCAACAGGCAAAGGATCATTTGCTTTGTCTTCTTAAAGTAAGAGAGGCATAGTTAATGTTGGCGCTATTTTTTGGCTATGAGTGACATTATGAAGAAACTAAAGAGAAAGAGGCACATTTATTTTGAGTAAAGTTTTCAGTCATAGGATGTGACAGCCCATCCAAGACTGGAGCAAAAACATTCAAAACCATCCATACTGACTGTATCTGAGCCTGCCTCCTCCATGTTAAAGGGACATTCCAGCGTAAAATTAATTTCGGGTCAAACACACTGTAACACCGATTTAAACACCTCCTCGAGAGATGAAATTGCCAACTGCTTGCTTCTCTAGTTTTACCAACTTTAGCAACAACCGCAGGATAGCAATACACAGCGGTCTGAGGAGCCATAAACAAACCTCAACCAAAACGCCACTCTATAGCCACAAATAATGCTCAGAACAGCACCTAACCTCATCAACAGTACATATAGGGTCCCAGCCACAGCACTAGCCACCAAACATCTTTTAGCTCTGCCTGATTTCTTTAGCAAAGAGCCGCAGCCGCTTGTTTGTAGCAAGACCTCTGGCCAGTCTATTACAGACTACAGTGGGGTGTCGCAGCTCAAAGAAGAACATTTATGATCATTAATTTATTATTTCCTTGAAGTAATAATCACCATATTAGTCATTTTGCACTGCAGATGCGATAGTTTTTCTGTCTTAGTGTCTCGGTCTGATTGCATTTCCATGATGAAATGACTAGAGAAGCAAGAAATCTGCAACATTGATCCCTAGAGGGGATGTCTAACTCAGTGTTATGGTGTGTTTGACCCTAAATTAATTTTACGCCGAAATATCCCTTTAATAGATGGAATACAGGTCAAACTATAAAATCAAAATGCATTGTTGTGTCCTGGCAGGTGTGTATCCATCTACATCTTGTCAGAGCAGTAGCTAGGTTTGATGGCTACTGCTATAATGCAAAATGCTCCACTACCCAGATGTAAACAAACACAGATGAGAGCTAGTATCTTTTGGTACAGTGCAGTTTGGTCGTATTTCAATCTAGGAAATTCAGTTTGACTTCTATCAGTGTTTTCTTGTGAGGAACGTTAAGCTTGTGTCAATTTGGCGCATCCAATAAGCAGAGGAGTCTTTGCATATCATGTCTTGTACACACTTTAGTTGTGCCATCTGAGAAAGAAATCTCTTGCTGCCACTTAATGTCAGTCAAATATATCATTCAATGCAAATAGAGGATGGGAAATAAAGAGCTGTTTCGTCAGCTGCTTGGCTGACACCTGCCCCCTCACACCATTTTCAAGTGTTAAAAATCACAACATTAAAACCGTCAATCTTGTCACTCATGGACTCGCAGCTCGATGCAGTCCTTTTTAAAGCTTTAAACACCAAGATGACATGACATGGTAAAAACTAAGCCAGAGTCACTCAGCAAACAGTAATAATGCAAGCCTATAAATAGCAGCATCTATCTCATCCCTGTCAGCAGAGACAGCATTAAACACACATGACATATTGATGAACTAGAGGTTGGGTCTTTTATAGATTGGTCTTTCCCATCAGCCAAACCCTGCTGTTTACATCTGTCACAGGGGACTCTAGAAAGCTGTGCTCTGCTTTATTCATTAACCATTCAAAGGCAAAAATAGTCTTTACAATAGGCTGAGAGTTACAACCTAAATAGACCAACTCATCAATAATTCAGTCAAGCCTTTCTTTGGATCTCAGGGGGGACTAAAAATACAGAAATAAAGTGTATGCATCCATATCTGAGCACAAACCCCAAAGATATAAATAATCGCTAATGATTTAATGTGTTTTTTTCTAAAAATACTTGTGCGTGAAAGGATTGGCTGGATGTTAAAACAAACTGGATAAAGTTGTTTTTTTCTGATTGTTATTTTTTTTTTCTTTCCTGCCTGCATGTAGCTGCTGTTTCATGCTCTGCCTTCGGCTGTAGTGCATCAACTTCAAGACAGTATTTACTTAACAGCCGTATTGATTTTTCAGTTTGAGAATTGTAGGAAATCATGTACACAATCTGCAATCTCAGCCTACTCACAAACATACAAAAACTTTTCTCATAGACTTTCTTGGTGGATTTGTTTTTATGTCTGCTTAAAAACTCTCTTCCCAGCAGCATGTTTTGTGTGATTTTACACTCGCACTCACAGTTTCACACTCAATGTAACAACATTGCCACCTACGAACCCAATCTTTTACACTATTTGAGCCAAAACAAAGTCGAATTCTTTAAAGTGAGTCAAAAACTGCTTAAATGTTCTACCCCTGGAGTGATGAATTTTTCAGCGTATTAATGCACATCATGGGTTTTTGAGTAGCTCTGTAAGGTAAAAATCACACATCTCTTTCCTGCATGTTCACTCAGCCAGGCTTAAGAGCCTTGTCGTGTCTGAGCCAAGCCGGTCTACTGAGTCACACTCAAATTGCAGAACCGCCCCAGTTGTCTGATAGGGCTCTGCGTTAGCTTCTGAAGGGAAATGCTGGCCTGCTGGGACAACAAGAGGGGAAATGATTACATGATCCCCATAGTAACACCATTGACAGAGCTCCATGAGAAGAAAAAGGGCTGACTATGATATAATGGTGTGAATAACAATGAGAGGCGAGTCAATGCAAGGCGAAACAGAGAGAGCAAATAAGGCCAAAAGGAAAAAAGTTTATTTATGGCATTTTTTTCAAAACTATTAGCTCAGTACAATATCATAACTCACAGTCTGACTTTAATTAAAAGTTGTGATAGCACACACACTGTGCACTCTCACATACAGACTGGGTGATAAACTACTCTACTCTCGCCACACCATCCAACTCACTCTTTTTATTCCCACAAAACTCATCCCATATTCATTTTCCAAAAGCAGAGTTCAATTGTCCAGACAGTGAAAGCGTCACAAGCTCAATACAAACCTCATCAAACAGCCTCAAACTCCATTTTCAGTATGTGTGATTTTTATCGCCATGATAAAAGGTGTGTAGTTTGTGTTTGTCGATTCTGGTTTTAGACTCTCTGGGGGGAAGTAATCATCTTACCCTGATTCTCCTCATGGCTGCCACGATCTCCATCCGGCTGTTGGGTCTGGGCACGTCAAGACTCCCGACGTACTGTAGTAAACAATCAGACCGCTCAGGTTAGAAGATGTTATCTCATACATTCGCAGCCTTGATTATCTTCAGAATCACAAGCAAAAACCTCAGTCCTATTCCTCAACTGAACACAAGACCATGGAGAGGTTAATAGCATAGCTTTTTTTAACTGGTTAAAGTATTTACTGTGACCTCTTCTTAAGCAATACATTCAGTATAGCTTACACTCTGGCTTGCTTCTCCATACAGTTATGCTGACTGTTATTTACTTCAAAAGATACTCGTACTATCAGACCAGATGATTGACAACAGGTAGAAGAAACAGTCTTTTTGTTTTGGTTTTTTTCCATGGCCAAAGCTCATTTGTCAATCTGTTTCAGCCAAGCATACTTGTGGCAAGCATACAGGTACAAAGTAGCATTAGCCTAATCGCTGTAACCAAAAGACTACATCCTTTATATACATTGTATCTGTTGTGCAGGGTCAATATTTTGTTTTCGACTTACAGATATTCCAAAAACGTATATTTGACTACCATGAATCTTGTATTAAGAGTGTATTTGTATGGTAGGGGGAAATTTGATTCATATTTAGAGCACACTTCTTAATTCGTACAAGCATGAAACATTTTAAAAAGTTAAAAATGTGATTTTTATACTTCTTAAATTTTCACCAGCAGCCAGTTTAAGCATGGTAACCCCACTGCTGGTTTAGTGTTCACCAGAACCTTGTAACAGATACAGTAAGGATTGTCAGTCATGGTCTAATCATTTGTGAAGCTAACATAAGCAAGTTAGCTCTAACTGTCACTAATCCTAGTCTGTAGAAGGACCAGAAAGACTGTCAGTCCTATCAAGGACTGGGGGTAACTCTGTATACTACTACATACTGCAGTGAGGTACTAAAAAAGCTTTAGTTTTGCAAGTAAAGCATAAAACAATTGTTATCTTTTGTCTAAGTTTTGCCTCTGTATATTGACATCATTGCAATCATGTGAAAAATATAGAGGCTAAAGAAACTAAAACACATTTTCCTTTAATGTCATTAAATAAATTAATTACAGCAGACTGGAATAAACCCTGAAATAAGTAGCCAAATGTAAAAACAAAAGAACATGTGGAATAGTTTGAATTAAAAATCACATTTGCATTGAGTCAAGAATCAAAATCAAAAACTAAAATTGATATTTTCTGTAGTTTTGCAGTCTTGAAGTAGTCCAGAGCAAATCACTAGCTCAGTCAAGACTAAAAACCAGGCTGAGATTAGTTAAGGTCTATCTAGGCTGCTTGCACTCTCTTTTCCTCTGTTCTCTGTGAACATTTTCTGTAGTCTCTTTACCTCTACCATAATGTTTCTACTGAGGATACAATGCTAGGAGAGGTAACAGGAGGTGTTTGCCTTCAGGGCTTCCTGTGAGAGAGCTTTGCCTTTCTTCTCCCAGGAGGTAGTACCCGCTCAACCGAAGTTACATTGTGCAACAACAGGTGTACAGGGAACATTGTGGAAATAAAAGGTTTTCCCCTAATGGAAGTCAGTGTACCGTCAATAAGAATCAGATGTTTTGTACATAAAATAAGCTGGTTTATGCAGTTTAAAGGGATAGTCCAGTGTAAAATTAATTTAGGGTCAAACACACCGTCACACCAAGTTAGACACCCCCTTCATGGAAATGCAATCAGACTGAGACGCTAAGGCAGAAGAACCACCATGTCTGCAGTGCAAAATGATTAATACTTCAAGGAAATGATAAAAAAATTATCATAAATGTTCTTCCTTGAGCTGCGTCACCCCACTGTAGTCCATAATGGACTGGCCTGAGGTCTCACTACAAACAAGCGGCTGCTGGAAGAGAGTAGGTGAGTTGTGTTTAGTCTCTTTGCTAAAGAAATCAGGCAAAGTTACAAAAGATATTTGGTGGCTAGTACTATGGCTGGGACCCTATATGTACTGTTGATGAAGTTAGGTGCTGTTCTGAGCATTAGTTGTAGCTATAGAGTGGCGTTTTGGTTGAGGTTTGTTTATGGCTCCTCAGACCACTGTGTATTGCTATCATGGGGTCCTTACTAAAGTTAGTAAAACTAGAGAAACAAGCAGTCAGCAACTTTTATCTTTCAAGGGGGTGTCTAAATCGGTGTTAATTTTCCGCCCTTTAAGGCTAAATGAAATATCTTTGATGAAATGTGGGCGCTATAGTGCCTCTTTGCAAAGGGGAAGAAAGTCATCTTGAATTAAGATTGGCTGGAAATGACAAAAAAAAGGTTAAAAAAACTTCATTTATTATCATTATTATTATTATTATTATTATTATTATTACTTACTTACTCACTTACTTGCTGCTTCATTGTGATACTACAGTGCTAGACACCAGTTTTTGTTTTGGTACCTATTTTGATAACTTTTTAGAATTATTTTGACTACTTTAAGGTGTTTAAATTCAGCATCTCATGGTGCGTTCATGAACCTGCCCTGGAGATAAGGATTTTTTCAACCAGTATGACTTGTGTTGTGTGAGCAGCTTTCCAAAATAGGTGTATGCACAATGTGTCGGTTATTGTCGAGATATTTATGACTTCTTTTTTCCACATGCCATGAAATACTACTTTCATTTTTGTTTTTACATGCTAAAGAAACCAGCACTCTTAAATATGAATTTTGAACCAATAACACACCTTCATTTTCATACTTTAACCACTGTTTCCTGATTAAAACAGTTGACTACCTTAAGGTTTGAATGGTGGCCAAGTCAGTAAAACCTGAGTATTTTTGGTGGGAACCATTAGGCTGGATAAGAAAACTCTGGAAATGCACTACAATACTTTAGTGGATATCAAATAAAAAAGACTGCTTCAATTTTTAATAAATATGTCATCCAGATGACGTTTTCAGACACATAAACTACATTTTCACATTAGACTTGTAGCCCAAATCGCATGTGTGTAGCAGCCATGCCGTCAACAACTTCATGGTGGACCCAGACTGAAAGGACTCAGTGCACCTGCCGCTTCAAAACAACACAACTCTCAACTCGATGAAAAAAGACGCAAAAAATATGTGATATAAGTGTGTTTCACCTTGGCTTGGAAATAAATCCCATGCTGGTACGCCTCCTCATTGTGGAGAGGGATCCTCGAGTCCGCCAAATCGTCCACCAGGTTGTACCTGTTCCTAGTGGGCATGACGAGCTCAAACTGACCGACGGCCCCTTCCCACGAGACGCTAAACACAGTTTAACAAGTAAACACGCGGATCTGGTCCAGGTTTGAAACGGTGCAATCCCATGAGAGTGTACAGCTCGGCTCCAGGAGTGAGTTCCCAGAGGAGACGGGGTCCATTGTTGTTGCTTAAGCTTTCTAAAAGGTCCCGTCCTCAAACAAACAGGGACAGATTTGGGCGCCCCCTTCCCCCTCTGATATCCACGGTTCAGGCTTTCTTCCCGGAGAAAAGCGCATCAACAACAACGTGGTGGTGCTTGTTCCCAGAGCCACGAGGGAGATCCAGAGTTACGAGCGGTGTTTCTCTCCGCAGGTGATTTTGTCGGCTGAGTGTGTATTGGTGGCAGCTCTGCAACCGTCTCTCTCTCTCTCTCTCTCTCTCTCTCTCTCTTTCTCTCTCTCTTTCTCTCTCATTGGAGCAAAGTTCCCAGGCGTGATGCAACACTGAGCTGACACACAGGCAAGCCCTCCTTCCCCTCAGGAGGTGAAAATTGGATTCACTTGCTCCCGGGAGTCTGAGGTGTAGAAGCAGGAGAGAAGTCCTGCACTGAGACTGGGAAAAAACAGACCATGTCCAGTTTAATTTTAACATGATTGTGTTTAATATCCCAAGAGATAGCCTGTGTTTACTAAAGTACTTCCCAACCTTCATTTCTGCAGTTTTACTGTACCAATCTGTGGTTTTATTTCAAACATATCTATTTTCTGACAGTTCATTTAAAAAAATTACAGAGTTTCAACCAAAAAAAAGGTAAAAAAAAAAAATAATAATAATAATAATAAAACTAGGGCACACCATAGACTGTATATACAACTTGGTTCCGCCTTCCGCCAGTATGCGAATTTATAGCCAAAAAGCTCTCTGTAAATCCGCGTTTTCTCTCCATTTGCTGAAACCAACATTGCGCGGTAACGTTGTACGCGCTCCATCGCTTGCGCAGTAGTGTTGTGCGCATTCGGCGGGAGAGTCGCTGTGATGACGCTAGGCTCAAACAGCGTATTTGTTTTTGTGGGATGATAAGGGAAGGTCCCGCTCTCCTTCGTTTGGCTTGAGCATGTAATGACGTTTCCAGGTTTTCTAGCCAATCAGAGGCGAAGGAGGCGGGACCTTCCCCTACCATGTACAAAAAATTTCACAGCTATGAAAACTTCGTACGCCCATAGGCTGTATCAAGTGTCAATCATAGAAAACATGAACCCCCTAATAAGTTTTAAAAATGGAGCTGCACAGAAAAAAGAGGACTTGATCACAAACCAGTCTGACAGTAACTACATGTCAACATCGCAAGCAGGGGGGAGAAAAATTTATATTCTGTGTAATAAATTTCTAAAGTTTGTCCACAACCCCATAAGCTTTGCTGGCGGAGGCAGGATTAATGACCTATACTGCAGCCCGTCACCAGAGGGTGCTGTTCTTGGAGTGGCCTTACCCATCGAGGAGGCAGACGGCGTCCATTCTATAAACAGTCTATGGTTTTACTTTAAAGCATTTCTGGGGAACTCTCATCTCTGTTTGTTTTGGCGCCCCCTGTTGACTAAGTAATATGTTTTTTTAATATGTTGATTTTTTGTCAGTCTTGTCCTGCATAACTTGTGTTGTATGAGCAGCTTATCAAAATAGGTGTAGGCTATGCACAACATGTCAGTTTTTGTTGGGATATTTATGGCTTCTTTTTCCACACGCCATGAAATCTTTACTTTCATTCTTACTCATACTAAAGCAACCAGCACTCTTAGATTTGAACTTTGAACCAATGACACTCCTTCATTTTCATACTATAACCACTGCTTCCTGATCAAGACAGTTGACTACCTAATGGTCTGAATGGTGGCCTGTGTTTACTAAAATACACCTTTTCACTTCCCAACTTTCATTTCTGCTGCTTTGCTGTGCCTTCCTGTGTTTGTATCTCAAACATATATTTTTTCTGACAGTTCCTTTAAAAAATTTACAGAGAGGTTCAACCAAAAAAGGTAAAAACCAGGGCACACATAAGGCATGAACCTCCAACTATTCCTTATTAAAGGTACGGTTCAGGTCCTCTTCCAAGAAGTCACTTATCTTTCATTTTTCTACTGTAGCACAGAAGAGACAAACTAGTTAGGGTTACATGCATTGTGTTGGGGAGTGCACTAAAGAACAAGGTGTTGGGTTTTTAATAGTAAAAACGTAACAAATAATAATAATAATAATAATAATGAATTTTATTTATAACGCCCTTCTACACGTGCTCAAAGATGCTTTACAAAAATAAACACAATTTAAAACATAGAAAATGTTGAGTAATAGGACCAACCCTGTATAAGGTTAAAAAAGATACAATATGAAAAGACAATAAAAGAATGATTCATAGGTTAAAAGCCAATTTTTAAAGGTGTGTTTTGAGGAGTGATAAGTAAATGAGGAGATTTATTCTTATGCACCATCGGAGCCTCATGTCCTTTTATGGCCACCATCAATTCCTCCATTTCAGCAACACAAGGGGTAAGTGAGGTAGCATTTCAATCTTTAATCTGACTATGAGTTGCTGCTGAATATTCAAGTTTCTATATGTTTTACCTCAAAGCATCTCTGGGGAACTCTCATCTCTGTTTGTTTTGGCACCCCCTGTGGACTAAGTGATATGTCTTATTTTTTTGGCAGTCTTGTTCTGCATCTGACAAAAGGGGCAGCAATTTCAGGTGTCAATAAAGGTTACAAAATTGAAATATTTTTCCTCTACAGCCTCCATTATTCAGTGGTTTTTCAGCTCAAAAAGAGACAGAACTATTAATTGAAGTCCATTTTATAACCTTTCACCAACTCCTCTTTGGATCACTGCTGATGTGTCTTGAGTAAATCATATGAGTACATCTGCCACCCCTACATCTTACCAGTAGGTCTTAATATATATACTAACTTATAAGTGCGTAAAGATGCAGGTATGTCCAGGATTCAACACACAAACCTCATTTGGTTGCTGTCATCATCACCAGCTTCCCGCACAGCAGCCTGTATCATTCATCAGTGATAACAAGCATTCAGTCAATACACGGAGATTATTAACTGCATGACAAACCGCCACCATGAATACAGAATGGCATCTTTGTTTAGACTGTAAATGGCTTTCTGTGGTGTACAAAGTGTAAATGATGAAGTGTTTGTTCTTATTATGCTCAGCTTTTATCAAGCTTATTGTCTTAAATTATATTGCTGCTGCTGTTATCATTCAAAATGACATGCGGGTGTGTGGTAATAAGAGGCCTTCAGGTGAATTTACTCCCATAACGTGCTCTCTGTGTGAACAAGAAGGAGTACGGTAATGGAAACTAATTAACTTGTTTATTAGACACTTGATGAAAATGAATACATCAGTAACATAATGCTTTGGCGCCCTCTGTTGATAAACCACCATGAAATTTGAGGCAAGATGCAATTTTTTAGAGTGTTTTTCAGTACCTGCTGATGGATTAGTGGTATTAGCTGAAGGCAACAGCTGAAATTTATACAAATTCCCGGATATCTAATGAATGAGGATCAACAAGACAAGCAGTCCTGTGCCACACTGAAACTCCACTAATCTGTACTGGAAGAGCAAAATATTAAGATTAGAAAATAACATGCTTTAAAGGTCAGAAAAGGTGCCTCACAAAGGACACATAAAGCTGGCATACAGTTTGAAACTATTTGACATGTGTTCATTGTAACAGTAGGACCACAAACTAGAGTCACCCACACCACAAAGTTACGATCAGACAAGTTAACACAAAGGGTGTGGTTTATTTGATAAGACTGTTTCAAGTTGTACAAACAGTGTTGGAGGCTTGGATCAAAGATAAGGACCTCTCCCAGGTCTGTTCATGAGAAGCCAGTTTTTTTTTTTTGTTTTTTTTAAAGACAGTACCAGAGTGAAAGACTCAGTACAAGGGTAACAAAATGTGCCTCTCGGATATTTATTATTTAGCCATCTTATCTATCTTTAATCTGAACAGAAACCCAAAGGTAAAAAAGAAAATTTGCTCTCTTTACAAGGAGGGCACTGAGAGAACTGGACACAGTTTTTTCTTGGGTTATATTCCTATTAGCTAAACTGTTTTACTTCTTATTTTGAAAAAGTTCAGAAATAAAGATTTAGATGTAAAGTGTTAGACTTGAAAATTTGCCTCTCTCTCATGAAAAATGTCCTTTTTGTTGATCATGGGATCAAGCATTGATAGTAAGTTTCATGTCATGATTCATTCTGGTCTTTATGTTGATTGAATTATTTCTTTTGTAAAAGTTTGTTTTAAGTTTAAAACGTTTTGACTATTTCACTGTGAACTGGGGAACTGGAAGCTACAATTGACACAGCCTTTCTAAAGGTTAGAAAGGCAAAATCTCTCCAAAGTGAGTGTGACATTGTGTGTTAGAAAGCATTTTTAATTCTGCCTTTGTAAAAATTAAAGTTAAGAGTCTGCTTCTGAGCAAACAAAACCACAAGTACAGTAGAAGAGTTCATTCCTTGGTCACTTTCGATTTACAATGCCAGACTGATTCCCATCTACTAAAACATGACTAATTGAAGGAGAAAGGCTGTCATTCAGCTATTAGAGATGCCTGACGAGAGATTCCCATCTGTGTCAGATGTGTGTCACATTCATTTGTCATGTAGAGATGTCTCGTCTGCTGAGTTTCACTGCTGCTGGATGAATTACAAAAGGCAGACTAGACTGAAATGACTCATGGAGTACCATCAGAAAAAAAACATCTGGAGAGACCAAATAGTAACACCTCTAAAGGCTGATCCTGGGAATGTCTGAAGCTTCACATCAAATCGCAAAGGACTGTGTTGTCTTTGGCAACCAAATATTTAGTCCTACTGAGATCATAGTTGAAGTAGTGCTGTGGTTGAGAAGAGTATGTCAGTTTGCTGGGAAGAATCAGACCAGAAGACATCATAAATGTTGATCACTGATACTCAGAAAAGTGTGATAGGTACATATTTTATCAAATAAATGAGGCTGTTTTTTACAAATATATAAATAACAAGAAATTGGTTGGATCTCTATTTGTAGGGACATGGGCAAAAAGAGATGGTTCAAAACTTTCCCCATTGTTTAAAGCATACATTTTCATATTACTTGGATAAAAAAAAAAAACTCAAAAAGGGTGCAGTGGAGTATTTTACCAATTCGTAGGAAGTAGAAAGCCTTGTGGACAGTGTAACCTGGATTTCTGTGATACGATGACATGCAGTGGAGGATTCTTCAGCTCCTTCAGCTTTTCCCTGGCTAAAATCCTCTTTCAGATGTAGACAGCACTTTGATCAAGTGGGGGAAAAAAAGAAAACATGACAAAAAGAAAGAAAACTGCAGAAATGCACATCTCTGAAAAGACTGTGTGGTGGTAAGACGTTACACTTACTTTAAAGAAGCTGGGACTGCTTATGCTTGACAGTCCTGTGCAAAAATATCTCAAAACATTGGCTATAAGGCATGTTTGCCAATAGATAATCAATATCTGTCTTTTGTTTGACACCAGAAAAGAAACAAATCAGAGTTGTATCTTTTGCTCTAATGCAAATTTTGCCTTCAGAGACTTCAGAGTTTGCGTTTCAAAGAGAAGAATGTTAATATGGCAGCAGTCTGGTACAAAATAATGATGACTTATAATAGGGCCAGTTGCATCCTTAAACTAATAATTAATATTTACGACAATAGCAGTCTATGTCCAGTGATCTCAGGTCTGGTTTCAAGTGACATCAAGGTCACAGGCGCGAGTCACCAAGGACAAAGTCATGAAAGCCTTTCAATGAAAGGCCGGCATCAGAAGTGCTTAAATTACAATAACAAACAGGCTGAATGCCAATTAGCTGGGTTTATAGATTTATTAAGAGATCCAACAGCCAAGCCTTTGATTTCCAGGTTTTCAAAGCAGCACAATTCAGAGACATCAAAAGAGCCTGATTAAGCGCTCAAATCACGGGTGCATTTCTTTAAAAATGGCATTAAGTACCTTTTAACTGTAGAGTTAGATTCATTTGGAGATACTTGGATGTAAGAGTATACTTTGAAGCTCAAAGGCTGTTTTCACATTGATCTGGGAAGTTTGTCAAGAGTTGGCCAAACTGTGACCTGTGAAATCAAAGCTGGATTTTTAAGTAGTGGTCAACTTGGAAAATCGAGAGCAAAAGTCCCAAAAATTTCAGGTAAATTTTTAAGTGTGTTGCGAATTCAAACAAAAAAATATGTTGCAAATTCAAAACCACTTCTTCACTGGGGTTTAAGTACCAAAGACATAACACAATAGACTTTTCTAAACCTTGTAAAATGAATTAACTCTCTAAGAAGTAATGGCTATCACTAATTCAAATTCAACTTTATTTTCATGGCACTTTTCAAACAAAAAAAATGCAGTTCAAAGTGCCTCACATAGGCTAAAAAACAACAATTAACAACAATAAAATCCGAACCTCCCACCCACACACCCAACCATGGATCCACACACTCACAAAGACACACACCCACCCTTGCTCACCCACACGTACACACACACAAGCGCACACAGTGTGAGAATTTAAGATGTATTGTTAGAGAGACATGGCCTGACATCGAGACATTATGTGAGGAAAGAGCTTCCTCTGGGAAACACAGGAGATAAAGATAAAAAAATAAAAGATAAAAAATAAAAACCTCTAAGATGGGAATTAAGAAAAGGACTAAGAGCAGAGATAATTAATAAAATGACATAAAATAAACATTAAGAACTTCAATTAAAATGAAAATTTGCAATAAGAGAAATATAAAAAGGCAATCAGTAAAAAGCCTGGTTTAAAAGGTGAGTCTTGACTCTCTTCTTAAAAACATCAACAGTCTCTGCGGCCCTGAGGCTCTCCGGCAGGCTGTTCCACAACAGGGGGACCATACAAACTGAAAGCTTCACAATCAATTGTGGATTAAAATCATATGTACTGATGCAAATATTTAAAAAAAAACAAAAAAAACAGTTTGGGACACAGGAAACAGAAATATTTCAGGCCGTCTAGGATGATAAAAATTAACTATGTTATTTTCCTGTTTTGCTCCTGCACTTACCTCTGGATGTTAGCACAGAAAGAAACCTGACAACCTCCTCACATCCCTTTCATCTCTGCTATATCTGTGTATTCATACAGAAAGTTAAAGGCCTTGTATTTGCTCTCCTGCACAATAACCTTCAATATCAATGTTTATCAGAGGGATAATGTTGGGACTAGGTTGTCCTACCACTGCAATACAAGTGTGTGATGGGATCACTGCAAACAGCGGGCAGAGTGGAACAACTGTGTGTGTGTGCAAATCTGAGTGTGTATATGCTTAAAGCGCCTGCTGTGTTTACACGTACAACAATTTTGTGGAATTGCTGTATCAACATAAAATTACAAAAGTGATGACAGCTGAGCTTTGTTATGAGGTTATAGCTATATTAAAGGGCTTTCCCCATCACTGGTATCAGAGACATGTGTATAACTTTCACATTGTGCAGCACAGTTATGTAGTTTTCATGTCATTCTGCAAAACCCAAGTTGGGAAATTGTGATAAACGTAAATAAAAACAGAATACAATGACTGGCAAATCTTTCGCAACCTATATTCAATTGGATACACTACAAAGACAAGATATTTAATGTTCAAACACATAAACTTTATATATATATATTTTTTTGCAAATAATAATCAACTCAGAATTTCATGGCTGCAACACATGACAAAGTAGTTGGGACAGGGGCATGTTTCCCACTGTGTTACATCACCTTTCCTTTAACAACACTCAATAAACGTTTGGGAACTGAGGAGACTAATTGTTGAAGCTTTGAAGGTGGAATTCTTTCCCATTCTTGCTAGATGTACAGCTTCAGTTGTTCAACAGTCCAGGGTCTCCGTTGACGTATTTTACGCTTCATAATGTGCCACACTTTTTCAATGGAAGACAGGTCTGGACTGCAGGCACGCCAGTCGAGTACCCGCACTCTTTTACTATGAAGCCACACTGTTGTAACACGTGCAGAATGTGGCTTGGCATTGTCTTGCTGAAATAAGCAAGAAGGGCGTCCATGAAAAAGACGTTGCTTGGATGGCAGCATATGTTGCTCCAAAACCTGTATGTACCTTTCAGCATTAATGTTGCCTTCACAGATGTGTAAGTTACCCATGCCTTGGGCACTAATGCACTCCCATACCATCACAGATGCTGGCTTTTGAACTTTGCATCTATTACAGTTCGGATGGTTCTTTTCCTCTTTGGCCCGGAGGACATGATGTCCACTATTTCCAAAAACAATCTGAAATGTGGACTCGTCAGACCACAGAAAACTTTTCCACTTTGCATCAGTCCATCTTAGATGAGCTCGGGCCCAGAGAAGCCGGCGGCGTTTCTGGATGTTGTTGATAAATGGCTTTCACTTTTCATAGTAGAGTTTTAACCTAACAGTGGTTTTCTGAAGTGTTCCTGAGCCCATGTGGTGATATCCTTTACACATTGATGTCGGTTTTTTGATACGGTGCCGCCTGAGGGATCGAAGGTCAGGGGCATTCAATGTTGGTTTCCAGCCGTGCCGCTTATGTGCAGCGATTTCTCCAGATTCTCTGAACCTTTTGATGATATTATGGACCATAGATGTTGAAATCCCTAAATTTCTTGCAATTGTACTTTGAGAAACGATCAACTATTTTCTCACGCAGTTGTTCACAAAGTAGTGAACCTCGCCCCATCCTTGCTTGTGAATGACTGAGAATTTTGGGGAAGCTGCTTTTATACCCAATCATGGCACCCACCTGTTCCCAATTAGCCTGCTCACCTGTGGGATGTTCCAAATAGGTGTTTGATGAGCATTCCTCAAATTTATCAGTATCTCCGTATTTGCCACCTTTCCCAACTTCTTTGTCACGTGTTGCAGCCATCAAATTCTAAAGTTAATGATTATTTGAAAAAAAAACCCTTAAGTTTATGAGTTTGAACATTAAATATCTTGTCTTCGTAGTGTATTCAATTGAATATAGGTTGAAAAGGACTTGCTAATCATTGTATTCAGTTTTTATTTACGTTTATCACAATTTCCCAACTCCAATGGAATTGGGTTTTGTATTTGTATTCCTCTGTAGTCTCACATGCATGGCCCAAAATAAGCAGAAAACACCAATACCACAGTATAGAAGCAAGTCTGTTTAATTCACCAATGGACAACAGGATTCATATCGCATCACACATTATACACATATCCCTTACAGCAAAATACGCACTCAGCACTCACAGATGAAAAATCAATCAAAAATTGGGAATCCTATCACTGCAGGAAAATAAATATGGACCGGGATGTGGATGTTGGTGTACAAGGGTGAAAGTGTGTATGCTTTAATACATCAGTTTCAGGCTGTAGTGTCCAGCTGGTGTATGTAGTGTTTCATCACTTAGAAATGCTGGTTGTGTACATGAAGAAAGCTTCACAGATGCTTTCCTAACACCTCAAATAAAAGTCTTACATCTATGATCTAAGCATGAACTACTTTGTGTGTCGTCGAATCATACCTGAGAGCTGTATGTTAAAGACTTGAACAGCTGTAAGAGGTACGTGTAAAAAGTTATTTCCAAACCATCCTTATTAATACCACAATTACACAACAAAGGCAAGGCAACAAAACAACACAAATCATACATTAGTAACCACTGCATACCTCATTTGAGTGACAAAGGCAAACCATGGCTCTGACGATTGTGTAGGAAACAGACCAATTAGTCCCTGATTCAAGACACTTCTCATTACAATTTCATGTTTTGGTGAGAAATTAAGAATTATGATAAATAAAGCAGATAAGTAACAAAATCTCAAAGAAAAAATATATTTGACAGGTTCTGTATCGAGAACTGATTCCTGTTTTTTATCCCACATTGTAACACAATACGTGTGGTCATTATTTAGCTACTGGCTACTTGATCATGAGAGGAAGATGTGAAAACAAGCTATCCCACCTGTTGAAAGGATTCCCTTTATACCATGCTACCAAAAGTTTAGTGTATGAATGCCTGAGCTTAAAACAACTGAGAAATAAATACATCAAATTATTAAAAAACCAACACTGAACTACCTTTATCTTTGGGTGTAACAGATACATTCGCCAATGTTAAAAAATCATCCCCAAAGCCTGATCGTTTTTTTTTTTTTCGCAAATGCATTCAGGTTGCAATTCAGAAATGAGCTTGTGCAACAGGTCCAGTAGTTAAGTACCAAAAACCCCTGGTACTGTCTTTTTCTGATTTGCTTCTCTCTAGCATATTCTGTTGGTCTAGCCTAAAACAACTATCGTCACAAAAGCTACAGATATAAAAGAAATAGCCCTCTGCTGCGCGTTTACTGAAAAGGAGTTGAATAAGGAGAATAACTTGAAGCCCCTGTGAGGAGTTTTTGATATTCAGAAAACAGTTATTAATGCCTCTATGCGATAAACAAAGGTAAACAAGAAGATGACGGGAGTATAATTCACGCAAGTTTAAGATGCATTTTGTTTCAATGTCTCTAAGAAAATAAAGATTCAACCAGTGGTTCTACATAAAGACATCTAATCTGTTTAGCAAAGTCAACAATGTGAGGTTTCTGTGCGACTGTGTGGTACCATCTGTTTTCAGTATCTTGCTGGGCACCATCAGTGTACATTTGCTTAGCCTATGGTGGCTCTGATGGCCCATGACTCATCTCCTAACACTAATGCCATCTCTTTATGTTGTTCACTTGTGTTGAGGAGTTTTTTTCAATTATGTGCAGCATTCTGCAAAGTTTATTTACTAATCCTATGGCAGGTTTTTTTTAAGTGCATGATAATAATCTAATGAGGGGAAAGCTGGTGAAGAAAAAAGCTGCACTGGTCCACCTTGATATGTATCTAGCATGCTTTGTGTAGTCAAGCAGTTGCTTCCTCTTCTTGGTAAAATACCCTCTCACATCCAAATACCACTCTTTGCATTTAATACTGGTATACTGGTTGGTATATAGAGCGCAACTTACTTTAGATGACACGAAAGTTACTAAAACTGTGTCTTATACACTGAATTTTAAAATTTTGAGCAAACGTGCTACTTATGCAGATGAGGATGAAGTCCACAGGGGGGCGCCAGAGCAAAACAAACTGAGAGTTCCTCACAGGAGCTTTAAGAAGAAACTTTTGAGGATTTTTTTTCACAGTTTTGTGCTGTAACTGTAAGATCATTTTTAAAGTCTTTTTTTTTATCAATAGAACAATTCATCTGGCCCTCTTTAAATAAATTTAGACAGCAAGTCTAAGGCTATGTTCATACTGCAGGTCAATTCCGATTTTTTAACCATATGTGACACATATCTGATTTTTTCATCTAAGTGTGAACAGTGCAATTCAGATTTTTTCAAATCCGACCCAGGCCTCTTTTGTCTGTGGATATAAATTGGACATGTACCCGATGTGACTGCAGTGTGGATGTTCCGGTCACGTTCATCCGACCTATACGTCATCAATATGCGACAAACTTCACCATTGTTTGACAACACAAACAGCCGCTGAAAGCAATTTGTGCTTTGTGCGCATGTGGGTCACTTCACGGACGCATTCCGTTCACATAAGATGCCGTATTCATTGTTGTAATGTGAACGACCGCACAAAAAGATGCATTTGACAGAAAATCAGAATTGTGCATCATAACCTGCAGTGTGAACGTAGCCTAACAAACTCCTATATCTGTTATTAATGTAAAGTTTTTCTAGGTGCCTAATTTTTAAGCAACAAATTCTAATAACACTCCCAACTACAACTGGAAACGCAGTTTTTTGCAGCATTATTTTAGCTAATGTTAGTTTTTTTTTTTACATTTGCTGCAAATACTGATTTTTTTTCCTTTTGTGCAACGTTTACACACTTGAAATAGGTCCTTCCCAAACTCTGGGAATCAAACAATCTTTAAGACTTTTCTTTACTCACTGTACTCTCCAAATCAGACAGTGCTGAAGCACAGCCTCGCTCTGAATAACCTGACATCAATTATTTACATTTTACAATCACATTAAATTCTGTTCAGAAGTCCTGAAGGAAGGCTCTTAGGCTTAAAAGACGTACCTCACATTTTCCTGCACAAACAGGTTTTTAAACTGGCAGCAACAAAGGGTTAAACTAATAAATACAACAAATAAGAAGGACTGTAACATACAACCAAAAAAAACTTACAATCAGTATCATCAAATCACAATAAGGTTCACATGCCGTTTAACAAACAGTGGGCTGAATCCAACGTCAATCTGTTTGGTTACCATAAGGTTCAGGACAATAAGAATGCAGCGGTTTAGTTGAATAAATAAATCCAGTACCGTTGTTATGTAGTGATGGAGAGAGAAAAGGGAAAGGGACGTGGAGGAAAATCATGTGAACTGAAGGAAAAGAGACGAACAGGAGGGTAGAAAAGGCAGACGCTTCACTCTGGAGCCCCGTTTGTTGTTCCTGTCATCCTCTCTTCATCCCCCTGTTTCTGATGCTGCAGTCTGGCATAAGTCACTGCGTCTCCCCTGAGAGGAAACAAAAGAAAAAAAGGGGGAAAGGTGCGAAAAGGAAGAGTAAAAGAAGTTATGAAGAAGGGGGAGGGGGATAAAAACAAGGAAAAGCGGGTATGACGGGAGGAGAGGACAGTGTTAATTGGAAGGTTATCACCTTGTCAGAAGTTAATATGAGTAAATTAAGAGGCTCATTAACGCTGTTAGACTTCCAAGCTTGTTAACTGGTAATAAAGTGAAGAGCTGCATTTAATAGGAGAGCCTGTTTTACGATATATGGGGGGGAGACATAAAAGTATACGAGTTATGACAAAAAATTCAACATTTCTCCAAAAACACACTGAAATTTAGTTCAAATTAAGGACATATATCACCATTTTTAAACAAACTTTTATAGCATCTATTACAAGTTATGAGCAAACAGATGTCTGTCTTACTTTTTGCCCAGAGATGCGAGGCCGTACAGCACTCCAGTAGCAAAGGCGATGGCATTTCCAAATAAAGTTGTAAAGGAGAAACTCAAAAAAATGGGAAAGAGAGCCATCCTGAAAAAAAAAAAAAAAACAGAGAAAAAGACAAAAAAAAAACTGTGATAAGTCGTATGAAACACATGCTGTACTGTAGATACAAAGTATATCTCTACAATGTTAATAACTATCAGAAATTTAATGTCCCAAAACTTTCAGACTTTCCATGACACAAAAAGCGAACAATGCACAGTTGTGCTCACCCGCAGTAGAAGATGGCTTTCTGCCAAGGCTTGAGTTTGTCCGCGCGGGCTGCTATTGCATTAGCAAACTCTATAAACTGGCAGCAGAATGGGACTTCACATAGAAACAGCACGAAGGCGTTCAACCTTGAGAGGAATGGACACAAACAGAGCAGTGAATCAAACTGTGAATCTTGTACAGCTCTGCTTCAAAGCAGTGGGACAGACCTGCTGACCCATGATGTAGTTTTGATCAATCAGAAGATCAATCAGTATTTATAAGATAACAGTGAGTACATTGGTGGAATTTAGCCTGTGAGTTCAAGGATGCTGAAGATTTCAAGTTTGTTCTTTTTTAGCGGCCCCTTTGGCAATAAACAGTAATGTTTTCTGAATCTTATGCACATTTAACTTAAGTTTGTTTGTAAAGTAGAAACCAGCATATGGCTTATCTGAAAACTATACTCAAAAGACAGGAGAGTACGTAAACAACTGCCAAATAATCTCACTAACACAGATGTAGTTTCTTGCTTATTTGTCAATGATTTTGAATTGATTCCTATAGACGGGTTTCTGTGCAACGTCGTTGCAGGTATGCGTGCAGAGTCAGGGGGCAGCAAAGCAGGACATTTCTCATTTGCTTACTGGCGGAGTCAACGAAGAAAAAAATGACAAGGATCCGTTGTGCTGTAAACTGCACGAATTGGCAAAACAAACAATTGGCAAACATTACGACCCTGCTCCTGATATTAGAACATCTAAAACAACGTCACAACATGTTAAATTGAGTGAAATTCATGGACATTTCAGCAAGTGTTTTTCTGATTTTGATGCAATGAAAGACAAAGCGATTTTTCAATGAAATGACATTTTATTGCAATTGTGTCAGGGAGAACTTGCAAACAATACGGCATCTTCATTGATATCAGTTCACTCCAAAGCAGGCTTTTGCCCCCTGGTTGCACGCACATCTAGTGTTGTTTGTACACAAAAAAACCCATCTATTTGAGTTAGACATTTCTCATTTTGTGAAATCCTCCAAAAAATAACCTAAAATCATGTGAGAAAGATGAGTTATTTATTCTTGTATAAGAAGCTCCTGTGTTTCTTTTACATTTTTTTTTCAAATACCACATATCTATCAAATCTTTCCAGGTTAATTCATTGCCTGCGAATCAACCAGCAGTTTAAATAACTACCTAGTTTAGCTTTGGAAGAATCCTTGGATTCAAGGTTGAACAAAATGAAAAAGCAGCAGACAGGCTGGACTGTAAATTCATGTGTGTTTCAAGCTGACTACTGACTAAGCTTTCAATGCGATCAGAACTTTTTTCTTGTAAGGAGAGAAAAAAAATTGTCACAATAGTATCTTGAGCAAATCAAAGCCATTTTTGGCTCGACATTTTCATGAGAACGATTTCTCTACACCTGTGTCACTTTAGATGCAGGTGTGGCCACATGATACAGGAGACTACAGCTCACTCCTATTGTAAGGTTATACTTTAAGAAGGAATGTAAACGCACGGGCAAATCAAGTGTAGCACATGAGACACGGGCCCTGTTACAACATCAGATCATCTAAGCTGTAAAACTCCAACAGTTGTCAAAAGCTTTAGTTATTTTTCAGTTTGCGTGCTAACAGTTAACTGGAAATAATTTACATCTGTGTGCGTCTGTGATATCTGGGCTAAACTGCAGCATAACAGTCAGAGTATTGTCTTTTTAGCAGATTAAATGATCGTCAGGCTGTTAAAAACAACACTCTCTTTATGCTGCTCAACCCTGAAAGCTGAATGGATCTAATTTTAACCCGAAACACAAAGACTCATGATGTTGAAATACAGCAATTTGTACTGCAGAGAGAAATTATTTTATTCCTGTATACAAAAAGAGTTAACAAATGTCATGTACTTTGGCAAAAAAATATGCATGTTCCATGAGGAAAGTGTAACAGACTTACACCATCCACACTCCTGCAGCGATATTTAAAGGGTTCACAGTTACGCAGTTCCACACTCCGGAGACCGCACAGGCTGCATGATAAAAAAACAAAAACAAAGAAAAAAAGTGATTAACATGATTACAAATCTCACAGTTTGTGCCATTATATATAAAAAATCTGGCTTTACCATTCATTTAGGAAATCTATTTACAATTTTTGTGAAGGTTAAAACATTATGGAAACAACTGTGTGTATATGTTTAAAAATTAAGCTCAGTTTTTCCGTTACTACTTGATTAAAATTGAAGGTGTAGAAGTAACAACACAAGTAAATCAACAATAAATACCTGATTAAGTATTAACCAAATGGATATGCAGACATGGAATTGAAAAATCACACCAGAACATAATTTTTATTGATTTTTTCCCCTAGCAAATCCATCTCTGAAAGACATCAAGAAACGCAGAAGTATATCTTAATCTATCGGTGATTATAAAACCTGCTTAGTCTAGTCTTAACATAAATTACTCTGACGCTCATTCTTACTGGTCCAGACAGTTTTTAACCATTTATTATGGTCTGTATGCTTATTCCTGTGTTTCACACACTGGACAAATGGAAGCTGCGTCTACCAAATGTTTGACTACCCCCTGTCTGAATTTTGTGCACACTGCAATATAAGGTTAGCTCCAGGAATATTAACACGCACAGGTTCACTGTTAATTAAACTGCTGATTTTCACAATGTTGTGGGGAGGCTGTAAAAATCATGTTAATATTATTTTAAAGGCTGTAATTTAACATGAGAAGCATCACACAGTATAGAGAGTGTGAGATAAGGCAATCAACACAGAGGCTCTTAAACAACAATCGGCCTTGAAGTATGAAAAAACAATATTGTATGGACAGTAACATACTGCAAAGAAGTAAAAAAAAAAATCAGTTTTTCTGGAAATATCAAACCCCTTCTACATGCAGAGTCTGCAGATTACAAACAACGAACAACAGACTGAGTTTGTCTGGCCAAACACTTACTGATCTAATGAGATTAATGATGGGTACAGCCAATAAGGGTGTGTCCCCTTTAGGTACTATCGGCTTTGTTGTATTTTGTATCCTGGCTCAATGACACACACACGAACAGGACATGTTAAGGCTGATATTCTGAATAGTTTGAGTTTTCAGTAAATCTGCCTGTCAGTTTTATGATAAATGGTTCAGTTTGCACAACATTAGGAAGTTAGTTACTGCTGACATTTCACAGAGCTTAAGCTAAAATACTGACATAGTTTGTCCGGTCAAACCTGAAGTACAAAACCAATATAGATGTGTGAAAGGAAGGCTGGAATAAATGCATGTTTGGAGCTGACTTCTTAAGGAAAACCTTTATATATTTACAAAGCTCAATTATAAACCATTTATTTATATAACTATATTGCATTTCTAAGGAACACATGGATTGATATTCAACTATAATGCAAAACTATCTGGTGTTATAGAACTTTTCAAAGCCAGTCCAATCCCTTATGCTGAATGAGACAATCCTATGTCTTTAAGAGTCAACGCACACTCACAGCAGTTTCAGTTCGAACGTCACAGTGAAAGACATGAGCAAATATGCCAAGTGTCACTGTGAACTGTCAGCACAGATAGGCCGCACAAACAGTGGAAGAGCCAGGTAGCATATCCTGCTCCTTTGGACCGTGCAGCCTCCTTAATAATACAGAGCCACATTGAATATGCAGTGCTCTAGGTGGTGAATGTGATACAGGCAAAGTGACTCTGGTGTCACTGTGGAGGAGGGAGCTGCAATGCTGCTGGAAAAGTGCAAAGCCAGCAGCAGTCACAATCACACTCACTCACACTCTTGCAGGGAGAAAAACACTTGCAGTAGGAAAGAGTGCGATCTCATCATTGAGTTCGTTTAGAAATAAAACTCATGAATAAGAGAGAGGAAAAATAGGAGCACCAATGCTTAACAGTGAGGGTAAAATGGGCGTTGACAGCTTTGGTCTAACCTGAGCAAACAATTACAATGGATTTAAAGCACCCCAAACCACCCCTTATCCTTATATTATGAGGGACTAAAAAAAGGGTACAGACTGCTAAAATCTATTATTTAAGGTGTAAATTGCAGCAAAGTGCACAAAATCATGCTAAATGTTGTTTAAGGCTGGTGCATCATGAAGCCATTTATATAAGGGAACTATAGAAGACTTTGTTACAGACTATTAATCATTTACCTATAATCAAAAGCATATTTATTAATGGGCTTGCAGAAAATAACAGCAATTTGGAATTATCAGTCAAGATGCAGATTAAAAGATTAACAAATAATATCTGCAGACACTACAGGCAGGTTCGGGTCATTTAATAGATGGTATATTGACAGGCAGTCGGGCTGGGCGATTAAACGATAATGATATCAAAAAATTAATTTCCCCCGATATGAAACATGGTCAATGTACTTTTGGATAACAGGCATTCTGCCGTGTTTTGGTAGACTATACCGTCGAAAAGGGGAGTTGATCTTGGTCGTGCCGCACTAAACCAATTGTGCTGAATTACAACCAAGTAGCAAATATCTGCATAGTAGCAGGTTGCAGGGTCCATGTATTATCAGTCCATTCAATTATTTCATTCAATCTAGTAAACGAAAAACGAAAAAAATCAGTCAATATCCTGTTTATTTGTTTTTCTGTATAACCAAACAATAAAAAATTAGTGTTTGTTTTCATATTTTCAGGTAAAAACAGAATATGTAGCAGAGAAGGAAACGAAAACAAAATAATAAATCTTATTTACAATTATTGATTTGGAGTGCGCCTGTTTTGAGCATACGTGCATGGAGGCTACATTGGCCTTCCCATGATTCTCAGTGACAGTTACCATGGCGAAAGATGCGACAGAGCGCCAAAAGCTTACGTTGTAACAGAGCTCTGGTAGTAATTTTTTCTACAGTCATGTGTTCCTCTTTCAGCGTGACCCTCCTGGCGGCTCTGGATAATACATAGGGTGCGTCCATCTCCATGACAGCAGGTTAGCCTTTCTCTACCACTCTGGCCTGGAGTTTTTGGTCAATGTTGTTGGCTACTTTGTTGCACAATGCACATGTGCGAACAGTAGAAAGGCCCCATGGGAAATGAGGACATCAATAACCCGAAAACGAAAAGTAGATGTATTATTTTGTTTTCATTTCCATCTCTATTATATATTCTGTTTTGAACTGAAAATATGAAAACAAACACTAATTTTTTTTTTTAGTTATATAGAAAAACAAACAAAATATTGACTCATTTTTTCATTTTTTTGTTTACTAGATTGAATGGAATAATTGAATGGACGGATAATACATGGACCCTGCAGCTACACACAACCATAGCACTTCAACACGTGAAGCCATCGTTGACAACACTGGCGAGAAAACGTCGGTGGTGAGGAGGTATTTTTTTTTTTTTTTGAGGTTGGACATGAAGCAGAGTAATGTGCACTGCAAATTATGTCGAGTACATATCAAATTTTATTAAGAGTAACAGGGAACAATTAAGATTGACAAGTCCTTTTATTTTTCCATCGTGATACATAGGACTGGGTGATTATATGATCGTTAACAATAATCGTGATAAATTTCAGTTCAATCACGATGATCAGCTGTGAGCATATTTACTCAATCAAACATAGCAGAAATGTGCGTCCCAACAGCCAATCAGAGTCGAGCTTTTCCTGCTCACTTCTGTAAGTTGCCAGAGAAGTAAACAGGAGAAGTAAACAGAATGAAGAGCTAAACGAACGTGGAGCTAAACGCGGAGTCGAGAGCAGCAAAATATATGTCAGCCATTGCTTTGAGTCATCCTCCAAAGATGACATTCTAGTGAAAAAAAGTTAGTCAATGTCAGTTGTGTGGCAGTGGTTCGGGTATCTCCAAAGTGATGTCAAGCAATTAAGCCGATGTGTAAGGTATGTCGGAGGTCGGTGCCCTCAAGAATTGGCAACACAATAGATGTGTTAAATCATTTGAAGAAGTTCGTCCCGATTGATTATGCAGAAAGCATGAAATGCTAGCGGAGTCTGCACAGTCTGTCACTGCTGACAGTATGAGTAGCATTAGCAGTTTAGCTACAACTAGCAGTGCAGTCACCAGACCATAGCAGCAATTACTGGTATCATCTACGTTTACATCATCTAATGTTTACATTTTAAGGCGTCTTTTTTATCGCTGAGGGGGCGTTTTGTTTATTTTGGATCTTGCATACCTGCAAAAACACTAGTTCACTGTAATATCTAGTATTCATCTACTTTTGTTGTATGTTGAGTTAAAATGTTTTTTATATTTTTCCAAGTGTATCATATTCAATTTGCTTTGTTATTTACTTTGTACATTAATAAAATAATTAACTGATATCTAGTTTCTTTCGTTTTTAGTACAGATGCTTTAAAACTGGCAGTTTAAAAAAATCATAATAATACTCGAGATGGGACGATATGACAAAATATATTTTGATCGTCTTTTAAACCAAATCACCCAGGCCTAGTGATACATATCAATATTGACTGATATGAAAAAAACACATCATGATAAACTTTTTCCCTTTTTGCCCAGCCCTAACAGGCAGTAAATAAAGTTGTATTTTCATGCGTGTATTTTGTCAGGTGCAAAAACATAAACGTGATATCAGCATTATACATCGGCCTTCAGCTGACCTGCTCTCCGAGTATCGGCATCAGCCTCTGTAATTCCGATATCGGTCGTCCACTGCTCATGATACAATAGAAAAGATAAGATGATAACTTTGACAACTACTTACATATTCCTCCCAAAACGCCTGCTATTTTGCAGAGCCATCGGTACCACCATGTCATGCCATCGTCGTCCACGGTGGCTTTGGTGGACGCTGCAGCCTCCTCAGAGCTCATTGTTTGGTGCTCGCTGTTAGCTGATGCTACCCGGATCCAAGACTTACAGATGTTAGCCTGAGGTGGCTTAATAATAGCTAAAGTTAGATAGCTATGCTCGTGAAACTAACTACCAAGAAGCTTCCTCTACAAAACAACAGACCCTATTACATGTATAAAACTGAACTCAAACTTTTCATCTTCTTTCTTCTTTGTCTGGTGGTGTTGGGGTTGTTGTCTGATGCTCACAGCCGATTTTCGCGCAGCTTTCCCCGGTCAGTCCGATGCAGCTAACCCGGCCAGCTGAGGCTACCAAACACCGCCACCAGCTGCCGCTAGGAGAGGATATCTCACCGCTGTTTCCGTCCTTAACTATCCAATTGTCTCGTACATGAACAAAAGCTACCCTAAACCCTTTTAATTGTAATCCTGTTCAGTAAACAGAAGCTTTGTTCAGATTCACCTAGCTCTCCCGTTGTTCTCCTCCCTGCCTCCCCAGGCGGTGTCAGCGGTGCATTGTGGGAGGGATTTCGTCCACGTCATGATTTGTTTACATGCAGAGGTTGAGATCAGCTGAGTAGATGATATGATCAAAACTGAAGCATGCGTTCATATTAATGATAGCGTCCACATTATTCATCTAAGGGAAGCAGTTTTGTGGATTCATGTGTTTTTTTTTAGAAATTGAAATGAAGACGTGTTGGTTGTAATTTCAGGTCCCCAGTAGGGGAGAGTGGGGTAAGTTGAACCAAAGGGTAAGTTGAGTCACCCCCTGTTACTTGGAAATGGTAAAATAAAATTGATCATGTGACCAAATATTTAGGAGATGGGCATCAATTCATGGAGTCTGTGAAGGTTAGAAGCACATGGGTGAAGGGGTTAGACATTTATGTACAAAAAAAAAACATTTTTCACTCGTGAAGTGAATTTAGTCTGTTGTAAGCATATACTGTATATACTATGGACAACTCAGTTCCGCCTCTCGCCTGTAAATGAATTTGAGGCCAAAAAGCTCTCGGTATTACCAGGATTTTTCTTCATTTCCTGAAACCAGCGCCACGCAGTTGCATTGTGCGCATTCGGCGGGAGAGTCGCCGAGAGTCGCTGTGATGACGCTCAGCTCAAACACCATATCCCCCGGGTGAGCTACGCAATCTCTGAACGCCAATAGGCTGTATCAGGTGTCAATCATAGAAAACATGAACCCCCTAATAACTTTTAAAAACAGAGCTTCACAGAAAAAAGAGGACTTGAGCACAAACCAGTCTTACTGTAACTACATGTCAACATCACAAGCAGGGGGGGGGGAAATATGTTCTGTGCAATAAATTTCTAAAGTTTGTACACATAACAACAGCTCCATAGGCTTTGCTGGCAGAGGTGGTATTTATGACCTATACTTCAGCCCGTCAACAGAGGGTGCTGTTCTCGGAGTGGCTTCACCCAGCAAGGAGGCAGACGCTGTCCATTCTATATACAGTCTATGGTCACAAGTTTTATTAAAAATGTGTTCAGACCAAAAAAGATCATTTTAAATTTGTTTTATACAACAATTGTGGTATATATGAGCTACAACATGAGGTCAAAAACCTGGAATAAAAGTCCACCATTTTATCTTAGAGGACTAATAAAGTCATAATAGTAGTTCAAGGGTAAGTTGTAAGTAAAGAAGTCTGAAGATTGGATCAGAGTTTCAGTTCAGATTGTTGAAATGTTTCACTTTTTCTTTTCAAAAATACAGCTGTGAATGTTCTGATTCACTTAAGGGCATTCTCATGTTAAAATGTTTTTTTTATAAAACAGCTTTTTAGCATTTATATGCAATAATAATAAAAAGAATTATTGTATCAGTTGAATAGCATATAATAGATAAAAATACACGTGAATGTGAAGAAGTGACTGTTATTTAGGGACAGAGAAGGTGAGGGAGGACTGGGGTGGAGAGTGGCAGAATAGTAGGGACACAGCTCAACTGATCCCGCTCCTATGGGGGGCTCATAGACCACTTTTTTTTTTGGCATGCTATATTATTAAGACAGTTCTGTTTACAGTCATTCTGTTGGTTTGCAGGGGTGCACAACATCCTGAAATATATGTAAATACACTACTTAGAGACAAAACTATGATTGCCTTGATGTAGTGATCCAAAATATGAAAAATGGCTCATCTTACCCCACTCTACCCTAAAATTATGGCCTGAAGCCCAAAATCCTATTTTTTATGAACGTCGAGGTGAATAGTATGGGTATGTTTACATTTGTGTCTTTCATTAAAAAAATAATCACCTACCTTTGGCTAAAAAAAGTGAATTTTGTGTGATGTGAGGTGACTCTTGAGGTTTGCAAAAAAAGTGAAGTAGAAAATACCCTCTTTTTGTAATCATGCCTCTTCAAAAATATCTGTCTCTGACATTTGCTGGGGAATCCAAAATAAGATTTTTGAGTTAGGGTATATACTGTATTTCAAAACCATACTGGATATATGAGTGATATCCATACATGTTCCTCTGTTTATCCAGTGTCAGGTTGCAGGGGCAGCAGTCTAACCAAGTAAACCCAGACCTCCCTCACTCCAGCAACACTTTCCACCTCCTCTTCTCAGATCCGAAGGCATTGCCAAGCCAGGTGGGATATATAACCCTTCAAACAAGCTTTGGGCCTTGGAGGTCTCCTTCCAGTTGGACAGCTCAGCTCTATCCACCTGTCAATCTCATGGCCCATTTTGTTATCACTATTGAAAAAGACCCCGAGACACTTGAACTTGCACGTTTGGGGCAAAGACTCACTCCCCACTGTCCACCCCTTTCCGGCAGAGAAACATAGTCTCGGATTTTGATGTGCTGACTCATCCCAGCCAGTTTGCAATCAGCTGCAAGCTGCCCCAATGCCTGCTGGAGGTCACAGCCTGGAGACGCTAACAGAACCACATCATCTGCAAAGAGCAGCTATAAAATTCTGAGGCTTTAAGATTTCACCAGCAGCTTTCGAATCAAAGCAAAACAAAACACATTTTGATCATTATTAAATTAGCAGCGTGACTTTAATAATTCTTGACATTTCTATACAAAAACATTCTTCCCAACACTTACAGCTAAACAATCTGTACTGGTTTACTTTGAATTACTTGTGGGAGTTCCTCTCAGCAGCTTTCTACTGAAGCAGAAACATGAACTGCCTTTTAATCAGATGTTACATGGGAAAAGGGACACAAGTCGAATCTGTATAAGGAAGGACTTTGATTGTGTTTCAGGAGATTAGATGAAACAATTCATCAAAGTCAAGTCCAGCATTTGTTAGATCTTAAAGTGGAAGCAAGCTTATTAATGGCTCAGTTCCCATCACTCCGACAGCAGAGTGGACCGTGGAAATTTATTTTTTTTGCCTCTTCTCCTCTCCATAGTTATTGATCCCTGTTTCCTCCTCCCTGACGGTGCGTGGCAGAGCATGTCATCGAGGGTCTGCTGGGTCACCTGACCGGCTTGCACAAGCCGAGTCTTTATCTGCTCCACTTGCCCCTTCAATTTTACGCCCTCACTTTGCAGTATTAGCATGTCTATCTGAAAACACACAAAAGGGGTAATCTTCAACAGAGGTTTGATGGTTGTTTTATCGTATTTGAAGTATAATAGTATAATCTCATAATTTTTTCAATTTAAAAAAATTATTTGAAGCAGTGTTACTAAGTGGAGACACATTAAGTTTCTATACCTCTAGCTTAATAACCATTCCAAGTTTTGTTTAATTTTCCGAGTTTAAGTTACATCTGAGTCTTTAAAGTCTCACTCACCAGCTCCAGAGAAAATTCAGTCTTCTTTACAAAAGCTGGAATTTTAGGCAATAAGGCTTCAGACAGCATGGCCAGCGCACTTTTCGTTCCTCCAGCCTTTATTAGCAACAACACCTAAGTCACAAATTGCAAAACTGTTCATTATTGAACAAGAAGAACTGAATAAATACTGTCTATTTTAGCACATAAAAGTGATGCAGCTTTACCTTCAAATTCTGGCATAACTTGCTGTCGGTGTTTATTATTTGAGAAAACCATTGTTCTGCCTTTTCAATATCATTCTGGGACAAAAAAGGAAACAGATGGTTGGTTGGTTAGATGGATGGTTTGCAATATCATCCACATCTGTTTCAGGAGTTAAAGAAACACAGGAAAGAGGTCAGACTTACCTGGTTGATTGCTAGTGCTACAGCAAAGCAGTAAGCCTGCCTGGGGATGAGGCTGCTTTTGCTTTGCTGCTCCTCTATCACAGATGTACAGATCCTATACGACTCCGGTGTGTTCTGTCCAACATGAAACAGCAAAGGAGAACAACTAAGATATGTTTTCACACACACCATGAGGACTGCAACAAAAATATCTGCATGCTGCGAAATTCATTTTACCAGTTTGTAGCAGGTGCCAAATGCCAGTGTCAGTGTATCTTTAGTGAAATATATTCCTCGGCTCTTCATGTCTCCTAACAGCTTCAAGGCTTCTGTGAAAGTCAAAATTGAAATTGAAAGTTGCACCCAAGTCAATGCAATGCTCATGAAAGGCATTATCAACATATAAGTCTCAGAAACAACTTTTCCATAGCACCAAAGTTCAAAACAACATAATCCTAGCCCCCTTTTAATGCAATCAATAGAGGGGCCAAAACGACTCACACAGTTCAACAGAAAATTCATCATCAATGAAAATAAATACCTGTGCAGTGTTTCTGTGAATACAAACAGCATCTAAGTACTTGACCTACTTAACCTACCTTGCTCCCAGTGTGTGTCCTCCACTGGTGTATGATTCGTACATCACTTTGGATAAAAGTGTGTGCTAAATGACATTAAAATTGTCATTGTGATTGAAAAAAAATCAACACACACAACCCTACAAGAGCTTTAAATCTTTATTGTGTTGTAATTGACACTTCATCATGTATGGCTTCTTTGAATCAAATGTAGCTTGGTCTTTTCTCCTCCTACTTTCACCCTGTCTTCATTTATCAATTAAGAGGAACTTACGATACCCCTGAGCACTTGCACTGATTATTGGGGATGTGAGAGTGTGTACAAAATGAGTAACCCGGTGTGATAAATCATTGAGATGATATTGAGATTATTTATACCTTAAAATGTACGGCAGAATTTCAATAATAAAACCATCTTTTACATGTCTTCCCTGGTCCGATTTGAACCATGAAATTCATATTGTGCTTCTTTACTCTACAGGAATAAACTTTGAGAGGTTAACCTGTGACGTACCTTCATAAGAGCCTTTTGAGAATAACATGTCTACGACGATATTATGGGAGGTTGTATCTTTGAAGAATCCTCTCATGTTCTGTTCAAACAGGAGAAGAAGAAATGTTATCAGTCTAGGTTTACGCCTACAACAGCATCAGCCATGTCTTTTATTCCCTTCTTCTGGCATTTACTAATTGTGACAGTTTTGTATGGTTTAAGGATGTGTTACCTTATCTGTGAGAGTAGAAGCAGCCATGTCCTCCAAACCCAGCTCATAACACTGTCTCATGAAGATAGGACCAAAATTGTAATCTCCTTGAGGTGTATTCTGGTTCTCTGCATGGTAACTTGGAAGCAAAAATTCAAGGATCATTCAAACATGATTCAGTTAATGAGCAATGACAATAAAAAGCATATCAAGAATATTTGTTCTCTTCAGTTAAGTGGGTCACTTCCCTTTATCTAATGTTTGTGATATACAACACAGCAAGTGCAACATATTTGGATAATTAACACTGAATGTAGATTACAAGATGAGTTGCAGTTGACACCAGGGAAGCTGCTGTCTAAGTGATAAACTCCTCTCCATAGCCGAATCCCTCTAGTTTTCATTTTTGACAAGTTTTTCTAATGGTTAATATTAAACCAGCAGAGGTCTCCACACAAGTAATCCAGTAATACCAATGAAAACGAAAAAAAATGAATCTTTACTGGAAAATCAGTGTCTCTTCGTCACTCTTTCCCCTACAAGTACAGTGGCATTTATTCCTTTAGTTTAAAGTTGTTCTTTTTAAGGTATACTTGACTATCAGACTAGATGATGCTAGAAAGTTTCTTTATGTACAGTTGAAACCAGAATTTGTGATGTTTATACTTGCATATAATTGTTTGCACAGATGAACGTGACACCTTCAAGCATCTGGAAATTGCTCCTAAGGATGAACCAGACTTGTGGAGCTCCACGATTCTCTCCCTGATTTCTTGGCTGATTTCTTTTGACTTTCCCATGATTTAAAACAAGAGAGCAGAGTGTTTGATATACATAAATACATCCCCAGGTGTGCCTTCAATTAACTCACATGTTGTCAGTTAACCTATCAGGAGCTTTAAAAGCCTTGACATCATCATCTGGGGTTGCCCACACTGTTTAAAGATATATTACTTTGTGTGTATGTAAACTTTTGACCTCAAAGTAAGTACTATAAAATTCTCTAAGAAATTCTCTTTCATTATTGTGACATTTAGCAGTTAAATAATTTTGGTAATCCTAACAGACCTGAAACAGGAGAGGTTTAGTCTGATCTAACTTCAGACAGTGAGAAAAAAAGTGTAATGTGTCTCTTTGCACAGCGTATATAAACTTCTGGTTTCAACGGTATGTATTTGAAATGATACTACAGGTCTAACCTGTGCCTGGCCATACAATGATAGCAAAAACAGCCCCGATATAGGATAGAAAGAGTACAGCTGGTTGCGAAATTAAGGAATCTAAAAAAAAAAAATCAGAAAACACTGCATTTCTCCAGCTGAAATGGTCTACCCAAGGGTGAGATCCACATCAGACTATGGTGTACAGTTATACATTTAAGTAAGACAATATCAACTCTGAGTTTTGTAAACAACAAGACCACAATGCAATGGGGCAAATTTATGTCAGAAACAGAAAAAAAAGCAATTGAAACTTTACAATTACTGTAAAATTGGGCATGTGCACGTTAAAGACAGCCACATGGCCTTGAGCTTTTTAAACGTCAATGTAAACAAAACCGAATTAATCATCTTTGGCTCCAGTGGGGCCCAGGAGACCCCTCTCAGGGAGCTGGACCCTCTTGTACCTTTTTTTAAACTCACAGTTTCAAATCTTGGTGTAAAGGTTGACAATGATTTTAAATTGGATCAAAAAATCAACTCCGTTGTTAAATCCAGTTTTTATCATCTGAGGCTTTTATCCAAGATTGAATCATTTTTTTCTTTTAATGATTTTGAGCGAGACATTCATGCTTTTATTTCCACACAGTTGGACTACTGTAACACTCTGTACGTCGGTGTTAATCAGGCTTCCCTCACACGCTTACAGTTAGTCCAAAATGCTGCTGCTCACTTTTTAACAGGTAAATGAAAACATGACCACAGCACCGCTGTTCTGGCGCCCCTCCATTGGCTTCCCGTCCATTTTAGAATTCATTTTAAAATCTTATTGTTAGTTTTTAAATCTTAAAATGGATCAGCACCACAGAACATTACTGACATCGTAAATGTTTACACTCCCACACGTTCCTTGAGGTTCGCTGATCTGCTCCAACTCATGGTTCCAAAAACTCGTCTAAAGACCCGTGGCGACCAAGCTCTCTCGGCTGTGGCTCCCAAATTGTGGAACAAAATGCCACTCGAGACCAAAACATCCCCCACTCTTTCTACTTTTAAATCACATCTTAGAACTCATTTTTATTTCCTGGCTTTTAGCTCAGCATGAGAGTTGTGTGATCTCTGTCCTTTTATGTCCTTTATGGTCCTTTTATCACTTTTATTTCTTTTATGCTTTTGTGTTTTTATTTCATTTCATTTTAAATGTTTTTTACCTGCTTTTATTTATTTCATCTTGATGTTTTCAGCATTGTCTGTTCTTTTAATTTTATTGTGCAGCACTTTGGTGGACTTGAATGTTTTTTTTAAATGTGCTATATAAATAAAGCGGATTGGATTGGACATGGAGGTGAGGTTTTTGGGTCTTGTTTCTGGTCCGCTGGTTCTACATTTTGTACATGTCTACATGTCTTTTTGCTTCACAAAACCATCATCTTACCTATACATGGCATCCTTGACTACGACCATGTCAGCTGCAGACTGGCACAAGTGAAGGAGAAGCTTCAGATCGTCTTTCAGTATCACTTCATTTTTTTGCAGCTTCTGGCTGACCATCTCAAAACCATCTTCTGTAAAATGAGGTAAATATATATATATATGGGTTAAGATGGATATTCAAACAGTAAATTAAACTGTAGCTTCCAGCCAGTGAAGGGGAGTACTTCACCTGCGAGATGACGTACATCCAGTTTCCTTTTCTGGAAGTCTTGAAGTCTGATTATATCTTCTGATAATAGATGCCTTTTCGCTGCGGAAAAACACATTTTCAGACTCTTGTAAACTCCAAGAAACTTCGAGTCCATTCATACAAGAAAAGGACCAACATACTGTAACAACATAAACCCATGCGACTGCCCTGTACTGCATCAACATGCGTGTCAACATGCGTGTGGGTTCATCACAGGTTGCTATGTTGATTTAGCTTCTTTAACAGTAAACCAGGCTGTTTGACCAGACCAGCCGTGCATCACACAAGTATGTATCGACGAGATTAGTTTGTCTTACCTCCTACGCAGCCTTCAATTGAACCTGGCTGTACAACCCCACAAAGCAGTCCTTTCACGGGTTCACGAACCAACGACCGACAGCATCTACCAAGCCTGGCCAGCGCCATAGTGCCCACTGACTGTACCAAGCACATACAAACAAAGGGTACAACACCGCAGACGATTTCAATTTTAAAATATTAATAGTCATCCGGAACTTTACTTTGTAATTTTTTAGTTTATTTTTACCTTAGTGTTGTTTAATTAGAGTGTAAAGTGTGCGTATATCGATTTGTTTGTGATTTGGGTTACACAGAAAACAGTTGGTATCGTCCAAAATGGCGGCACCCTGTCATCCGGCGGCCAACTGTTACACTTTTTACTCCCCCTTTCTTAAATATGTTTTCTCGACCACATTAATCTCTATTCAATGTTTTTTTTTTCTTAGCCTGTAATGAGAACAGTATTTTTCTTTCGCACAGAACTTTTTTCAGGACGGATGTAACTACACCTGTTATCCTGCAGATGGTAATGTTGCACTGCTTATTAAACTTGTCTGTTATCTGGAGACTTTTTTTTGTAAACGTTTTATTTTTCGTCAAAATACAAACATTAAGGCACATTGGTGATACTTAAAGTATAACGTGTTGAACCAGCTTTTTAGACTAACAAAAGAACATAAAAAAGTAAAGAGAATGTGAGGGTTAGTTTTATTATTATTTATTTATTTATTTATTATCTTATTCTAGGATTGCTAGGGGCTTCATCTTGAGGTAATTACATATGTGAATGAAATATTTTCCAAGTGTAATTAAAATGTTCACCATGAAGTCTTTTCCTTTAACTGCAGTCCAGTCTTGATCGACATACAGTGTATGTTGTCTGGAGACTTGGACACCTGAAAGTACGATTTATAAACCATCATGTTAAAGCTTCCATCAGGAGGTTTTAATTGGTTATAAAACAGAATGAAATTGATACTCATCTGTCTTTGTGACCCACCAATGCAAACAAAAATATCCCTGACATTGCTTTGTATTGCAATTTTTTATGCCTAGGACAGCTGGGGGTAAGGTGTAGGATGAAGAGATTAAAAACACCCTGCAGAAACAGCCCCCTTTTCATATTTTTATTCATATTTAATTTAAAAACTCACTTTTATAGACTTGCTTTAATGTGATGCCGTCTTTTATTTGTCATCTCATCTCTTTTACCTTTATCTTATTTTAGCTTTACCGTCTGTTTAGCTTTTTGTTAAACTTGTACTCTTTTCTTAATTAACCTTTTAGGCCTTTTATCGTTTTATCTCTTGCTCATTTCTATTGCTCTATTTTATCATTACTATTATTATCAGGATTACCTGTTATTATTTTATTATCATTGTTGATATTGCCTTTTATATTTACTATCCTGTTTCTGCTTTCGTCCTCCCTTTCAATTGCATTTTCCTTTATTCTTAACTATTTTATTTTTTTATTTTGGTCCTCATGGTCTCATTTTATGCTGCATTGTTCTTGTATTGTCTGGGTTCCTAATGACATGAAAATGGCCTTCAATTCCCTTTTTACTAAGCTTTTTGTTTTTATTTGTCTTTTTCCATGTGCTCTATGACTACATGTCAAAGCACTTCGTAAACATCAGGTTTTTTTAAAGTGCTACACAAATAAAGTTTGTTTTTTTTTCCTGCCAAGATTCATGGTGGCTTCAAAAAATTTTCAAGTTATATATTTGGGCAGTTTTGCCATTATGAGATAGGACAGCTGAAGAGGAGGAGATTGGGGAACACATGCAGCAAAGGGTAATCAAACCAGCAATTGCAGGTAACTTAGACTGCTAGGCCCTCAGCAGTCTGACTGTCAAAAATAGCAGAATGAGATTTTCTATGACTAAAAAACTCTATCTGTAGTCCACAGGACCAAATCAAAGAAGAGTCATACAGTTCAACATTACTTGTGGAATGTTTTTTGAGTTGATTGTATTTCAGAAAAGTCTTGTAGATTCATTACTCTTAAAAAGCTGTGTATTTTTACCTCCTTAAAAGCAAAGTCCTCAGCATTAAACTCTGTTATCCAAGTGTACCCACTGACCTACACACAGAATTACATAACCAAGGACCCGCTGTACATCCTTACCAAGGAGTCCTGCTCGGTAAAGATCATGCCGTTATCATCAATTTTCTAATCAAGTCTATACTGAAATATTTTTAGTTTCCTCATGACTCATGGTAACTGAAGCAGATGTTACGTTTTTCATGTCAAAGCTTTGATAGACTTCAATGAGACTCTGGACAAAGGGGGTGTTTCTCATATCTTCAGCAAATGAACACTATGCATTTATTTATCTCATGGTTGTTTTTCCCCCTCTGCTTTCTCTATACAAGATCTACTGTTAAGGGTTTTTAGTCTGTGCAGATGAAACATCCGCAGACTTGAAGAAGTGGGTTGAATCCACCTTGTAAAATCATCACACTGATTAAGGTGCTTCTCAAATTAACTCCTTTAGATAGACTACTGTACTCAGAGAAAAATAGGGCTGGGACAGGGAGGTTCCCCTCTGTTGCCTTGGCAACAACATCTGAGCCTATCCAGCTGAGATTGCTTGTTCAACCAATCATACGAAAGGCTGTGGATAATTTATGGCATCCTGCAAGGTGTGTGTGTCTCGGTTGGTTTCTCTCCCTTCCTACATGCATATTTGTTTGCATGCATTTAGATATCTGCTTTTGCAGCATTTAACACATCCAAAGCTACAGGTTGGGGGTTTGGTGTGGTTGCAGCTGATGTGACCCCGCTCAAATAATGTGATAAATCAATTAGGGAATAAGCACTGTTTGTTCGAGGACCTATTTTGGCACTCAGGCTGTGATTTCCCAGTTGATAGCTCTTACATCGACTTTGATTTATCCCTGCTTGCACTTCCCTTTTGGTTTTGGAAAGTGCCCGGGGTGTCCCATTATCATTAATAAATGTCCCCACTGAAAGTATTTTGGCACAGAGATAAAACAGCTGGTCCTGATTACCCTGCCATGATGAGTAACAACTCTAAAGTCCTTGACTTGAAAGACATTAAACAGGTTTTCTCCCATATTTTAAAAGACTTCTGATTTACATTTGTATGCATGCATATGACAATAATGTTTGGCTTTGTGTAGCTAAATCATTAATGCATGCAACTGCATGTTGGGTGTGGATGCTCATAGGGATGCTCTCTCATTTGCATAAGTTATGTATCATAACATTATACAATATGGGGGGCAATGGAAAAGCTTCCCACTGGCTGGTGTGCATTTTATTTGCTGAGGAGGCTGACTCCCATGCAAGCTTTGTGTTCACTTGCCGACAGACGTCAAGCATGTGGACTCATGGTCCCCCACTGCTCAACAAAAGGATGCTGAATTATAGAGACATGTCCTCTTACCCTGCTTTGCTCTGTTCTGTCGCTGCTGTCTCAGTTGGTTTCCCTGGGGCGTCTGATCTACTGTAGGAGGTTATTCAGTTCAACACATGATGGAGTAGCTAAAGGGTTTTGCTTTTTCTCATATATTTCTAACTAATTTCAAGTCCTAACATTACTCATACATTTTTTTATCTATTATTCCGTTCAGAGCTTTGGTTAATTTTAGTATGGCACTCTCCCTTCATTAGAAGCAGTACTGTGGCCCAGCATTTCTTTTCCATTGCATGATCCTGTGGGTCTCCAGCTTGTGCTAACTGCAGACAGTTTACATGCTCTGTAATTGCTTGTATTCTCCTGGTACTCACCATACAGAAAATGCATGTTAGGTATTTTATTGTATCACTGCGCTCCCAGGGCGCTGAGGCTCTTATACTGAACAAAAAAGGCTATTTATGTTCCCCTCATGCTCATCTCAAACCACAAAAACTCAAAAGTGTGAATCTGCTGAAGTCAGCTGCATACAGGGTCATGAACACATTATAGCAATTTGTCATTTTAAGTTATTTAAGTTATTAGAGACTGGACAAAAGAGGTAAACAAACTGTCGAACATTGCCATCTTTAGATTTATGTCCCTAGCACAGCTACAATTTTTGATTAATTGTTATGAATGTCCACAAATTCAAACAAATCTCTTATTTTTTAGATGTTATTTTCCAGTTTTAACAGTGAAATGGTCAATGTGAGCAACCCAAATCTCTTACAATAGCTCACATAAACGAAATCTCATGCCTCCCCCAGTGTCGATTTGGAAAGGGTATAATTTCTTTAAGCAACACTAGTGCTGCTGGATGATTGTAGAAAGATTTAAGTGTTGCAGGAGTCCTGCAAGCACGAGTTTGTCTTCTTGATCCTATTTTCCTTACAAAACTATTGAAAACTCTGTCATTCTGATCATAAAAGCATCATTATCCTTCAATATAAATAATGTTTCAGTATGATATGACGTTTGATCGCTGTGCTAACTTAAGTTTCTTATCTATTTTCTGTATATTTGCTGTTGGCAAACAGAAACAAGCCCCCTCCTGGACCTTATTGTCATTAATATGCAGTAATCTGTAAGTGCATGATACTCAATTAACAGCTGATGTTTTGCGCTCCATTACTGTAACAAAGGGTGTATTAGTCATGATGATTTCAGCTTTGATTGAAAGCAGAGAGCTGTTTCCTTTCCATAAATGGGTGATGATTATGATGAGTCTATGATATATTCGAGTTTTGAGACATGCAAGGGCGTGGAGTCCCTTTGAACCAATAATTTGCCCCTGTTGATGGTGAACTTTCTCTACTGAATGAGCTAAGCAAAGCTGGTTGAAAAATACAGCAGGTTGTGTTTTTAATCAGACCAGTCTTTGAAGAAATTGAATATTTATAAGTGTGTTAAATTAAGTGTATAATGGACAATTTTTTTGTTAACATAGAATGAGCATTTATATTTAAGTAGAAGCAGGTCCCTTTCCAAGGAGGCAGCCTTCTTGCACCATCATGTTTCTACAGCAACGCAGGAAGGACAAACATCACAATGTGTGTAACATGACAAAAACCTTCAATAAAGAACAAAAACACAAAGACGCAAGTTCTTTTTCACAACCAATTTTATTGTGGTTCGTTTTGAATGTTTGTTCTTTAGTAGTGTTTCCTCTTACATCAGATTTGCTGTATGGGTAGAGGAAATATTGCACACAAACATCAGAAAGCACTAAGGAATAATTCCACTTGAAACTAATCGCTATAGGTTACATATGAGTTTGGGAAAAAGGGGCCAAGAGGATGCAAGATCACAAGACAAATATACCTCACAGCTGCAGACAGACATTATTAAAGTTCTCCCGAGAGAAAGATGAGGAGAAGAAGGCAGAGATTAATAGCCAGAGAGAGAAATAGAAGAAGTGTAGAGAAAGAAGACGGAGAAAAGAGAAATGTCCTTTCAAGAGAAATGTCACTTCAGAGTTTGTTGGTTTGTTGTTTGTCATGGTGTTTGTTTGAGGTTCCCCTGCAGGAAAGCTGTTTTTGAGTGAAATCCTGAACACCTGGTATAGTTTGAGAAATATCTGTAGAGCTTGGTGAGTTGTTTGAATAGAGTCCCAAAGCCTGTTAAAAATCGAGGAATGATTTGTTCATCTAAAAGCTGGCCTGTTGTAGTTGATCTGTGGCTTCTGTACTGTAGTTTGGTGTGTGTCATGCTTGTGTTTAAAGTGTCAAGTTTAAGTTTAACATACTCTCATCTAAAACATACAAGTCAATCTCTCTCTCGCTCTCTTATCTTTGTGTGCTGCCTCTTTAAAGATGATGCCTCTAATGGAGGCTGTTTCCTTATAATCCTGGCCCAAGAGGGGAACCTCTCTTGTTAAGGAATTTTTAGCCTCCCAAATGTCTTCCATCAACTTGAAAATCTACACTGTGCTCCATCCAAAAAGGTGATTTACACTAATACAGAGCCATTAAAAATGGCTGGAGTTGCAGAAGTATACTATGACATGGCACACCTTGCCAAAATCATAAAATAAACCTACATAGCCCTGTTGTTCTTGATGCAAGTCTTAGCAAACAAAACAAAGAGGAAAAAATCCTGACGCTTCATTACTCATGCATGTCTTCCAATCATTCCCTTGCCCACAAAGCTATTTATAATTATAATACAATGCTTTAGAAAAACAAAACATGTAAAGGTTTATGAAATTTCCTGCCTCGCTAGCTTTGCAGTGGGCAAAGACTCAGCTCCCCCATTGCTCAATGACGACATAAATACGTAAACACGTACAAAATAACCGAAAACCTGATTAACCAAAAACAGAAACCCTGAAACAGAAGGCAGTCCTATTAAAAGCACTGTGAGATTTAAAGACCGGACATAGTTAACACAACTGAGGGCATTCTGAAGCAACTTCCTGTTGCACAGTGTTAAAGGCAATCTGGACAATCAAGTACAATAAATTAAATTAAACATATTGAATAAATGTTCATACATCAGCAGAAAAACAAACCAGACCATACAAACAGACATCCATTCATTTCAAATCAAATCAAACCCAGCTGACCTCAAAACAAAAGCAACATTGTCAGATGGCAGGGGCACTTTGTTTGGCCCGTGATGAGTATAAAGTCAGACATCATATCATTGCTGATGTTGAGTATCCTTTCAAGTTATTTCATATTTACCATCATTCAAGTATGTGACCATTCCTGGGATGGACCTCTGGTATGTGGAGTTATCCGCCCACTCTTCAGCTCGATGCACCTGCTCGTATACATTCAATCTGACTCCCTAAGGCAATAACAGAAAACTTCTTGTTCTATCCTTTGGATAACAGCCATAATTCGAGAACGTACAATGTGCAGGGGTATTTGCTCCTTGACAGCAGTCAAATTGATTCTAAGATCTCGGATATTTTGATCTGTTTGGTGCAGAAGAAACTCAATACAGCAACAACAACATCATTACTTGATCTGCATTAGCATCATAGCATCATCAGTGAAATCCATTCACCCCTTAAGATAAGAAAACATCTTGCAGAAGTTGAAGATGTTTCATAGAAAACTTTGCATGAAGCCCCTCTAAGCTTGTTTGTATTAGTGTTATTCCTTTTTAATATTGATATTGATTTTGGGGCATTAGTATACAAGAAGCATCATTTTAGCATATAAGTGTTTAAATGTCTGCTTGGGTTCAGTGCTACATGGATTTGTTTTCTGCCTCAGATAATGACCCATCTCATTATCAGTCTCTAGGCAACCTGATCTCTCATTACGCAGGCCTACATCTCTATCTTACAAGCCGGGAAGGACTCATCCTGCATGACAACAGTGCTGCTGCTGGCCAGGACCATGATGTTTAGCTCCTGCTGCTTGTCATGGGTCTCCTGGTACCACTCCCTCATCACATCAGTGTCGTGGGTAGGAATAAGAGTGACCTTGCAGCAGAGAAGAGAAAAATATCTCATCTTTTGTCTTTACATTCATGTGTTTTCGTGCAGACAACACAATACAGAAAAAGCAGACATTTATTCGTCAGATTGTTGACAGAAAAATGATTTGAGGCTGATCTGAAATTTGTTGCACCCCTACCCCAAAGATCAAACAAGAGGGTGATCTGAAATCGACCAAAAATGTGTTCAGAGCAAGTAGATGCATTAAATGTAGGGCTTTCAAGCAACAATTTCAATAACATGTTTCATATTCCAATGTTTTTTCTTTTCAAAACAGTTTTTAGGTTTATATTATCAAAAAGTATGAAATGTATTCTATGTTCTTGACCTTTGGATTTATCACACGAATAAATGCTGTTGCTACAGCTTCACCAGTGTGAGCTGAAAACAAGATTTAGAAGAGGAATATCGATTTTAAGTGTTACACCCAGGTCTGTTGTGATTTGCATACTCCAAAATAGTGTTCTGCTGTTTTTTTGAATGCCTGCTGACATTGGGCTGAGTAGCTGCACCTGTATGCTTACTTGGTAGGTGGTAGCTCAAACTAGAGGTCGAACAAAGCATTTTTAATGGCCAGTATGGATGCTGATGCTGATTTGCCAGTGATCAATATTTAATGCTGATACATAACATCAAAATTCTTATCCAACACCAGTGAGTGACTTTTTATGGTATGCTGTCATTAAGATGAGAAAAATGGGTTATTCAGAAGGACTGACAAGGCTGCCTGCAGTGTCTGCAGCCGTTATCAGACAATTTTTCAAATTGGAGCTCAAAATGCAGAAACCACCTGTGTATAGTAAAAAGGTTGCTACTTTAATGTCCTACTGTCACATTTACTTGTAAAATCAACCAGAACTTGAACCTTACCTGCATGTTGTTTCCCCACTGGGCTTTTCCTTCCAGCAGAGCATCAAGAACAGCCCTACTGGGCTCCTGGGCTGCTTGATCATTACCACTGACCACATAGTAAGAGGAGCGAACCCGCTTAAAGAACTCAGCATCCACATTCTTGGCACTGCAATGATTAGGGATGTAAACCAAGTCCATGTACATGGGGGGACTATTTGGCAATGCCCCACCTGATACCTTTCCACCACCAGTACCTGAAAGAAGCAAAGTCCACTTCTTTGTCAGATAAGTTCTTAGTATATGAATAAATTATGTTACATACTTCAGAAATATGACTGTTGAAAACAGAACTCACCTGTCGTGGCACTTTTTACACCTCGAGATGCGGAGGTATTAGTTGCATTTTTGGCATCCTTCCCTTCTCCAACACTTTTCTTGGGAGAGGAAGTCTTTGAGTCCTTCACTTTTGATAGAGCAGTCTTCCTGGCGGGTGAGGAGGCCTTTTTTGTGAGCTTCTTCTTCTTGGGCTTTTCCCCTCCCTCTGTATTAGCATTGTGGAGGTTTTCTTCTGCCTTTAGGGCCTCTGGATCTACCATACAGACATCATGGTGGCCTGAGGATGGGGCAGAGTCCCTGAGTGCTACTGGAGGAGGATCGGCATGCCTGTAGGTTAGGGTTCTGTCAGTTGGCAGAGTCTCAGAGTCGTCCTCAGAGTCAATGTTAGCATCTGCTGTAATGGAGGGGCACTCCTCTGTCCCTGGTGGGACATCTGAATCTGTCTGTGAGGGGGCAGATTCACTGATGGATGTGGGTGGGGTCTCCTCACATTGCTTGGCGGAAAGCTTACCTCCTGGGGGTGGAGGCCCTCCTCCAGACTTAGCCAGAGGTTTCTCTTCATTCAAGGCATTCTCCTCATTAATAAAGTATTCAATAGGATTGGGGTTGATGAAAGATGGAGATAGCTCTGTCTTTGGGTGACGGTACTCACATGAAGTAACTAAGCAGAGGTCGACATCTGTCTTGGATGGAGCAGACGGGCTCTTCTTAGAGAGGGCTGGGTCCTTTGAACCACAGGCAGCGTTGTAATTACATGGATCAGAGGAGAGAGGTAGGTATGATGGGGATGGAACTTTAGGGCTTATGGGGGATTTTGCCTCTGGGGTTGAGTCCTCACATTTAAAGGGATTTGTCTCCTTTGCTGAGGAAAAGGTCTCTCCTTTTGCAAAGGTTAAAGATGATGATGAAGGGGAAGTAGCTTTAGGAGGTGAGGGTGACTTGTCATATTTTAGCTGTGTCTCAGGTTTATTGGAGAAGCTCTCCACTGTTGGTGAAATGGGACTGGATCTGTCTTTAGCAGGTGTACCTCCAAGCACTGGGGATGGACCGTTGGAACGAGGAGAATGGGTGAGAGAGGAAGCTTTCGGGGTGAGTGGAGACTGCTCAGTGGCAGCATGTGGCATCCCTGTCATTTGACATGGGGTTGTTACTGAGGGAGTGGATTGGGATGCATCTGATGGGGTTGCAGAAGTTGCAAGGACTGAATCACTCTCTTCCAAAAGCAAAGATTTCTCTGCAGTTGAACTCTGGTCTGTGGATGGCCTTCCATTGGTTGCATCTGATGGGCTGTAGTCTACCTCAGTTGGACCATTCTCTGTAGCACGGGAGCTGCTTAAAGATGGATGTTCTGGTGATTGTTTGCTAAAGTCCAGGGCCAAAGAGTGGTCAGGGGACTCCTGGCCGAACTCTATTGACATGGTGGAATGTTCTGGTGATTTTGCATCCTGCATTTGGGTTCTGCTTTTTGTCTTTGGTGAGATGTCTGGAGAGATAGACATGGGTCTTGGGCTGTCTTCTTTGGATGGAGATCCCTCAGCCTCATGGAAGGTGGTTGGGGTCTGGACCACAGACACAGACAAGGAGTCATCCACTTCTGTTGAATGAGGGGAGCCTACCTCAGCATGAAGGGAAGGAGAGTCAGTGGTGGGCTCTGGCAAGGAGCTGGTGGCCAGAGAGGCGGTGGATGCTGAGGCTAAGTGTGAAAATGTATCTTCTGCAACCACTTCCTCCAAAGGGGTTCCTGACTTGTCTGATGTGGTACCCTCTGAAATGGACATTTTACTCTCTTCTTTGAAAGATGTAAAAGGATTCATGTCTGAATCATGTTTGGTGATTGGTGCTGAGGACAACATTGATTGGCTGTTCTCTACAGTTTTCTTCTGATCAATGTCAAAGGGTGAGTTTTCTGTCTTTGTCAGAGAATCAGTTCCAGTTGGAGGTGGACTTTTAGGGGAGGACATTACTCTCTCCTCAGGTGAGGAACTCCCTAGTTCTGCCTCATAAGGCTCTGGGGTTACTCTGTTGGAAGAATCCTCTTTATCACTTGTGACTTCTACAATTTTTGGACCTTGGGAATCTGACACAGGTGGTATAGCTCCTGCTTTTTCATCCACCGGTGACTGATAGTAAGGTGTGTGACCTGAGGACTGGGGGGAGTTAGCTCCTTCCAATGTCTTATCATCTGGGCTGATGGAGGAATCAATAGCTGCTCTGCCACAACTAGCAAGTGTGGTGGACAGTTCAATTGGAGCAGCAAACAGTGATTGAGATTCAAACTTGTCCTTGCGGTCCACTGAGGGAGAGCGTATAAGAGGTGATGTTGTGGAGGTTGAACTGAGTTTGCTCAAGTCGATGTCAAACTTCTCGTGGGTTTCTTGAGTTGGGGTAAACCGTTTGTCTTTCTCTACTGAGGGGAAGTCCTTGCAGATTTTGTCCTCTTCAAGTAATGAAGGAGGAGATATTGTGGAAGCAGAGTGATTATAGTCGTGTCCTTCTGTGGCACCACTCTGTGAATGATCTGACCCAGGGAGATCCTGAAGTGGAGACAACTTCTTCCTGTCAAACTCTCCAGATGATGATGTCCCTAATTTGCCTACATCCTGTGAAGGAGATTCATCATTCGTGATTTCATCGCTCATGATATCTCTAGGAGTCAACATTTCATCCATGGGTGTGGGCACACTGGAGACTTCAATGGTGGACTGAGTGTGGCCAGAGTTGACAGTGTAATCCTCATGGGGTTCATCTCTGTTCTCATCATCGGAGGCTGTTGAGCTCTCAAAGCCAACTGGAAGCATTTCATCATGGATGGATGCAGCTGGAGAAACTGGTGAGGACACTTTGGGTGAGGCTGATACGAAGAGATTTGGCTTCTCTATTTTCCTGTCACTTAAACATGGGCTCACTAGATTTTTATTAGCCACATCATCATTGTCCTTTACACTGTGTCCTTGTTTGACTTCGTTGTTCTTCTCTTGTTGCTCATCTTTAGTGGGAGAAGGTGTATCTTTATCAGGCACCACTCTCTGTGGTTCATAAACTTCTCCTTTCTCCTCATAATCTGCTCCCTCGGAAGTCTCCTCCATTACTGTGCCTTCATCTTCAAACTTCTCACTTACACTACCATTGATTTTCCCCTTGAGGATTAGTTCTTCTGGAGTCCCTTCAGCCTCTGTTGTGGTTATACCCTCATCCACAGACTCCACAGTCTCAGGGGACTCTTTGGTTTGAATTATTTCCTCACGGTGGATCGTCACAGCCTCGTCCCGATTTTGTTGAACAGTTGCATCATCTTCCACCAACTCTTCTCCTCTAAGCTCCTCAAAGTCCTTAGTGAGGTCCTCTGGTGAAGACATCAGAGATCTTACAGCTTCTGGATCATCCGGAACAGCAGCTGCACTTGTGGGAAGTTTCTCACTATCGGCCTTTGTTACTTTTGACTTTCCTTTCTCCTTAGACTTTGATGGGGTTCCTGTATCTTTCTTAGAGGCTGTGTCTTTCTTTAGGGGCTTTGGTTTTAGTGGAAGACTCTTTTCTTCACCTGAAGCAGATGTCTTTTTTACATCTCTCAAGGGCCTTTTAACATCTTTCTTCTGGTCTTTCTTCTCTTCCTTCTTCTCCTTCATTGGCGAGTCTCTCCTAATATCCTTTTTTACGACCTTCTTTGCCTCTTCTTTCTTTACTTTTTCATCTTTCTTACTCTCTTGTTTGGGAGTGTCTTCTTTCTTTGCCACTTCTTTTTTCACCTCTTTTTTCTTTTCTGCAGACACTTTGCTGTCTTTTTTGACAACCCTCTTCTTTTCTGGAGTTTCACTTTTGACTGTCTGCTCTGCTTTTGGTTTTGATTCTTTCTCAGGTACCTTTGCCTTTTCTTTCTTCACCAAGGGCTTGTCTTTTTTCTCTGTCTTTTGTATTTTTTCATGAGAGGATTCTGCATCAGCCTTTGCCTTTTCGGATGCCTCCTCCTTTGATTCCTTCCTGATGCTTTTGCTTGGTGATGCCTTTGGGGTAGACTTGAGGCTTTCTTTGCTGTCTGTTCTGTGTTTCATCTTAGCTTGCTTTAGTGTTGGTGTCGATGGCATAGGAGAGGACATTGCTTTTTGAGTGAAAACTGGCTGCTTCAGGAAGTCCAAGTGCTTTAGTTTTTCTAAACCCTCAAAGATCTGTAGCTGTGTGGTATTTCCAGGAAAGAGAACACGCACAACTTTATCTGAGGGATTTGCAGGATGCCACACAATGAGTGAAGAAATTGACGTCAAATAGGAGACGGGGAATTCAGATTCTTTTCCGTTTGGCAGCAGAATGGAAGCGGTATCCTTCTCACTACCTGTCCACTGTTTCATAAAGTACTGCATTTCCTTGCTGTTCTTTGATGGATTAAGGACATACATCTCAAGCTTCCCGACACCCATTTTTTGGAAAAGTATGATTGGTTCTATTGCATTCCCGACAGGCCTTTGCAAAGGCTCTATCCTCAAATTTAGCTTGGTGAGGAACTGCTTTGTTAATGCTGCCTCCTCAAGGTTCTTCCGCACTCTGTAATTAGGTTCAGGGATATCCAAGTTTTCAGGAAGATTCACAAATGCAACACCAATGTCTGGAGAAATCATGTTCTTCACCCAGTCACTGTTGGCTGTGGAACCCTGTGACTGTTCCTCCTCAAGCTCTGCAACCTTCCTCTGCAGCATGCTGTTGATGCCTGCCAGGTTGTCATCACCAATGTGTGTCAGGAGGATGGAGTCCACTCGATCCAGGTGTCTCACTAACTTCCAGAAGCAAGACTTCCTGTCTGAGCCACCGTTGATGAGCATATTGAAGCCATTGACAGCGAAGAGAGCCGAGTCACCGTGACCAGCAGGGAAAATGTAGCAGCATGGCTTGGAGAGTTTGAGGAATCCACCTGAGGTTGGTGGTTCCAACATGTCAAACGGAGAAGGGATCTCTACAGATTCAGATAAATATTCTGTGAACTCTGAGAGGCCCTCCATTTCAGGGAGTATGAGAGCAGAGTTTAGTTTCATGTTGATGAAGTCCTGCAGGTTGTGTTTGTCCAAGTTGGAGTTTTTCCAATAGCCTTGTTCTGGGCAGGAAAGTGTAAGGTTGGCTTTGTTTGCTGGGTGAATGGTGCTGAGCAATTCACCAATCTGTGCGTGAGGAAAAATTGAGTGACTTTAGTTGGTAGCATGCTGGAGTGAGCACCTGTTTTATATGTATTGTCTTGGACTAGAGGGTTAACTTTATCTTAGTTTACTTTTATGACAAGCCATCGAAACCTTATAGTAATCAGAATCTCCAAAACTAAAGCTAAGCAAAACTAAGCACTAAATGAAAGTGCTTTGAGCCATATGGATTTTGGGGTGCTTACAGATATAGCACAGTCATATTTGCTCACCTCTTGGTCAGTGAATATGTCAATGAAGTTGAAGAAAGAGAAAGATCCAGACTGAAGAATCAATTCCCCAGTGTTTTCAGAGCATTGTCCTGAGAGAACCAGAAGCTTGTGTCTGGCAGTGTCTGAGATCATCAAACGAACCTGGAAATTATAAAAGAAAATTGCATTTGTGTTGAGTGAGCCATTGATTTTAGTTGGAATTCAATATTACTTACAACACATAAAGGGAATGCAAAGCTTTTATGCCTTGGTAATCAGCTTAATGATTCAATGATTTTTGCAATTTCTCCAGTTTCACGTCACCCACATCCATTAGCTTATTAGCTGACTTGTTCTTTTTTTGCACATTGTGCCAAGTTCCCTTTCCTCTCTTTATGTCTTGTGTCTTGAAACTCCATCAGTCTCAATTTTTCTACTGCAGCAACATCAGCTGTCATGGGCAGCTAGCCAGGTCAGTCCTGCTGTGCTCTGAGATATTATGAAAGCACAGTAGGACTGCAGACATGGCTAGGGGGTGAAGACAACCCTGAAAAGAGGCAGTGACACAGGACAAAATCGTGTATCATGTGTGCTCCTGACCCTGCAATGACTTTCCACCCGTCTAAATCGAGCAAATGTTTTTCTGCTAAAACCAAAGGAAAATTGCAGCACTTGTTATTCTGTTGGTAAATGAAGCATTAGTCCAGTCCCTTGAACTCCTAATTGCTCCCTTTTTTCCAGATTTAAAACGACATACAGCCATTCATACTAAGCAGGTGGATGACTGGCCAACCATGGTGAATGGGTCATGGCTGAATAATTATCCTTTTCAAGCTGTAATTGGTTTGGAAATGTATATTTGTAATGGATTTGCGTTTCCTTCGCCCTAAGAGGGGGTGAAATACAGAGTACAGACAGAGAAAGGTATAGGCTTTGTAATCTATTAAAATTAAACAGCTGGTTTTACCTCAGTACTGACTGCTTCATCAGAAGGGTTGATGAGCACCACTGTTTCCAGAACACTGCTTTTATGATGAAGAATTCTTTGCCCTGCAAAATAAAACAGATAACAGATGCAAATCAATGAGAAGAATACCAGAGTCATCTTGTCCTATCATGCAAGAAATGGAATTGTATGTAATTTCATGCCTGTGCGTTGGATTGTTGATGCAGCGCTGATGATGTAAACTTCTTATTACAAGTTAATCAGGTTTGTCAGGCTCACATATGCTTATATATGATGAAAACAACACGCTCATTAAAGATCACAGATTGCATTCATTTTCATACCAGCTGGTTGATGGGCGAGATGTCTAGACAGTCCTAACTTTACACCTTCTCTATTATGATGATGAGCTTTGCTTTGACTTCAAGTTTGACATCAAGGTTTATCGCATTAAATGTTTTGTGCGGTTGGATGATTCATTGGACTGAAGTGGCATTTAAGACATTTTTGTAAATCATGAAATTTAAGGGTCAGCAGAAAGTATCACACAATTCTTAATTTAATGGAATAAATGAAGTATATTCATACTTCATTTTTTAACAAATGCAAGCCTTGTGATTACTGAAACAAAAGCTCTTCCCTGACAAAAACCCTGTACATATAATTCACTTTCTTTTTAACCTTTTCATCATTTAATCAGTGTCTTCCATTGTAATAGGACATAACTCTGATCATAAAAGTGGATCTTCACTCCTCTGGCTCACAGGGACAGCAGAGCTCAGCATATTTATCATTTAAGCCTTCTCACACAGTCTATCTGGCAGCTCCAATAAGGCTGGGTAAATGTTAATGGTCTCTACAGAGTAGAGCTATTCATCTCTAAGATGGATGAAAGCTCTGAAAATGAGTGTTTCACCCCTCGAAACCTGAATCCCTCTCTTTGACATTAAAGCCTGTTTTGGCATAAAATGACTGGAGGGGAGGGTTCGTTTTTGGACTTGGGGTCATGGGGGGGTTGAGTAATAGGGTTATAGTGGGGTAGAAAAGATGCCCCATGGGGAGGGGGAAGGGGGTTTGGTAAATTTAGGGAAGGGTGGTGCTGACTGGAGTTAAAATCTGTTAAATACAACAAAGTATTTCTTATGAGAGAAAGAGGAGAACCATGCAAATATTCATGGCAAGTTGAAGAAAGGAAACTACAAGCTCTGAGTGGAAAATATATTTCCACTGGCAATGGATTTTCAAATAGATGCCAATACATTTTTGACTGATGACTAATCAATACATAACATATCATCTCAGTCCTGACTTCTCCGTTGGGACTGAGCCACTTGGGGATGATGATGCACACAAGTCATAATGATACTTTGCCAGACAGCCAAGGATTGCTTGACTTGTCTTGGCAATGAGGACTAAATGGTTTAGTCCACCGCAGTCTGTCTTAATGATGTTTTGCCCTTGAGAGACATTGCTGCTGCTTTAAAAAAAAGGGAAATCAAATTGTAACAAGCTCATGATCAATCAATCCTGGGATTTGGATGATTAATTGTGGTAATGACATTGATCTGACAGTGGGTGCATCATCTTTTCCAGCTGAGAAGACAGACACAGGGTATTTCTGACATCTTTATTTACTCAACTGTCTGTCTTTATTCCCTATCCTAATTATCGCATCTCTTCATCAATACATGGAACGATTTCCTCTCCACTGACTGAGATAACACCGGTTTTATTTTGCTGATATGCGGCCACCAGAATTGTACTAACAAAAATATGTCCCCTGTTGGTTTTAAAGGGCACTGGGGTGTCACCTGAATACAGTTTTAAAATTCAGAGCCATACTCTTGGAGACATCGTGCCTCTTCCCTAGAGACGTCATATTGCAGCAGCTATCCGGCTTGCTGGACCGATTACTCTATACATATTTCATATGGCTGATTCTCATTATATAGCTCTATAGCCATTAACCCTGCCTTCTCCTCCCAGAGGGCTGTCACTCCATATGGAAAAACTCTTTCAGTCATCGCTGTTAATAGTGAAGTGGCTCCTACACAGACTGTCAGCTTTTAATACTCCCCAGGAGTTCAGAGAAGGTAGAAATAATGACCTTTGCTTTGGTAACGTCCCAGGCCCTTTTCAACCCTTCAGAAAGTCCCATAAGGCCACACACACAAAATATGGAATAAGTAGCCTGAAGGACATGATGCGGTCTATTATTCTCAGTTTGCTTTCTATAGATTTTGCTTTGAACATCTTGAGAATCTCAAAATTGAATAAGCAACTCAAGGAAAAGGTTTCTATAACAAAGATTTCCGTAAAAATGACTCAGACGGGGTTGTGTTTTCAAGGTTGACAATCTTTGTCTCTTATATGGACTGTTCTAACATTCAAGACATTGGTGCTTGGTTTTCCATTTGACTTCTTGATCAATTTAAGATGTTTTAAACAACTTCTCTACAGAGTCTCCTCCCTTTGCATGCAATTAAGTATGGATTAGTGTCAGTCTCACACCACAACTATCTGAGTTGGCTTTTGCAGAGCCGGTCTCAGCTTTGTTCTGAGGAGACAGCATCTCAAACTGACAAACTGAGCTCTTTTAAGACTGACTAAGGAAGTGGTGGTATTGATCTGTGAAATGGGAGAACAACCAGTCCTAAAAATCTATCCTCCATCCTGTCAAGGCCACCCGGCACAAGCTACATCTCTGACTCCATTGTATTATAAAAGTATTTGTTGTTCTTTGTCTATCTATCTGTGGGGCACGCCCTGCTTACTGGCATTTCATGCAATGAGACAGACAACAGAATAGACAGCTAAGGACCACTGTGGCACAGTACAGCCAGCATAACCATCACCACCACCACTGTAACATTGCCAAATTACAGTGTGTCTGGGCCAACTCGTCAAAAAAATGACAGATTGTTCACTGGAGCTTGATCGACCCTGACAATTACCTTGATCGATAGAAAAATCCTTAACTCCCAGCATGCCTCCATCTCAGCAGTAGGCAAGGTAATGTGACATGCACCATTGAGCATTCCCTTTCCGGCTGAATAGAAAGTATAAGACTGGTGTAGCCGGTCTGTCCCAGACAGAGCCAGACAGAGGAACATCAATGAGGATGGCACTGCACCAAAAATAGATTAGTGGAATAACTAAATTCAGAGTCTCCTCTTCTGAAGTCAAAAAGACCCCTCACAGGTAGGGATTATAACTCAGCAGCCCCGATGGATTCCCTGTGTGCATCAGCACATTTCTTCCTGCTGCCTCTTCTGTTTCCATGTTAATAGAATAATTGATCACGGTGACTTTCAGCAGCAAAGGCGGGGGCTCCCCTGAGTTCAGTCACTTGATCTATGGTTCCCAAACAGCCGGACTGAAAAAAGGGAACCAGTATATGTGATACATCTGTGCACGGGGCTTATCACACCGTTAAGATGTCTGAGTCACTACACAGTCAGTCGCCTGCGTTGAGTCATCAGTGACTAAAAAAATCAATTCAAGCTTCAACGAATTATCCCATCAAAACGAATGACAACCTGGCAGTCAAAGGAAAATAATTATTGCATTAGCATCTTAAGACACTGGATTTCTATTAGTACTACAGTGGCTATGCCAGTCATCCTGGCTACTCTATCAAAATATATCAAAATATAGGATGGGTAATTCTTCATTTCAGCCTTAAAATGAGTTTGAAGCACCAGGACACTGTAACTATATTGTTTAAATCACAGAATCTGCAAATACCAGATCAGTTTTGATTAAGTGTCATATTTTAGTAGTTAAAAAAATACTATATTTGATTTTTCCCTGATTTAAGGGACATACATTTACCATAAGGTATGTAATTAAATGCATTTCAATGCATAAGAAAAACAAAACATGGATCTATATGAAACTCAAACTTGGAAAAAAAGTCAAGAAAGAAAAATGGAAAAGTCTGTAAAAGTTCATAAGTTGCAAAGTTTTAAAGCATGGTTATGATGGCTGATGCATACAAATACATGTGTGATTGATCAATCCTCTAGTTTACAACATTTCCAACCAAGGTCAAGAGCTAAAGAGATATTAAATGAAAAAAGGTCTGTATTGATGAAAATACAGGAGGATCTTTATCTCGGACAAATGTGTTTGTCAAAGTCAACACAGCCTTTATTAAATATTGATTAGTGAATAGATTTGTGTTTCAGAGACTGCTGTTTCAGGGTTGCAGAATTTACAGTGTATGTAACCAGACATATCACAAATTCATCAAGGGGGAGCACAGGGGGTCTCCAGTCTTGCCCTTTTTTTCCCCTCCCCTTCTCCTCGTCTCTGTGGGGTCCGGGTTTCCTGCACATGGAGGCAGTTTGATGGATGTCACGTCATCTGTCAAGGAGACAGATAATTGCATTGTCCCTCCAACCGCAGACACCACCTGCTGGTTTGTTGTTTCCCTTTGATTTTTCTTTTTGGCTATGATAGTATGAAGTAAAGCTTAGTTCATAAAGATAGTTTTTTTAAGTTTATGGACAAAGGAATAGCTCAGCATCAAAATGGTTTCCTTTGCTTTCTTGGTTAGAGTGAGATGAGAAGATTGACACCCTGCACTTATATTTTTACTGTAAAAATATGATGGTTGAGTGAAGTTACTGTTGCTCACTCTTGTTCATACAAAACTAGGCAAGTTAGCTGCTTGCTGTGGCTTCATATTTAGAAGGTGATCTGTTGGGGTTTCCATCTAACTCTGGGGAAACACTTACATTGGGATATTACTCAATATTTCCTTTATTTCCAAAAACTCCCTCTAAGCATACCAGAGCAAACTACAAGTTAACCTACAGCCATTATTTCTACAGCATTTCTGCGAATGAGAAGAACAACTTTATTAAAGAGAACCGTCTGTAATGAACATAAATGTCTCATTAATGTCATACTAAATAATGTAGTTCTCTAAGAAGTCCTCCATTAAAGCATTGCATGAATTAATAGAGCAAAGAAAAGTTAAAAGACTACAGAAATCCTCCCCTTGAGAAAGAGACTTAGCGAAAAGCCAGAGGCGTAGAGTTTTAGGAGACAATATAAATCAGTTAAACTGATTATGCAGCTTTAACTCTCTCACTCTTGGCCTCATTCATTCACAGATCACAGCTATGTCACATCTTCTTTATCACTTGCATCTGTATTCACTATTCTTCCTTTTCATCTTTCCTACCTCAACCCCCTTCCTCGCTCCCTTGTTTGCTTTCTCTGTCTTTCCCCTCACCCCCTCTGTTCCCTCAGTCCTCTGTGCTCTCCTCCCTTCTTTATTATCATGGACACTCGCCACGAGGGATTTGGCACTGCTAATTACCCCCGAATCAACTGCGTATCCAGAGCTGGGTTGCAAGGCAACAGTTCGCAAGGAGGAAAGAGAGAGAGAGAAGAATAGAGGATGGAAGATGTGATGGTAAAAACAAGGGGGAGGATAAAAGGAAGAAAGGAGAGTCTCCGAATGCCATCACATATAAATTAGCCTCCTTCTTTGAACCTATTATGTTTCACCTCTCTAAGCCTAATTCTGAGATTCGATATCTGCATTAAAACAAGCCATCAGGTTTAGTCTGCAGTTTGCAGGCTGGATCAATCTATTGTGCAGTATGGAGCCCTGCTGGTCAGATTCAATATGGAGCCGAGCCAAGCAGAGGCTGCAGACTGTCAAGGCCGTACTGCCCACTGACAGCCCACATGTCCTGGTCATTGGATCTGCTCCATCTTTATGGAGCCGCTCCCTCACCTTGCAAATAATACAGCCATGAAAGCTCAGTGCAAGGAGCTGCTGAGAGGGCGTATCCACGGAGAGGTAATAAAAAACCTTCTGCTTAGTGTGCTGCACAGGAGTTATAGCCGACAGACACAAGACTGATGAAATGTGCTGTGGCATGTGAGCGTATTTTACTCAGGTTCTGTGTTGGAGAAGAGTTTAGGGGTGATTAAAACCAACCTGAGTATAAATACAAGCAGGATTATCATGTTGTCTTTACATGATTTAATCCTGTGCATATTTCACAGCTTTGCACTATCTCTGCCTTTTTGGGATAAACGAGAAATTAACATTCACCATGTATTCTAATCACAACAGAAGCAAATTCAGTCTCTAACAGCCACCTTTGGGATTAGCTCCAGAAATTGCTAAATCATAGAGAAATAATTGAGTTAATTGTGGGTTAATGAGCAACGCCACTGAGTCTGAAAATGAAGCGATGATTCAGCTCTCCAAATGTGATAACACGGTGAGCCAGAATTTCTCTGCAGCAAATCAGTATCATCAAAAAATAAAGAATTTGATCATGGACAATAAAAGTCTTTAAAAAGAGAATAACTAATTGATTTCAGTATATTTTCTAGGAACTTATTCACATTCAATGGTCGACTGATATGGGTTCTTCAGTAGCCAGTATTTACAGAGCTTAGCCAATGGCCAGTTTACAATACCGATATAATGTTACTGTTATTTTCTTGCATTCATAAAATATAATGATTTCATACCAGCAACTGTCATTATTTCATGCATATCACTATCATATATATGTTGTTATCTCAGCCAGTATCTCAGTGTTTCAGATGGATTTTGGATAAATTTGTGAAATTGAAAAATATGTTTGACTTTGGGCTGCATAGGTGTCTGACCATAAAGATACTAATACTGTATTATTCTAAACATAACAACAGAATATTAATTTAAAACTTGACTCAAACAGTTGGATTGGATCCTCTGTAATTTAACGTGTTTTGATTTAAGATGATGTTGGTGTTGCTTGACAGCAGCTACATGAACAAACTTGCCTGCGGTGTCTGCAGACATTATTTTAATCAGCCTCAACTTAAGGGTGTTATTTACCATGTTTTAGTAAAATAATTTTGGTTAAATCATTGTAGACATTTTACTGCATTCATTTTATTTCTCTTTACTGGTCTGTCTTTTTCCGGACTCTAGAAAGGAGTCTGAAGTATGTTGAAGGATATTCTTAAGTGTGAGTTGAATTGAATAAATGAACAGAAAGCATCTTTTTCTGCAAGGACAGTATGTCTTGAGTGCATCATTATCAGTGAAAATGTCTTTTCCTTCGAGTTTACCTCGAACGTCTGCAGAAAATCGAGCCGAGTGTCTGGAGACAAACAGTTTCAGCTCCTGGTCTAGGTTGCAGTCCATGAGGTTTGTGTCCCATGAGCGGATCCCTGCAAGAAAAACAAACACGCACAACATTTAAGCACCAAGAAAAAAGTCGAGAAACACACCGAGGAGGACGATCATGTGTTTGCTCTGCAGATGGATAAATCAATCCAGACAGCAGACATCAATCTCACCCTCACAAACAAACACACACGTCGTGCTCACCCTGTGACTGCAGCTCATTGGACAGACTTAGAGGGGACATGTATGGACTTGATCTGGTTTGGCAAGAGAAAACAAATCTATAATAGGAAATATCTATAGCCTAGTTTCTGTCTGAACATGATGGACAAATGCACAGGTCACTTCAGTTGAATTCAGGGTGCAAAGACCGAGCCTGACTGAAGGCCTCTGGTCACTACACCTTTAGTGGAATGGAGGCTTAAGGACCAAAAACAGAGAATTTTAGTATTTCATTTTGAGTGAAGTCCAGAAATTTTCATTTAACTCCTATATTTGTTTTTAAAGCCTGCAGCCAGCCTGAAGAAGGGTGTGGCAGAGGTCGGAAATCATACCAACTGTGATGACAGACTTACAGTTTAATTCTTCTTTCTCTAATCTATGAGCGCCTGAAATGGTATCACAACAAAGAATGACACCTGATTATACACAATAGTATATTGAAACTTAAACACACAACATTGAATAGACCTATAGTATGTTAGGATACACTGAATATCAAGTGATATGCAGCCACAGAGCCACTGTTTCCATTGGAAAAAAATCAGTCAAAACAGCTCTGAATGTTCATGTGTTTCAGACACAACACAGAGAACCAGCACAAAGCGTACAGTATGTTATCTTACTGAACTAGGTCATGTAATGATTCTTACTGAGTACCAGTGAGCGACACTGTGACAAAAACTGTAAAAACCTGCTTTTATAAACAAACTCTAATGCTGTAAAGTTTGGGGTTTTTGGACCCTGTGAACTTGAGTTGGAGTTACTCACACAAACGTGCAGATTGTGCACATATGGCAAGATATCAAACTTTGCCACACCCTTTGAATTTTGTCTAGAGTCCTGATCAATTTCTAGCTATACACTGAATTTGTTTTGAAACTGATTCACCCTATTGGTCCTGAAAAAGTCCTGAAAAACCCTAAAAGTTAAAAATATTGGACTTCCTGTAAGTTTTAAAACAAGGATTTAAGTCACCTTTTTGTAGGTCTGGGTGTGATCCAGAAGTCTACCAAGTTTCATAATCTTAGCGTGAACGTGTTTCAGGGGCTGACTTTTTGAAACTTTGTAAAACAACTATGCACTGCAGTATTGAGAAGCTATCCTCTACACATCTATGATAAACATCACAACAGTTTTGATAATAGGTTTATTACTATGATGCAGATTTTTTTAAAGTTAACCTAAAGATGTCAATATATAGTAGTTAAAAATGAAAATGTGCAACCATACATAGTCTGAGTGAAGAAGCTACAAAATGAAAATATGTGACAGAAACAGAACTAATACTCAAAAGTCAAATATTAAAAGGTGTTCAGTGAAAAGGTCTTGAAACCTGGGTGATTAAAAACTGGGTGGAGTCTATCAGAAAACCAAAACCTAAAGAAAAGCTGCAAAAATAAGACCTGTCTGACTTCTTTCAAGGTCAAGACTAAACTTTTAGTCTCAGAGTCAAACAGTATGAAAACTTCATAATTAAGTGAATTAGTTTAACAATTTATAAAATAAAATGGTGACTTAAAGAAAGTGTAATCCTCGTTGGTAGCGTAAACCTCAGAATATAAAAGGTCTGAATAGTTTTTATCCCTGATATTGAGCTTTGTTTTCACACCCACAAACAAACTGCGCCATATTCTCCCCCGCACACGCACACAAACAGACACACACACACACACACACACACACACACACACGGCACTCAGACCACCACACTACTCCAGCAGCTGTAGCATTTCTAAACCGCCCTGCTGCTTCTCCGTTTTGAAAATCGTTCCTTGTGGCTTTCCGTAGGGACCGCAGTGCGGACCGAGCCACGCCCACCAGCCGGTGAGGGATGAGAGAGCTGGATGCGGAGATGGAGAGATGTTCGGGCGGAATTAGATGCAAAATGATTCTTTTTCCACCGACAGGCGGTGATATTTGGACACAAAGCGTTTTTCTTCGAGCAGAAAACGCTTCCCTCCTCGTAAACAGACAGATAATGCTGCTCTAAAACCTGTCGTCTCTTCCTGACTGTAATCTGCTGCGTGGGACCCTCCTCTCTCTTGAAACAAAAGCCTGACGCACCTGAATAAAGCTTTGGCAAGGTGCTGAGGGGGAGAGTAGACGCAGCTGCGCTGGCACCAAAGACATGATTTACACTGCATTACTGACGCATAGTTCAGATTTACTGCTGAATCACTGCTGCCTGCTTCGGTAGAGGAGCTGGCCCACGTGTGTGGATGACAACAATTGGGCCTAGTGACATAAATAAGACAGGGGGAAACTATAAAATTCAGTTTAGGTGCTCTTTAAGACAGTGGGTGGGTGGAAAGAAGGCACCTGTGGATTAAGGGGCTTGAACTGGAGATTGGATTTGGTGCAATATTATTGAAATACTAAAGGGAGGGGCTGTTTTAAACCCTTATTATAATAGCATCAACTTTAGTTTGAGCAGTGAGCAAATTTTGTTGGTATTAATGACTTGTTTGTGTGCGTAATTTGCGCAGGAATCATATCGTGCGTAAAATCTCGCGTTACAAACAGGTGCATCCTCACTTACTCAGACATCAATCAAGCGTTAAAAATGTGCAGCTCTGTTAGAGTTGTTGTAGGATTCAAGTTCAGCCCTGTTTTGGCCTACAGCCACCCCCCCACCACCACCATCTTACCTTTCTCTATGTCCGCAATGGCACACTTGAGGTGATCCTCCGCTACGATCTCCCCGATGACCACCAGCAGATAAAATTTGCCGTCGTTAAAGTGCTGCGAGGGGCTGGAGGAGGTTGGAGACGCCCCGGTGTTGCTTTGGCCGCCTAAAGTCCCCATTTCTGCCGATTCTACCAGTGTGGCCATCCTCTCGCCTCTCCTCTGTGTCTCTATCTCTCTCTTTTATCTCCTGTACGCGCGCAGGATCCAAACAGCAGCAGCAGCAGCCTCCTCCCTCTATTCGCCACTGCAGTCAGAGCACTGAGGTGGTCTCCAGACATACAAGTGGAGCGAGGATAGGAGTGGCCCTAGCTTTTTATACCAGCAGACATTGTGTCATGTTCGGTAACCGGGGAGAGAAGAGGGCGCCGGGTGCTTTTTTCGCACACTCACTCCACAGCTGATGTCATCCACAACGAATCAGACGCCTCCGGAAGTCAGAGAGATTTGATGTTTTTGTGTTGAACGTATTTAACAGTGCTGGAATCCTTATGACCTGTTACTCACTAGACTGTATGTGAAGTAATTTTACCACACCCTGTTTATGAAGACTCAAATAAACAGATCAATAATCTAGTTTAGAGATAAATCAAAGATGATCCTGCTGTTTCTCTCGACTTTTCCTTGTAAAATGTAACAAAAACATACAAAGGTTTACACACAGATGAATATCATCACAGAAAAGCTTTTAGAAAAAGCCCCCCGGTGTTTTTGAAGCTTTGTGACACCTTTGAGTTAAAGCAAACTGTTGTGATGGTTTGGAGTTAAACAAAAAGAACAGGCGCCAGCTGATCCTTGTGGCATCCCACAGGGATCAGTCTGAGGTCCTTTTTTATTTTCAACAAATTTTAAGGGCAAACTGTGTTCAGTGCATTCACCGACCAAAATAAATCAAAGTCTTTGATATATTTGAGTAGCTTTACTGAGCCATGAGTGTCACTGACTGATCCAATCTGTTTTAGATTTCTTCTACTGAGACAACTCACCCAGAAACTTTATTTGGTCTTGTTTGGCTAACTATATCTTCATCTGGTTTCAATTACTTTGGGGGGTAATAAAACATTAGAACTTATTATTTAAACTTGATGGTACTTTTTTCTTTCACTTCCCAGAGCTTCTTTTTTTTAACCTCTTTTGTGTCCCGATCCAGAGTTAAACAAAAAGGAGAGGACCCAAAATGCAGAACACAAAAGATTCATTTTAAAAGAACAAAGTAAGAAACAACAAAAACTTACTTTAAATGTCCAATTTGAAAAAATTCCCCAAAAAACACAAGAAGCAAAATCCAAGGAACAAAATATCACAAGGAGATACTGGGATAGGCACACCTTAACAAACACAATGAACCAACAAAGAAACAGGGGAAGACAAGGGCTGTGTCCGAAATGGATCCCTAACCCCCATATAGGCGACCATATGGGGGTTAGCGCCATTTTGAGGGGTGCCCGAAACCTGAGTGATCAATTCCAGTGTTCCATTTAGGCGACTCAAAATTTCCCATAGAGCACTGAAAATTGTAGTGACCATCCGATGGTCACTCACCAGGGGTGGGCATCCTGTCCTGCATTGCGTCTTGCCATGTAGTGTCCGAAGCCTCTGGTGACTGAGCTCACTACATAGTCAGCTATATAGTGAAACCCTATGTGGGGGTTAGGGATTGAGTGATTCATTTCGGACACAGCCAAGGACTATATATACACACAGGGAAACGAGCAACGAGAGGCAGGTGAGACACTGAGACACAGGTGCAGACAATTACAAAGGAGGGGAAACTGAGGAAGTAAAACAAGACTAGAAACACAGGGAATGAACTACTACAAAATAAAACAGGAAACACTGAAAATTGATATAAAGAATAAAACACTGAAAACATGAGGGAACTGGGGTCAGACACAAACTGAAAACTCACAAGACAGGACAACAGGGAAACAGGAACACAAGGGAAAATCACAAGGAAAATCCACTGAAAATGACCAAAACAGGGGAAAACCAAATACCAAAACATATCATGACAACTATCTTTTTGCCTCGGTGGCCCAACTGGGACACTGATTGCCTTTATATGATCCCATTGTGAAAAAATTGTGTTATTATCTTGCACAAAATAATATTGATTGCACAACTTGTATTCAAACAGTATATAAAGTATGAGGGGAGTTTAGCTAAGAAAAGGGTGACACCATGACTGACGGCTCGGTCATTTAAAGGGATATTTTGGTGTAAAATCAATTTAGGGTCAAACACACCATAACACTGAGTTAGACACCCCGTTGAGAGATGAATTTTACCGACCGCTTGCTTCTCTAGTTTTACCAACTTTAGTAACAACCACAGATAGCAATACAGAAAGCCACGGGCTCAACCAAAACGCCACTCTATAGCCACAAATGACGCTCAGAACAGCACATAACTTCATCAACAGTACATATAGGGTCCCAGCCATAGCACTAGCCACCAAACATCTTTTTAACTTTGCCTAATTTCTTTAGCAAAGAGACTGAACACAACTCACCGACTCTCTTCCAGCAGCTGCTTGTTTGTAGCGAGACCTCGGGCCAGTCCATTACGGACTACAGCGGGGTGACGCAGCTCAAGGAAGAACATTTATGATCATTACTTTATCATTTCCTTCAAGTAATAATCACCATATTAATCATTTTGCACTGCAGACACTGTAGTTTTTCTGCCTTAGCTTCTCTGTCTGATTGCATTTCCATATTCATAAATGTTCTTTCTTGAGAACATGTTGCTCTTGCACAATTCTTCAATACCGCCAAAAGTAAGAAGAATTGTCCCAAACACTAATGCAAGAGTTTTGAATGTCAATAACTGATTTAAATAAACGTGAGACTCTATTCTGCTGTGTACTGTACCAAACTATCTTTATCTGCAGGTTAAATGTGTGTTAAATATAAGAGGACATTGATTCTGTGGCTCCACCAGCTAGATCACTGCTCCCATCTTTATTAAGGCCAATCATGGTGAGGGATTCTGGGATGGCCGATCAGACTTTTAGGCGGCCGTGGACACCCTTGGTATAACACAGTGGATCTCAAGTCCACTTGAGCCCCCCCATCCTGCATGTTTTGGATGTTTCCCTGCTCCAACACACCTGATTCAAATGATCAGCTCGTTATCAAGCTCTGAAATGGCTTAATAACGAGCTGATCATTTGAATCAGGTGTGTTGGAGCAGGGAAACATCCAAAACATGCAGGATGGGGGGGCTCGAGGACTGGACTTGAGAACCCTTGGTATAACAGATGCTACTGTGTTGCACCATGGGAATTGAAGGCTTTGTCAATTTATTTCATCCTGGCCTCATAATCAGGTCATTGAGGTCCCTAAAACATTTATTCGTACCATGATTTTATCAAAGTCTGTTTCATAATTTTATGCAATATTTAAGAACCATTCCCCCTTTAGAATTATGTGGGTTTTTTCATCTGTGTTTGATATTAAAAAAAGATTAATCTCTGTATTCAGATGGCATACTGTTTCACTGAACTGGTGCCTCCATAAATAGGATTCCAGGGGTTCATTGTCTATGAACAGTCATGATCTGTTGTGTGATGATTGTTTTTGAAATCACACAGTGGACTCTAGCCTCCCTGTTCACATAAGAGGTTTAGTCTGTGTGGTAGGAATTGATCCATTTTGTCTCTCTACTCACTTTTTATATAGTATAGAGAATTTTTACACTATCCAGCATCTGGTCAGTAAGAAAGGTCATTTCATTCACAACTTTTACCACAAGATATTCAAATTATGGACAAGAAAGTTGAGCTGCAATGTTTGAAAATATATTGTCTCGTTATCAGAAGAACAGATGTACAGACAGCACAAAATGGTAAGCACCAACCCCTTAATCCTCATGGCCTAAAAATAAAGCTTAACCTAATTACATTTATTTTTAGTTTGAGAATATTTCACTGTCAGAGCGGACAGTGTAAATCATGGGAACACTCTCAGGACACTTAACAAAAAGACAGGTCTGGATAGACTATTTATCTTATCATATACACACAGCAGTCTCCTCCATGCAACCACTTTGCAAGATTTTGCAACAGTTGCAGCAAAAAGCTTCCCGCCTGTGGGATTCATGGTGAACAGACATCCACTGACACTGAGTGGGCTGAAGGAGAGAGATAAAGAAAAGAAAAAAAATACAACATCATAATACAGACTCCTTTCCTTGAATTTTAAAACAGCGTTTCCTCAGTGTGCACATTCCTGTTTATATGAATCAAGCCCTTTTTAAGTTAATGCATTTTAATACATCTTTCTATTGAGCTTAGATTTTGAGGGGTTGGGTTGGGGGTAGATTAAGGTTTTCTTTGTGTCTTTTATTTCTCTGCTATGTAAAGCACTTTGTGCTACGTCTTTTCTGTATGAAAAGTGCTATATATATAAAGACTGATTGATTGATTGATTGACTCATGACTACAACTCCAATAATGGCAGCAATAAATACGGTGGTGACCATAAATGTCACACATCGGAGTGACACAAAAATAATATTTCACTGAATGCTGAAATCATAAACTCATAAATATTTCAGAAAACAAACTAAAGTTCTCGTAATGCAAAAATGGTTCATAAAAAGACAGAATATTTAAAAAACGCAAATATTTTATGAGGAACAAAAAACATTTTACAAAACACAACACATGTTTCACAAGACAAAAATACAGAATGAAAAAAAAATTCACAAAACAAAAAGCAATAATAACGATTTAAAGCCAAAAGGATTTTATAGAATGCAAAAACATTTTGCAGTTGAATCAAGTGTTTTTTTAAGGGAAATGTTTTTGGGTATTGTGAAGAAGTTTGATAGTTTTGCATCGTTAAATGTGATGTGTTTCATAAAATGTTTTCCCCTTCCATTAAAGGTTTCTTATTTTCATGACATGTTCTTTTTTATTTTTATAGAAAAATGTTTTTTGGATTTTAATTAAATACTTTCGGTTTTGTGAAAGTTTGTAATTTTCAGTAGTTATTTTTTACTTTGTTTGGCTGTGTGGTTGTTTTTGCATTTTCTGCTATTTTTTTTATATTTTACACAATTTTTTGTAGTCTTAAATATTTGTGTAGTTGCCCTTCAGGGCCACTGTAAATACCAGTACAGTAATGATGATATAACTAAAGCTAATGACCCAAACCTGTGTGAGGGGTTACTATTCAAAACTCTCTGAAAGCTCTGTAGTCAGCCAAATACATTATGGGATATGAAGTGACAGTTATTAGAACAACATAGGGATGTTGTAAAAATGGTAGTTTTCTATTTTATTCTGAACGACATTCAGTTGGAATCCAAATAAACCAGAGCACAGCTACATATTTTGCCTTTTCTGGTTTGTTATCCTAAAATGAGAGCACACACATATGGCATTTTCATTGAACTGTTTTTTTTTTCCTTGCATCATTAAATTAAGCACACTTCACCATCAGAAACATACCAAGGCTTTATCTTAACAAAATTATGTCTGCTATAATGAACCTCACATGCAGCAAGTGTCTGGCTTTAACCCTTTCATAAATTCATTATCGTGCAGCAAAAAAAAGCGATGGATGTCTGATCACAGCATCCATCTTTGATCTCACTCAGGTTTATCCCTTGCAGTCTAATAAGCGCTTTCAAGACACTCACTTGGGGAAAAAATCCTCTTTGAAAGTGGAAAAACTTGCATCTACCAGCAAGCGAGTTGTGATATAAAAGGAATCAGAAATCAGAGGAGGTTAAAGATGGATATCAAATGAAAAGAAATGTAGATCAGAGACTTCCAGTCTGTCACATTTTATCAGAGAGGATACCTTGTGCTTGTGAGTGTGCGTCTTATGCATGTGGAGATGTTAAATTTAGTTGGCAGTGCTTAATGAGCCATTTTATCTTATGACCTGATCATAAAAGATTGTATTTTACCCAGGAGGATAATCTAAGGCTAGAAGTTTGCCTTTTGTTGAGGAGACAACTTTCAGAACTGCACTCAGCTGTTGCAGGAAGAAACGTCACAAATGTCGCAGAGGGAGGAGGATGAATAGACATGAATTGATGCACAAAAGATACACACATACACATTAGGAACTTTATATTCATGCTGGGTTGCAATCTGGGAAGTCAGATGTGATTCAGTCTCTCTGACAGCCTTGATTCAGGTATGTTATTGACTTTATTGGGACAAGGAGTCCACTCAGCAGCTCCTGAATGTGAATATTTCAGGCCCTCTGCGGCCTGGTGGAATCAGCTCGGTCTGATTCACCTCAGGCCATGAGAGGTCGAATCAAACATTCATCACACACAGCTGAGAAGGAAGGAAGGCATTAAAAATACAACAGGCTGCCACCAGAAGTCTCCCTGAACACAGACAAAAGATGAGATGGATGTGTGTATGCAGGTGTGTGGGGGGGATTGATGGGTTAGACCTCTATAGGATTTGGCCTGCTCACTCGTGTTGGTGTGTTTGTGTGTGTCTGTGTGTAGAGAGGCAGTTCAAACATGAACGTGGAGGGATTTTAATAATTCACAGACCCTAAACCCTTCTGGGTCTTACAAAACATCAAATCCTGTTCAGCCCCAGGTCACTTCTAAAAAACAACAAAGAGAGATACAGTGTGATGCACTCTGGGGAAGTCTGCAAACCAAAAGAGATTTGTCCACTAAGAGATAAAAGACAACACAATATGGAGACGGAGATGTACACAAAACAACAAAATGACTAGAACACCCAACCGAACACTCTCTACTCCTCTACATGCCTTTTACATAACTGATTTTGGATTTGGTAGTGCTTTTATAAATGTTCAGTCATGTCCGTTTCATATTAAAGCTATTTCTTGATATTTTTCACATGCACCTGCTCTGTCAGGGGTCTTTGTTTCCTCATGTTGCTTTGGAAACCAGATATCAAAGCGCTGCTTGTCTCACCTCTTTCAGCTGGCAAAGGCAGCCAACTAGCATCCAGAGTGATTATTTTCTAGAGGTTATCTTGTGGGCTTTTAATGTTCTATTTTAAGGACAAGAAAATGGATAAAGTAGGAAACTTTCAGAGATAATGGGGGTTACATGAGTCAAACTGAAGCTGTAGTCCCCCTTTGAGAAGCCACAGGATTCAACCGCTGAGCGTCCTGCTTTCAAAGTAACCTGACACGCCTCAGTATTGATGCTTTTGCTTCTAATCAATGTGAGAAAAGTACAAATGTAGAGTGGATGCTTATTATATTCACAGCTCAGCATGTCTTCTGTTCCTGAAATGGAACTACCTCCTCATCAAAGTGATCGACCTTTGCAACGGTTTTCAACCCTATCAACTCTTTGCAATTTGATTACGCTTAATCTGGGTTTGGGGACTTCACAGGTCCTGATTGTGTGATGAAATCCACTGCTAAAACAAGGAGGGCCTCTACTAAAGCCTGCCCCTGTAATTTGTGGTGTCCCACAAGGATCAGTTTGGGGTCCTTTTTATTTTCAACAAATCTTCAGAGCAAACTGTGTTCAGTGCATTCACCAACCAAATTAAATCAAAGTATTTGATATGTTTGAGAAGCTTTACTGAGCCATAACTGATCCAATCTGTTTTAGACTTCTTCTACTGTAGACAACTCACCCCAAAACTTTATTTGGTCTTGTTTGGCTAACTATATCTTCATCTGGTTTTAATGACTTTGGGGGGGAAAATAAATCATTAGAAGTTATCATTTAAACTAGATGGTACTTTTTCCTTTCCCTTCCCAGAGCTTCTTTTTTTAACCTTTTTTGTGTGTTTTGACAGATATAATATTAACTAATTTTAAATTAATACTCATCATATGATGTGTTGTGTATTTATTTGGCATTGGTTTAACTCTTCACTGTCTTACCCCAGATTCAATAGAAATAAAACACAAGTATAATCATCAGACCACCCTCTATATCAAAGAGATATTCCGGTGTAAAAATAATTTAGGGTCAAACCCATCGTAATACCGAGTTAGACACCCCCTCCAGAGATGAATGTTGCCGACCACTTGCTTCTCTAGAAATACCAACTTTAGTAACGACCGCACAATAGCAATACACAGGGGTCTGAGGAGCCATAAACAAACCTCAACCAAAACGCCACTCTATAGCCACAAATAATGCTCAGAACAGCACCTAACTTCATCAACAGTACATATAGGGTCCCAGCCACAGCACTAGCCACCAAACATCTTTTTAACTTTGCCTAATTTCTTTAGCAAAGAGACTAAACACAACTCACCTACTCTCCTCTAGCAGCCGCTTGTTTGTAGCGAGAACTCAGGCCAGTCCATTACAGACTGCTGCGGGGTGACGCAGCTCAAGGAAGAACATTTATGATCATTACTTCATGGAAATGCAATCAGACTGAGACACTAAGGTAGAAGAACTACCACTTCTGCAGTGCGAAATGATTAATATGATGATTATTACTTCAAGGAAATAATAAAGAAATGAGGGGGTGTCTAACTCTGTTAATTTTACGCCGGAATATCCCTTTAAGATCTTCCTTTCTATGTGACACCTTCAATATTTCTTAATTAAATGTATTACAAACAAATTCCCTGTAAATCAACATGATTAGATCTTATATGACAAGGTCTATTGTCATGATTTGTTGTCATGGAGACAGCCATCTGCCCCGGCTTGGCATGTGGTCACAAATAAAAGCCTCATTGCCACAGTGCTGTCACTGCCGCTGTAGAGAGAGGGGGTTTGTGGGTAAATCATCTCCTCACTGGCCGCATTAGCCGTCTCCTCCTGTGTGGAGCTGGCACACAGTGTTCATAATAACAAAGAAAGAAAGAGTTTCTTATCTCAGTCACAATATGAAGATTTAATCCACTGCTATCATACTTTTTAATCGATGTAAATCTCTACAGTTTCATCGTGAAGTGAAACCTTAAGTGTTATGGAGAGCATTTGAGTTATTTGTCCTTGAAAACAACATCAGTGCCAGAGCCGAGAATCGACATGAGTGTCTGATAAATGTTCACCATGAAAAAGCTGATGCAAAAGATTCTTCAGACATGAGAAGAGTGTTTGAACATTGGTTCAAAGTTATTGATTTTAAATTCAAGGTGGGTCTGACAACGTTAGATAAAAACAACGCTGCGAATTAGGATTTCACACCCAGGTGAAAGATATAATCAGAGAAAAGGAGACTTTACCATCCTAAACTATCCAGGAATTGTGTTAAAGCTCCAGTAAGGAATTTTAGCTGGTTAGGAAACAACTCTGTGACCTCTGTAAAGTAGGTTTGTATTATCCATGGTTACCACTGGTTCAGTGTCAGGCTGAGTGCAGAAACAGTCTTTCTTTACACTGTCTGCATTAAAGATTCATAGAAAAAACACTTACAGCTTTGCCCACATGAGGACTGTCAAAATTGACAAAATTAAAAGTTCCACACAGCAGCTTCAGTAGGGATAGAGGATATTTTCACTTAATCATGACTAGTGTCTTTGAAAATACTTGGCTGTACTTCTTGCTACAGTAGATTTCCCTGCAAACACAAGGAGCAAATGTCGTCTCAGAGGAAAACCCAGGTGCACAGATTGGCCTCCATATCTGAGGGCTCTCTCTGTCTTCCTGCCTGCCTCTCTGTGGTGTTTCTCTGGGCTAGCCTGCACCCTGCTGAGCTGACAACACCGATGTGTCAGCCCACTGAGAGTAAATGTGTGTGCATGTGCGTGTGTGTGTGTGTGTGTGTGTGTGTGTGTGTGTGTGTGTGTGTGTGTGTGTGTGTGTGTGTGTGTGTGTGTGTGTGAACAAGACAGAAACGTAGTGACAGAGGGGAAGCTGGGCTGAGTTCAATCAATCAGAGCTCAGGGAGAGGTCATCACTCTGTTACGACACCAGCAGGTTTACATAAAACATTTGGAATCAGAAACAGGATTTACTTTCCTATTATTATTAGACCTTTTCCCTTGGAAAGAGAGGAAATTTTTAGCTTTTTTAGTCAACATATGATAAGAAAATATACTTAGTTTCACAGAAACTTCTCTCTGGTTGTCACATTAATTGCAGTTTTGTACTCAAAGCTTCAGGATTCAGGATGATTTGGATTTTTTTGAGGCCACTGCAGAGTCAATATCCTCTGTCTGTGATCCTCTGATCTCCACTTTGCTGAGTTATCTCCTGCAGAGACTCAAAAGGCAGAGGTATTATTGGCTGTGAAACTGAAATTGACTTTTGGTAACAGTCCCAGAAGCCATTAGTCCTGATTTTAAGAGCAGAGAAGGATCCAGATGCAACAGAGGATCCACAAAGGAAAAGAAATATGAGCTGCACTTCAGGGTGATGCAAATTTGATTTAAAATTCCTGGATGATGCGGCAAAGAAAAATAAAAAATAAAAAAACTGGGCTCATATTGCCTTATGTAATCAGTTTTATAAAAGCTATGGGAAATAGACCAGGGCTGTTGTTGCTCTGTCTTGCAGATGCAGTGCAAAGAGGGTTTAAAAATAATTTAACTGAAAGCGCCCTCTTGTGGAGATAGAATGATATCACCTGCACAGTTGGCAGACTTAAAGGGATATTCTGGCATAAAATCAATTTAGGGTCAAATACACCATAACACCGAGCTAGACACCCCCTCCAGAGATGAATGTTGCCGACCACTTGCTTCTCTACTTATACCAACTTTAGTAACGACCGCACGATAGCAATACACAGCGGTCTGAGGAGCCATAAACAAACTTCAACCAAAACGCCACTCTATAACCACAAATAATGCTCAGAACAGCACCTAACTTCATCAACTATAGGGTCCTAGCCACAGCACTAGCCATCAAATATCCTTTTAACTTTGCCTAATTTTTTTAGCAAAGAGACTAAACACAACTCACCTACTCTCCTCCAGCAGCCACTTGTTTGTAGCAAGACCTCGGTGACAGCTTATGACATTCATGATAATTTCTTTATCATTTATTTATCTTTTCCTTGAAGTAATAATTATCTTATTAATCATTTTGTACTGCAGACGTGGTAGTTCTGCCTTAGTGTCTTGGTCTGACTGCATTTCCATGAAGAAATTATCATAAATGTTCTTCCTTGAGCTGCGTCACCCCCCTGTAGTCCGTAATGGACTGGCCTGAGGTCTTGCTACAAACAAGCAGCTGCTGGAGGAGAGTAGGTAAGTTGTGTTTGTGCTGTGACAGGGACCCCATATGTACTGTTGATGAAGTTAGGTGTTGTTCTGAGCATTATTTGTGGTTATAGAGTGGCGTTTTGGTAAAGATTTGTTTATGACTCCTCAGACTGCTGTGTATTGCTATCCTGCGGTCGTTACTAAAGTTGGTATAACTAGAGAAGCAAGTGGTCAGCAACATTCATCTCTCAAGGGGGTGTCTAACTCAGTGTTACGGTGTGTTTGACCCTAAATTAATTATGCGTCGGAATATCCCTTTAAGAAGAACTTTTTCCCTTATTGGGCCTGTACGGTCCAGTTTTTGCTTTAGGTAACTCAACAGTGAATACAGATAATTAAAGCAGTGGCAAATGTCACATTGAGAGCCTCAATTATTAAATCTAATTAAAATTGCTAACCTAAGTTTAGGGTTTGCCAAGTGCTTGTTATGGGTTTAGGTAAAGGTAAGTGAAGGGTGGACTAAAATATTCGCAGATTAGCTTTGCTAGTTTGCACCTCTATGCAGATTGGAGTCTTGTGCATGTCAGAGTTTGGTGCACATGTCTTTCTCATGGAAAGAACAGTCATTACGCACGCTTCATGGTCCTAAAGGAAAACTGGCATGATACACACCCAAGTGGAGAACATCTTTCTGGGTTTAAGATTAGGGGTGGGAATCACTCATGGCCCCACGATTCAATATCATCATGATACTTGGGCCATGATACGATTTTATCGCCATTTTTAACATGATGCGATACAGTGAGTATTGGGATACAATATATTGCGATTTATCATTTTTTTTCAACTGTTCAGCTAATTCAGCATTTGTCTTCCCTTTATGTTTGTCTTATTTACACAGTATTTTCTTTTCATGTAGCACATCTTGCAAACCTTTTATATATTTATTGTACTAACTTTCTCCTGCTCTGTGATGTCACCTCTGCCAATCTCACTAAACAACCAGTTGATTTTATTTTTCCATTATCATAGATTGACTTCATATGAGCAATAAGATTGAAAAATCGATATTTGGTAAATGTGAAGATACGATGTATCACCAGACAAAATATTGCGATACTATGCTGTATCGGTTTTTCTCCCACCCCTATTAAAGATGCCGTTTTGCAGTGGCTAAACGAGCAATAAAGCTGTGCTAATCACCCAAACCCATATAAAACGTCCTATTTCTCTACTTGGCTGTTGTGCCCCATCAATAAACTAATATTCTTTGAGAAAGTTGTCTTCACAAAAGTGTAACACTTGTCTGATATATTTAGAATATATTTACATTAAAAAAAACAGAATTTATGGGGTAGTATTTATGACTGCTGCAACAGAATTTTGCACAGTTGTGTACATATGACAGTGTGAGGCATCGACAGTTACAAAGAAATGAAGATATTGAAACATACTTTCTACTGAGGGATGAAAAAGGCACAAGCAGGTTACAAAGACATAAGAAAATTTATTGCAGTATTTGTTCAACCAGAAGAGCTGGGGATCATTTTTGTTCTCATTGTGTGTTCTACTACATCAAAATCTATGTTAAAAACAATATAACCTCCCCTTCATATAGGCACAGATACTGCACTGCTCTTAACGTGAATAAATTATATCAAAGATACTCCATTACACAGTGTTGGTGAACAACTAAAAGGTCTTTAACAAGAGAAAAAGAGGGTTAAAAGTTGTTGGAGTTCACGTCAAGTGAATAAATCCATCTGATGCTAGTTTAAACTCCAAAAACACTTTATTAAGAACATCATCAATACACTAATTTCCAACATTCAGTTTAATTTTTTACAGAATTATGTTCAGATATAAACATGTGTTTAGTTAAACTATTATACAGTGGGAGTAAAAATCAAACAAAGTTGCTGCACAACAGCGAAGGAACCCCCACACAATGTTTTTCACAAACATCTCCTTCTTTTTTCATGTGTCAAACTTAAACACGTCCACGTGTTCCTAAAACTTCCTCCCCACCAGGTCCCGGGATCTCAACAGGCAACATCTCTCTGTAACAGATCCACGTAGATTTGGGCTGTGAGGGGTTTCTGTCTGAGATATTCCAGCCGATTAGCTCTTACCCCCCTCCTTAGCAGCGTAAAGTGCCCGTAACGTCTGTGCCACCTTGTTGGTCAGCTTCTGTCCGCTCGTCAAGGAGATTTTCTTGTAAATGATGTCCGTCTCCTTGATAGTGTCGACCCAAGGCACCTTTTTGCGACCGTCCCGTTTCTTTGCCACGGTCCAGGGTCCAGAGTAGGATCCAGTCATCCAGTGTATGCTGTAGCCGTTTCTGGTCTTCTGGACGATCTGGGCAATCTGTGGTCTGTCTTTGTATTTGGGACAGCAGATGGCGACAACATCCATGACCTCCACTTTCTCGTTCATGTGACCTGATTCCTCGGCAGAGTCTTTGCCTTTTTTTTGTTTCCGCTGTGAACAAAAGAAAACAAGAGTGAGATTCGTAGATAAAGCAGTTATTTCATATATTTAAGATGCATTTGCTCTATAAAATATGAACGGATGTCAAAAACGTGCTTTTATTTTGAAAAATAAAACTTCTGGTATGTTGTAAGTTACAGAGCTGAAAGAAAACAGTTAAAAGAAAGGTTAGGAAGTAATAATATTCAACTGATTTGTACCTCTGTGGGAGGCACAGGCTCTAACTTTGATTTTGGATTCATTATAAATCTTGAGCATCACTTTTAAAGATGCTAAATCATCTCTGAAAAAGCTGATATAGCTAGCTCACTAGCAGTCTGCTACTTCTTCTAATTCTATCCTCTGTTTTAAGACGCAATAAGCATTAAAGACCACTACTATGAAGTCAAGTCGTCGTCGTTTTCTTCTGCTTCATCCGGGTTCGGGTTGCGGGGGCAGCAGCTTCAGGAGGGAAGCCCAGACGGCCCTCACCCCAGCCACTTCCACCAGCTCCTCTGGGGGGATTCCAGGGCACTCCCAGGCCAGGTGAGAGATGTAATCCCTGCACCTGGTCCTGGGTCGGCCACGAGGTCTCCTCCCGGTGGGACATGTCTGGAACACCTCTAACGGTAGGCGTCCAGAAGGCGTCCTAACCAGATGCCCGAGCCACCTCAGCTGACTCCTCGCGATGTGGAGGAGCAGCGGTTCTACTCTGAGTGCCTCCCGAGTGTCCGAGCTCCTTACCCTATCTCTAAGGCTGAGCCCGGCCACCCTGCGGAGGAAACCCATTTCGGCCGCTTGTATCCATGATTCATTACCCAAAGTTCACGGCCATATGTGAGGATCGGCACATAGACTGGCGGGTAAATCGAGAGTCTCGCTTTACGGCTCTTCACCACAACTGATCGGTTAAGCCTCCGCATCACTGCTGATGCCACTTCGATCCGCCTGTCGATCTCCTGCTCCATCCTACCCTCACTCGTGAACAAGATCCGGAGATACTTGAACTCCTTCACGTTGAAGAGTTCAGATGTACTCTAGGTGAACTTGAGGTTAGGAATGTGGGTAAGTGCACACAAGGTCTAACTGTCTCCAAGGATTTCACATTCATACCGCAGAGGGTTCTTCTTCCTCACTCTCCTCATCCTCTGATTCCACCGGAGCTGTGTGATCATTGTGGTTGTGGTTCAAGGGCTTCGGGCCCCTCAGCAGTGAAGTGATGATTTTATTACGGGCGTTGGCACTTGCTTCACCCTCTTCGTCTTCTTCTTCACGATCAAAGTGCTCCATCAGAACCTTGAACTGTGAGATAAAAGTGAGAAAAAGGGGTCAGGTTTCTAGATGTGATCATTTTGCACCACCTTGATCTTGTTTCTCTTCTTTACGGCAAAAAGTTGATGCAAATATATCAAATGGGTAATTTGCTTTATGGTTAATGAAAATCTTGCAGATAAATAGCTACAACATTGCATTGACTGCTTACGTCCAGGTACTGTTTCACAATATTCCTCTTGGTTTCGTGGCTGAGATTCATGTTGGAAACATCGCTCTTCAGGTAATCCATTGTCTGACGAGGGTTGAAGTGCACCTTCGACTTCCTATTCACTGCTTTGTCGTACACTTTGGCAGCCTCTGTTGGGGAGTATTTCTGAATTTTGCTGTAAAATAAAAAAACACACAAAGGTCAGGTCAGTTCAGTCAGGCAAACAGCTGAAAGACTTAAAAGAGGGAGTCGATTGACTTGGAGATGAGTTGGTCTACATACGTGTCTGAGAAGCCGTACAGGTTCTTCAGATGCTGTTTGAGGACCAGCAGAAGCAGAATCCCCTGTGAAGCACTGGCAAAGTCCACCAGAGGGACTGGGTTTTCAGGTAGACGAGCCATCACTGCATCCTCATCGTCAAGGTCAGAGTCTGAATCTGCTGCAGATTTCTTCGTCTTCTGTATCTCCACCTCATCTTCACTACTGCTACTGCTGCTACTACTACTGCTGCTGCTGCTGCTGCTGCTGGAGGAGGAGGAACTGCTACTGCTCTCCCCATCGTCTTCATTATCAGAGACGCGTTTCCTCTTCCGGGATTGCTTCTTCTTCTTCTTTTTCTTCTTTTTGGTCTTCATCTTTTTTTTCTTCTTCTTCTCCTGCTGGATGGGTCCTTTCTGCAAACACTACACAAAAAAGTAAAAACACTCAAAGTCAGAAATGCTGCAGATATAAAGCATAATGTCATGATAAACCACACAAGTAAATGCCTCTTACCTCTTTGAATGACTGGAGCAGGTTACTGCCCGAGACAGACAGAGTTATGTCTATATGGTGCATGATGAAAAGAGGCTCTTCCTGAGTCTGGTAGGGGAAACAGGCCAGGTTGTCTGCTATAAACAACAACATGTTGACCTCCGTTTTCTGCGAGGGGAGAAAAAACATCAATAAGCACGTTCACTGCTGCCAAGAAGTGTTTAGCAGACATGAACCCACGCAGAGGGGAGGAAATAAATCGTCAGGGGAGACTCACGGAGCTGTCATCGAACAGGTTGAGCAGGGAAATGAGGAAAGCTCGTCTGTGTTGTCGGTTACTGCGAACCATCGTGTAGAGATGTGAGCAGAGAGCGGCGTCTGAGTCTTCTTTGCGAAAACCTCGAATCACTGAGGAGTTGGATCCGTGAATGGCCTGTTGCACTTGATAGGACATCTTCAATCCAGCGACAGCCTTCATCTAAGCGGACACAGAGCCAAACAAATCAGCTAGTTTGAAAGAAATTAGACTTTAATTTTACAGATTAAGTTAAACATGATTAAAAATGATTGTATTTTACTCTTAAAAGACAACAGGGTGAGGTTTTTGTCTGAAAACACCAAAATCACACGTGGACAACAATAAGAATAAGAACTTTTTAATCCCCGAAGAGAAATTTAAAAAAAAATCAGAAAAAAGAGATATCACTTTGTCCACAAGGGGCACCAATGTCAACAAGAAACAAAAGTTCTTCACAGCAGCTTTAAATATTAATGTTATTGTATTTTTCGCACTATAAGGCGCACCTGATTATAAGGCGCACTATCAATGAACACGTCTATTCACGTTATTCGTGTCTATTTTCATACATAAGGCGCATCGGATTATAAAGTGCATTTAGCCAAACAAAACAGTCAGATAGGTTAAACTTTATTTAACTCATTCAATAACTGTGTGAGGCTACTGTAACTGCAGTGCTCCGACAAGCCCAAAGGATTTTAAGTGCGCCTTATAGTGCGAAAAATTCGGTAGTTATAAAGTATTACAACTGGGGGCAACATCAGTCATTGTTTACAATCAATCTGCAAAGAAAGCAACATGCAGCACTTTGAGCTCTGAGTCCGAGTCTCAAACTGGACCCCCAGTCTCTGGTTTAAAGTACTGAGAAACTCACATGAATAAAGCCGGAATACTTCTTGTCGATCTCCACCAGCTGCTGATCGGCTTTGTTCTTCATGGTCGGCTCAGGGTCTGTTCCCATGGCGATCAAAAAGGGCACGCACTAAACAGAAGTAAAAAAGTTGATGTGAATCTGTGGATGTCTCATAATACATTAAAGGCAGTAGAAGACGCTGCATGTGAGAAATATCTTCTCGTGTGATGCTCTTGTGAACGTACCTGCACAGGATGGATGAGGCCCTGGCTGAGAGTCAGTGTGATCACGCTCAAGGCAAAGTGTCGAACAGTAGACTGCGAGTGGAAAAAGGACTCAAGCACCTGCTTCAGGTAAATCTGCATAATGGAGCTGCTCATGCCGGATGCGATATCCCCCAGTTCTTTCAGATCCTCCTGCTTGGCTTGATTCTTCCCTGTTTGATAAAATACTTCAGCATTAGCCTTCTGAGGCATTATGAGTACAACTTAACCCATTTAAACTGGGACAGCATGTACTCATTTCAACCTTCCGAGCCGGGAGCGCGGCTGTGCATTTCTACTTGGAAAGCTGGGTGCATGTAGGTATTTCAACCCTTCAAGCCGGGAGAAGCGTGTACGCATTTCAACCTTCTGAGCCGGCGGCACTGCTGATTATGTCTACCCTTCAAGCCGGGAGCGCGGATATGGCATGTCGTAACATTCTGTAGTTTTTCAATCATTTCTGGTGAATCATGGTGAATAAAATCATCATACCCATCTGCCTCTGATAGGCTAATAAAGCTTGCTACGTGCTTCGTGAAGAAAGTAAACAATGACGGAGGCAGAGAGCAGCTTCAGAGGAGAAGCATCCAGCAGTGTGAACAACCTCTTCATATGGAGTGCTTCGACTCACACTATCGGCGTTTTCTGTGTGTTGCATGACTTTGGGTGAGCACAGAGATGAACACACTGTCAGCCACTTATTTATTTTTATTTTTTTTTAGTAAACTTTTGTACTGGCACAATACTAGGGCAGCTGCATACCCTTTCAACACTTTATTTTTTATATTTACATTTGTGCTGAATGGACACTTTATCATGACTGCCACTTGTTTTACAGAAAGCAAATTATTTGTTATTCTCCAGTGCAGAGCTTTTATTTTTACAGCCGCTTTACTTCATTTGAGTTTGTTTGTTCAAGTGTTTCAATAATATGATGAAGGTTCGGACAAATAAAAGATAGTTACCTTTAGAGCCACATTTGTAAGCTCTCAAATAGTTTTTGAATTTTGTTTCTATCTGCTACAGAGGCTGATATATCAGCTTTTTTTTGTAAACCTCAACACTTCAGAAAACCTCAGGATCTGGGGGCCCTTCTTAAAATGGCCCTCAGCATTTCAGAGGCGTGTCTCAGACAGGTTTCAGGTCTTAATGGGTTAAACATGCTGGTACATTTTCATGCATTAGTGAAAAATAAGTGACTGGTTATACTCACATTCACGATCCGCCTCCTGCATTCGAGAGTCCTCCTCTTGTAGGTATGTCTGCAGGTTTTTTAACACGTGGATCTTCAGACTGACCAAACTGTTCTCATCTGACAGGGTGCCGTTATACAGGGTCTTCACATCCTGCACAAACATGAGCTCCGGGTGCATGATGAACTGGAAGCCTAGAGGTCATATAAAGCGTTAAAGTAAGTAGGCTGGAGCAATCAGCCATCATCAATAGAACGAAGTTTCAATACAGTGGTGTCATGGTTGCTACTTTACCTAAGCCAATGATTGCCTTAATCTGGACCTCCTCATCCTCATGACTGGTGAAGTACAACAGAAGCTCCAACACTTTGTCCTTGATGACAATCTGAAAAGGCAGATGAAGACGAGAAAGTCCGTCAGTCTTCCAAACATCAACAGTTGGTCTGCACACACAGTCACACAATGGACCGAACTGATTACTTGTGTTTACCTTGTTCGCTCCCTTGAACTCCTCCTGGTCAAAGTCAAAGTGTCGACAGAGAGCCCCCACGGTGAACAGCGAGCGCAGCAGTGTGGGTTTGTTAGTAGCCAGAGTGGCGCTTCTTGGGTCCTCTTGGTGCTGCGTCTTCAGTTTGACCAGAGCTCCTATAACATGGACGTGAAATGAGACGATGAGGTAGGGAGTTTCAAACGACTTTCAGTTTAACTAAAATCCGATCCAATACTCCATCCTTTTTTCATTCAAAGGCATGTGTATATAAGAAAGTCTGTTACAGATGAGACGACCTACCGTAGAACCGATTGAAACATCTCCAGACATACTCGTACTTGTGTGTGACTTTGTTCACAACGGCCCCGAGACAGCTCACACAGTTTTGAACAACCTGATTGGACAACACAAAAACGCATGACACCTTTGAGTCAAATATGTATGTTCAAGTAGGCAGTTTCACATTCATGTCATTTGTTTTTTTTTTGTTTTAGGCTACCGTCATGCCGTGTTTGATGATGAGCTTCATCAGGTCTTCCTCGATGGTCGTAAGGAAAGTCTCACTCGGATTCTCCATCAGAGGTACGACCAGCTCCAAGATCTTCGCCACGTTACAAATCACTACAAAGTCATTTTGAGTCTGAAATATCAAAACAAAGACAGTCCAAAGCTGAGCTGGAGAATAACAGTTGTTGATGACAGCTAAGGTCTCCTCAAATGCTTCAACAAAACATCTTCTTGCATGCCCGGAAAGACTGTGCATTCAACTGTGTTTTCAACTGTCTGCCACTAGAGGGAGCTACAGCACAACATAAAACTTGGAGTGGTTCATTTCATATCTAATCGGCACCTGTCTCAACAAGTGACTTCTCACAGTTTGAGGCAGACCTACCCTGAACATGATGATTTTATACTTACGTTGCACTTGGTGGTCAAGTAGGGCTGCATAGTCATAGCATGTTTGACCATTAACTGTGCTCTGATCTTACTGAACAGGTAGAGCGTGGTGATGCATGCTACCAGACGATCTGAGGTGACCCCTTTGTCCTCACAGTCTGAAACGCAAACAAAGAAGAGCGTGAGTTTGTCATGGGACACGATATAAACACAAACAGAAAACTTTAAAGTACTAGATAGGGTGAATTTCTTGCTTTACCTGCAAGAGACTCCTCATATTTCAGTATATGTTCCACTAGATTGTCCACCAGCTGAACACAGGCTTTCTTGGTGGGTTTGTATGAAGCTTGCTCCTCTGATTTTAGCAGCTGGAAAGAATACACACATGCAAACATTGAGAGGTCTGCGGCTTTTACAAAAACAAAGTGAGTAATGTTTAAAAAAGGAGGCCTCAATGATCAGTTTCTTACATTTTGCAGAAGCTGCTCAAACCAGTCATAACCTGAATCTCTACATGCTGACACCTGGATGAAAAACATGATATTAGTCACACTATGACAAACTGATACACACTTTTGTTATGTATGTATACTACACACCACATCTGTTATGTTGAGTATCTTCCGGGTCATGGCGTCTTTGTCGTGGCTTGGTGTTGGGGTGAACCAGAGTTTTTGGAATGTCTCATTAACCAGTTTCTGCAGAAGAAAAAAAGACATCTATGGTTTAATTATCTGTGCTGAAGAACAACAAATGTTTTTCAATTAAAAATGTTCAAACAAACCTTGATCCCCTCTTCGTCGTTGACCCTCCGGATCATCTTCACACACATCTCAGTGATCTTTTTGAAGTCTGGCTGCTCCAGGCAAATATCTCTCAAGATCTTAATGACCCTCTTCCGAACACTGATGCCTGTGTCCTGTGTAATGACAGAATGAAAGCGTCTTTTTGTTAACCAAACCGGGCTGGAAAATGAAAATCTATTAGGATAAAAGGGTTTCCTTTACAGTTGTTAAAGTTGGGTGAGGCAACTTTAAAGGAATGAGCATGTGAAGGTATCATTCAATCATTTCATAAAGCTGTTTATTTGTTCTTTGATTTTTCTGACTCATTATTAAAATTTTATATTTTTGCTCTTAAGTACAAAGAAATTCAGTAAAAGTGATGTTTTTCCTGCATTTCAGTCATCTTCTAAGTGTTTGCAGTTCCTTATTCGACCTTTAGGTGGCAGTGTGGGTAAAAGATGCTTTTACCTCAGCTGACCTTTAGCACTTTGAATGAACTCTTTGGACAGGGTCGACTTCAGTTTAAGACAAAGTTTAGTCTTAAACTGAACATTTGTCTGTTAACAGATCTTTTTAAACTCGACCACATCTTAAAATCACAATAAGACTTGATTATTTACCAGTATCCTCTCTATGAGCATGTCATAGTACTGCTCGATGAGCTCTGGTCGATTGAGAACAAAACGGCCGAGGAGCTCCACGGCGGCCTCTCGCACACTGGTGGAGTTGTCCATGAGACGACAGTGAACGCCACGCTGCATATCCAGCTGAAAACAAGAACAAGGGGAAATCAATCGAGCACAAACAAACTTACTGAATGATTAGGATGCAAGTATGACTGGTGTGACTTGTTGAGATATAGTAAATGTGCTTTTTTTCTTTACAGTCAGTGCTAAAGCTATTAATTACATAGTCTTAAAGATGTGTAGCAGCCAATTAAGGATGACGTACCCGTGCCAGGATGCTTGGATCGACAGCTACCACTTCAGACAGACACTTCATGGCTTTGGTTCTGACGGCAATGGCACTCTCACCCAGCACTCTCAGAATCTATGCAAAAGAATCAAAAGGGGAAATGATTGACGACAGGCAGCACATTAAAATCTCTCATTCACGTTTATTTTGAAACAATCCTCTCACCTGTGCTAAATAAACATCGAAGCTCTGTGCAAACGGCCTCGTGGAGGCCAGATATCTGACAATCAGACAGGAGTCCTCGTAATCCACAGTGTCGGAGTTTAACCTGGAGGAAAAGAAGTAAGGCGTTGGTGAACAACTCAGTCAGCGTGGTAAAAAAAAGGACAGTGGTTCACAGTGAAGAGGAGCAAACCTCAGAGAGCTTGAATGCGATGGCGATGTCTTTATGATCTTGCGGAGGAATTTCTTTCTTGACTCGGCCCTCTGCATAATCTCTGCAGTTGAGTCAACATCATGGGAGTGATACAGACCTCGGACGTCCTCATCGTTCTCAGTCTGAGTCTTCATTGCCTTCTCTACCTCACTTGTTGTGTCCCTGAACCACTGGGCAATATAAAACTTCCTGGCAAACTAGGGGAGGGAAAAGCACACCAACATGAGCGAAAATGCAGGAAAATTTATACTAAAGAGAATAACAAACTACTTAATGTGGCTTTCAAAAAGACAAAACTTATTGTCTGAAAAGGAAACACTCACCGCAAGTGATGGATCCATCTCAGTGTTCCCATCCAGATAGTCCAGCAAAGCCTTCTGGAGTTGTTGGGTCTCATCGCTGCCTTGTGTCTTTAAGAAAAGTCAAGAGCACATCAAAAGCAGTCCAATATGACAGTTTATTTACATTCATAGGTGAATAAACAAATAGTCTACCTCTCGGACGATGCGGTCAATAGCCTTTTGGTCCATCTTGCTGGTGACAGCATTTTTACGCAGGCTTGAGGCGACAGTGCCGAGGTAGTCCAGTGATGCCACCCTGAGCGCCATCTCCGTCTGCTTGTTGCTGAACTGGTGCACCTGGAACCCAGAAGGTGGAAAATAAAAATCAGCAGCTGCTACTACCAGACGGGAGATGAGTAATGAGACCTTTAAAGTGAGCGATGCAACTGACCAGCAGCCGGCCCAGTAAACTGAGCAGCAGTTCAGCTGCAGGCCACTCAGGCTTGTTGACTGTGGACAGCAGGTCATGAACAAAGTTCACAAACAGAGGCCTGTAGTCCTCCTCCCCCTGTTTACTGCCACACCTGTACACACGGAGAATAATATTTGACTTAAATACATTTCATTACATAACATAATATATATAGTACAGCCATGGCCAGAGAGTAGAGGAAGATCCCTCCAGAGGCAGAGCTTTTTGTCAGAAAATAAGATGCTTTATTAAACACAAACAGCTCAGAGGCCATCCGACTCTATTGACAAAGATGGTCATTTCCACTTGCAGTGCACAGGAATTAATTATCCACTTAGTCTTTGATTTTTGTTGACCGTGCAAATATTATGTGGTACCCAAACTGATCATTTAAGACTCAATCTCAAAATGACACAAATTAATTAACCAATTGAGGCAGCAGTTGCCCAGCATTGGCCGAGTTCTGCAGCCTGTGATCGATTTACACAAATTAAAAACAGGCTCATCGCACAGTCTCGAGCAGGGCTATTCAATTACATTTTCAACAGGGCCAGATTTGAACACCAGAACAATCAGACGGGCCAAACATTTTGAGCATGATACATTTTTTTTTCTGCCTTTGCTGAGCCTCAGTAGCAGTGACGATGCACGGCCATGCCAACGAAATACACAGCAGGCAGGAAGAAACACGACTCCAGCTGCAAGTAAAGGAAATCCAGCGTCTTCATGTACATTCTTGTGGGAGCGTAACCGCCATGAAACAATCAGAAAGTCACGTGTGTTGTGTCGGATTCAAGTATGCTGGGGCCACCAAGAGGTCACCTGATTTGGCCCTAGATCTTTAGTTTGTGGTTTTTTATGTGGAAAATCAGACTGTGTTGTTCGCTGAGAATTGGACTTACTTCTTGAGAAAAACTGACAGGAAGTTCTGAGCGGTCCTCATGGCGGTTTCAAAAGAGTTTATGATAAAAACCTCTTTATCCACCTGTGGGAAAAAAGAACCTGATGTGTTAAAGAATTCTTCTTCAAACTTGACAAATCAAACGGTTAGCACAAAGTGAAAGTTCAGTTTTCGTCAATTACCTTCTTCTTATGTTCATCCTCTGAATCTGTCTCAGTTGGGAGGTTTATCACACACTGGATGAGCTGTAAAACCAGAGCTGTCACCATTTGGATATATGAGGGCTCTCCTTCTGAGTCACTGCAGTTCATCCTGAGGGAATCAGAGACATTAGGTTTCTTGGATGTGGGGTAACTTCAAAACCAACTTGTCATTTTTATAAGATTTTGAGATACTAACTCCAGACTCAATTACCTGAAATTCCTCAGGCTACGTTTATTGGTAGGAAGTCGAGCCAGAGAAGTGAAAATCTCCTCAAGAATGAGCTGCCTGTGCTTCTCGTACCGTGAGAACACCTATCCAAGAGTTAAGAGCAAATTAAAAATACTTCAAATTAGAGCAAATCTGAATGTCAAAGTAAAGCTAAAACTGCTTGCTGTGGTAGACTTACAGCTGTCACAAGTGTGATGGCACATAACTGCAGTTCACTGATGTTCTCCACAAAAAAGGGCGTGATACCCAGAGTGGACACCTAAAAATCAGACGACAGAATGATCAGGAGAGTCAGAACTTCAGTGTTCAAGAGTGAGATGTTTGCGCTCTGAACGATGTCAGATCAGCCTCACCTGGAGGATGGTGGTGTCTGTTAGCAGCTGGATCTCCAGGAGCTCTGCCATGTTGCTGACGATATCGCACACTTTGTTGTAGAGCGTAACGACCACTTTCTGTTTGTGGGAGGAATTTTTTGCTTTCTTGGACTTTGAAGAATGCGAACCACCTAAAGAAAGGAACAAAGAAAACAAAACAAAAGTTTGTTTTTGTTCAACAAAGAATCACATAATTTCACTGTGAATTACAAGGTCATTATGAAAACTCCTGACGCCATCCATTTAACAGTTTTTACAATAAAAATGATGAAACAAAACTAAAAGGAAAACAAAAGAAAAAGGTTTTAACGTGGGCGTCTTTGTGTGTAAAAAAAAGGACATACATGTGTGTGTATACATACTGTAGTTTGTTATATTACATAGGCATATCATAGCAACAGAGAAGCATTAAGGGGAAATATATGATTCCCATCTTTTCAAAAAAGTCTCAGGCTTGATTTTCTAAAGCCCAAAAGGAACTATAACCTGTTCTGTTATAGACGTAATATACTATATCAAACCTGTCCTCTATGGATAAGGAAGCGGACTCGAGCTGTCTTGTTATTGCCTTCTTGGCAGCTTGGCTCATTATTCCAAATAAGAGTTAATTTCTCAGTTAAAACTAAAAGATTAATTTATGCAATGTCATGAATATGAAAAATGTCAGAAGCAGTGTTTGCTCTGTGACCGATTCAAAAGCCTAACTTTGCTTTTTGTCCCAAGCGTGCAACAAAAAAAAAAAATGGGTAAAAAGGGTTTTAGGTACGCTGGGGTCTGAGAGAGAGGGTCTCTCTGAATGTACTGAAGGCAATGAAGGAATATGTATCAGGCAGCAGATGCTTTAAATGATGATTTCTGTTCAGAAATAGTTCAGACTTCGGACATCAGACTATATCCAGGATATGTTGAAACATGTTTTTCAAATGAGGTGTTTTGTGTCTGTAATCAAGATATCCTCTCTTACTGTAGAACAGGGAAGACCCACAGAAAGATACTGACCTCCATGGGGGTCCACCCTGTAGGCCGGGTCGTACTGAGGGTACAGAGAGTTTTGCAAGTGATATTTGGTGAACTGCAGCACCCGCTCGATCACGTCCTCAATGTAAACAGCCTTTGGCATGTGTGGAGATGTCATAATGTTGAGTGCAGTCAGACAGGCATCAGCAGACTTGGTCACCCGCTCCATGATCAGGTCCCGCCACAGACGCTCTTCATCCATCGAGTCATTACCCTGCGAGTGTCAGAAATGACAATTAGAGTTTCAGTTTAAGAACAAGTCCTGCTGAGAAGCTCTGGAATTTCATCACGAAATCAAACCAGGCTGACCACTCACATGGTTCATTAAGGTGGAAAGTTTGACGCTGTCCTGAATGTTCTTCTCCAGGATGTTCAAGATTTTCACCAGTTTATCAGAAGAAAACTGTGGATCAAAGAATTCACCATTTAATTAATAATTATTCTGCTATAAATTAACGTATGATGAAATCCAGATCTTACCTTATTAAAAGCGCCCATGGCTTTGATTTTCGCAGAATCACTACCGAGCTCACTCAACTGGTGCTTCCCAAGCAAGAGCTCTTGAGGTATCTCATCGTCGTCGTCATCTGTTTGAGACACAGTTTTAATGTCGTCTTTGTCATTAAATTAATGAGAAGAACAAGTGAGACTGTGCAGCGCTCACTTACCAGCTGTGAGGTCCACGTCTTCAAGGCTCTCCAGCAGGTTGTCCACACTGGCACTGAACCTCTTGAATGTGGAGGAGTCCATTACCTCTGTACAATGATTATAAACAAAACCAATCAGTGGTAGTCTTTAAAAAATGATTAAAAACTCTGAAGACATGGAAGTGACAGAACAATACCCTCAAGTGTCAGCCTGGACTCGTGCGCTCTCTTGTTTTTCTGCTTCTGTTTCTTCATTTTTTTGGCAACTTAACAAAAAAACAACAAAAACAACGTCAGAAGATGCAGGTGACAGGTGACATGACAGCTTCTCAATAATAAACTCAAATCATTTGGAGTGCCCTCTGTTGCCCGGCAACAGTAGGGGTTACAAAGGTCACAAAGCCTGCCTTCTCTGTGTTAACTGAGAGGATCTGAGTTACTTAATCGCAGTTTGGAAATCAGTGTGTCTTTTTTTTCTTACCATCACTGAGGTTTGGGGGAGGAGATCCTTCATCTGAATCATCTGGGTTCCAGTCACGGTGGCGGTTTCCTGATCCCCGCCGAGCATTGTGAAAACCTCCACTTCGCCGGTGATCTCCTGAGCTTCTCTTTTCTTCATGCTTCCAAGTCTTGTCATGATCTCTCTTTTGCTTTTTCCTGGTAGCTATAACAGAGAACATAAAAACAAAACTTCCATTAACATGTGCAGGTAAGAAGCTAATTTAGCACAAACATCAGCTTCCTTTAGGTTTTAATGCTTACACTCATCTTCAGAATCTTCCTCCTCCTCTTCCTCTTCGTCAGAGTCCAGCTCAGCATACTTGGATTTCTTACTAATCATGCCGTGTCTTCGCTTGTTTGACATCTCTGTAAGACATTTAATCAAAGCATTATCAACTATTTGGATAAAAGGCTGTGCGTGATTCAGAGGCAGTGGTTTAAAACAAATAAACACATCCATTCCAGACAGTGGAGTGTGTAAATACAGTTAAAGTCAATCATACCTCTCTCTGATTTATCAGAGCAGGACCAGTTCCTGGATCTGTGTTGATTCCTGCTGTCCTTGATGATGTTTTTCACCTCATCGATGCTGAGTTTCTGAACCACAACCACCGGCTTAGCTCCTTTGTTTAGGTTTTCGACCAGTGACACCCTCTCCAGCCTGACTCGGGGCTCTGCCCACACATCTTTCAGTTGGTTCTGAGGTTGAGGATCCTTTTCTTTCCCATCCCTCTTCAACTTGGGAATCACAAAGTTCTTCAGACTTCCTTTCTTGTTACCCAGCAGGTATGCGGGGAACTCGCTGGACATCGTCTCCTGCTTCTTTCCAGCTTGGCAGCTCATCTGACCATCTCCACTTCTGGTCTCATCCCTATGCTGGGCATTCTGAAGGCTGGAACCATCCGTCCTCTGGCGGCCATTAAGGTCGTTGGATTTTCTGCTTCCATCTTGCTTTAATCTGGCGCTGTCAGGTTTGTTATTTTGCTCAGGAGAGTGTCGGTTGCAGTTTTCACTTGACAGTGTTTTGTTTTTCCTTTCCTTCTCTCGGTCTCTGTCTCTTTCTTTGTCCTGATTTTTGTTTCTATCTTTGTCTCTGTCCCTTTTTCTTTCTGGATCTTTTTCTTTGTCCCTAACTTTGACCTTATCTTTGTCTCTCTCCCCATTCTTAATTCTTTCTCTATCTTTATCTCGTTCCCGATTCTTATCTCTATCTTTTTCTCTGTCCTTATCTCTGTCTTTTTCTCTGTCCTTATCTCTGTCTTTTTCTCTGTCCTTATCTTTCTTTTTCTCTGTCCTTATCTTTGTCTTTTTCTCTGTCCTTATCTCTGTCTTTTTCTCTGTCCTTATCTCTGTCTTTTTCTCTGTCCTTATCTCTGTCTTTTTCTCTGTCCTTATCTCTGTCTTTTTCTCTGTCCTTATCTCTGTCTTTTTCTCTATCTTTATCCTTTTTTCTTTCTCTATCTTTGTCCCTGTCTCTATCTTTATCTCGTTCCTGTGCTCTTTCTTCTCCATTTCTGGAGTTACGCTCTGCCTCTCTTGTGGTTTTCGGAGTCTTGTGTTGGCTGACACTGGATCTGTGACTGTTGTGATTCTTTTCTTCTTTGTGGCCTGAGTCTGAATGCTTGTCATGTCTCTGCCGTGGTGTGTCTGGCCGTCTGTCATCTGTGTGTCCCTTGCTGCTGTCAGTTCTGCCATCGTGTTTGTGTTTGGATTCGCGCCGACTGTCCTGCTTCTGTTTCGGGGTATCTGATTGCCCGTCTGAGTCCGATTTCTTCGGCTTGTCTGCATGCTGTTTGATGACCTCGGGTCTGTTTTCAACAACTTTTTCTTCCATTCCATCACCCTTTGATTTTATGCGCTTTAGGTGGTCCTCACACAGCTGCTGGGGTTCCAAGACCACAACAGGCTGTCTTATCAATCTGCCAGCTTGTTGCAGATCAATACTGACCATCAAAGCTGGCCGACTGGAACCATTACTGGCAGCATTCATCTTCTTAGGTGTCGGCTTGCTGTCAGTGTTGCCCCCTTGTGAAGGAGGCCCGTCACTTGGCTCAGCTCCAGATTCCTGAGGATATGAGTCTTGCTTCCTTTTTTTTAGAGGTTTATCTGAAATTTCACAAAAAGTAACTTAGATCTTCTACAAACACAAATGCATGAAAGCAAAGGGAAAAGACGGGAGAACAGTTACCTTTATCCTGGACTTCTTTAGACCACCGTTCCTTCTCGCTTGCTGACTCCCGCTCTATTCTCTCCATCTCCACAAGTGTGTCGATCTCAGCCTCGTCAAACACACCTATGACTCCACCGACGTCCTTCATATTTTGCCGCACTGGTACATGCTGAGAGTTCGCCTGCTCCTCAGCACCTAACTTGTGCGACAAGTCCTGGGCAGTTCTCGAAAACGGGTCGTTGTTGTTCACCAAATCAGTTTCATGCGAGCCGATATGTGGTTGATCCATGTCCGGACTCTTAACTCGTGACAGTTTTAGAGTCAGCCTAGGCGAGTCTTTCTGCGGAGAGCTAACAATGTCGTACATCGCATTATTTTCCACCTGCTTGTTTTCATCTCTACTCCTTTCTTTCTGCTTCCTCTTGCGGTCAGAGGTGAGGAGGAGGTCAGGAGCTGCATCTGGTGGCATTTCAGGTGGGGGTGACTGCATGATGAGAGAACGTCTGGGCTCTGTTTAAAGACAAAAAGGGTTCAAGGGAAAGTGAGTGTCTTGGAGGAATTTTACTGGTACATTATTTTCAAATCTGAAAGATTGATATTGATTAATTCTTGAGGTGGCGTACTTCTCACAGACTCCTCATTCCCGGCAGGGGAACACACAGGCTGTGGAGATTTAACTGCAAACTTGGAGGCCCTCATGGAGGGGTCATTCTCCTGTTAATGTAGACAACATTTGTCAACAGCTTGAATAATCAACATCTGCTGAGGTACAGATCAGGATTGTTGTGATTCTCTGCGTTACCTCATGTCCCAGTCTGTGAGCCATGTTCATGTAGTCTTCATCTGAGCCTAGTCTTGCATTATGATGAGATGAATTACTTGACAGCTGTCCGGAGACCTTGTTGTCATGGGAATTCCTCACAACAGTGGTAACTAAAACAGAGAGAAACATTCGATGTTCAGTTTACTCACCTTCAATGTCACAGATTTTAGAGGAAGCAGGTGTCAGCTGATCAACCTCCGTCTCGCCATGTCAGTGAGTTTAAAAGTTTGGGCGCTTTTAAGAGTTTTCTTGTGGGCAGCTTCATTTATATTAAAAAAAACATGCAGGTGGTGTTGTTGTAAAAAGGGTTATTGTTTTCTCAAGATAAGTAGGAGGAACTTGCAGATATTCAAACAGTTCAAGGTTAGAGTGCATCTGAAGCTCAGTGAGGAACAATCCTCTAAGAGCCGCATCTTGTTATGAATAGCCACTTGTTCTGGAAAGTTGTGTAACAAAGCTACCAAAATTAAATAACCAAGAAAAGCATTTAGTTGACTTGTCTTGTGGCAAATAACCCAGCCTGATTTCAACTTTCAACATAACATACAAACAAAATGAAGATTCAAAACTGCTCTGTGTTTTCCCAGAGCTGAACTGTTCTAATAACATTGTGTACATTGGATAACATCACAACTGGCTCACAGTATCTTAAAGTAATATTTACATCTGAATTCGTCCGGCTGATATGGCTTATAGTGAGAGTGAGACTTTTTGTGGTTAGCAGGAAACTAGAAACTCATTTCTCTTCACTTCCTCCTTCTCTCACCTTGCTGGGTCTGTTGGTGTTGAGAGTAACTTGGTGGGTTGTACTGTATAAAGTCAGCTGGACTCTGGGGGGTATAGGGACTGGGTATAGGGCTGTTCTGCTGGGGGATGAACGTTGGACCGGATCCAGACTGTTGCGATGGAAAGCATCTGTGAAAGATGATGAAGAAGTCTTAATAGAGACAAAGAAACTTCTGCTTCTTCCGATCTTGATGCAGAGCCGATATTGTCTTACCCAGAGGGACTTTGAGTGACGGTAGTTTGCTGATAGTTGGATCCTGGACTCCCATGCACCTGATTCTGAGGCACCTTATACTGTTGTATCAACGGCGGCTGCAGAGCACCTATAAGAAAGCGGTGAAATAAAAATCTGTAACCGGATCAAAGAAAAACATTGCAGAGTTGCAGTAAGACGGCTCATGTTAAATACATTATTCCAAAGCGAAAGTGAGTCGGTGTAACACAACCTTCATATATCCAACATCTACCGAAAAGCAATTCAGGATACCTCACATAAGCAGCACTCTGAGGGAGGAGAGAAGCATCTCTTATATCCAACCTTCAGTTTTTCTATTAACCATATTCAGTAGAAGTGTTCTTCAACTCCACTGCCTTTTAAAATTATTAGAGTTGGGATTGAGTTGAATTTAGCGTATATATGGATTAAATTAGTAGCTTTAACTGAGTAGTTTTCCAGTTTTAGTAATAAATACCTATATTGTCTATACATTTTTACTGATGTAATAATATAAGTAAGTTTAGAATGATAAAGAAGGAATGTTTAGCAGCAACGATAAGGATCTATCAAAGCGCAAAGTCATGAATACACCATCCAGTCACAAGTTCACAATAAGCATGTTTTTGAAGTCGCATTTCACTGTATCAAAAGCACTGAGTTGCAGTACTGCAAGCGAAGATGGTTCGAAGCTGAATGTTAAACTTCAACAAGCTCCTGCATCGGTTACAAACTCCTTCAGGATGCTTCACAACGATGACTGCGCAGTCGTTCCTACAAATGCTTCTGGTTCACTTTTACGACTTCTGTTGATCTTGCAGTTGCCAGCGACTCCGGCTCTGCAGTATCCACTCTCTTTTTCCATCTGAGGCACAAACACTGACTCAGTATGAAAGCGCGTATGCATACTATATACTTATAATTATGGGTAATTGCAGGCTAAGGCAGCTGCTCATAAATCTAGAGGGCTTTCTAGAATTAAGGTTAAAAGAGAAATATGCAACTGTTTATAGCAATTAGTGTTGTAATTAATGATAGGAAAACAAACGTAGTTGAGCCTTCAAAGCTGTTAAAGTTAACTGCTAAAATATCTCTTTAATGACTTTTCTGTGGCTGAAAATCCGATGTTCTGTGAACAGCTATTGATCTATTTAAGGTTATCTAGCAGGTTGTGTTTGCTGTACTCAGCAACAGATCCAGTCTCTGCAAGTTGCTTCATTTAAGGTTAAAATACATTTTAAAAAGTCAGCACAATATAAAGAAAACATACAATATATTTCAGAAACATCTTTTGGACCAAATTACTCCCTCACCTCTCCAGTGGAGGTGACTGAAATTCAATTTTATGCTGCAGGATTGTAAAAAAATAACATCCAACTGTGGTTTAAGACGCCTGGGGCCCTTATTTCCTGTCAACTTTCCACCTGGTTTCGTGGATTCTTGACACTGCATGCATGCACCTGACACCATAGCTAAAAAGACAAAGGGTTTAAAATAACAGTCACTGGACACACTTGTTGTTGATCATGAAACTGCTTAGGCACAGGAGCTAACTGCTTTCAAATCCACTGTCTCTGAGGGCTTGTTTTTCACTGGTCACACAGCTGGGTTAAATGTTGCACAAGCGCCCTAACTCCAAACTAAGGTAAACATATACTGAGAACCCAATGTTTTTATTCCGTATTTATACTCCTCCTAAGCTTTTGTAGTTATATTGATCATTAACTTTAACAAATAAATGCCAAAAGCCGATATAGATGACACAGAGATAAAATAAAAATACACTGAAACGATGTCCCTGACAGCTCTGAGTAACATCAATACAACTGGTAGTTGGTTTGAGTTGTTTAAAAGCTTTTTTAGGCATCTCACCATCAACCAGGACAAAACTCTCCATGGTTTCCCCATTTAAAAGCAAAGGTTCTGAAGGATAAACATTAAAAGACTGAGAAAGTAAAAGGTTTGATCTGATAAATCTTATTTTACTGCTGAAGTGGGCTGCAAGGTCATCTCATGACAAGTCTCAATTGTAAGGTTGGTTGAAAACAGGATTGATTAAACGGTCTATGGTTGAAGAAAGTGTTGGGTTATTTTGATTGTCATTAATTAATTTTGAAAAGTGTTTTGTTGTAGATGGTGAGTTATTCTCTGAGGATTTCATAATTAATCTGCAACTTGTCCCGTTGCCACCTCCGTTCTGCTTTTCTGCAAATTCTTTTCAGATTGGTCATGTTTTTGTTTTTCCGAGGAGGCTTTGGTTTTGTTGATAATTTTTGACACGCTTCTGTGTTGGACTGAGTGACACCGGGGAGCGTTTTAGTCCAGGGAAGCACCTTTAACCAGCAGCGGAGGGTCCTGAGCCCCAGAGTCGGTGTCACTTTTGGAGCTCCTCCGTGCGACAGCCTCCTTCAGCAGCTTGCGGCGGACAGAGGATGGTTTTACCGCTTGCTGCTGTGGGGCATTCTCGCCCAGAGGAGGAAAATCCTTTTTACTCAGGACATCAAACTTGTTGGTGATGAGTGACTAGAAGGAGGCATAGCATGGTGTTCACCCCTGCACGCAATGGACCAGAGCCTCCACTCCTCCACCGGCATGCACTTGCGTCTCCACGGGCACAGGGGAGGGAGTGGGTCCTGCTGTTGTTTTTGGTTTAGCTTCCAGGAGCCATGGATCTTCTGGCAGGGCTGAAGCAGCTTTGGGCTCCAAAACACTTGTGATAATGGAACCGGATCATGGAACGGTGAGATCAGAGACCATTCCTGGAGCTGCTGCTGGAGCAGGACTTGCAGCAGAGGCAGGGGCATCGCTGGAGAATCCTTGACTGTAGGTGCTCATGACAGCGAGGTGCTTGGCCTGGGTCGCAGCTACTCTTGAAAACGTACTATCACCTTATTCTAAAAAATCTTTCGACATAGGCTTGAAGAGCTATGCACAATTCTTCTTTTGCCAAATAACTGTCCTTTGCATGACTTTACAACTTCAAGTAATGTGTAAAAACAAGGAGAGTTGATCCACAGTGAAAACAGGTCAAGCTTTTGCTCTGGAGAGCATGTTGCAAGCATGTTTCTTTTCCTGCTTGTGATATTACCAGAGCCAGTACAAAGCTGATACAGCCCTCTGCTTGTGGTTTTTCTGGGTATAAGATCTGCATGTGGCTTGCAAAAAAAGATGAGCCCTTTGCCCTTCAATTTTTGGGTGCCAGACTGATGTGAGACAGATACAAGATGAACGTGAGACCTGTGTGAGATGAGCTGCTCACGGCTGTGGTTAGAATGGTCTAATCTGTGAACATGCACAGCAAAACTAAAATCAAGCCTTTACAGGGTATTAACGCTTCCAACAAGCCTTCTGTAAGCTAGGGTACAGTTGGCTGTGGGCAAGCAAAGATCAGGGTTTACCGTACCAAACTTTACTGCACTGAGCCAAACTAGACCACCTGATGAAAATGTACTGAAAGTTACTATAGAGACTAAAAGGCAGGTAAGAGAGCAAGCATGACATCCCACCCCAAACCTGGCAGTGTGGTAACATACTTTTGTCCCTGAAGATTTTGGGGTTCCTGGACAGCAGAGTTTGGAGAAGGATTGGCATTTCACCCTCCGGTTCATCGTTCCCCAAGTTGTCCTTTAACTCTCTGAAAAGCAAAGAAATACTCAACAGTCAGATTGGTCTTCATGCTGTTTTGATAAGCATTATTTCCTTAAAACTACAGCGATCATTTTATAATCGCAACAGCAATGCCTGACTTCATTAAAATCAAACAGTGAAAGAACACACTGATACATTTCCAATAATGATTCTAAAACTTAACAGCTGCTGAACACTTATTTCCACATTTAAAGCAAATCCAAGAATTAGTGCACCTTTAAGACGTTACTGTGTCAGCTACTGGCATCCTTTTCTACCTTAAATAGTAATTCTCCCTCTTCTCTTTTTGTGAGATGTGACATAAGAGTGAATGGTACTTACATGTGTTCAGTGGAGACCTGGTTGAGGCTTTGTGCCAGCTGAGTCACCAGATTCTCGTCCCGACACACCAGGAGGCTGCTGACCTCATCGGAGATCCTTCCATTGTAGAGCAGGCTCTTAGCAGTGGTGGCAGGAAGAGGAGAGGGCAAAGGCAGCTGGTTCAACACTGAAGGAATGATTGAAAGGCAGAAAATTGGGGTGTGTGAAATAGAGAAGGAGCACCGGAGAAAAACTGTGCAACAGAATAGCATCAAAGATAGGTTAGTAGTTGAGAAATTTTTTGTTTGAGAGAATTTCAAATTGAAAAACATGCAAATGGTCCTCTTTAAAGTAGTACTGACTAATGCCATTGATAGAGTATTATACTTGAACTGAAAGCTAATGTTTAGCGACTATTAATTTCATTATTACAAGCTTCTATTTATTAAAGTTAAGATTCAGTTAATGTATCCTTATTGAATTTAATTTGTATTCTCCATACATGCTACAAAAGGCAATCAAATACATGCCTCAGTTTTGCTTAAAATAGATTATGATATCCTGGTCAAAATGCCTTAAAAAAAACAGGAGCACTTGAGTGACGAAAGACCCACAATCTTCTGTGTTTATTTAGCACCCCTTGTTAAATACTCTTGAGTAAAAAGTTCTTCTATAAATGTCATCTAATGTGAAATACGCATTGCTTTTCTCAAGAGTTCATATTTTTCTTTGGAGACTTTAAACCCACAACTGCCTATCTTAAGCCACTTCCCTTAGGAGTGTCCATTTTGTACTGTTTAAGCATTCAGGTTTTTTGTTAGTCTTATTTTGAGTGTTAGTGTTTTCTGTTAGAGACATGCTGTTTCACTTACAATCTGTCAGGCTAGCAATTCCAGCAAGAGTAGTGATGGGAACATGAGGCATATCACCATTCATGCTGAAGATGAGGTGAAGAGGTCGTGTCAATGCACAGGCTGCTCAATATCACCAATCTCTTCCTATTCCTCACATCTCCGAAATGCTGTAGAAAAACAAAGAAATAAGTCACAACAGACACTCGTATCGAATGTCCACTGTTGACAAGATATCACTGAGATCCTAAATGATATCTCTGTTATATTAATAGAGTGCTTTTTCCGAGGTGGGGCATCAGACATGTCTCTACTCAAAAGTGTGCATTATTACACTGTAAACTTAACTGCACTTCTGTTCTGACGTAAGCAACTTATACAGGCCCAAATAGCAAGCCTGGGCATGTCTCTTAAGTTATTGATTTGCAATAGCTTCTGGTGTCCAAATCACCTCATTCACTGCTCCTCTACAACTCTATGGACAAACACTTTTATTGTGTACATTTCAGAGTGATATATAGTACAATGTGCTCAAGTTTAGGATGCAATCATACATAGACTTATAGAAAAACTACTATCTGTGCTCTTATACTACTGCACTTACTTATATGATGTATTGGGAGTAGACTCGAGGGGTGGAACGAGCACTAACATATTCTACTTAGGCAAAATGTCATTTACTTCAGCAGAAGAACAACTGTCAGTCTGTTGATATAGTACAGGTAAAAAGTACATAATTAGAAATGTACAGTAGTTATCAGTATTAAATACTTACTTGCAACACATGGCAGTGGGGGAAAAGGAAACGTTTCGACCCCTTAATCGTGTAGGTATATATTTTCTGCTACTAGTCATTCTGACATGATCTACATCATTAATGTCTGAAGTGATTTGGACTCTGTACCAATTCTGAATGAGGTTTTTGAATGAACTTGCCGCGTCCTTCGCCAATATTGCAATTTGTAGATGGTCCTTGCACACTGGAGTCATGGCTGGCTGTGCAGAGAGGCTTGTAATGAAATGCCAAACTTGGAGGCTTTCTTGAATGTAATGAGTAATACAGGCTGCCAATGCATTGAGAAACATTTTCCTGACAGTTTTCCATTAATTAGGACTAGGGCTGGGCGATATGGGAAAAAGTTCATCATGAAATATATTTTTTCGTATCAGTCGATATCGATATATATCAGGATATAAAAAATGAAATTTAACAGTGCTTATTAGCAGCATGTCTTTTGCAATACAATAAGCTACTGAATCTATGACGTCTTTGTTTCTCTTCGACGTTTTGTCGTAGGCATTGCGCTAGAGGAAGCGGACTGAATGGTCAGCTGTTTCGCTGCACAGGCGCCGTGGGCTCCTTGCTCCGCTCGGGGTTTGTAACCTTTTGCATTGCGCATGCTCTGCTTCAGGTGGTAGAAAAGATTTTAGGTATTCCCCGACTTTGCGAGAACATGTACTCAACAAAATTTGCAGTGCACATTACTCTGCTTCATGTCCGACCTCAAAAAACCAAAATACCTCCACACCACCGACGTTTTCGTGTCAGTGTTGTCAACAATGTTATCATATTTTTTTCATTTTCTTTTTTTCTCACCGACAGTGCTGTCGACCTCACGTGTTAAAGTGCTATGGTTGCATGTAGCTGCAGCCCCCTACTACGCAATTGTTTGCTACGTGGTTCTAATTCAGCGCATGATTAGTTCAGGAGCAACTTCCCTCTCCATTGGCTGTTCATATAGTCTACCAAAACATGGCAGAATGCTGACTATCGAAAGGCATATCGACCATGTTTTATATTGATATTGAGGGAAATATATTCTCGTTTGATCACCCAGCCCTAAATAGGACTAATATTCACATCATCAAGAAAACTCTTGCTTAGAATGTGTTGAGACATGATTTGATTTTAGCTCTGTCAGGTTAAGGTGTAGCTCATATTAAGCATAATAAGATATACAAAGTAGAATTTGGATAGTTTCACTCGATAAGATCTATGTTGTTTGTTCTGTAGATATCCATGCAATTGATGGAGAGCGCATAGGTTGTTTGTTTTTAGCAATTTACAACTCAGTAACTGGTGATATATATGATGTGGTGACGTGCAATACTTTCAAAGAGTATAGAAATGAGAAGTAAGAGTACTGTTTGTGAAATGTGTTAAATGTAAAGAGTTACTTTCCACCTCGGTAACTCTCTCTCATGGTGAAAACAGATCTGAATTACCCCATGATAAAGAAGTAGTCTATATGTGTGTCTCTGTTTATCTTCGACCTCAAAAGTCTGCTTATTCCTGTTATATGACATTCATTTCAAAACCAAAACCGTACACACAAAACCAAACACGACGGCGTTACAGAAATAATTGTGAGCTATTAGCGGCTCAAATTCTTTCTTTTGTTAACGTTACAGTGTCATTTAAGGTTTCCGGGCTTTCCTGTCTGCTTACAGCGACACTGTCGCTTCTTAAACCCTTATATGACTTTATTATTACTCAATTGTTACGGGGTAAACACTTGCGACGAGTACAGACAGCATTATGCCGTCTTAAAAAGTGCTTAAAATCTACTCTCAGGGTTAGCCGGCTAGCAACAACTGGAGATGTTAGCTAACGTATGCTAAGGTATATGTGTAACTTGCCTTAGCTAGCATCACCGGGAGTGCAGCGCACACAGTTAGCTTCCTACTCTGGAGCGATATTTTTCAACCGAGCAGGTCGTGTATGGGTTTATATCCTCAACTCACACTCGCTATGGCCTTCAACGATGCATCTTTAGCTCATAAAGTGGACCTCGGACTTGCCTAAGGAAGCGTAACCCCGACCCGACGCCAGTGAGGCAGGGGTACAAAGCAAAGACCCCATCACAAATCAGAATGATCCCCTCGGCTAATCCCGTAAGCTGTTCCCATCGGCTGGCTGATGTGCCCGGCACCGCGGAAACACCCGGGTAGGTAAACAATCTGTCTAGAAATAGGTTGTTATTGTTGAATGTGGCTTATTTACCTCTGGATGTGATGAGAAAGAGAAGTGGTTCTGGTGAAGGAGGAGGAGGAGGAGAAGGAGGAGGAGGAGGAGGAGAGGGGGAGGAGCAGGAGTAGGATGGCAGCTGGAGCTGGGGAAGAGTCTCTAGCTCCCTCTCCGTCCCAGTGTTCAAACAGCTCCTCCTCAGAGTAAGAACAGCCAACTCAGCGGCGGTGATTCCCGTCAGTCAGTCAGTCAGTCAGTCAGGGGATCTTCTTCTTTCTCACGGCGAGCATATCTACAGGGAGGCGGAGAGCATCCCCGCAAACACACCGGACGACGATTTGGTCAGACGCTGGATGATGATATGTTTGCGGGTACCACTTTGAAAATACTCAGAGAAGAAGGGTCTCTCTCTCTCTCTCTCTCTCTCTCTCTCTCTCTCTCTCTCTCTCTCTCTCTCTCTCTCTCTCGCTCTCTTCACTTTCAAAATGCCGACCGGAAGAACCGACAAAGCAATAACTCCCTCAACCGGTGAGGAGCCACACAAACTAACATGTAAATAAAAAAAATATTTTTCAAAGGATTAATAAAATTGTCATTAGACCTGAACTTGGGAACGAGAACTGAAGAAGTTTTTTATTATTTATTATTATTTTTTAACCTCAGATAGGGGAGACCGGGGCTTGTTATCACACTTTTTACACTCATATATTTTTGGAATCAATACATCATATATAAGCAAAATGTGTCGCAGATGAAAGACCAAAGTCTCAGGCATACATTTTGTATTCATGTCATTTTCATATCTTTTGTCAGTGTAGAGTTATAAAGGTCCTTACACACCGGGGCCGACGCAAGTAGAGAATGCAAAGACGCATCCCGGGGAAGACTTTCCGGGGGAAAGTCCCGCCTCCTTTGCCTCTGATTAGTTAGAAAAGCTGGAAATGTCATCGCACACTCAAGCCAAATGGTCAGCATTTATAACCAATCAGAGGCAATAAGATAAGCACATGAAACTATGGTATCAACCTTTACCTTGCGTTAGCACAGATGACAGTTAAAACAAAGGCGTTAAGCAAACTGTTAAAGCACACAAACCATTGTCATAGATCCGATGCTCAAGAGATCCGATGCTATGTTGTCCTTCAGGTCGTTATCTTTGTAATGTTTGTGTCTTTTATCATAAAGCACTCTGTTCTCTGACGTGTAAACAATCAGCCAGTCAGCCATGTTGGATATACTGGTGAATCTGACGTCGCAACAACACGCAATCTGATTGATCAGAAGTGGACACACAGTATGCGAAACTTCAGAAAAATCAACCGTGATACAAAAAAAAAAATGCCGCAATATCGCAAGACGGGAAAACATTACTGATGTGAACACTTGTATTGACAGGATACGGGTTTCAAAAAATATATTGACGTCCAAAATAATTGCATGACAAAAACTGTCCCGTGTGAAAGGACCTTTAGCAATTAAATAAAGAGCGTGAATATGTGACATGTTGCCCCACCATCGGGTAAGTTATCTCACTACATGCGGTAGGATGTCTAAGTGGATTTTGCAGCTAATAAAACAAGTACAAAATTATTGTTGTTCTAATTTTTTTTACATGAAAGTGAACATCAAAGTCAGGCACAGAAAATGTTTATCATTGAGCTAGAAAAAGTCATTGAACATAGCCAAATGTTAACATAAAACATTGCACAACATGTTCTGGAGTTTGGAGAGCTGCCTGACTCTGGCAGAGGGCATCCTCGCAAACACACCGGATGAAGATTTGATCAGACGCTGGATGATGATATGTTTGCGGGTACCACTTTGAAAATACTCAGAGAAGAAGGAAGGGTCTCTCTCTCTCTCTCACTTGCTCTCTCCACTTTCAAAATGCCGTCTGGAAGAACCGACAAAATAATAACTCCCTCAACCGGTGAGGAGCCACACGAACTAACATAAAAAGTATATATAAAAATATATTTTTCAAAGGAATAATAAAATTGTCCCAGTGAGAAAGATTGTCTTTAGACCTAAACTTGGGAACAAAAACTAAAGAAGTGTTTTTTTGTTTTTTTTTAACAGGTTTTATTGTTGTTTTTAGCCTCTGTGAGGCACTTAGAGCTACATTTTTTGTCTAAAAAGTGCCATACAAGTAAAGTTGGATTTAAATTGGAATTTAGATCTTCAACAATAGGTTACATTAAAAGATACATAAAACATATCCAGTGTATTATATTAGCACTGACTTTACAGATGTCGACATATTTAGTGCATTTGTATTGAAAAATGAAAAACAAATAAAATAAATAAATGTCCCAGCTTTTGTCATGAACGTGAAGTCTCCAAATGAACCCAAGATGCGCTAGTCACAATTTTTTTGTGGCAAATAGTTTTCTTTTTTATATCATATATATAGTTATATTATTTATATTTTTATTATTGTGTTTATTACATGTTGTTGTATATCACATATTACATATGATATTATTCTTGTCTTCTTTAAAGCTTTTGACTCTTCTTATTTATGTTTTATAACAGTCCCCTTGGTCTCAGGTTTTTGTGATTGGGTTCCTGTGTTGGCTGGGTATCATGGGCTCTTATAATGTCTTTGTTTAAATGTCTTAATTTTAATGACGTCTCAGCTCATGCGACATTCATCAAAGCTTTTATGTCTCTTACCAATTTTTATTTTATTTTATTTCTTTATTGCCAGTCATGTGTTATTTCCCCCAAGTGTTCTCTTGTTGTTGTTATGTTGTTTTTATCTTCTTTGTTTTCCTGCATGTTGAAGCACTTTGTAAGCTCTTGTTTTTAAAAGTGCTGTATGAATAAAGTTATTATTATTATTATTATTATTATTATTGTTATTATTATTATTATTATTATTATTATTATTATTATTATTATTATTATCATTATTATATTCACCTGGTCTTTTTGCACACGATCAATCCTTTAAATAAAATTTAATACAGCGGGGAGCCAAACAATTTGTCATGACTATTGCATTTTAAAATCCTCAGAACTAAATCAAATGAAAACTGTTGAAACTGTCAGTCAGTTATTTTAGTTTCCATTAGAACATTTTTCAGAGATGACATCTTTAAATTTGTGCACTGATATAATAACACAGTAGAATAATTATGATGGAGTCAATGGCAGGTGTAGCAATAAAATGTTCTATCATTCTGACTTCTGCTGTGCTGCAGGAATAGAAAAAGAATTAGAAAAACAAAGTAGTAACCCATAATGATGTAATTCAGTGATGTTGTCCTATTCTTGCCTGACAGAGGATTTTAGCTGTTTAAGAGTTTTGGGTCTGCTTTTTGTTGTAGTATGCTTTAAAAGTTTCCAGTGAGAGACAATTCAGGAGTGCAGGCAGGCTAGTTCAGCACCCAAACTCATCTGCTTCAAGCTTCCTCTTTAAAGACACTGTCTAGATTGCAACATATCTTACTAAAGTAACCTGTCTTTGTTGTTTGACATTAATCGTGCCCTTCTAAATATGTAAGCATGCCATGAACTTTTATGTACCAAAGGAAATCTTACCTGGACATCTTACCTGATATCACCTGAAGCCAAACCCCCCTATCAGAATGAAGCACAGATTTGGCTGTTGAATTGAATTACTGAAAAAACAGCCAGAGGAAAATCAAAGTAGACCTAGTTTGAAACACAGGGGTTGGACTCCCTCTTGTGGACAAAAATGTAATGTTCCTGCAGTGAAAAGGAATCTTTTTTTTTCTCTTTATCTGACCTGGATCTGATTGTCTGTTTGTTGTGTGTGGGACCTACATTTAGGTCTACATTTTTTTACTGTTATGGAACACATCTATGCTGCCTATCATTTTTAAACATATGCGTTGCAAGCAAAATCAAGAAGAGCATTTTTTAATGAAAAACACTTTGGAGTGTTCATTTTGTTCTGTAAAGAGTTTATCATAAAGTAACAACAGCTTATTCTATTACAAAAAAAAAAAACACATGAAGCTCAGCAGGGGCCAGATAATTCACTTCATTATTCAGAGAGAGCATCTTTATTGCACTGCAGTGACCTTTGAGTCATGTGTGAAACTTAAAGAGGTGCCTACAGGGCATCCTCTATACACACAGTGTACTAAGAGGAAAAAGTAACCTTGATTTCCTCTAGTCCTCCTGAAAAGCATAAGGTGAAAGACTAAATTTCTTAGCATTTATCACAGTCTAGAAGCTTATTTGCGTTGCCTTTTTCTTTTTCTTTTTTTAACTAAATGCCAATTTGGCACTGGTAATAAACACACAAAAATGCCCCACCTCTTGATATATGTGTTATTGTAAGGACTTTGTCATTTTAGTGTTAAGGGCCAAGAGATACCCTTAAAGGTTTTTGGTCTTGTTTTCAAAGTGTTTCACACAAACTTTTTTTGTATGTGTTTTTATTGTCCTTTTTTGTAGTTCCAGAGAAAAAATACAAAAATTAACCATATTTCCAGATTGTAGTCTTGAAATGGTATTTTATTGGTACACTGTTGTGTCTTTTCATTGCATTGTGTAAAGTCTGACTGTAGCGAAAAGTGATACATGCAAAATTTTGATTTCAGTCTCATAATCCTCATTTTTACAAATACATTTACTCTTAAAGGTGATTCATCTGTGTAGTCCTGAATAAGCAGACTCAGACCCAAAGGCAGGCTACTTGCCTGGTGTTTTTTTAATATGCCACAATATGACAACAATAGACTTCCATACATAGGCTAGCTCTTGTTTAAACTAGCTTTCCAATAAGTCAAAGGTGTAAACAGGAAGTTTTACTGTAGTTTAGTGTTGCTGTTGGATTAACATACGATTAGGATATTTGTGAATACAATTCCACACACGCTTACAGACCCACACACACGTTCATATGAAAAGCCAGCAGCTGACGCCTTTGCGTTCACGAGTGGTTAATAATGTTGCGTTCAGGGCCGCGGGGTTTCACGGTAATTACTCTGCTTCAATGGGTTTAAACCATGAGCCTCTAACCCGTGACGGTCATGAGGGTTTTCTGCCCCTCACCGGCAAACTAAGGAGAGATATTTGAGGATTGCAGTAACACAGAGCTCTAAGGACCCAGTCTATGTAGGAAGGCATCCCAACCAGAGGAACTGTATTCTTCAATCTAATTATCTAATTTGGTAAGATGATGCTCTGTTTGTCTTCTTCATTGACTTGTAGCTTCTTGTTGCATGTGTACACTTTAACACAATTAGCCTTGTGCAAAACGTTAACTCTAACTCCTTTACTGAATATCTCTGTAAACTGAATTTTAAATGGTATGTTATAGCCTGATGCTGCAGTGCTTTGCATAGTAAAAAATGTTAGTTTGCAACAGGTGATGCTCTCGACTGCCAGCATTAATATATAGCTTTGACATTGATATCAAGGAGAGCTCATCAATCTAGTCAGAGCTGTTCGATGATGTTCCTATTGATTTATAGTCTGTACAACAACCTTATTTTATACCTCTGTACTGTACATGTCTTGGATGTTGCAGATTTTGTTGAGAAATAAAACTTTTTATAACATTGTTCAGCCAGTTATGAGCACCAGCCAGTACAAAGGAGGATGAAATTAAGAGGCACCAGAGAAGAGACAAGTGAAGCAGCCATAACAATTTTGTTTTGACAAATGGAAAAAAGAATTAAAAAAACAACTGTTAAATGTGCAAATTTTTATGTGCAAATATATTTCCCTGTGCATGACCAAATTGCACATTTTTCACTAACCGCCAAAGTAACTCTGGGCTTTCTGAACAAAACAAATGATAATGGATTTAAAAGGACGATTTAATTTTACAATGCTAAGTTTCATGGTAGTTAAGTGTTCAGTTTGATTATTTTCTGCATTTGGTGGCCAGCTGCTGTGGAGTTGATGCAGAGTGTTGCTCTTGATTCCCTGCTCTTTAAAACAGCAGCAGGTTTCACACCCGATAGGTAGACATAAATATTAATTTTTTTCATCAACATAAGAGTTTTTTTCTCCTCAAATTTCAGCTGTATGATCAAAAGGCTTAGGAATTAGATGAAAGAGTTTTAGAAAGTCACTGTGTTACAAAACTGTGCTTCGATTACACTGTAAGTGTGATTAAGTGATTAAGTGATTTTCTATCGACTTTCAGCTTCATGCGGTGTAATCACACACACGGGATGCCTCGTGGAGACTTCAACATTTATTTTGCCAGCAGCAGACGAGGAGAACACGTCAGAGCTGAAGAGTATGCATATCTGTGTCATTTGAAAATCCAGGATCAATCTTTTGAAGTTACATTTTTGTTTTGTATTTTAAATTTTGAAATATTTCTCATATGCAACAAGCAGTGATACAGCCAATAACTGAACTTTCTTTGTCTTTTTATGAATTTTTGCTGTTCAACACAGGGCAGTGGGCATAGTTCTGCTGGTGGTCATCATTGCAGCTCTCCTCATTCTGGGCTGCTGGTACTTTAAAAAGAGAAGTGGATACAAAATAATCAGGGTGAGACAGTCAGTCATTGTTCCAGGTTGTCTTTTATATTCTAGACTCAAAGTGATTTGTTTTTGTATCCTTTATAATGCTGGTGTGAGTGTTTTACCAAAATCCCTTTCATTAAAAAAAGAAGTTTATAATGAAAATCTGTTTTTCCATATCTTTCTCCAAAGACCCCTAGATCAGGGTCACCAGGATTCACAGGAGGCCAATTCTCGGAGGCAGGACCATCGGCGGATAACAAGATGGCTTTAACAAACTTTGGCAGCTTTCAACCTCCGGTGAGGGATCCGATTGTCTTCCACCATATCTCCCTGTCAGCAACTAAAACTGTATTTTGTCTCAGGAAAAAGATAAAGACTCTGGAAGGACTTGTTTCTGCTTACCTCTTTGAATCCAGTCTATTATATTTGATATACCCCAGTCAATAAGAGGTCAGACTCAACGTCTGTACAATCTCAGGTTCATTACAGGGGGGTACTTAGTACAAAGCCCCTCAGCTAGGAACACATTGTGGAGCACGTGAAGCTGATGTAATGGGTGCCTGAAGAAGAGATTATTTTGTCACCAGACTAGGGGGGGGGGGGTATTGAAAAAGTTTCATTCCCAAGGGAGGTTTTTGTATCCAAGTCTGCGGGAAAAGTCAAGGGAGATGAACCAGATCACCACCCTCTCATATGAGAGGACGTTGCAGCAGCTGATTGTCCTTCAACAAGTCCCATCTTTTCTTCACTGGAGCAGATACCAGAGTTGTAAAACAGACATTTGGTGATATGTTAACAACCTATCTATACAAAGCAACACACTGTAGTAACATGAGAAGTTCTGTGACTGTACTTTGAGCTCTTGTGAGGAATTCTTTGGCATTTGTGAAATACACTGAAATTCATATCGAAGCCTTTTAACAATTTCCACAAGTAAACAAGACCATCAGCACCAAGACTGATGATTTTTATATCCTCATTTTTAATGTCTGAAATCGGTAGAAGCAGCAGAAGTAGCCTTGTTTTAAACATTTTTAGCGTAAAATATACACTATAATGCATTTTACTGTCAGCTGGATAGCTGTTTGGTCAAGAGACATTACTTAACTGTGCATAGGACAGGATAAGCCAAGACTTATTTGTCCACAGGGGATGCAAAGACTCACACGAATGGAAAATTCCTCATAGGAGACTTATGGCAATGTAAATTTCTCTGTAAATTTTCATGTTTATTTTGTATTCTTCCATTATTCCCCAGGTTGCTAATGCTCCTCCGGCCTATGAAAAGATTTCTTCAGTACCTCTGCCTCCTCCCTACACCCCCTGAAGGACTTCTGCAGAAGGCAGACAAGCGTCTCAAGATGGAAAAAGATACTGGAGAACAAACTCTAAATTTCATCTGTTATCTGATGGTATATAATCTGATGCCACTTTCATTATGGTTGTTTATGCTTTGTAGCTTAATATACCAGTAAGAGAAAGTATTGTATCCCTCACTTTGTAAAATTATTCAAATGAATGAGCACAATGTATATACAGTAGTAGAGTGTTTCACTAAGCAATAAAATGATTTCACTAGAGTCTGTGTATAAGGAAGCAGCTCAGACACAATTGTTGAGGACAGTCGCATCATTTATTTCCATGCAGTAATGTCCACATTTGTTCAATGAAAATGTACCTAGTAAATACTTTTGAAAAATCTATATGGTAAAAATAAATAAATGTGACTTCAAAACATCTTTTATGGGCTCAAACATGTAGTACAAATTCTTCTATTCATTTATACTCTAAAAAGTAAATTGTAGTTTTGAAACTGTTACTGGTTGAAGTAAAGACCACATGACAGAATCTGAATACAGACAGTTGTGTTGTTCAATCTGACAGATAAAGCAGAGCAAGTTGTATCAATTTTAAGTATCCAAAGTTTACTTCTTGAAGCAGTATCTACCAGTATTGAAAAGTCTTACAAAAGCTTGAAATTAGTTCTGATGTTTTTTTTCACTATTCCTGTTCTACTGATTTTATGACAGTTGTCATTACTGGCCATTAAGTAAAAAAAGGAAAGTCAAGAGTATAGAACATTCATCTGAGAGCAACCTCAACAGTTTTCACTGAGAAAAAACTATCAGAGTATACATTTAAAGTATGTCTGATTGAGCATACAGTTTATCTAAGAGAAGATCTAACCAGGGGTTGGACCAACTTTGTCCTAAATCCAAGTTATGAGTCAAACTACAGCAGAAGGCAGTTCTTAACATACCCCAAGATTGCTACAAGCAATAGTTATGCCTGCCAAGACTATACAGTGGAAAAGAGGTGTCCAAGTCCTCACACATCTGGCACAGTTTCTCTCAATTAGTGCACTTTCTGTCTGTCGCCTGTGAAGCTTGTACAGAGGAATCATGTGTATGTAGTGCTCCAGTAGAACTGTTGGGGGAAACAACTGCAGTATCCAGTGGTTTTGGGCAGGCGGTCAGCTTTGCTGTATTGACCTGGCCCTGAACTGTGCTCAAAACAGCGCCATCAGGACTAATAAGTAGTCTTGATGATACACTAGTATGCATACCAAAGGATGAGGTCTGCAGAGAGTGCTTTCCAAGTGCATGATTGGTCTGATTAACAGGCGGGTGGAGGCTGTTATTTGACTTTAGTGTGGAGGTTGTTTGAGCTGGACTGATTATAACAGTGCTGCTTAGAGCAGGTGCAGTCACCACAGGCAGTGTTTCGCAGGTGCTGACAGTGCTTCCAATTGGTGGAACTGTGGCAATAGGCAGTGTCTGCATCCTTGACACTGCACTTACAATTGGTGGGACGGCCACTGTCGGCAGCACTTGTGTTCGTATGCCAGCGAGGACTGGTTGCATTCCTGCAGGTACCGTTTTTCTGATAGGTGAGTTTCCCAGCCCTGTATTCACCATAGCGTGGGTCACAGAGGTTGACTGTGCTGGACCTCTAATTGCTGTGTGTTGGGGCTGTATGCCTGGGCCCGGGTTGGACACTGAAACCATCTGCTGGGTAGGAAGAGAAGGATGCAAAGCTGGTGTGCCGGCAGCTGATGAGATGGTTGCAGGTACAGTTATGATGGGGCTGGGTAGGGGAACAGCTGGCGGATTGGGTAAAAGAGAGAAGGATGAAAGAGGTGCTGGCAACCTGGACAAGGTGGGTGCTACTGTAGGCGCAATGGTGGATGAACATTCAGCTCGCATTGGTGTTCCAGTGGCTAATCTGATTGTAGCCAGTGTAGAGCCAAGAACAGGGGCACTAGAAGAAACTAGTGCTGGTACACCAACTAACCTTGGCTGGGATGAGACCAGAGTAGGTGTACTAACAGAAGGTGATGCAAAGCTACCTGGCAACCTAGGCAATGCAGACACTACATTTGTTTTACTGTGTAATATTGAGCCCAGGTTGTTTGGTTGGACAGGGATAAAATTGGGAGCTGTTGCTGGCAATGATGGACGCACCACAGGTGTGGATGCTACAAAAGGAGCACTGACAGCTGGCACACTTGGTAGCCCGGCTGGGGATTGTGGTAAAACTGACGCTCGAGGGGCTAGAGTGACATGACTCACCCCATGGGGAGGTACTGATGCTGCAGTGCTGGCAGCACTGGCAGTAGGCACTTGTTGCTGGGATGGGCTAGAGATGATAAGTACATGGCTACCTGGACCCAAACCCTGGGGAGGGACAACAAAACGTGCATTGTTAAGAAGAATCTGTGTTCCTGCAGCAAGGGGTGTAGAAGTGTTGATGACTATCCTCTGCTGGATCATGCCTGTAGCAGGGGTGGTAACTGGAGTATTGGTTGATGATACTCCAGGGACGGTAGCTGGGATTTTATTGAGAGCAAGTTCAGAGGAAGATGAGAGAGATTCCTCAACAATACCGCTTGTGGGCTTTAAAGGCTGGCAGATGACACTAGAGGTTTGGGCTGGGCTACCCTGCACAGTGGTGATTACCTGAGCAGGTGAGTTGCTGGACAGTATACCTGGATGCACACCAATGTCCTTCTTGATCACATTTCCTGTGGTCGGTGTGGCAGCAGATGTGGATAAGGAAGAGCTGGACTTGGAGATAAAAGGGATGGTTGAAATACCCTGGAGCTTTGAGCTGGTGGTCAGAGAAGTGTGAGAGGAAAGCTGGGCAGAACAGCTTGTGGTGGTTTTTGAGGTTATGACAGGGTTGTGGGTCAGTGCGGTTGTGTTGGCTGTCGGACAGCTTGGAATTGAGACAGACACTGGTATGCTCTTGGAGGGAGAATATGACAGTGCACCAATAGTCTGCCCAATGGTTGTTGTCTTCCCTGTCAACTGGATTTGAACCCCTGGGGAGACAGAGAAAAGTATTCAAGGTTAAAATTCATATAAAAAATACAGTTGCAAAAATAATGCTCCATTATAACCAATTTCATGGACACACGATACAGCTAGCAAGGGCATAAAGTAAGTATGGCACCAACAAACTCACCTGAGGGCAAAGTGATATTCTTGACCTTTGACAAGACTTCAGGGTTGACTCCACTGACAGACTGTTGGGGACTTAATCCCATTTTCAGAGTGTGACTTGGTGAAGACATGGTCTGCAGCTGTCCACTAGTCCCTGTTGCCTGCTTTTGATTGGTTCCCATTGGAGTGATGGTTGATGTTACTGCAGGCTGGCTGATGAACATGACTCTTGAAGTAGGGATTGGTTTTGCAGACGAGAGTGTAACTTTGGACGATTCCACATTTGACGCAGAGGAAGAAGAGGTGCCAACCAAGATGAATTTAGTAACTTGGGATCTGTTATCTGCACTTTGCCGTTTCATGCCAGCTTTGCTAACACCTTGGAGGACACCAGGACTACTCAGTGATGGGACAACAACAGTGTTTTTCACTAGTGAGGCTTGAAAATGAGAATCAGCAGCAGCTACCTGTGCTTGCTGGCTTATTTTTGTTGCAATTGGAGAACCAATTGCAGTGACAGAGCCTTGAACTGAAGCTGCAGTAGTGCCTAAAGACTGGCATCTTGAACCTGCAACAGGAAGGCTACCAGTTGTGGCTGGGAGCATGGGAGCAGTGACACTGGAAGGGGACTTTAACACTGAGGGTACTTGCGCTTGAGGTTGCCCCAAAGGAACACTTGTCGCTGCTGGGATGGTGCAAGAGGAAATCTGTGAGGAAGGAGTCTGTGATGTTTTGGATACCAGAAATGCTTTAAACTGAGGTGAGATGGTGATGACTGGAGTGGATGGTGAAAAACCAAGCACATTCTTGTCTGAAGACGTCTGAACTTTGACAATGCCAGTGTTACCTCCTCTAGTTGTTACCAAAATGGATTGGGAGTCACGTATACACACAGTCTTAAGCTCTTGTTTGGGCACCACAGATTTAGCAGGCTCTGTGGTACCTGCAGTTGAAGGAGTTATGTTGTTTGAGGGCTTTGGCGGAATAACTTGTGTCGTGCTACCTTGAGAAGTGCAGACTTGTGCATGCTTGGACCCAGCTGTGTTTGTGGCCCCCTGTTGCAGATGAGGGCAAACAGATGGAGAAAGAGTTGCAGCTGTCTTAGCATCTTTTAGAGGAGCTACTTGCTGAACAGGTACTCTGTTTTCAGGAATGGTGAATCCAGGCACATTTGTGGATAAACATAATGGGCTGGCCACTTTAGAAACTGGGATCTGAATGCCCTTACACTGTTTTGGATCTAATGGCGGTGCCTTATCTTCAGTGTTTTTGACAAGAAGATTAGAGGGTAGAATTACTACTTGCTGCATGATCTTTTCCCCAGTGTTCTGGTCCATGACAGGATGAACAGAGATCTTGACTGGGTTGCTACTCTCCGTTTGTACAATGTGACCAAGCCTCTCAGGTACCTTGTAGATCACTTGGACTGGACTTTTTTGTACAGTTTGGGATGTTTTGACCTGTGGAGATTTCGGAAGAGCTGCTGTCGCTTTGGTAATCCCTGTGTGTTTAACTACTTCTGTCTGCTGTGATCCTTGTGCCTGTGTTTGTTTTGAGTTCTGTGGGGAACTGGGAGGGGAACTTTGTGCTTTCGTTAATTTTGTGGTTGTCACTGTAGAGGTAGGCAGAGACACCAACGATTCTTTTCTCTGTCTGTCCATGATGTTGACCCCTGGGCAATCAGAAGGCCGTTTCATTAAGGTCACTTTGTTCCCCACACTCTTCGCCAGCAGGGTGGGGATGGGCGTGTAGCCCTTAGGTAATCCAGTGGTAGGATGAAGGGGTCTAGTTGACAGTGGGGCCTGGGCTGGCAGCCTTGCTACCCATGCTGCGTCTGAATCCCCTGATTGATTTGATGGGGCCAGCTCAGATCTGGATAGTGGCCCAGAGTCAGGGGTAAATGAACTATTGCTGCTGCCAGTCTGAACTCTTGGCAGCATACCGATGCCTTTCTGTGTACTGTCCAGAGGGTGTTTTAGGTGGTTCAGATGTGCATGGGTCACTGTTCTTTCTTCAGAAGACTCAGCCAAAAACTCCCTGGTGCTTGCTGGAGAAACCAAACAAATGTCTTTCAAAGTTGCACCAATTTTTCACCCATCCATACAGATTAAAAAGCAAAGTGCTGAATTTAACTTAATTATTTAAATGCTTCTAGGACATAAGATAACCCAAGAATTAATTAATTGTTCCGTCCTAAGAAATCAAAATCTTGATCAATTTTGTACTTAAAATAGAATAATAAAATGAAAATGATCACAGAGTAAAAATTATGTACCTCCACTCCAAAGACCCTTAGGAACTACATGTTCCAGGTCCTCTTCTTCTGATCTTCTATATTGATCTGAAAGCAAACATGCCTCCTTCCCAAAAACTTTCTCATCTTCATCATCTGATGATGATGATGAAATACACTCCTCACGCACAAAGTTGTTGTATTCAGGGTGGCTCCTGAAGTCATCAAATTCCTTTTTTAAACGAAGCCTTGTGTAGAAGCAAGAACAGAAATGGAAAATCAAAGATTTGTCTCTTATCCAGCACGGATTGTGTAAAGAGAGAGAAAAACACAAAGTTGTGACCTGTTCACTTTGTTTCAATCAGCAGCACAAGACTAACAATTATCCAGACAAAGCTTCAACAGAAATAATCCACTAATTGATCCACTTATCCGTACTGTGTTAAATGAGCTGTACCTGTTCCTTTGGTAGGCCTTAACAAGTTTTGGTTCCCAGGGAGAAAGCTCATTCAGCAGTCTGATAAGAGTGCTGTGGAGGTCTTTCACTGCTTCTCTCTTGTAATACCATCGACCCTGCCAATTAAAACATTTAACGGAAATTTAGTCAACATCAAAATGTAACAAACTCTGTAAGCTCATTGTATTTAACACCATTTTATACAGCAGGCTAGGCCTGGGCGATTTGGCCAAAAAGATGATCACAATATACTTTGTCACATTGTCCGATCTCGATTATTATCCCAATTTTTTTTTAAACTGCCAGTTTTAAAGCATCAGTACTTCAAACTAAAAAAATAAATACTAAATAAGACGTTGAATAACTTTTCTTCTCAACAATAACATCTTTGGAGTATGACTCAAAGTCATGGCTGACATCTATTTTACTTCCCTCAGCTCCATGTTTGGTTACTGTTTACTTGTCAAGCAACTTACAGAAGTGAGCAGGAAAAGCTCGACTCTGATTGGCTGCTGTGATGCATATTTTCGCCATGTTTGATCAAGTAAATAAGCTCACAGCTGATCACCGTGATCGAACTGAAATTTATCACGATCATATAATCGCCCAGTCCTACCGCAGGCTCCTGTACATGTGAGCAAATCCTTTTCACAGAGCCACAGTTATACCCTACCAATCTCTTTTTGGTGCTCTCAAGTTCATCAAGCTCATCTTCTGTCTTGCTGATCAACTCTCGCAACTCCTCAAGACTGGTGCACACCAGCTACACAGTGAGAAAGTAAAGATATGATAATGAAATTAGTAATAATTTTTTATTTGTATGGAACAGTAAACTATTCCAATACAGAGAAAAAAACAGGAGGAACTAAAAATAGTGAGGCGTGAGTAAACAACAGATTTACATAAAAACCTTTTACTATATACAATGCAAATCAACTCCTTAAAAAAAGTGTTCAAGCAACAGTTTGTTTACCTTAAATGATGGTTCAACTGAAGGTTCATTGTTTATTTTCTTAGAGGTGTAGACCCTTTTACCTGTCAAAAGATATGAGATAGCCCCATTCAACCTCTAAGTTTTTTACAATACAAAGTACAGAATAAGAAAGAAAATTCAGAAAATATCCCACATGGAATAATAGTCAGGTATACACCACTTGCTTGTGAGCTTGATAGAATACCAAAAGAAAATCACTGAATTTACATTAATGATGATTTTATTCTTACCTGTTCTATGTTTTTTCTTCTTCTCCTTTCTCTTGATTGTTGTGGCCACTCTCTGCAGTGAAGACTCGGCAGTCTCAGCTGTGGACAGTCTCATCCTGTCCATGAGCTGCAGCTGCTTGTGCTCGCCTTTCACCCTCGGCAGCTGTTCTCTCCCTTGCTTTTTCTTTCGCTTTTTTTTCTTAGTCCAGATTTTGTCATTCACCCTCTCTTCACTTGAGTTTTGAGCACTTTCAGATGACAACTGTGCTCCTAGCCTTGATGGGCCACAAGAGCAGTTATAATCCTCAGATTTAAGATCACTTGTCCCACGTTTACAGCATTCCAAACGGGTAGTTCTTTGGTGTCCCTGAGTGAGACTTTCTCCCTCCACTTTGAGCCCCACTAGTCTGTTTGTAAAGGCCACGTTCACTGATCGAGCAGGTGACCTGCCCATGTAACAGTGTTCACCAACACTCAGACAGGGCTCTTTTGTCTCTGCTTTAATGGTACGCACTGAGTCCAATGTGAAGCCTTGCTCCCGCTCCAATTTAAGTCTCTTGGATTGATACTCTATCTCTACAGTTTCTTTTAAATTCCTTTTCATGCGACTTCCTCTGGCATGAGTTTCATGCAACTGAGATAAGGAGTTAGTGTTTGAGTCCAATTTAGGATCTTCACTCGATTCGTCATCAGAGGACACTGAATCAGAAACCTCCTCCTTGGGTGACCAAGATCCGAACCGTTTTTTAACTTCCTCCTCGTCCCTTGTGACACTCCCTAGTGATTCTGCTCTCCCATTTCCAAATTCACCATACTCTCCTGTGTCCATTTTGTCCCCACGACATCCCATTTCACTTTTAAGCACTTCATCCTTTATTCCATCAGACTCTTCCCCTTCTGTCACTGGCTCCATTTCAACTCTTTTGACCCAAAAAGGAGGGAAGGGGAATGCTGGGGGTGAGCTGGGGCTTTGGCAGTAGATCCTCAGGTCTGCCCCACAAAAATGTGGAAAATGAATATAGGCATTCTCCTTACTGTCATAGCCCAAAATAGACTCCCTACATTCATGAATGGGCTGTGACAGCACAGCATCCTGCACATCTTTCTGTGTCTCATACACATGATCACACAGCCCCTTCAGAAGCCACACTCGCTGATAGAAGGGAAGCAAGTGAAAGGGTTTTTCTGTCAATGGACTCATCTCCCCAAGTGCCTCGAAAAACTGGTGACAGAGACCTAGTTGCTCCGCCCGACCTGGCTGATCACGGGCGGCACCAACAGATCCATACCAACCCATGACCCGCTGCCTGAGCTCTGATTCCCAGCGGCGGTAAGGCAGGGCAGGCCGGCGGTGTAGGGTTGCCCTCCGCTGGGGTGGGGACAGTAGGGAAGACATGATTTTGGACAGGAGGAGACTGCAGCGAGGCATCAGCAAACAACGCTCAAGCTCAAAAAATACAATCTCTGGGAGGTTAAGGGCAGTCTGAGCGAGGCAGAGGAAGTGCCCAATAGCAGGGAGTTCCCAAAGTGTGTCCACAGAGTGGAGGGAAGCTTGTGACAGTAAACTTTGCTCCCACTCGTCCACTTCTTTGGCTGACATTTCCTCTGCTTCTTTCTTCTCAAGTTCACGTTGCCTAAAAAGTCATAAAATACACATACAAGACTAGTAGAAAGTTTCCTGTTTCAGTAATTAAAAACAAAATCTTGTCTTCATTTAAAAAATCGATTTACTTCAGGAAATGTTGTCATGCTTAGTTTAACATTAACTCACCTCTTCTCTTCCTTGACCCTCAGCTGTTCTTCTAGCCTTAGAGTCTGAACCATGATAGACTCATGCCCTCCTACAGTGATAGTAGCAAGGCTACGAGATGCCAGTCTCCTCCTTGTGGAAGTACCCCCTGAACCTCTTTCTTCTTCTGCACCGAAACGTCCTTTAGAAGTCACTGCCAGGGTGGTCTTCTCTCGCAGTGTCCTAGTTTGGGGGAAAAAGAAATATACTTTACAGTGACTCAAGGGTAGTTTCTCTTCAGCATATTGTGGAAAGGAATCCCATACAGTCATTTTCACAAGTACTGATAAGAATAATAAAACTATAATCATGTTCTGTGGACTATTAGCATGTGCTGTATGGAAATCCAAACAATTCAATTCAAAATCTTCTGAGCTTCATTAGCTATCTAACATGATACCAAAACTATGCAACTGTGTTATAAATGAGCCGAGCAATTTGTTTTAGTATGTAATTGCATTGTTTACCTGGACAATAATGTGAGCTTCTGCTCCAGCATAATTTCCAGCTTCTGAGCCTGTTTGGAGATCCAGTGGTCCACCCCATGGTAGCGATAACAGTTTTCCAACATCAGCCTGAAGTCTGCAACAAACTCTGTTATGGTGTCATACTCTTGGTTGATAAACTTCTCCTCCATCTTCCGCAAGCACATTGATTGCTTCAGCTGTGCCTGACCCCAGCCCCTGACCCCTCCAATACCATGCTGGGCCTCCTGGTGGCCAACGGGATGGAGGAATGGGCTGGTGATGCTTTTGTGCTTGTCCAAGAGAATGCCAGTGAATATCCGATAAGCTTGTTGGACCTCATAGTTCATGTCATCTTCAAAACTATTGCTGTTGGTAGAAATGCAGACTTCTGGCAGAGAGAGGTCACTGTTGGAAAACTCTGACATGCCATCGTTGCTAAGTGCAGGGTCAGCCTCAGCAGCAACATCTCCACTGTCACCGTGACAGTGTAATGCTACTATAGTCTCAACTTCACAAGTGCCATTACTAAGCCTGTCCTCAGGTATGATAAGATCAGTATCTTCAGTGCTGATTTTCATCCATTTGGGCTGTGAAGACATGATGCCAGATCTAGTCTGCTGGGATGCTGGGCCTTGGTCAGTCAGAGTTTGGTGTTGGTTATGGAGCAAAGGTGTGCTACATATTGCCGAGATTTGGTCGGTCATATCCTCCTGATCCCTGGTCCAGGCACCTCAATTGGGTTACAGGTGTTCCCTATGGTGAGCTTTAATGCTATGAACACCACTCCAACATGGTTCTGATGAGAAAAAGGCAAACAATAGTGCTTAGTACACATTTGTAGGGGGAGAGTGGGGTGAGATGAGCCATTTTTCATATTTTGGATCACTACATCAAGGCGATCGCAGTTTTGTCTCTAACTAAACCAACAGAATGAGTGTAAACATAACTGTCTTGACAATATAGCAATGCCAAAGAAAGTGGTCCCCGTGTATGGGTTAAGTTGACCATAGGAGCGGGATAAGTTGAGCCGTCTCCCAACTACCCCCCCCCCCCCCCCCACTCTCCAACCCAGCCCTCCCTCACCTTCTCTCTCCCTAAATAACAGTCACTTCTTCACATTAATGTGTTTTTTATCTATTATTTGCTATTCAACTGGTACAATAACTCTTTTTATTATTATTACATATAACTGCTAAAAAGCTGTTTTGTAAAAAAAAAAAAAAAAAAAAAAAAAAACATTTTAACATGAGAATGCCTTTAAATGATTCAGAACATTCACAGCTGTATTTTTGAAAAGAAAAAGTAAAACATTTCAACTATCTGAACTGAAACTCTGATCCTCTCATCAGACTTCTTTACTTTCTCAGTTGAGCCACTGGTTTAACTTACCCCAGAACTACTATTATGACTTTATTAGTCCTCTAAGCTAAAATGGTGGACTTTTATTGGTGGACTTTTTTTGCCTGAGAAGACTCCCATCAATAGACATCTGTAGTAAGTTGCTGCAGTTTTCAGTCTGTGGTGGCAAGTGTTCTGTTCTACGCTGCAGTCTGAACACACAGCATCAAACACAAAGATGCGAGACGTCTTAACAAACTGGTGAAAAAGGCTGGCTCTGTGGTAGGACTCAAGCTGGACTCAGTGGAAGATGTGGTGGAGAGATCTACACTGAGGAAGGTGGAGACTATTCTCAAGAACATGGATCACCCACTTCACAACACCTTGATGGACCAAAGGGCAAATGGTGGTGGACGGCTCCTCTCTCTTCGCTGCGGGACAGAAAGATTCATCTTTTGTACCAACAGCCATCAGACTGTATAACTCTTATGTAAAAATTGGATAACTTTTAGGGTTAGGGTTATTGGAAATATTATGTGAGACAACAGACAATTGAATTTCCCTTCAGGGATTAATAAAGTTCTTCTTATTCTTATTTTATGTTAGGTTTTTGACCTCTTGTTGTAGCTCATAGATAACACAATTGATGTATAAAACAAATTTAAAATGATCTTTTTTGGTCTGAACACAATTCTAATCAAACTTATGACAGACTAAATTCACTTTCAAGAGGGAAAAATGTTTTTCGGAAATAAATGTCTAACCCCTTCACCCATGTGCTTCTAACATTCACAGACTCCATGAATTGATGCCCATCTCCTAAATATTTGGTCACATGATCAATTTCTTTTACCGTTTCCACGCAACAGGGGGTGGCTAAACTTACACTTTGACTCAACTTACCCCACTCTCCCCTACCACAAGAACTAAGATAAACAGCTGGGAGATGAGGCGTTCATGCATTACATGTCTGAGACCCCGGGTTGGTGCCTCCATTATTACTCGAGCATGATGATCTACTGCATTATGCATCTCACGTGAATTCGTCACAATGACTATAAGCCAGGCTTAACATATTCATCTACTTAAGTTTGGATAACTTTTTTTTCTGTCCTTGTATCAATGGTTATCAGTCCAGCTAGCTAGAGTTGAACCCACAATAAGTAAACAAAGTTTGCTCTGCTTCCAAATTAAGGGAACTACAGCGCACTGCATTATCACGTAGCGTCTCCGGATCACGTGAAAAAAAATAGGACCAAAACAAACTGACCAGAGGCTGAGCTAAGCGACGTACCTAGATGTTGTCAGTGGAGCTCCAGACACGCACCAGACAGGACCGCTTTTAGCAAGCTTAGCAGCCACTACAGTCTGCTAGCTAAGTTAGCTTGCTATTGTCTCCAATCCGGGGCCTGCAGTTGCTGCGTTCGCTGTCCATTGTGTTGTCTTTGTGGAAATTAAATATCCGACGGAAAAAAAGTTATGCAGGCATCTCATGTCATCAGCACACGGAGTCACGTCAGTGACAGCAAGATGAGTAGAGAAGCATTAGCCGGAGTAACACAAGCTGATTGTCCGACAATGCATAACAGTTCATTATCACTAGCCATCCAGCTAACAAGCTAGGTTTGTAAGTTGACAGCCACTTTAAAACACTAAAAAATAAAGCTGTTTACTTTTGAGACACGTGTGTGTGTCATGTTTTGGATTTCTTTAGAGCCTTGTAGGAATTTACAGGGGGTTAGTAATGTTGTCCGGGTATTCCGTCTTGCTTGAAGAGTGCTGCTGTCCACCGTCCACTTCACTTCCACCCTGCGCGTGCGCGCTTCATGCAAATGTGCGCAGCCTGACGTAGCTAACGGGTCGCGTGTCACACTGAATTATTTCTCAATTTCAACTTTTTGCGGAAATTTTTACTGTATACCTATTTTTTACTGTTACCTTATTGATAATGTGTCGCCCGTCATCACAGAAAGAAGAGCAACTACTAACAGCCGTTTAAGGAAAGTAAGAAAAACGGCACCAAGACGAATTAATGGCACTAAGCATTAAATTATCTGTATTAACGTGGACACAGAAGAGTTTTTAAATTACTGGTACTGAGAGAAAACACAGTTGGGTACTGTCGGTGTATGAAACTGGTCTGAACTTCAGAGGTGTACATTGCTTGCTTTTAACCTCTAGATGGCGCTAGTCCCTAATGTAGATTGCAATCCCAGTGGCTCATATCACAATAGACTGAAGGGATGTTACAATAACCTGCCCTTTGTTCACTAAACTCCATAGAGCACTCCCTAAGGCAGTGGTTCTCAAGTCCAGTCCTCGAGGCCCACTGTCCTGCATGTTTTGGATGTTTCTCTGCTCCAACACACCTGATTCAAATGATCAGCTCGTTATTAAGCCATTACAGAGCTTGATAACGAGCTGATCAATTGAATCAGGTGTGTTGGAGCAGGGAAACATCCAAAACATGCAGGACAGTGGGCCTCGAGGACTGGACTTGGGAACCACTGCTCTAAGGAATTAGTATTTCTAACAAAAAATATATTGGCCCACCAACCGATGACACCACAACTGGGATCATTGGCAATAAAAGGAATGCTAATCATGGATAAAAAATTTAATAATTGTTTCATAAGAAGCTGCCTCATGGAAAAGTTATTCCCTGGTAGACAAAACAAAAATGATATATTACATAAATTTGACCAAGAATCAACCAACAAACTACGAACAATGTTTCTAAAATTCCCAATACATGTTGTTCTTCACTATCTACTTTATTTTATTGCCCTACTGTTTTTTTTCCTGTCAAAACATGCATTGTCTCTTTTGCATTTTATTGATATTTCACTAAAGTTGGAGCAAAACTATAATTGTGTTATAAATCAACTCAAGTTTCAGTAAACTGTACTCTTATAGACACAAAGTTTCCTGCAAAAACAGCAATCTTTGCCCAGAGAGTGTTTTAGAATTCAATAGCTGCATTAGTTGAAATATTGTGTTTTAATTCAGTTTGGTTAACCCACACAGAACTTTGTCAAGGCAGGGGTATTTTACAGTTGTTAGGCATAAGAACAGGAGAAGAAAACCACAGTGAAAAGACAAAAAAATTGAAAAACCACAGTCTCAGAACACTGGGGGTTGGATCAACTTATAATTAAAGTGCAGCAAAGGACTAAATCAAATAAATAAGTCAATGCTGGACTTAATTTATTTTATGAGGGCTGCGGTAATGAAATTTGTTAAGAAATTTAGCAAATTGACATGCAACATGACAGTCACCTGTGAGACATATGGTATATACCCTCCAGTTTACCAATTGGGCACTGGGACTGATGAACAGGCTGAATAGTATGGGTGTTCCACAAATGCTTGTAATCGTCCAAGTCTTTTTGCAAGACATCAAAAACACTCCAAACTTGTGTGTTCACCACTGCCATTGAAGAGATGCCTCTCTCTTATGTCACTAAATAGGTCAATCTAAAACTAACTCCTAGGTAGAAAAGCCACATTTCACTATAAAACTGCGCTTTTGTCCTATTAAAGACTCAACTGTGACCTGGAAGTTTATGTTGCACAAATCATCTCAAGCAAAGCAACTCACTAGATATGTGTAGAGCATTAACTAAGCTATTACTACTATTTCCAGACAGGTAAGTATCAACACAAATTTGTTAACATTTGAATATTAAAAATAAAAAGCAGTGCTCTAAAAATAAGAATTGATTTAATCATTACATTTCAAAAAGCAAGATCTGTCTTCATCAGAAAGGCAATACTCAAGTATTAATTATGACGTAATACATAACTGTGTCATGAAGGTGGAGCACACATCAATAGATTACTATAACAAACAAAAATCTCTGTTTCCAGAGGCAAGACCACCAGCTTTCAATATGTTGGTTTGATGTTAAAGAGCCATACATGTGGCTTTTGGCTCCGGCAAACTCATCCACATTTTCAGACCTTCAGGAACAGCGAAGTGCTGCCATTAGTCCATTTCCTGTTCCACAGTCTGTACTGAGGCGCATCTGAATAACTCCAAACCCTGTTACACACTGGATGTAATTGCTAGCAATAATCTCAAGGCCATTGTTGGACTTTCCACATTTGAGACACATAATTTTTGAAAGAAGCCATAAATACATCCACATGTTGGAACTCCAAAAGCATTTAATTTATCATAACCATCAATGTGCCAAACTTCATTTGGTCCACTTGAGTGGTATGCTCTTTGAACAAATCTGTATCTCAAGCGATTCTCTATTCCAGATGGATTCAGTTCTTTTTTTCGCTGTATCACATGATCTCCTCTGACAACAAAGGGGTACTTCTGTTTAAGAGCCTGACATAGAGCCCAGTAGCCTAGGAAGTTGCCCTGATCCCCTCAGTTCTCCAGGGTACTGAGACTCAGTGAAATATTATCACTTCATATTGTGGCCCTCTGTTCAGTTCATCCAATGCATTGGCTTTAGGACCTGAAAGAAGAAACCACAACAGTTCTTTAAAAACAATAGCATGAAAGTGTTTAAATTGTTGTATAATCATCCTGAATTGGCTTCAGTTGTTACATTTCCTTTTAATGAAGAGGAAAATAAACTTGGTGTAATTTCTTAGTGGGGGGTGTCAACTGCACCTGGCCTGTGGATTCACTGGCAACGAATCCATTATTTCACATTGTTGTGATGAATTTTTAACTTGATTAAGTTTGACTTCTTTAGTCTTGCCTAGCTTTGGTCTCAGATTATTTGACCATAACCTGGGAAATGAGGCTTAATTCTTTCACTGATGTTGGGGACCTGTTTTTGAGAATCTGCCTTAACTTCATGTCATCTCCTCTTTTTATTCTTTAAATATATCTAACATTGTGAAAGATTGGTCTTTACTCACTGGCAGATCAATCAAAATTGTTAGAACAGAATTTTGAATTAAAGGGATATTCCGGCGTAAAATTAATTTAGGGTCAAACACACCGTAACACCGAGTTAAGACACCCCTTCAAGAGATGAATGTTGCCGACCGCTTGCTTCTCTAACTATACCAACTTTAGTAACGACCGCACGATAGGAATACACAGCAGTCTGAGGAGCTTTAAATAAACCTCAACCAAAACGCCACTCTATAGCCACAAATAATGCTCAGAACAGCACCTAACTTCATCAACAGTACACATAGGGTCACAGCCATAGTACTAGCCACCAAACATCTTTTTAGCTTTGCCTAATTTCTAAACACAACTCACCTACTCTCTTCCAGCAGCCGCTTGTTTGTAGCAAGACCTTGGGCCAGTCCATTACGGACTACAGTGGGGTGACGCAGCTCAAGGAAGAACATTTATCATTATTTCTTCATGGAAATGCAATCAGACCGAGACGCTAAGGCAGAAGAACTACTGTGGCTACAGTGCAAAATGATCAATATAGTGATTATTACTTTGAGGAAATTATATAGTCATGATCATAAATGTTCTTCCTTGAGCTGCATCACCCCTCTGTAGTCTGTAATGGACTTACCCGAGGTCTTGCTACAAACAAGCGTCTGCTGGAAGAGAGTAGGTGAGTTGTGTTTAGTCTCTTTGCTAAAGAAATTAGGCAAAGTTAAAAAGATGTTTGGTGGCTAGTGCTGTGGCTAGGACTCTAAATGTACTGTTGATGAAGTTAGGTGCTTTTCGGAGCATTATTTGTGGCTATAGAGTGGGGTTTTTGGTTGAGGTTTGTGTATGGCTCCTGAAAACTGCTGTGTATCGCTATCCTGCGGTCATTACTAAAGTTGGTATAATTAGATAAGCAAGTGGTCGCCAACATTCATCCCTCCAGGGGGTGTCTAACTCAGTGTTACAACATGTTTGACCCTTAATTAATTTTACGCCGGAATATCCCTTTAATTCACTACCTGAAATCTAGAAAAAGATGACAGGTGTTTTTCAAGAAGGCCAGTCAATGATTGGTGGAGGAAATTTGAAAATGTAGCAACAGCACCCTGTCTCCCCTACCGCATACTGTACGTAAGAAGGCCCGCCATAAGTCCCTCTGAAGAAAACACTACATCATGTTTAAACTAGGCCTACTTCGCCATATACACTGTCCCTATTTACAAGACGGAACCAACTGAATTCATTTAAGAGCGGATTTCACTGTATCAGTACGGATGCCTGGTTATCTTTACATTATATAGAGACCTGTACCTTTAAGTGCAAACTGTGTTCGCTTGAACGTTATTTCGCGAGATTTGCTTGGCGCCGCGACCTCATGTGAGACACCTCCTGCGCGAGCCAGTCCGACGTTACCTCTGCAGAGGAAAACGCAATGGATCCCTGAACGGCTTTTATTTCCCTCATCGAAAACATTTTTTTTGCATCCAAAAATACTGTTTATCTCCTAAATTTGAGGCGTAACAGGGCGGTGCAACGATGTGGATCCAGGTTCGTACTATAGACGGGAAGGAGACGCGAACCGTTGAGGATCTTTCTAGATTGACCAAAATTGAGTCTCTACGGTTGAAAATACAGGACATCTTCAATGTAAGCCCACAACAACAGCGCCTATTCTACCGAGGAAAGCAGGTAAACATTATTTTCACGTCGTGTCGTTATGCAACCCTCGATCTTTGCAGCTTTGGCAGGGGTTTGGTCCTCTGGTGGAGAGTGGAGTGGTCCTCTGGTCTTGTAGTCTTTTCGGACTCATGCGAGCTTCCTGTTTTGATAGGAATTCGCCAATAGTTCTTGCGCAATAGTCCCGGGTACGCGGTGTGCCAGCCCCCGAGAGTAACGGTGATACTATATGGAAGTTAGGCACTGTTATGAAACCGTGTCTCAGTGTCCAGGATGCTTTTCAGGAGCCCCTGAATGCAACAAATGTTTCACCGCCGTAGACATGTTTGTTTACATTGCCGCGAGTGAGAAAAGGGAACATCGCCCTCTGTTTCCACATGTGCATCGAAGAAGAGCAGCGCTAGAAACAACCTCAATCACTCCATATAAGAGCTACTGTGTCCTCTTTTTATTCACTCCTGCAACTTTCCTCGCGTATCTGTCATACTGATGTGTTTTTGCGTTTGTAGCATGTAGCACCAGCTGTTAGACGGAGCCCATTAATGAAGCATGAGCCTCGTCCATGCTGTGTGGTGTGTTATGATGATAATGTTAACGATCATTTGATGGAGGAGGGGACTCCTGGCTCCACGTGCCCTGACATCTCTGTGGGTTGTTGTGTTTACATAATGGCGTCACTACACTACAGTGTGCACACTGTACAGTGAGGATGGACTATTCAGAGTTGGTGAGTGAACAAACTAATATCTGCATCAAATTGATGTGCACATTGTAGTCTGATTTGCACTTATCCAGCTTCAACAGTGCTCTTTGTAAGAAAAACATTTCTCAGTAGGATATTATTTGGATAGCAAATTAATTTTGTTGTTTGCACATGATCACAGTAAAGCTAACTTCCTGTCATAGTGTTTTATCAAATGAGCTGCATTATCTGGAATACTCCTATCTTATAGTGATGGGAAGAACAGTTCTTTTGACTGTACTGAATCTTTAGAATCTGTTCATTAAAATGGTTTGTTCAAAAGATTTGTTCACTGAATCAGTCAGTGCCTCTGCCTGCCTCAAGTCATTCGGAAGTCGTTCATTTTGTTCACAGTCTGACTGATACATTTCGTTCACATACTGACTGATACATATCATTCATTCGCTGTGAGCAAATCACAAGACTGCGCCCACCCGCTAGCTCGCTGGCTGTGTGTTGTTCACCAAAGAGTTAAAGGCAGAAGTTCCACTCCTGACCAGCATGTCACTGACGTCAGGCTCGCGGCCTAGCTTAACTGAACCGAGAAAGGAACGAATCAGGTCTCATAGTGATTCCATTCACAGCGTTCACTCAGCAGTTCTTTTCTTTTGAACGAAACGTTGATGAATGACACAACACTACTATATTGTGTCATGTGCTTTGCCGAAAAGGTGTGCATTATTATGCAAAATTTCAAGCAATGTTGTGCTCTGATAATGCAATTCCACTATACTGATGTTGTCCATATTTTTGGCACCTAACTTTTGAAAAATAGCACCACTTGAAAACTGTGCATGAATCAGAATTGACATGCCCTTTAATTCTTATTTTGATCCCACTAAAGATAACTGCATCAGTATGTTACCACATCTCAAAAGCTGACTCAGAATCTGCCAATCAAGCTACAATATACCTGAAAAGATGTAAGCACATGTAACAGCACATGGTGTTTTTAAGTTGTCCAAAATAGTCATCAGAACACCAGAATTTTAAACGTTCATATGATACCAATAAATATCAACAGTGTTGTTACTTGTTTCGATACGATAGCAACAAAAATGAACCCCCTGAGCGCCCGTAACTGGGTATCTTTTGTTTTTATGTTTCAATAGAACCATGTCCCAACATTGCTGTTACACACTCGCCTCATAGTAGGAACTGTTTAAATAGTTTTACGTAATATTTTGCCCTTAGATGTAACAGACAGACTTGTCTGACCTGTCTTAGTGTGCATGATTTGTTGAAGGTTTGTGAGACTCTACCCTAAAAGCCCTGGTAATAAGTAGACAATGCTTATGGAACACTGGTGTTGTAATGTATTTATAATTTCAACACAATAAAGCTGATATTAACACAGTGTGACTCAGCCAAGCAGATGAGCTGGCAGGAATAAGCAGCATGCATGATGTGTTAATCTCACATTCCTTGCATTAAATTACAGTCCTGTTCATTCATTTTTGAATGCTCGTTGTAGGCTACGGAAGCCCTAAGCAGACAAGCATACATTTAATTTTTTCAGCTTTCTTGTGCTAAAGAGTTGGTGTCACTTATTCTCCAGAGATTTCAGTAGTCAGTCGTAGCATGGTCTGGTCAATTACAGCGTTCACTATTTAGTTTTTGACATCAGATAAAATTATCCTGTAAATACGAGCGAGGATGTCCCAAAGCAACACATTTTCTAATTGTTAAAACAGAAATCTAAATTCAGATAAACCGACTGTTCAAAAGGTAGTCCTCTAGTCTTTCGTCCTCCTTTTAGGTTTAATTTCTTGTGCCTGTGCTGGTTAGACATGATGACTTACAGTATATGAGCAGTTGTATGCCAGTCTAACCAGACTCAGAAAACTTGCTCATAGTGCCATGCTTTACCAGCGCCATGGTAGTACAAAGTTGGCCTCTTGCTAACACATTTTGCTGATCGTTTTTATAGTACCAAGCAGCAATGGGGCACCTTCTGTCGTGGTTGTGCACATGCTTCAGTCAGTAATTTGATTCTTAGCCCACAGCATGTAAACTGGGACAAGGAGAGTAGTCCGGTTTAATTGCCTAATGGAGCTGTAACTGTAGCTGATTTAAACTGTGAATGTAAATTTGTGGACGTGTCTCTCTTCCAGGTCTTTTTACTTTTACATGTTGTTGTTACTTTGTCTCCCATTCACACGCTGGTTCCTAAATAACTAGTGCCCGACCGATTTATCGGGGAGCTGATTAAATCGGCCAATTTTAGCCATTTAAGACTAATTGGTAATCGGCCAAAACTCGCTGACTTTCGCCGATATTTTTAGAAATAAAATGCGGAGAATAAGATTCGGTTTCACTTTGAAAATGTTTCGCCATTTGAAAAGTTCCCCGACTTATCCTGTAGATGGCGCAGCGACCTCATGACAATCTTCATCCACTAACTGCCTCACAGCACAGCAGAGTGACGGATCTGAAGCAGGCAGCTCAGGGACGCACGGAGGAGAGTGGTCCGCCTCAACGGTAAATAAATGAGTTTGTGAAGTACACAATAAATCAACAAGTTTCAGTGCAACCCACTTCACGATGTTCCCCGCTGTGCTGGTCTCGGTCACGCCGAGTTAACGGTAAAGCACCATGTAATATGCAAGCTAAAGTTAGAGTTAGCCACCTGCTATTAGCCTTGCTACACTGTTAGCCGTGTCAGTAACGGTCGAATAAACAACAGTACACATTATGTGATCGAGCTACTTCTCTTACTGAGGCAGCTGCATGTCTCCAGATGAGACCGGACTGGAAGTAAGTTACACGAGTTATGACGCGAAGGCACCGATCGGGCCCTATAAGTAACCCTAAAAAAGTTTGTTTAGATCTCAAGAAAGTAGATCTAGAAGAGTCTTGTTCATGTGATAAGGTAAAAAAGCGAAGAACTTGAAATGAACAGGAAACTTGTCATTTCGGAAAATGGATTTATGTCCCATTCGAGCTTGAATAGCAGGCAGAGGAACTCTCTAGTAGTTTCTTTGTCCGTTAGTTGTCCATTCTGCTTCCTCCTGTGGAATTAAATGATAATAAACCTGTTCACATATAAATCTTACAGGTCATAATGGATTGGTTTTGTTGGGATTGTGTGGTGCATGTAAGGCAGGACAAGAGGAAATAATAATTCAGACTGGAACAATGGTTTACATGGCAACCTGACTATTCCATTAATTGAAAAGAAATGCGAGGGGTTGTGTTACATGTGAGGCACTGAGGCCGTTAGATGCATTTTTCATTCTCATACTAGTGAACTGATTTCATTGCTCGAAGCATTTTTCCTAAAGTCAATAGGAAGCGAGTCTTGGCTTGAAGAATTTCATCAGATCTAGTAGGGAAAATGTTTAATTAACATTTTAAGGTTAACAATTAATAAGCTGTTTGCTGGAGTCGAGCTGTGTGTGGTGGCATAGACTCGGGCCCCGTGAATCCTGTGCTTCCTTCATTTCACTGGAAAATAAGGGGGAGGGTTGATTAGGGGATTTCCACGTGTTAAGCAATGCAAGGAATGAGCCATTGACTCGCAGCGTACACTAGCTAGTGCCCTTACATGCTTGGAGGGGTGCCTGCGCTCTGCAAAGATTTCGACTTGTAGCAGTGTAACTCTAATCTAATTCTTTTCCAAAATGGCGTCTTGTTTTTCCCCCTTCAGCTCACTGCGCACGCTGCCTCACCCGTTCAAAGTCATGCCTGCCCTTCAGTTGGAAGGGTCTCGAGCCACACAACTTTGCCTCTGTGTTTTTTTTATGGGCTTTTCAATTTGCCTTTGCACCCGATGTGCCTCTATTTCACTTCGACAACATGTCACGCACGTTCACAGGCAGACTTGCACACACACCTTTCACACTTTTCATGCAGCCTCTCAGCTCAACGCCAACTCTCACTTTTGCTGTAGATTTCTCATTTACTAACCAAGAAAAACACACTTGGCTTCTCTATGATGTGGTTTACTGCTCTGTTTGTGTTGTATCTATGTGCTGCGAGAAGAAGGCTGTCGTTTCTCCTCTGCAGAGGCACCAACATGTTTTCATTTCCAGATCATCCTGCTGCCGTCCACCATGAACTGCCGGTTGTTGGCCTGTAGGAAAGCTTTATTGGCTTGCCCTCTTTCACGCAGACTGTTGCTGTGACCTAGATATTGCCACAATTTGATTATACATACACGGATGTTGTGGCTCCTCGATTGATCAGCTAGGCCGTATATTTCACCCAGAATTTCAGGGGAAACTAGAGTTGGCTGCAGCCATGCGTGCACAGTCACACCCTTCTTCGACAGATATGCCGGACAAAAAGCAAAGACAAAAGACGCATGAAACCTAGACTACAACTGCAGGCTTTCTAACACTCCCACGCATTCTCTTAGTTTTTCTGCCTTCAGTGGTTGAAAGGCCTACCTGTTTGTTCACTGTCTCAGCTCAGATTACTAAAGAAACCAAGGTTGTTACACGGCAAATCATTGTTTTTCTGGTTGCATGTCTCTTGTGCCAAAAAAAGTATTTGTTTGGAATTAATATACATAAAAAAATCGAGAAGTTTTATAACTAACACAGTGTTATCAGCGCCCTCTGAAATGGTTGTTTCACAAAATATATTGAAATTTGCTGAAACATATGAGGTTAGTTTCTGTGCAACAACTTTTCTACATGAACAATGTGTCCTAGATTTCTCTTCGTAAAAACAAAATGTCACAATGTCCTCACTCAAACAAACAACTATAAAGCTGTGTCCATAAAAACACTCGATTAGGTGCCAAATCTCAAGAGATCTTGGATTTATTTTAACAAGCACGGCTCAGTTTATTGAGAGTGAGGAAAAAGGATAAAGAGAAAAAGGAATCTTGTCCAAACTAGCAGATAATTTAACTGATTTTTAACATTTGAAAATATGGATGCAGTAAAAAACTCAGACTCTTTATTCTGTGTATCGGTTACTTTGCCTCCGTTTAGAAAATAACATCTGTTCATGAAAATACAACCAACAGGAGGTAAAAATAAAAGATAACTTTTGATTCCTTATTGGTAAACTGATGGCAGAATGAAAGTTTGGTGGACGGCAGGCTTGCAGACACGCCCTGTGTGATTGTTTTTGGAAATTTGACCTATTTTGCTCGGCTCTTAGCTAAGACGGCCTGTGGGTGGGGACGTGGGCGAAGACGACCGGGTATGAGTAAGGGGTTTGGATTGGCAGCTGGACTAAAATAGGCCAATTTTTGCTCTGCTACAAAATTGGTTTTCACACCTTAAAAAAATAAGCCTTTTTAGTTTTATGTGGGCCATCCTGGTTCCTCAGTCCTCCACTGATCGACATGAATGCAAAGATTTTGGCTCATAAAGCTGCAAGATACTGTTTGAAAGCACGGCAGCTCAGTAATGAAACTCAACAGATGCTGCTCGCTCTACCTGCAGCTTCTGCTACACAACACGCTCTGGATTGATGGAAATATTCACTGATAGAAAAGACGTTGATAGTGAAAAACATTTGGGTCTGCATGATCGTTTACATGATTTTACAGTGTCTCTGCAGCAACACGTCTTTGTTTGATATCCTCTTTGACCTTGTACTTTGTTCCCTCTCACAATAAAAAAACGAGTCTTTGAAAGAATGCCTGTGGATATGCAACAGAGGAATTAGCCCGGTTGAGAGGTGTTAATTTTATTCACACATGCACACATAGGCACACATCATCGCAGTGCCAAGGTTTTTTTTTTTTTGACTCTGATTTGTTAAAACCTTTAGAGAAATCTTCATCAAGTGCCTCTTGTTTCGTGTAAAGCTTTGTTGTGATATGTGCTCGGCACTGAAACCTCCCGTTGGAGCTCAGAACAGCCTTCCTTGTTGTTGTCACGTAATGAAGACACCAGGAGAGATGTCTGTTTTTTATTTGCCTGCATTATTCATGGCATACGAGAAAGTGTGACATCCTTGGTGATGTTATCTGTCCTTCATGCTCGGGACGGTCAACATGGCCATTTTTCTGTCAAAGTGATCTTGCCCTCTGTGACTGTGTCAAGTATTTTTCCGCCATTGTCCATTCAGAAGGTGTTTTTGGCTTTTAGCACTATTCAGCTGGTTATTATCCTAATGATGTCAGCGCTGTAACGCCTTGCCTTGAAAGCTTGGGGAGCGATTACAGCCTGGAGATCATTTGTGAGGGTAGATTCAATGCATGAAATTCCACATATCGTAGCTTTGACTTTACGTTGTGGACTCTCTTCTTCGATATCGGCCCGTCTGTACTTGCAGGACTGGGAATGTTTGCTGCAGGTTCTGCCGGCAATCTTATTGTCTGTTTTCCTTCACTGTTTGTTTGCCCTTTTTTTTCTTAATGCAGTATCAAGTTGCACAAGGCAGAGGAGGATAGGCAATTACTGTGACTAAATCGAAGACTGAGTTGAGGCAGAAAAACAGACAAAGAAATGCTGAGATAGACACAACAGACAGATACAGAAAGACAGGTGAGTATTGTACCCACTGTATGGCTGTGTTTGCACCACTGCTCCTCTGATCTAAATTTCATGAGACTATTAAAAACAGGGAGGGATGGAGAAATTACGCTTGCTCCCTACTACAATCTCCTGCCCGCCTCCGACCGCTCTCCTCCTCGCTGTCAAATAACGAAGACAAGAAGGGGAGCGCGAGCCAGAGTGGCGGCCATGCTCATCTCTCCAGTACAATGGGGCTTGTAGGGTTGAGGGCTTAAAATGAAAAGCGGATGTCTGCAATGAGTTTGCGTGTCTGCCATAAGCTCTGTTTCTGTGGCAGTAGCTGGACTACTGTATACTTAACAGTCGATCGCATGCGTTAGAGGAGTACATATGGGTTTCTAATGGGGCCTCATTGTTTTTTCAGGAGCTTATTTTTGTTGTGAGTGTAATTCTCTGGTGGCCATAAACCGCGTTGCCTGACAGAGTCACGACGACGGCGATGATGGTGATGATGGTGGTGTTGGTGGTAGTGGGTTTTTGTCGACAGAAATTGTGTACATGATTCAGGTTCATGGGGGTGGGCTGGAAAAAAAAAAGGGGGGGGGTGCTCTCCTTTGGTTGTCATAGCAACCCAGTCATTCCTTCTTTCCCCCAGCTACATCTCCTATCACTTTAATACATGCATCTATTTCTGTTAGTTATTTCATTTCTTTTTATTTCTCGTTGAAAACTAGTGCAGAAAATCCGTGATCGGGGATGCAGTCGAGCATTTTGTAGTCATTCAGAATGGCCTGTAATTATGGACAGCCTTCCAGTCATACGTGCAAATGTGTTTTCTGCCTTCATAAGAAAAAGAAAAAAGCTGAAATGCTTTAAACTGCATACATTTATACAGTAGCTAAACACTGACTCATTTGAGAGTCAATGTCGTCTCTGTGGACGCTCAAACATTGTCCTAAATGTAGATGTACGGAGATGTTGTGTACGTTTGAAGTGATCTTAATGTCATAGGATATAGTTAGATTACACTGTTGTTTCCTTCCTCTGTGCACAATGTTATCTTCTGTCTTATGCATCTTTGTTTGTCCTTGACAAGTAGCTGAGTGTGTTTGTCTGAAGGCTCTCTGTGGCGCAGTGGCTTACATTTGCTCTCACATGGATGGATGCATATTGGGCGAATTGCAGCCAGTTTTATCCCGGTAATGAATAAGATGCAAATCTCCATTTACAGTTTCTTTATTAAAAGGATAATCTGCAAATACGAGATACCAGATTTTAGGGTAGGTATGTTTTTCTGCTCCTTGTAATCAAATTACTGTTGACCAGTCACATATTAGCAGGCTTTGTTGTATGCAGGACAAACATCCCATACGTAGAGCTATAGTAGGCAGAAAGCAATCTGCTGTAATGACACCCTGTCTCGTTTTGGCATAAACTATAACTGATGATTTATTTATCTCTTTACACAGATATCAGGATGCAAGTGCTGCTTGTCATTTACTCCAGATCAAAAACTTCTGCATAAATCCTCAACATTTGAAAAAGCCAATCAGCATCAAGAGTGTTTTTCACTCCCTGAAATGCATAAAAAAAGCAAAATCAATTTCAATTCAACAAGAAAACATTTTGAAAGCTGTTTTTTCCTCCTCATGGGGACAGACAGGCCTGTAAGAGCCTGCTGTCTTATTTTTTTTACAGTTCGTTATCATGTTGATATTGTTTCATGCAATCAAGATTTGCCAATTGCAGGATAATCACGAGGAAAATGTTTTATTTTTCAGGTTCACATGACCAAAGTACATCTCAGCGTAACTTACTTTCAAAGGCACTGTGTGGAGTTTTTAACTGGTTAAAAAACAGTGTGAAACTGATGCTGATGCCTCTTTATAATCTTAAGAAGCAAACAAGATAATCAGCAACAAGACTGATCAGTTCACTGAAGTAATTTTTGATAATAAACCGCCCTGAGGAGGAAGGCAAGATGAGTGTAAACAGCCTTTTTGACTTTTTCCATGACAAATACAAAGGGTGATATATTTCTCTTATATGTTTACACAAACAGTGTAGTCAAACTACAGTTGTAGCTTAATCTGTCTTTCTCTCGGTATAAGTATTACACATCAAAACAGCTGGCAGTACAAACAATAAGAGGCTAATGGGACGTATGTGAAATGATGAAAACAGGATTCTCCTTCTCTTCGTTTGTCGTTGTTTTGTTTACCATGTGACTTCCTAGCAACGCATCCATGCAGTTGAACTCCTGGCTCAAAGCCCAACATGTGAACACTGAAGTATGGGTTAGTTTCAGTTCGTTTATTACAGCTGTATATTACACGACAGAGAAAATCGACCCATTACCACATTAACCAGGTATGTTAGGCTGACTATGAGAAATTCATGAGTGCGATTTCAGTCTGACTAATGTCTTTAAACGATTTAAAAAATTCAGTTCAGTCGCAATAAGGCAGTAAATCTTTTTTTTTAAACTGCATGTAGGAGGGCACCAATCAACACAAACCAAAAGTGTCTCACAGCAGCTTTAACTGTAAAACTGAAACAGAAACAGATGACTGGGTGGTCCTCATGAGGATGCAATCAGTGTCTTCATGACAGTGTTAATTTTGAAGACAGATCTTGAGCTGCAAACTTTGCTTCTTCGTTGATATAAACATGGCGTTTTTAGGTTTTAAACAGTTGTAATTCTCGGTGAATGAATTGTTGGCTGGGGGTCTTAATTTTGCCGACCACTGGCTGTGACTGAATGTTGTAAAAGTTGACCATCACTGCCAAAGGCATCATTGGCAGATGATAGCCGAGGGGCTCCAGAGATTTCTGCCACAATGAAAACGGCTTTTCTTTGTGTTTGCTGTGCGTATTTATACAGTTTTCTATATTTATGTTTTCAGATGGAGGATGGCCAGACGCTGTTTGACTACAATGTAGGTCTCAATGACATCGTCCAGCTGCTGATTCGCTCACAGACTGATGCACCAGACAGCCCCGCCAACAAGGACTCCTCTGGTGTTTCCTCTAGTTCAGCCCCTCCCTCTGACACCAAGTCTGAAAGCCACAACTCCTCTCCAGCTCTTGCTGCTATGGAAACCTCCACCAAAATAGACAATGACAGCAGCAGTGTAAAAACCAGCAATCTAATCGAAACCAAGCCGGACACCAGCGCTACCAGTAATTCAGCCAGTACCAAAAATGGGTTCAAGTCCTCCAGTCCAACACGGGATTCCCAGCCTCATACATCCAGCAAAAACACACTAGCCGACCCAGGAATTGGTGTGTATAAGGTGAGAACACACATTACACGAGACTCACCAAACCCTGTTCAGAGCCAGCTCCAGATTAGTAATACTCCACAGCCCACATGTTGGTGAATCTACTCTGCACTGGGCTTTTCTGGCTGGACTGGCTGACTGCCTTGTCTGAGAATTACATGCGTGGGACTGAACTAACCCTTTTTTTTTCAACGCCCCATACAGCCTGCAGGATGGATAAATAATGTAGCTTGGAAGAGGAGTAGTAAATCGTGGAACTTAGATATCAAGGTCACATACATGTACAAGCATTCACTGCAGGCCTAGTGCATATTTTTTTCCTTTTCTTTAAAACAGAGAACATGTATGGCAAACCAGTGTCATTTACCGTATTCACATGGCAGCTATTTTCATTTATCCTGAAGCTCGGATAGAAAGCTGAAATGCTGTCATGATTTACTGCTAATATTTAGGAAACCTGTGAAAATTGCGTTAATTTTCTAGTTTTGGATTAAATGGCAACTAAAAAAACACCAAAAGTATAAATATATCAGGAAAACGTAAGTATATTTGAAAACCTTCAGTCACTGTTAGAAAATAGCGTTTTGTTAATGAGCATTTGTATCTTTGCTAACCTTGATAAAACAGAGATGACAACCCCTGTTTGATGCTCATGTTAGCTTATCACCATTAGCTTTATTTAACCTAGTTTAGTGCCAATGCTAGGGTGACCGTATTTTGATTAGGGCCCGACCGATATGGATTTTTTTTGGGGCCGATACCAATTATTAGGAGGGAAAAAATCCGATTACCGATTAATCGGACGATTTTTACATTTTTTTTAAAAATGTTTTTATTTTTTAAGTTTACTCAAAGATGCCATACAATTCCAATACATTTAAAGTTTGCCTCCTCTGCATGGATAGGAAATTGTTACACTACCAAAAACTATCTATAAACAAAGACACTAATTCTTATAGGCTTAATGAAAAAATGATAGAAATAATGTCTCTTCTGTAGTAGAAAAATAAAGTATTCATGAATACCGCTCTGTTTTATTAGCAATCCAACGTAAACAAAAATAGCTCTCACAAACTTACAAAAAATATCTGTATCTTTAGTTTTCTTCTGTATCCTGGTGGCTTAATGAAAACAATGAAATCCAGAACATTTTCATCACTGAATAAAAACAAATAAAACAGGACGGCCAGGACAGGATGGAAAACAAGACATGTCCTGGGAAAACAGGATGTCACCCTAGCTTATGCTTGGTAAAATAAATTGATAATAAGTATGTTTAATTTAGTGTATAATTACCTAATTATAAAAAAGGTTTATTTATTGTCTAAAAGTCATAAAAAAGTATGAGTAGTGGACTTAAATACAAGGGTCTCTGTAATTAACTTTACAACACTTGGTTCAAAAGATATCCGCCTTCATTTCTCGTCCCTGTCTTCTCAGATTAACGAGCTTGTGGACTGCAGAGATGTCAGCATCGGCGCCTGGTTCGAGGCCTGCATAGAAAATGTGACACGAGCGCCTAAAGGACAGATCACACCCACCAAAGGCAAGGTGGGCCGGCCCCCAAAAAGGACTAATGGAAAGCTGGAGGCCGAGTTAGGACAGGCCCATGGCCAAGGCCAAACCACAGACAGTAACAGGAATAATGTTGTTATAAGCTCCGAGAGTAATGGAGCCTCCACCTCTCAGACAGACTCTACAGCAGCGACAGAGACCAAGGAGAAAGAAGAGGACGTCCTTTACCACATTAAATACGACGAGTAAGTGACGGCTTATTATGGCGGTAGAGCGTTTCTGCTGCAGCTGAGCTGAATTTGGTTTCAGTGATAACTGAAACATTATCGCAGGTTTCATTAAAAGTGTTAAGAAGAGATCTGAATTTGGCAGAAAACCGCAGAGTCCAGCAGACACATTTTCATCTGCTGGTTGGATTGAGATCTGCACTACTGTGTCTCTAACACGATAGTTTTCTTTGCATTTGCTGCGTCACAGCACAGCAGAATCTAAGGTTTCAGTCTCGTTGCTTACACCTGTCCCCCTCTGTTCTGTTGCGTAGCATTATAGATGCGCACAAGCTGAATATATGGTATGCGTGTTTGTGTGGTAGAAGTGGCTGCGAGCATCAGTACCAGTGCTTCGGTGCATGGGGAATTGCAGCATCCTCTTTCTCCTGGCAGTCCGGGGGTTGCAGAGAGAGAGAGAGGGGGGGGTTTGTGTAGTTGATGCTACAATTTGGACTCTATCTCTCGCGCTCTCTTTTCCAGCAAATTCATTCAGAAGCCGGCGTTTCCATGGTAACCCATGAGTTCTCAGGAGCATTACTTCTTTGCTTTCCTCCCTCAGCTTTGTCTGTAATTGCTGTGAACATGCCACCGGTGAGACACGGCTTCTTTGCCATATCTCATCCTAGTGTGTGTGCCAGTGAGTCTTTCCACCATGGGATGTTGTGCTGCGGGAAACGGCATCAAGGGCTGTTGAGCAGTGAATGTGTGTTTTGTTTGAGGCAGACATCGGTCCCATTTGACAGTCTGCAATCTTTCCAATCCATGTTTTGTTGTTTTGCAGCGGGGCAATTAATATTTGCAGTGACAATTCAGAAACACACATCACTTCGTGTCCTTCTTTTTTTAAAACGGAATGAATTTAATTATTTATCCTTTTTATTATTCTCCTCTATTTTCTGCATTTGACAGATGGAAGCTGTAACTGATAACAGAGGTACCTTGCTACAGCTTAACTACATTATTTGATTAAGGTCTTTACCAAATTACTGAAGTACTCGACCCCAGTTTTGCATTTTGTTATAATAAAGCAAGTGATCAAAAATGTGAGCTTTCCGTTTGAGGGGCAGCATTGCTAATCCACTCTCCAGCTTTCTACTAAATGTGCTTTCTATTCCCGAACACCATCCTGGGTTTCTTCCATTATTTGTTTGCAAGAGCATATTAGAGGGTGGGTAAGAAAGCGCCATCATCCCACGCACACGTACACACACACACACACACATATGCGCACACATTTGCACACACATTTGCACACTAGTACACTCCCCTATTTAACACCCGCCTGCAGAGTCCCAAAAAGAAAACCCGGCCCTAACCTGTGGTGCAAACTGCTGTGTTTTTGCATGAGTCTGTGCTGGGCAGTTTGTCTACAGAAGGTAATAAGCCACAAAATCAAAGGGATATGCAGTATTTGTCTTGTCTCCGCTGCTCCCAGAGAACTAAGGTGGCATGTTTGTATTTGTGTGTGTATATATGTGATGTATATTTTTCACAGATACGGTGCCAGGGTTGTATCTCGGCTGAGCTTAGCATATGTTTGAGATTCTCTCTGGAGGGACACACAAATAAAGAAGCAAGACAAGCAAATATAGCTTGTGTTGATACAGGTTTAAAGTGGACAGTTATACTTTTTATATTCAAATAAGGACTGACATCCAAACACCTTAAATTTATTTGCACAAGTCAATATTAACTACCCAGCTAGAAAAAAAAAAATCTTTTTTTTTCCATGGAGTGATTAAACAAAAACTTAATATGCAAATTCGTAATAAACCGTTCCAAGTAAAACAAAGTTGTCAAACTCGACATGACAGTGAGCCTCGGCTGCATGCAACAGTGTGTCAAAGCAGAGGTGGGAGTTGAAAATGGTGTAGCTGATTTTATGTCTTTGTTTCAGTGTCAGGGTCGTGATTAGTGAATGCTGGCTCACTCACTCACTCACTCACTCACTGACTGTTCTTACTAGGACTCTTGGAAATAATGGAGCTATTGTTAATGTAATAAGTATCAACAGTTCTCTCCTTACAATGAAAAGTCAGGATGTCACAGAGGAGATATACATTTCTGTCTATCTAAAGCTCTACACCTTACTCGGTAAATGTATATATTCATCGCTCTGATATTTGGCTGTTAAAAATTCTCACAGGGTTTTTTTCTGTGTTATGCTTCGTAAATCAGCTCTAATTACCAAGGATCAACATAAGCAGTGAAAGAGATCTTAGCAGTATCTTAAGCCACGGAGGCAGTTGGTTTAATGTTATCTAAAAAACAGCTGCTACCTGCCGTCGCTGAGAGAGTTTTAATTTCTGCAGTATTAATTTAAAAAGAGATGATGAAATAAGAAAGAGATGAAATGTAGTTTCTGTGTTCATTAAGTCTCTCTAGCCCACTCTGAATGTACTTTTCTCCACAGAGCAGCCATTGTTTGATTAAAGAGGAGTGAGTATCTAAACACAGACAAAAACCCTGATTTGATCACTGGCTTGTTAAAAACACTGGTGTTTGTATCAGGGGTATGAACTGTACGACGATTATATACGGTTAAGCTTACTTCATTTAGTGTCGTTATTCAGTGACCGCAATCCTTTGCCTGATATTTCTGGGGACATTTTTACCTGTCACACTTGGAAAAGCACTTGCATAATTAATAATATTAATATTGACTGAATTCCATTTAGCTCCTCCAGTTACAGCGTCCTGCGTGGTTTGGTGCATGCTGCTGGCTCGTACCATCTCTTTCATTGGTAACAGCTGTGCTTTCCCTCCTTCAAAGGGGGGCTTTAAAATTGTACACAGTTCACTTTTATTGGCCCTCGTCTCAGAATAAACCCACATTCATCTTTGATTACTCTGCAGTTTTTAGTAGGGACTTTACCAAGAGATTAATTCTTGTGTCAATTAACTGACTAACAGCCAATTATTGTTGTTACGACTACTGTTGAAAACAGAACGAGGCGCCTCTTTGTTCAGTTATTAGTTAAAACGTAGCTGATGACCAAATATTGACAGTGTAATGAAAAGGGACTCCTTTCATTTTCAACAGCTGCAGTAGCTACAACAAACACAGACCCATCCTGCTGAAAGTCTGTGATTAACAGGGTCAGACACTAAAACTGAAGACTAGTTTAGAAAGACGCTGTATTATCACTCTTCCTCCTGTAGTCCTACATCTAAGCTCCAGTGAGAAGTTTTTTGATGATTGTTATGAAATAGACTGAAATTTATATGGATGCATTTTTATGACGTACAAAAGCAAAAACCCTAATTCTTGTTATTAAAAACAGCATACAGACAGTATATCCAAGTAGTTTTACAAAATATACAAATCAACAGGAGGACAAAAAAACAGACAAAAAAAACATACTTACATTCACTCACAAAATAATAATACACAACAGGCCTGTGATGTATTTTTACCTTAAGATAAAAGAGTCATATTTATATCAATATTAAACAGTTGCAGTAAGATTCATTTTGATTATGTATCAATGCGGTTTTGCACCAGAAAACGCTCCCAGGACTTTTTAAAGTTCTCATCATCATTATTAATATTAGCTAACATTTGTTCATATGATATTACTTCTAACATAAACCTCATCCAATTTTTTATATCTGGCATAGCTACACTTTTCCATAAGCTGAGGATCGCTCTAGCAGCTGTGACAGTCCCCAGCTTTATCACAACAAAATCATGTTTAAATATATTAGGTAATTCTGTTTGATTTCCCAACAGGCAGATTCGAGGGGATAGTGGTATTGCTATATCTAAAGACTTTTCAATAGATTCTATTACTTTTTCCTAAAAAGGTAACACAAGTCTACATTTCCAAATTGCATGTAAAAATGTTCCTGTTTGATTCTGACATTTCCAACACAGATTATTTCCCATCACACCCTGGCAAAAACCTTCATTCTTAAATATTTCGAGTTTTTGAGTAGCTTAGATCTCATTTGTAGGAATCCATCATCTGGTTTGAGCTCAGATTTACTCCCTCTCACCTTGGTTTCTGTTTATGATTGTAGTAGTCATAGTGCTGCAGCAGGCTGCGGCATATGGTCGAAAAACATTTAGCATGAATAGAAGAAGCAAACAGAGCACAATTCACTGATTTAATTATGGCTGATCAGATGCCATCATGCAAGGGTAGCTCAAAATCTGTTTTGATGCTTTGCTCAGGAAGCCCATCAGCATATAGATTTCCCAAGATTTGTGGTCCCCTTCTCTGTAGTGCCCCTGCCAACAAAACGAAGCTTGCATTTTTTTTCTTTGTACAGATCTGCATAGCTTAAACTCAAGATCCATTAACTGCAAGTAAATCTTAAGAAAACTAGTTTCTTCATGTGTTTTACTCCAGAGCAAAGCCTCTACTCTTTACAGAAAAACTGGGACTTACCAGAAACAGATGCTCTAGTGGATGATACAAACCAAGACATGAGTATTTTATATATATCAAATGAAGTTTTGCTTGATTGTTTTAATTTGGGACAATTTTCAGTTGGGAGTTTTGTTGGCTGCATAAATTAAGAGAAATAGAGAATTCAGTGAGCTTCTGAAACTCATTACAATTTCCAAAAACTGGTTAAAAATCTGCAAATGTCTCCTTGTAATACCTGTGTGTGTCTGCCACGTCAACTTTAAAATGTTCATCTTGAGATAAAAGTAATTTGGATTCAAAGTGTAAAAAAACTGTAGCTTCACTTTTTGGCCGCAATTACTAACAAAGCAGAGGTTAAGAGAGACTGCAGTCACTTTCCTTCTCTGCTGTGAAGCAATTATTTTCAGTTTGTTTAGTGTCAGAGTACGGACTCCGCTGCTTATCAGTAAATTGAGGATTTCTCATTTTCTCTGTTGTGATTCTTTCTCTTTGCAGGGACTTCAGCTGGGCACAGAAAACGCTAATGATGGTTTCATAACAGAGGAGCTGTGAAGAGCTCCTCTGTTGATAAGTCATTTCTCAGTTTGGCAGCCGGTTACATATATCTCTACATTTTGTCAGGCTGTTCTTTTCATGACTGAGCGATTCAAGTTTCCTGTGTATCACTTCTGAAAGCCAAACTTCACCCTTAATTGCTTACATGATAGAGAGTGTGTACAGGTGGTCAAGTCAAAGCTGCTTGAAGACTTAAAACTGATGCTGCCAATTTTACACTTAGATCCTGTTGCCATGGAGATCAGTACATGTTTGTTTAGAGCAGTGGGTCAGCAGAAAGATAAAATAATAATAGTGCAGGCAGGCGGACAGTCTTAGTTTACATTAGCCAGATCAAAAATGATTGCCGGGTGATACATTTGACTTTTTAAAAACCACAAGACTGCGTTTGAGTTACCTTGGTAGTCAGAAGTTCGAGCTGGGAATGACCTCACACCCGAGTTACCAGCGTTTCAGTTACCAAAAAGCAGCAGAAAGGCTACAGGGTCCGTAAGGGTCCCAAAGCACCCCCATCATTTATGCTTCAGTTGTGGTTGGTTTCTACTGTTAGATACTGTTCAATATTGCACGTTATTACAGGACGTGGAGCGTGCCTCACAACATGAGGGAGCAGCGTCTGCCTCACAACCAATCAGGTCGGAGAGGTGGAAAAAAGCTTTGTTTACAGACAGAAAGAGCGGCCCGCCCAAAATTTTAAGATGTTGACTACACAGGCGTAGAACACAGCGATGTCATGATATTCCCTAATGTCATCAATAACTAATAGATATTGACTGATATTAAAAGCTTTTTTGTATATATACCACAAAAAACAAGGCTTCTTTAATGGATTCCTGCTAACCCCACCTTTAAAGAACAGAGTAATGATATCCTAACTGTTGAATTATACTTTCTGATGCATTTATCATATCGCACAGCCAGTAGTCTGTTTTATTGATCCAAAGCATCCAGTCATGTTTCCTCATTAAGGTGATCTTATGCAAGGCGTAATGTGGAGTGTGCTGGTGGTTACTGAGAATAGCATCCAGACAGAGTCGATAAGACCCCTCAACAGAAGCTAGCGTTTCTTTAATACCAGTGGAACGAGATAAAATATGAAACTCTTCTTCTGTGTGTTGATTTAATATGGTGTGTGTGATCTGACTACTGTTGTATCAGAATCAAGTATTTAACACAGCTTGATGGTAAAAATTCTCCAGGGGTATCACAGGAAGGAAATCCTTTTAGAACAAGTCAGAGTCCATATGAGTCCACTCTGTCGTGTAGAGTTTGACTACCGATAAACTCATCCCATTAGGCCCCATGAGGTGAGTCAGCAGTGTGATTATTTGAAACTATATTTCTGGTGTTTTTAGTTAAATGAAAGTAGCATCGGTGTGTATCAGTACCAAATATGAGCTTTGTGTGGTCTTAAACTTCTGTACTTCTGCTGTCTTTGTGTTGCTTCGTGTTCTCCCTCTGTTCACGCTGAGTCCCATTGTGCTCCAAAGTTGATATTCCTCTTCTGTGAGTGTGTGTATGTGTGTGTACATGTGCATGTCTCTGTGTGTTTGTGTTGTACTTGTATTCCTATCACCCCCACCCCCACCATACCCCAAACCGCATTAATCCCTTGGGCCTAAAAAAGGAAATCCCTGCTCTGTGCCCCGGCCTCCTCTTCCTGGGAGTCGCTAGCTGTGCGCTACGACTCCTACTCTCCACCGCTGTACTGTAGGCCTCTCCACCCAGGGCTGAACATGCAGCGCTGTCTGCAGAAGAGCATTAGCAATTAGTGCAAGTTCTGACAGAGAGAAATCTTTAAAAGTTGGTAATTGCTTGAGCCGAACGGGCCATTGTTGGTTCTGCGTTGGTGCAGAGTGTCGGAGAAAGTTCCCAGCTTAGGATCAGCTTTCCTTCAAAAACACACACATACACTGCTCGCTCATGCACACAATTCCCTTCTTCTCCTCTCCACCTCCCACTGTGTGAGAGGACCTGAGTATGCGGGCTGTTGCACAGTTAAACTTTGGCGCTAACACATTGTTCGTCTGAAGGCATAATTCCATCTATTGGCAGGCAGGCAGGCGGACAGGCAAGCTGTCATTTTCCCTCTGAGTCAGGCTGATCCTTACAGTTAATGATGATTGGCAGGAAGGAAACCAGCGCAGTTAACCTCAATACCTCCACTCCGAGTTTGTTAGACAAGAAGGGATTTCACACTTGTACAGACTTTCTTTTGGCAAAGGGAGAAAATTTTAAATGCCATAGAAAATGTTTTTGGTTTTTCTACTGAATGTTGAAAATCATGAAATAAAAGAAACTTCTTCCAGCATTAGAAAATTTACAAACATACATTAATTATGCATATTTGGCTCTAGTTTTCCCCAGAGCGAGACAGGAAGATTATTTGTTCATGAAGCCTGCTTCCGCTAGTTAGCTTAGCTTAGCTTAAAGTGTAAGTCAAGGAGCTCACTTAATATACTTTTGCATCTGCTGTTACAACAATGCAAAATCCCCTGTTGTGCAAATACCTCAGGATTATTATTTTGTCTTATAACCAAGCACAAAAGCTTTAATATTTATGTCATATATTATTATTCTAAAATAATGAACAAGAACGCGATATCCATACAGCAATATCTATACAGAATAGATGCCAAATATGTATAGCCACACCTACCCTGGCCTATCATATGTCAGTGCTTCAGTTGTGCCACCCTGGTTAGATGTCTGGACACGCCCCGGTATAGCTGCGCAGACAAACACTGGAAACTTTAGTGGAAACAGGCTTTAAAGTTTGCTCAACAAAAGCAGCAAGAAAACCCCCCTGAAAAGGAGATACTGCATCTCAGGGGCTATCCTAAATAAATTAAATTGAATTGTAAACAGTCAAACTTTGACGTCTGCCCCAGAAAGACTGTGAAAAGGTGACTCCTGAGCTGGCGAGATTGATTACTGTATGTGTAACAGTGAATGAATTGTGAGTGAGTTAAAGGTAAGGTAGGCAGGAATCCGTTAAAGAAGCACCTTTTTTGTGGTGTATATACAAAAAAAGCTTTTAATATCAGTCAATAGCTATTAGTCAATGATGACATTTGGTAATATAACAATATCAGTGTTCTGTTATGTCTGTGTAGTCGATTTTAAACTTTTTGAGCGCTCCGCTCTTTCTGACTGTAAATAAAGCCATCCTCTGCCTCCCCCAAACTGATTGATTGTGAGGCAGATGCTGCCTGTGTTGTTCAGGAGCCCAAACAAAGTTAGCTTTCTCCAATATCGGACAGTAGAAAACAAACCAGGAGGTACAGAAAACTGTCTGAATCCTCCTTTAGCTATGACTGCCAACACAAGCAAGAAAATGAAGTAAATACCGGAGACTCTGGCGGAATAACGGGCGCTTAAAAAGGAGGTAGACCGGGCAACAGCTAAGAAGCCAGATCAACAATGATGGGGGATGCTTTGGGATCTTACGGACACTGTAACCTTTTTGCTGGACAGGTAAACAGCTTTAACAAAGTAAGCCAAGTGTCTGTAACAGAAGTGTTTCTTGTCAAACTGGACCTGCTGTAGCATGGTGTAGTGCCACTAAACTGTTGACCTCGGGTCCTGGACTATGTCACTTTATCCTAGCTGTAGAGGTCCTGTAAACATTGTGTTTGCTGGTAGTCTGTTGGCATCTACAGTAGCACCAGTGCTTTTTACTTTAATGTTGACTGGGCCTATATTGTAATTATCTGAAGTATTTATCTGCATCATATCTGAATTTAATTGGAACGATACGAGCGAGCAGGAGTGTCTGTTTGTGGGCGGGGCTTTCTGGAGCAGAGATGGAGGGGAGAGGAGGAGCTGAGGGGAAAACTTTGGTCGGGAGGGGTAGAGTTTACATTCAAGATTTCTCCCCAAAACCTGGCACTTCCTCAGATCCTGCGTACCCCACCTTTAACAGTTAGAGGACAGCACCTGTCACACATCAGTTTTCCACAGGTAGATCAGGACAGAATCGAGAGAGTAATGCTGGATGGCAGGAGGGGCTTTACACTGCATATAACAGCCTACATTAGTATATCTAACAACAATGAACACATTCCACAGTAAAATGATTAGACAGCTTCTTAATTTACCCTAACATGTCTGTGAATGCTGATAGCCTATATAACTATACTAAAGTGGTCTCCTTTCCTCTCTCCCTCTCAGTTCTGCAGGTTGGCACTGATGCACTAAAGTAGATAAATTAGATTTGTTAAGTTTGTGTTTTTGTGTTTTGTTGCTGGTAAATCTAGGTAATGCTATTTGGAGCTTATGGCCTAGATTCTCTGCATATCACAAAATACAATGAGCTGTGTGGTTGTATAGATTTAGAAAAAAGCCTCAAGGCAAATAATCGGCCTCTATTGGGAGTCTTTTTCTTTAATTTTATGATTTAACAAAAGGATGTTGAAAGCATGTCGGAGTAACGTCTGCCTCAACATAAAGACTGACTTGGACAGGGGTGGTTCAAGTTTCACTCAGCTTGTAAGAGTAGTGTTTTTCTAATGGCAGTGAAGTGGGTGTATTACATAACTTTCTGTGTTAATTATTGGAAAAATAGAGGGGCTATAGTAGTAAAAATCCTACTTAATTCTTCACTCAAAAAAGCCACTGGTGTATTTACTATTATTGAATAACTATTCTAGATGTCTTTGTCACAAACTGATTAAGACTGCTTGTTAAAAATATTTTTTTCCCTCTGGAATATTTCCTGCTGACATAGTGTGTAAAAATAGTCTAAGTAGAGTAGAATTGATTGGGTCTTGTTATTCTGGTTCCACTCTACTTTCTGCCTCACAGCTCGTCCTTCTGGAGACCTGTGCTCGAACCTTGTTGCCAAACTTCTTGATGAATGAAAAGAGCTTTTTTTTGTGATGAGCATATTCTCTATACACTGAGCGAAGGGTAGCTTGGAGGTAAATTCACATATGAATAAACTGATACAGGTCTGCAGGTCATTGCACCATTATGTGCTGTGGTTCTGGGCTGAATTTCAACTTGTTCGTGTTTTTCTGTGCCAAACTCAGGGTTCTGGTTTCCAACAATCAACATTTGGCTTTCAGTGTTAACTCCACTTGTATAAGAGTGTTTTCTCCTCTGTGCAGAGAGGCTTATATTGCTAATAAATACAGCTTATTGGATTTAACGCATTGATCTTTTAGTCCCTAAAATAATCTGAAGTGTTTTACTTTAACGGATGAGACAGCAGCTGTGGAAATTGCACCCAACTTAACCCTTTTCCTTTTCTGTCCCTCTTTTCATCATAGTTACCCAGAGAATGGCGTGGTGGAAATGCAACCCTGTCATGTGCGGCCACGTGCCAGAACCCTGCTGAGGTGGGACCAGCTCGAGGTGGGCATGCTTGTGATGGTTAACTACAATATAGAGACGCCAGATGAGAGGGGCTTCTGGTTCGACGCTGAGGTTCAGACTCTAAACCAAACCTCCCGCACAAACAAGGAGCTTCGAGTCAAGATCCTTCTGGGGTGAGGATCTCTATGTGTGCTGCAGTGGAGTGATAGCTGATCCATTTCTGCAGGAAAGCTATCATCCAAGCACACTTTTTTTTCTTCTTTGTTGCTCACAAAGATGCTGGATATAACCTTGTCTCTCTAATGAAACATCTTTTGATTCTCATGTTCAATTTTCTCCTGCTTTTATCTTCCTCTCTTTGTGCTTTTCTTCAACTCTCTTTCTCTACCTCCCTTCAGAGGTCCCGGGGATATAATCGGAGACTGTAAAGTTCAATTTCTGGATGAGATCTACCAGGTGGAGAGGCCAGGAGCTCGTGCTCTCTCAGCTGCAGATGGACAGTTCAAACGTGAGCTAACACTCTCTGACAAATGTTTGAAGAACTCTCCACACCTTTGCTGCGAAATCATTCTAAAGCACTCAAACATTTGTTTCCAGGTAAGAGCGGGCCGGAGTGTAAGCACTGCAAGGCCGACCCTGACGCGGAATGCCGCTTCTGCTCATGCTGCGTGTGTGGCGGGAAGCAGGATGCTCACATGCAGCTGCTGTGCGATGAGTGTAACATGGCGTTTCACATCTACTGCCTCAACCCGCCACTGTCCACAATCCCGGATGATGAGGACTGGTGAGACATTCATCCTTCCTATATTCACAAGCACTCTAGATGGATGAATGGTGGACAGTACAGGGCTCGACAGTGCGACCGTTTCACTCGCATTTGCGACTAAAAAAAGATGTGTGCAAATTGTAAAATGTATTTAGGGGCACATGTGCGCATAGAAAAAATAAGCTGAGGCAACAGATGTTTTCTATATAAGTACCGCAGCGAAGTTGGTTTTAGGTTGGATATCCGACTCACTGTGGATCTACCGGTGTCTTCTCACTCTCCATAACCAGGAATAGCAATAGCAGTGCGGTTAAATCTACGCAGCATCCTTGCTGTCAACGTCGGGTGTTGAATAAGGGACCATCAATAAATTACCGGTTGATGTTCTCAGAAAAGGCTGTTTTCCTTTAATAGCTTCCATATCATGTGACCAATTGACCAAAAATTGATTTCAAATAATAATACAAAGGCTAGGCAATGAAACACACCTCTTAATTTTCCCTAATTTGTCCTCTGTATATTTAAAGGCAAATTTGGAACGTTTTCTTGAATAGCTTCCATGTCATGTGACCAAAAGACCTAAAATTGATTTCAAATAACAGTAGTTAGGTCAACCAATAAGACAAACATTTTTTGATGAATTTTCATTCTGCCCCTAAAGTTCTTTGTGCGCTCCTTACTTTTTCAACTTAGAAGCACATGTGCTCCTTGTGAAAAAAGTTAGTGTCAAGCCCTGCAGTATCAGCTTAGGTTTATCAGGGCAGTAATTGAGGGGTCGCTAATGTAATAATTGAAAGTCATGTCACAGGTATGAGGTTAGCTAATGTAGCAGCTATAATGTCTCAGCCGAAAAGAGACTTTGGTTGTGAAATCTTGGATATACTGAATATAAATGTTTATCCTACAATGTATTTTACCCCTACTTCAAAATGAAGTGTCTCAACCCTCATTTTACAGTTTCCTATATTGTCCAAGCTTTATCATGCAGAGTTCAGTTGCACCTCTTGATAAACTGGCACTGACAAAAACAATTTCCTCTCCTCCTGCCAGGTACTGTCCAACCTGTAAGAACGACACCAGTGAGGTAGTAAAGGCCGGAGAGAAGCTCAAAGCCAGCAAGAAGAAAGCAAAGATGCCTTCAGCAACAACTGAGAGTCAAAGGGACTGGGGAAAGGTGAGAGCTAAAGGCATCCACAGTTACACACACACACACACACACACACACAAAAACCAAAGAGACCAGCAGCTGAAAGAAGGAGAATTCACTATTAAGTCTGTGGACGGGACTAGTGTTCCTCTGAGTGTCTTGAAGTGTCTGCAATAACAAATTTAAAATGCCTGATCTTCAAATCCACACTATAAAGATTTCTGTGCAAGTGGAAGTCACTAACAGATTGTCTCATCGCTATTCTGTAACTTCTTAAAAACTAAAAAGCCAGACTTGACCCAAAAGAAGAAACACACTTCTTGTTCTTCTTCTGCAGTGTGCTGCACTTTTCTGTACAACTTCATTTGCATACTGATAGGGAGAGATGTTTTCTTCTGATGTTCAGTAACTGGTTCCAAGAGGCAGACTGGATTACTGCATGGTTTATTGATGGCAATATTTATGGTAGATAACAGCTGGGACATCTCATGAACAGAGAAGCAATGCAATGACAGTGACTCAGAACGGCCATGGCTTGAGAACGGCAAAATCTATATGTGTTCGCATCTCATCCTCATCGCAGCTGTGAGGGAAACATCTAGATCTCCTGAGAAAGAGAGGGGAACGTAGACTGTTCAGGATCGGACACTTAATCAGGTCGCTGTGTGGTCAAAGTATGTGGTCAGTAACTCATGTAACTGCAGCTCTATATTTGGTGTCTTATGCGATCAAAGACATGTGCTCACAAAGAGTTCATATTAATGCAATCACATATAAAAATGCTGTTGCGAAAGTAACATTAGGCAGAAATCTGAGTCTCTATTCTGGGAACAGTACACCTTAAAGTTTGTGATATTAATGTAACATAATTTAGTGTAACGAAGTTTGTGTGGACCAGAATCTCACAGTCCCCAACACAAATATTGACATTTCTGTCCTTGTTCGGCTCTTTATCTTCGCAACGCTTTACAACTGACACACCTATAAGCGTAAATGATGCACACATCAGAACTTTGTATGGTTGAAGTCACTTTCTGTGATCAGCATCTTAGATAGAAAATAGACTAAATAACCTGGATTGCAGGGCAAGATCCTTCTTTACCGACCTCTGTCAGAGATGGTTGGGATCTAGGAGCTCCTCAAGCTGCTCTCACATCTGTGCCCAGTAACTCTTATTCTTCCCAGGCTCACAAGACCAGCATCTACTTTGTGTACATCTATTTGGTGAAATTTGCTTAATAGATTGATTTGATAGGATCAGGTTGGCTCAGGCATTTTTTGGCTCTTGAGAACATTTAACCGTCATTATGGGATTTTGACCAATCAGAATCAAGTATTTATAGTACAGTATGGTATTCATTAAGCTTGTTTTTAGGCTGTATTGGCTAGATGAGATAGTGTTGGTTCGTTCCACTTCAGTAGGGCAACATAAGCTGTGATTCATAAAATAGCTCTATTGATAGTAAGTACTAAAAATATCGACTCATGCCATCCGGTCGATTTTTAGTAATCAGAGTTTCGGTGTCGAACAATTTCCTTTTGCGGCATAGTGATACTTGCACACGCGCAATCGAATATGCAGAGGGGTGAAGCGATTTTTGTCACGTGGACCAATAGGAGCAGAGTCTCTTTGCCATAGTATCAGAAATACACAAACATGGCGACGAGCTCATCTAGCAGCGAGGTGGAAGAAAAGAAAAGGAAAAAAAGAAAACAGCCTTCAAAAGTGCACAAAAAAGGATCGAAACGATGCTATATGCATCTATCATCTGTCCAGGGCAAAGACGTTCTCGAGTTTACAAGGACATGTTGGGAAACTTACAGAAGTAGTATTAGAAAGTGGCTTTCCCTACAGGGTGGGACGAGGGACCTTGCAGCAACTTATAAACATTGCGTAGATATCAGCTTTGACAATGTTCCTGATGACTCTGGGTATCACATTCCATGCTACCAGCGATTTATTTGCAAAAGGCGTTTGAGTTTGGCCGAAAGGAGACAAGAACGTGATGCAGCCGCGGGTCAGTCCAACCCTTCAGCCAGCATCGCCGGTGCATCCTCGTCCACGGCATCTGAAACTCCACGAAAGAAACTTCGCTCGAGGTCAGGGTCGCCAGTACCTTCAGCCGGCCCTGTTCTTCCAGCGTTGTGCATTATTTGCAAAAAAGTGGAAAAGCTGATTCCTGTGGCTGGCAAACGACAAAGGGATCAACTCACACGAGCCGAGACACTGACTGCAGGTAAGCCCCCCACACACACTATTTGTCATTGATTTTGCATGTGCTGTTTCTATATGTTGTACATTCCATTCAGTTACTTCACACACTACTTGATGTGCTGTGTTTGAGCATAAGGGCTGGGGGGATGCTCTCCTTTTGTTCTCAATGTAAGGGGGGGGGGGGGCGGGGGTCTTCTGTTCAAGTCAAAAATGTTAAGTTAACACTTATAATGTGTGGGCTGCAACTAGTGCTGGGCGATATGGAAAAAAATGTATATCACGATATGGATCATTTTATATCACGATAACGATATATATCACGATATAGCTATGGTATGCTTTCAGTTCTATGAAAAATTCAAGTGTATACAGCTGCACTAGTACAGTACCAGTACAAGAACAGCACTTAAAGTAGAAAAATGAATAAATAAATACGTGGCTGAAGTGCGTTCATGTCTGTGCTCACCCAAAGTTATGCAACACTCACAGAAAACGCAGATAGTGTGAGCCAAAGCACTCCATAATAATAATAATAATAATAATAATAATAATAATAATAATAATAATAATAAATTTAATTTGTAATGCACTTTACATTTACAAAAAATCTCGAAGTGCTACAGTACACAGTAAAAAAAAGGGCAGCAACAATAAAAAAAGCAATAGAATGACAGTCACAGATTGGCATAAAAAAAGAATTAAAAAAAATAAAAAATATAGTTGCAATGTAAGAGGCAAGGTAGTAAAAGCATAGAGGAAAACTAACCTAAGGCTTTATTAAAAAGGTAGGTCTTTAGGGCTCTTTTGAAGAGGTTGTTCACACTGCTAGATGTTTCTCCTCCAAAGCTGCTCTCTGCCTCCATCATTGTTTACTTTACTCTTGAAGCACGTAGCAAGACCCGAGCATGAATCCGAGCGCTTTATTCGCCTATCAGGGGCAGACAGGTAAGGTGATTTGATTCGCCACGACTCCAGAAATGATTGAAAAACTACAGAATGTCACAAAATTACGTTTCCTCGCTGCTGGCTTGAAGGGTAGAAATGCGCAGCCGCGCTCCCAGCTGACAGGAAGTCAAACCACTGTTGTAGTTCTTTTGTGTTGCTAGCGCGGTCAAGAGTGTTGGCTGTCACTGAGAGATGACTACAAAAATGGACGCACCTGTTCATCTGGTTGTTAAACACGGCTGAAAATGATCATCTTTTAATGTTGTCCCCGCTCCTGCCCACTCCCGTTGCTTTTTTTCCCGTCCCGTCCCGATCAAAGGATTAATTAAAAAATGACTCCCATCCCGCGGGAATCACGTGACCCACAGGAATTCCCGAAAAATGTCATCCTCTACAGGGAAGGTCCCGGAGCAGATGAAACAGGTGCCGGAGCGGCTGAAATAGGTCCCGGATCGCGCTCCGACTTGCTCCGGCAAAAATTAAGCACTGCTTACAATGATCCCCTCACGTGTGTAACCCAGGTAACCCACAACGGCGGGAGACGCTGGACACGAAGAGGGCACGTAAAGCGGCGTCATGTCGCAAAATCGAAAGAGAAATGCGAGCCTACATGTCAACGCATCCTTTTCTTTTTAAGAAAATATTGTTTTCTTTCCCGTTCGACACCAAATACACTTACTGAATGTGCAATTATTGTTGTTGTTACTATGAATCATCTGATGGCACAAGCCCTATGGATTAAATACAGCCTATCGCCCGAAACGATAAAAATAAAAATGGCACGATAGACATTTTCTATCGTGCCCACGATATCTATCGTCCTATCGCCCAGCACTAGCTGCAACTGTGATGTAGTGTTCTGGTCTGTTTGGTAAGGGAGATGTACAGAATACAGATAGAGACCAAGTCTGTAGTCCTTTGATGAACTTAATTTACATTATTATATTAAATTGCTTTACAGCAAGGAGGGGAAGGGGGAATTTTGTGTCTAAGGGGGGGGTGGGGGGGGGTTGATAGGAGTGGAATGCAGGGCTTTCAGGTCAGCAGGCCACTACTGCCAGCCCACAATAAATGCAGATTTATGGCTGTGCAAGAGAGAGGTCTTTTGTAGTCATCATGGCAAAACAAACCTCTGTCATTGTGTTATTTACAGCTCTTACCACATACACACACATGCACACACATACAGCATTTGGTGTACTGATTTTTGTTTATATGTTTTATTAAAGGCAGGTTGCTGAAGGCTGCTGAATTGAAGGAAGACTCCAGCGTGCTTTTGCATATTAAAGACAAAGACTGTGTGGCCCAGGAGGTGCGGTACCACCGGTCCTGTTTCAGACACTACACAAGGTTTTTGACAAGGCCTGCAATCCAAGATGAAGCGTGAGTTATTACAATGCATTAACGTTTTCTTACACATTGCACATTTCAAAATGAGGCATTGACAAACAACATTGTTTAACTGTAAATCCAAAGGAGTAAACAATCTATAAGCTTACAACACATCACCTTGTAGGCTTGTAGATCTACTATTTCTGTTATTTTTAAAATTGAATAAGTGTGAAGATATAAATATGAAGATGATGCGAAAAAATGTGTTGAGAAATAATTTTGATTGTATGATTATGTAAATGATGATTATGTAAATGTGACATGACAACAACTGTTTACACATGGTGTGTGTGTGTGTTTTCAGAATTGAAACAACCTTCGCTGACAGCTACAAGTTCTTCTGTGAGACTGTCATCCGTCAAAGGATTATAGTTAACCAGGAAGTGCTGAAAATGAACCAGCTACAAAACACATTTGTGAACATAGTGAAGCATCAAGAGGGTCTTGATGCTTCAGGCTACAGGTAAATGAAATACCATGTGTGTCTCTGACTGTTCTTGGAAATCAAAAAAGAAAAGAAAAAGTACATACCACAAAGTTAATTGTTGTTAATTTACTCTCTCACAAAAAAGGGTACTCGTATGTGTATATATATATATATATATATATATATATACATACACTCACCGGCCACTTTATTAGGTACACCTGTCCAACTGCTCGTTAACACTTAATTTCTAATCAGCCAATCACATGGCGGCAACTTAGTGCATTTAGGCATGTAGACATGGTCAAGACAATCTCCTGCAGTTCAAACCTAGCATCAGTATGGGGAAGAAAGGTGATTTGAGTGACTTTGAACGTGGCATGGTTGTTGGTGCCAGAAGGGCTGGTCTGAGTATTTCAGAAACTGCTGATCTACTGGGATTTTCACGCACAACCATCTCTAGGGTTTACAGAGAATGGTCCGAAAAAGAAAAAATATCCAGTGAGCGGCAGTTCCGTGGGCGGAAATGCCTTGTTGATGCCAGAGGTCAGAGGAGAATGGCCAGACTGGTTCGAGCTGATAGAAAGGCAACAGTGACTCAAATAACCACCCGTTACAACCAAGGTAGGCAGAAGAGCGTCTCTGAACGCACAGTACGTCGAACTTTGAGGCAGATGGGCTACAGCAGCAGAAGACCACGCCGGGTGCCACTCCTTTCAGCTAAGAACAGGAAACTGAGGCTACAATTTGCACAAGCTCATCGAAATTGGACAATAGAAGATTGGAAAAACGTTGCCTGGTCTGATGAGTCTCGATTTCTGCTGCGACATTCGGATGGTAGGGTCAGAATTTGGCGTCAACAACATGAAAGCATGGATCCATCCTGCCTTGTATCAACGGTTCAGGCTGGTGGTGGTGGTGTCATGGTGTGGGGAATATTTTCTTGGCACTCTTTGGGCCCCTTGGTACCAATTGAGCATCGTTGCAACGCCACAGCCTACCTGAGTATTGTTGCTGACCATGTCCATCCCTTTATGACCACAATGTACCCAACATCTGATGGCTACTTTCAGCAGGATAATGCGCCATGTCATAAAGCTGGAATCATCTCAGACTGGTTTCTTGAACATGACAATGAGTTCACTGTACTCAAATGGCCTCCACAGTCACCAGATCTCAATCCAATAGAGCATCTTTGGGATGTGGTGGAACGGGAGATTCGCATCATGGATGTGCAGCCGAGAAATCTGCGGCAACTGTGTGATGCCATCATGTCAATATGGACCAAGCTCTCTGAGGAATGCTTCCAGCACCTTGTTGAATCTATGCCACGAAGAATTGAGGCAGTTCTGAAGGCAAAAGGGGGTCCAACCCGTTACTAGCATGGTGTACCTAATAAAGTGGCCGGTGAGTGTATATACATATCAGTGGCGGCTGCTGGTCTTTCAAGGAGGGGAAGCTCATTTTTCTGGCCTTCATCATAATTGTGTTTGTTTATTTGTATGTAGAGTCGCCAAACACAACGGCAGTCGTTTTAAACAAAGACAAAAGTCGCTGAGGATCGGTAAGGTCTCCGGAGCAGTTAAGAACAACGGAATGAATAACTTGGAAAATGCTCAGGTAGATGTTTTATTCTTCAAGATCGCTGATTCGCTTGTTTAGCTGTCAATCAAAAAAGGATTTCGCCTCAGACAGCTCATCCAATCATGGATGCAGAAGCTCAGCGTCCGCGAGAAGTTGGGACCGCCCTCTCGTCATAGAACTCCAGAGATGCTGAGCGTCCGATGGGCGGGACAAAGCCCAGCATTTATCCAATGAGTGTCTAGTTTCGCTGCTGGAACAACCCACTTTGAGCTTCCACATTGAAGTCAGCAGAGGCTGAGCGTCCGGCTGTGTGAAGCGCTGAGGCGCTGCGAGGATGAATGAGAACGAAGTTATGCCGGTTACCTGTGATTATCAGCTTCTTATCACAGTGTGATAAGAAGCTGATTCTGAACAAAAGATGAAGGCTTTCTAGTGCGTATTTAGTTAATGAAATGTACACACAGCAGTACGTATTTTACCACTTTTTCTTTTTTTGGGGGGGTGACATTTTAAGGGAAGCTGAGCTTCCCTTGCAGTCTTAGAGCAATCGCCACTGATATATACTGTATATATATATATATATATATATATATATACACTGTGTGCAGAATTATGAGGCAAGTTGTATTTTTGAGGATAAACTTTATTTTTGAACAACTGCAGTGCTCTTGGTCAATCCAAAATGTTAATAAACCTCAAACCTGAATATTTAAGGGAGTAAAAGTGAGATTTTGGCTTCCTTAGGAGAATATCTATGTGTGCACAATTATTGGGGGCAGCTATTAGTGTGCAGAATTATTATGCAACTAAATTGAAAATTAAAAATTTTCCATCTCACTTGTTTATTTTCACTTGTTAAAGTGAGAATGATAAACAAACAACTCAATTTACAAATAAAAATTGTTGAAATTAAAAAAAAAAAATCAGTGACCAATATAGCCACCCTTCTTTTCATTAACAGTCATAAGCCTTTCATTCATGGAGTCTTTCAGTTTCTTAATCTGTTGACGATCAACTTTTTGTGTTGCAGCAACCAAAGCCTTCCAGACACTGTTCCAGACACTGTTCAGAGAGGTGTACTGTCTTCCTTCACTGTAAATTTCCTGTTTAAGAAGGGCTCAGAAGTTCTCAACAGGGTTTAGGTCGGGTGAAGAAGGAGGCCATGTCATTATTCTTTCGTTTTTAAGGCCTTTACTGGCGAGCCATATAGTGGAGTACTTCGTTGCATGCAATGGAGCATTGTCCTGCATAAAAATCATGGTTTTCTTGAAAGATGCAGACTTTTTCCTCTACCACTGCTTGAAGAAAGTGTCTTCTCAAAACTGGCAGTGGATTTGGGAGTTGATTTTAAGTCCATCTTCAACTCGAAAAGGTCCAGCTAGCTCATCTTTAATAATACCAGCCCATACCAGTACCCAGCCTCCACCTTGCTGGTGTCTGATTCAAAGTGGAGCTCTGTGCCCATTACTGATCCAGCCACGGGTCCATCCATCTGGTCCGTCAAGAGTCACTCTCATCCCATCAGTCCATAAAACCTTTGAAAAACCTCTCTTCAGATATTTCTTGGCCCAGTCTTGACGTTTCGACTTGTGTCTTGTTCAGTGGTGGTCAGGTTTCAGCCTTCCTTACTTTGGCCATGTCTCTGAGCACTGAACACCTTGTGCTTCTGGGCACTCCAGGTAGGTTGCAGTTCTGGAATATGACAGCACTGGAGGAGAAGCGATTCCTGGTAGCTTTACGTTTGAGTCTTCTCAAATCTTTGGCAGTTAATTTGCGTCTTTTTTTCTTAACACATTTCTTGCGACCCTGTTGACTATTTGCATCAAAATATTTGCTGGTTCTGTGATCACGCCCAGATATATAAGCAATTTCAAGAGTGCTGCATCCCTCTGCAAGACTTTGTACATTTTTTGACTTTTCAGAGTCACTTAAATCTCTTTTTTGGCCCATTTTACCTGAGGAAAAGAAGCTGCCTAATAATTATGCACACCTTGATATAGGCTTTTGATCTCCTTAGGCCCCAGCCTCCCTCATTACACTAATACACATTACCTGATGTGCTTATATCCAATAAGCATTCAAGTTTATACAGCTTGGAGTTGGAAAATATGCATAAAAATGATTATATGATCAAAATACTCACTTGCCTAATAATTGTGCACACAGTGTATATATATACATACATACATACATATATATATATATATGGACACAAGCACAGACACACACACTTGTTCTCATCTTCTCCTTTTGTGTTTCAGGCTGGATCTACTGAAAAGCCGGTTGATGCGTGACTTCCCCCAGCTCATTTTTCACTGCCCTGTGAAGAGAAACATCTGTGAACTTGTTTTTGTTGAGACACTATCAGCAGATAGACTATTAGACAAGCTACCACAACAGTCAGGTACATCTACTAAGTCCACTGAGGTAAGCCATGCTGAAAGCCAAACTGAAAGTGACAGTGAACACATGGCCAGCACAACATCTGGACAGGATACTGCTGAAGTCACAAGGACACTGTATAGAGCAGGACTGATCTTGAAGAGGCTTCTAAGTGAATCTCCCAGTATGACATGCCCCTGGCCTCCCACCGCTGACGATTTAAATGTATCTAATGCTCAATCTGTTGTGCCAGTTGAACTGTATAATCTAATTGCCCGGATTATAGGGGCAGCAGAAGAACCAACAGTAGGGTGTTCTGTTAATATTCCTGAAGATGTTAAGCTTAAAGTTTTATCTGTTTGTCAAGACATTGTCTACCTTACATCTAAAGGTCGTAAGTAGACACCAAAGTCATTGTGCCTTGGTCTAACTGTACACCATTTAACAGGTTCATCGAATCTTCTGTCACTACTAAGTAGACTAGGACATTGCGCGTCATGGAACACAGTTCTCAGTCTAGACACTAGTCTAGCAGAACTACAACTACTAGAGACCAGAGACAAAATCCCAAAGGGATTCTCAAAAAAGGTGCCTACAATACTGGTGTGAGACAACATTGATTTTGGGGAGGAGACACTGTCCGGTGGTGGAACTACTCACCATACAAATGGCATTATGGTTTAAAGTTGCTCAATCAAGGACAGACAGACAGCCACTAAAGAAGGCAGTTTACACATTCAAAGCACCTCCTAGCTTCCCTGTAGAACACTACCAACAGTCTAAAAGACAAGGGCCACAGAACTTGTTTCACCAAGAAAGTGTACCATTGGAGCAGGAAACATACAGGTTGAATACTGTGTCTGCTGCCAAAACTGAACTGGCATATGCTTTATTAAAGTACGAAGATGCTGAAGCATGCACAGTGCCAAGCTGGACAGGTCTCCATACAATGCTTCAAAGTGATGTGACTTTGCAATAGTCAGCACTGTATTACCTTCCTGTCATTGAGGCTTCACCAACAGAGATGTCAACTGTTAACACAACTCTGAAGAGAAGTGTTGAAATTGCTGATGCCAAAGCTCAACAAATCCGCTGGAATAATGATGAGTTCACAAAGTGTCTAGTTATTAGACTAGGTGAGTTTCATACATCCATGTCCTTCCTAGGTATTTTAGGAAAAAGGTTTGGTGATGCAGGATTGCAAGTTGTACTCATTGAGTCAGAAGTTGTTGCCCCAGGATCCATCAATGGGGTGATCAGTGGTCATCAATACAACCGCAGCATGAGGGCACACAAACTTATGTATGAGAGTCTGCAATGCGCCAGACACCACAGGAGAGAGATGAGTGCATACATGTCATCAGTGAGATCAAAGACACATTCCCAGACAGAATAACAGATGTTTTGTGTGGACATGAGAAATTTGATCAGTTGTGTTCAAATTACGCTGTCTTTGTGGAGAAGAGAAGTGCAGAAAACCCAACGTTTGCCTTCTGGACTTCCTACATTGACATGGTGCACTTATTCCTTCTGTTTGTGAGAGCAACACGCGAATCAGACTGGCAGCTTCACCTGTCAACAGTGCGTTTGATGATGGCATGGTTCTTAACTTATGATCGTGTGAACTATGCTAGGTATTTGCCTCTGTACTGGCTGGAAATGGTCAATTTGCCTTACACACATCCCTCTTGTCACAAAGATCTCGCTGTGAGAGGCCAGTGGACAGTCCAACGACAGAGTGCCCATGGATCTGCCTCAGTTGCTTGTGACCAGGCTATTGAGCAAACATGCAACAGAGATTCCAAGACAAAGGGTGGCTTGATAGGGATAACACAGAATAGGGCTACAGTGTCCCGCTGGATATTGTCACAACATGAAAGAGCTGCCATAGCTGGACAATGTGAGTCAATGGCTGGTATATCTCATGAAACACATAGACGAAAAGATCTAGACAGCACACGGATTCAGGTAATGAAAAGGCTGTGACCAGAATAAGTTCCACCATAGATTCCATGCTAAACCCATTTGCCATACACCAAGATGGCATTGTTTGTCTTAGCTTAGGGACAATAGCAGCTGAAGATGTCCAGAAAGATTTGCTTGGAGTACAAGAAAGGGGGGGAAAAGCAGTCAAAGAGTTTATAGACAAAAGACTGTTGTTAAAGTCAGTTGACATATTCGCCCCCATCAAGGCACAAAAACTGAAGACCTTCAGTGACCAGGCAAGAACAAAAAAAAAATCTGCAGCTGGAAAAGATGTGATTCTGCGTGCAGACAAAAAACTGTTCTCGAGACTACTCATTATTGGTCAGAGTAGGAAGATAGACCTGAGGGAAATTCCTACTCCTTGGGAACAGTTTCATATCCTTTAGCCAGTACTGATGGGTCACTAGCCAAAACAGACAAATCAGCTCTGATGAATCTATTGGAGGACAAAGGTGGAGACTGCTTAGTTCGAGAAGTTCCATCAGATGGAGCTATTCTCATTGATGGCATGGCAGTCATTCAAGCCATTCATTGGAGACCAGCTACCTTCGGAGAGCTGACTGATAACGTAGTACAGCACATGGTCAAGCTCGCTCTGCAGCACAAGTGTACACGGATAGACTTTGTCATTGACCAATATCCAAAAATTAGTTTTAAAAACCCAGAGCGGTCACGCAGAGCTGGGGGCGGTACACAGCAGGAGCAAATATATGGACGGGATCAGAAGGCACCAACACAATGGAAAAAGTTTCTATCAGACGGAACAAACAAAGCAGTGCTTACAGAATTCCTCTATGTTGCATGGCGAGATGCAGACCTTACCGTTCTGGGCAGGGACTTAAGCTTGTACATAGCACATGGGGAACTGTGCCACTGTGTAACTGTGAAAGAGGGTTCACAAACTGTCAGTGCTGTTCAAGAATTGACGTGTGATCATGAAGAAGGCGACACTAGGGTGTTTTTACATGCACAGCATGCTGCACAAGAACATCAAACTGTCGTCATCAAAAGCCCTGATACTGATGTGACAGTGATTGCTGTAAGTCTGCAGAGAGATTTACAGTGTAGATTGTATTTTTTCACTGGAGTAGGCAACAAAACGAGGATCATTGATGTGGCTAAGGTGTCAGCAGCTCTTGGCACCAGTGTTTGTTCAGTACTCATTGGCATCCATACGTTCACAGGTTGTGACTCGACCAGTGCCTTTCATGGCAAGGGCAAAAGAAAAACATTTTCTGTTGCTTGTCAGAAAGAAGACTACCTGACTGGGTTTGCAAATCTGGGCAACAGTTTTAACCTTGACCAATCCACCTTCAACACACTGAGTAATTATGTGTGCCACCTGTATGACCAGTCATCTGCCAAAAATGTCAATGACGCCAGATACAAATCTTTCTGCATGGCCTCATCAGCTCTGCCAGAACTGTCCATTCCCTCAACAAGTGACGCCCTGTACCAACACTGCATGAGGGCAAACTACCAAGCAGCAGTGATGAAACATTCTCTGACTGGTAAAATGTGTGCCCCTTCACCCATTGGCAGTGGGTGGCACATTGAAGATGGGGAGTTGGCAGTGACGTGGATGACTACAAATCCTGCCCCTGATAGTGTTCTGCAGATAGTCCACTGTAGTTGCAAGACAACGAAATATGAGACTGAATGATGTTCTTGCATGTCTGCAAGACTACCTTGCACAGATTTATGTTGGTGCCAAGCATGTGAGAATGCTTCAAAGGAAACAGAAGAAAGAGTGATAGTGATGCATAATATATGCACAATGTCACCATGCCAAGGATTGCTACACCATTTGTGTTTTGATCTTTATTTTGTAAATAAATGTAAGATGTTTTGACGCTGTGAATAAATGTTTTATACCATATTTTGAATTGATTCAGACCCTTTGTGCATTTATTTTTGTCTTGTTACATTTTTTTTCATTATTCCAATTTTCGGGGGCGTGGTAGCAATTTGATTGACTTTCAGACATTTATGGCCATGATGTGCTGTTTATATTTTATTGCTTTTATTACAAAGTAGGTTTGTCATTTTTATGTATGGAACATAAGCTTTTAGCTTAATTTACTGTATATATTTCATTGTGCTGGGTGCAAATCACTTGAGTTGAGACGTTTTCTTCAAGAAATTTGCTACCTGTCATAATCTGAATTCACTTATGGTATACTAAGGCACCAATAACTGTTTCAGATGTCAGGTAGATGTATTTATGACATTTGAGAAAGATTTTGTCTTGCCAGAATCAACATAGCAGTTTCTACAAGCAAAAACAGCATCACCATATAATTGCTTTTTGGGTTACTCACATATACGTACATTTCTAGCTGGTGACAAAAGTCGGACAGATAGTCTGATTAGATATTTTAACCCAAAGTCCAGAATGGTATTGTCTATGCAAAAATGCATTGAACAAGTAGCACCAGCGTAGTTGAACAAAATTCACTTTCTAGGCACTTTTTCCTTTGTCCCAATACAGCTTATGATCTCGAGCGAAATTTCTTTCGCGGAGTTTCTGATGCCGTGGACGTGGATGCATCGGCGATGCTGGGTGAAGGGTTTGACTGACCCGCGGCTGCATCACGTTCTTGTTTCTCAAACGCCTTTTGCAAATAAATGGCTGGTAGCACGTCATGTGAAACCCAGCGTCATCAGGAACATTGTCAAAGTCGATATCAACGCAAAGTTTATAAGTTTCTGCAAGGTCTTTTGTCTCACCCTGTAGAGAAAGACACTTTCTAATACTACTTCTGTAAGTTTCCCAACGTGTCCTTGTAAAGTCGAGAACGTCTTTGCCCTGGACAGATGACAGATGCATATAGCATCGTTTCGTTCCTTTTTGTGCACCTTTGAAGGCTGTTTTCTTTGTTTCCGTTTCTTTTCTTCCTCCTCGCTGCTCGATGAGCTCGTCGCCATGTTTGTGTATTTCTAATACTATGGCAACGAGACTCGGCTCCTATTGGTCCACGTGACAAAAATCGCTTCACCCCTCTGCATATTCGATTGCGCGTGTGCAAGTATCACTACGCAAAAGGAAATAGTTCGACACCGAAACTCTGATTACTAAAAATCGACCGGATGGCATGAGTAGATATTTTTTTTTAGTACTTACTGTCAATAGAGTTTTTTTTATGAATCACAGTTTATGTTGCCCCACTGAAGTGGAACGAGATTCACTTTCTAAGCACTTTTTCCTCTGTCCCAATACAGCCTATTTTCATGCAGCACACGTATATTTCATTCCTTTAACCTTATTAAAACTTGTTTGTTGTTCAGTATCTTTTATATGTTTAACATTTATCATCTCATTTACTGAATCTGAGATGATTTGTTGTTGCATATGAAGAATTTGAGCACCTCTTTGAGGCTCAGTGAAACATTGCCAGAGCGGACCACAGCTTTTTCTTTTTTACCAGGTAAAAAATAATTCATATTGACATCATTTTGCAAAGTGTTTGTGAAACTATACTACATTAATACCATACTTGATTTTTTAAATTCCAGTATTGATTTGAAAGCTTTGCTTGATTCATCATAGTATCTTTCTCAATGTCAAAATAACATTCACCGTCCTTTCTCGGTAAAAAGTGAAAATGATCTCATGCGAGCAGCAGAGGCAGAAAATGAGATAATAAGATAGCTGACATGAATTTTAAATAGTTTCCTCTAAAAGCATCTGTTTCTAGCATACTGTTCAATGTTTTCCCTCTAAATCCCCTCAGAGTCTCCTCGTGGCTAAACTTTGAGATAGTGTCTGCTGGCCTGGCTGACGCTCTGCTCCATGGTGTAATGTGAACAATACCATTAAGCATGACTCTGCCACTTTCCTGGAACTGCCAGTGGAAAAATAACTCATTTCTTTACCAGAATGCTCCGGACTAATTGAAAACAGTTTTGCTTGTGTGTTCAAGCAATTTAAATACGCACTTTTCACATTATCTCAATTTAAAATGCTTAAAATACTTTGACTATTACTCACCATTTTTGGAAAAGGCACAGCTAATAAATGGGACACGGAAGGATCTTTAGTCGGGTCAGGGCTTGATTTGATTTTGCAAATTTTACTCTCAGATGAAGCATTTGATCTCCTGCTTATATTTATTGGAATTCAATCTCAAAGTGTGTGTTGTCCTTCTTGTTGTGGTTTCAGGGTATGGCTTGTGTGGGGCGTACCAAGGAGTGCACAATTGTTCCTTCAAACCACTATGGACCCATACCTGGTGTCCCTGTTGGAACCACCTGGAAATTCAGAGTTCAGGTAACCTTTTAACAAGGAGGCACATCATATAAGTTTGTCTCTAGGTCTTTTTTATTTATTTAAAAGCTAATATTTTACCTTCTTTTGTTGTATTTAATCTATTTATTTACTTTTCTTTGCTTAATTTTTCACTGTTTCAGGTGAGTGAAGCTGGTGTTCACAGGCCACATGTAGGTGGTATCCATGGACGCAGTAACGATGGCTCTTATTCGCTGGTGTTGGCTGGCGGCTTTGAGGATGAAGTGGTAGGCTGTTTGTTTATTAAGTCATCATCAGTGGAGTTCGCTCTATATTGGGCGATCACTTTTTAATGGTTCTGGTTTCCTGTAGGATCGGGGAGATGAGTTCACGTACACGGGCAGCGGCGGTCGGGATCTCTCAGGAAACAAACGGATTGGAGAGCACTGTTTTGACCAGACCCTGACACACATGAACAGGTGTGTTACTTCAGAGGAGACCTATAATACTCATTTTCACCTTCATAATATAAGTTTGAGACACATGAGACACACATTTTTCATCTTATACTGGTATCCATGAAAACCCTCATTTTAGCACTATTTAGCCACTACCTCAAAAGTTGTTTTGGCTGCTTTTCCTGTGATATAAAGTCAGAAACAGCTCGTGGGTGTTACCTTTTACACAGCTTGTGGTCGCGAAATCACTTGCAAATTTTGCCTTTACAGAAAACCTCTAAAACTAGCAGTTAGTATCCACATTATCCTTATTACCATACGCCCCCTGTTGTTACCTTAGCTGCTGTTGTTATCACAGCTTGTGTGGAGCCTGAAAGAAAGGTCTTTATTGACGGAACAGCTCCAGGCTTCAGTAACAGTTTAGGTGCAGATCCAGCTGGAGTTGCCCTTTATCTACAGAGGAGTGATTGGTGATACTTCTTAGTTCTTCATTTATTTAAAACATCTGAACCTGTTCATAAATGTGTTGTATTGTTGTCCTTTAAGTTGCACATCAGTTTAATGTCAATGAGGTCTTTAAATCTTGTATTTATTTCTAAAATATAACGTAAATAGAAAATGAAACAAAGTTCTGAAACTTAAATATAAAACTCACTTGAGTGACCATCTTCTCAACCTCAATCCTTTACCAATGAGACACGAACATCCCTTTTCATTCTTCTATCATGTAAATAACTTTCCTTTTTGTTTAAAACTGATGTTATTTGACTCTTCCAGGGCGTTGGCTTTAAACTGCGATGCGCCTCTTAATGACAAAGACGGCGCAGAGTCGAGGAACTGGCGGGCAGGGAAGCCGGTGAGAGTGGTGCGCAGCTCTAAAGGTCGACGTATCAGCAAATATGCTCCTGAAGAGGGAAACCGCTACGATGGGATTTACAAGGTACAGAGGAGTTAATTTGTGATGAGTTAATCTTTGAATGTCGAGGCTTAGAATATAAAGACTCTGTTACCAGTACGGAACAATACATAAAATCATGGTAATGTGTCAGAAATGTAGAGTAGTGTGGTGTGGTCATATAAAGTGTTACATTGGTTTCTAGCTTGAAGGGTTTCTCCTGAGGTATTCTGCCAAATGAATTTATACACTTTTATTTCTCCCCAAATATCACATATACTCTTCATTGTGGTGATGTTTTTGTTTTCTGTATTCTTTGCATTCTTGGCTTGACAAAGATTTACAAATATTTAACCTTCAACAGTTCAAGCTTCAGAATAGAAAGAGTCACGGTTAAACTTTTCAGCGGTTTGAGATGTTCTGTTTGCATTTTTACAGACTTCTCTTTCGTGTTCCTGCTTTTTGGCTTCCAGTGGGATTTTCCACTGCAATATTAAGAGTGGCCTCAAAGCAACACTAGAGGCGGGTTGAGTGGCAGTGACATATCCAGGTCTGCTTGTTAAGTTCATGTCCTCATCACTTGGAGGCCTGCAGGACTCAGATTTGTCACACGCATCAGACTCCAAAACATAACAACTCGTTAACTATACAAGAAACCTTGCCACAGCGTCTGAGTTTGTGCAGGATTGTTTACAGCACCTCTGGAGCTCTTGAGCTGAAGAATTTAACGTTTTCTGTTTTTTTTTGTAAAATTTCAGGTGGTAAAGTACTGGCCAGAGATCGGAAAGTGCGGTTATCTTGTGTGGAGGTATCTGCTAAGACGGGATGATATGGAACCAGCACCGTGGACACCTGAAGGACTGGAGAGGATCAACAAACTAGGCCTTGCTATTCAGGTTGGGTGCTATTTTTTCTCTTTTCAGATACAACAGATTACGGGTACAACGGTTATCTGTTCACTTAATCTTCAGGTCTCCCCCACTGTGTCTCCACAGTACCCACCAGGTTACTTAGCAGCCATGGCTAACAAATCACGAAAGGAGGCCTGTGCCAGACCGGGTCGCGGAGGCCGGACTAAGCACTATCCTGGTAGGGGGAGGCCGAGGAGACAACGCAAGATCAGAGAGAAAGAGGAGAATGACGAGGACGAGGAGGATGAGCAGCTGATGCCTCCGATGGATGATGAAGAGCCCCAGAGTAACGGAGAGGAGAAGACAAACAGAGAATGCGGTGGGTGCTTTTACAGATGGAGTTCAGAGCAGGTCAGACGAGGTGTTGTGAGAAAAGGAAAGGTGAGGACAGCGTAAACAGTGAAACTACCCTAAGACAGCTATAAATACTTCACACTTTATCACTATAAACTCCACCAGCATCGTATTTTTTTCTCACTCACCTCCAATGCCTTCTTTTTTCAGTCGTATTTGTGTGTCTTTTACAGATACACCACCTGCAGCAGAGCCTCCCTCCAAGCGCATGAAGGTAGAGGAGGCGTTCCAGCTGTCAGAGCAGCAGAAGACGCTGATCCAGGAGGACACAGCCAACAAAAAACTCTGGGATGAAGCCATGGAGAACCTGAAGGAAGGACCAGTATGATTTTCTTTCATTTCTGACACTGTGACACCGCACACACTTCTCAACAAACCTTTTCAAAATCTCATAAAGTTATTCTTCTGCTATCTTAAAACAGTGTGGAAGTGCCGCAGATAAAGTGTCATGGTAGTAAAACAGGGGCAGCATTGAGTGTCTGGTTTTGATTGGCAGCAAATGGCAGGAAACAAGAGCCAAAGTAAACAAATTTGTGTAGGTTTATGTCACTGATGGATAGTTGAATGTCAGGAGTAATTTTGAGTAAAAGAACCAAAGTCTAACTGAACAGACTTTATGTTATTTCATTTACGGCTGCATGGTTTCTGATTGATCACAGAAGATAGCGTTTATTACTGCAGCAGAGCTTTTTATTTAAAGTTTGACTCAAAGTTTCTGCTTCGTTCACTGACTTTGAGACTTCTCTTTCTTCACTTTTGTTTGAAATCTTGTGAAAATGAATGAGTGGTATCACTAGCATTTTCTCAAAGGAATAAGGCAGCTGTAAGTAATACATAAACTGTTAAACAAACCTGTGATGAGTTGCAAAACATAGCTGTGTTGGAGACTTGTTTCTGATTGACCAAAACCATACCAGCAATAACCTGATCACAGATATCGTATCAAATCAAACTGCCTGTTGACTTTTTGGCAAAGACTCGGGGGGTCAGATTACCAATTAATCGGCCAATTTTTGAATTCTTTTATGAAGTTATAAAAAATATCTATATTTACTGTAGATATCTACAGTATACTTTATACTCTAGATATCTACAGTATACTATATTATACTGTAGAGTTACTGTAGGCTACTGCTCTTCACGCCGACACAAAGACCAACTGATCAAACTTGGACCAGAAAAGCGTTTTCAACTACTACCCCCCACCCCCTGCCGATCGGTGCCTCTGCGTCTTAACTCACATTACTCATTTCCGGTCCGGTCTCATCTGGAGACATACAGCTGCCTCAGTAAGAGAAGTAGCTCGATCACATAATGTGTACTGTTGTTTATTCTACTGTTACTGGCACGGCTAACAGTGTAGCAAGGCTAATAGCAGGTGGCTAACTCTAACTTTAGCTTGCATATTACATGGTGTTTCACCGTTAACTCGGCGTGACCGAGACCAGCACAGCGGGGAACACCGTGAAGTGGGCTGAACTGAAACTTGTTGACTTATTGTGTACTTCACAAACTGGTTTATTTACCGTTGAGGTGGACCTCTCTCCTCTGTGCGTCCCTGAGCTGCCTGCTTCAGATCCGTCACTCTGCTGTGCTGTGAGGTAGTTAGTGGATGAAGATTGTCATGAGGTCGCTGCGCCATCTACAGGATAAGTTGGGGAACTTTTCAAATGGCGGGAAGTGAAATTGAATCTTATTCTCCTCATTTTATTTCTGAAAATATTGGCGAAAATCGGCAAGTTTTGGACGATTGCCGATAAGTCTCAAATGGGCTAAAATTGGCCAATTTAATCGGCTCGCGATAAATTAGTTGGGCCCTTACAGAAACAGTGTTAACAGCTGCCTCATTTATCTTTAAAGGAGTGCGAACACTAAAGCTATTGGCTCAGATATTCCCGCAGAAGTCCAGATCAGCTTGTCTAATCATATCTTTAAGCTGGCTTTTTTGGCCTTTATTGACAGCTAAAGGACAGCAGATAATGCAGGAAGCAGGATAGAGAGCGGGGATTGACATGCAGTAAATTGGAAATTTCTGTTAAATCTAGTTTTAGTCCATTTTGGCTCCTCCTGTAAACAAAACAGTTAATGCTCTACATATTTCAGAATTTATTCCGGACAGAAGTCTCAATCTGCAGATTTTTTAGAAGTTAAATGTTTCGTTTATTGTATGTGTAAAAGGAAAACCAGGGCTGTCCTTAAAGCTACTTTGCAGACACCGAACCCCTCACACCAGTTTTAGATGCTAAAAACTACGATGTCAAAAAATCCACTTTTGTTATTGATGACCTTGTTTTCTTTTGTGTATCATAATTAAGCATTAGTAGAATTTCAGACTCTTTCATTAGAGTCAAAAATATCCTTACAGGAGCTTTAAATATAGTGTAATATAGTGCATCAACATGTTGTTCATTCTGTTTCTATTTGCATTCAACACAGCTCCTATACATCTTTGTAAACAATGTCTTATACATTTTCCTGTCCTTTTTTCCTTCCCCCCGTTTTCCTGATGATTTCTTTTGTGTGTGTGTGTGTGTGTGTGTGTGTGTGTGTGTGTGTGTGTGTGTGTGTGTGTGTGTGTGTGTGTGTGTGTGTGTGTGTGTGTCTGTTTTTGCTGCAAACATAAAAAGAACTTCCTGCGCAAGATGGAGCAGATCTTCATGTGTGTGTGCTGCCAGGAGCTGGCCTTCCAACCCATCACCACTGTCTGCTCACACAATGTTTGCAAGGTACTGAGAGGGTTTCTTTTTTTAGCAAGAGCACTTAACATTCAGCACTGTGCACCACACAGTGTCAGTATTATTACTGGTCTGTTATACCATTGCAAATAAAAGAAATGGAAATAAGAGTTGTGTTTAATTTTTGCAGTCTAGCTCTGACACAGACTTTTTTCCTCTCAAAGTAATACAAGCTTTACTTATTTACAAATGAACATGGGAAACATTCACCTAAGATGTTGCATGTGACAAAGGTTAAGGGAAAGCAATCTGGAGGGTAAATGACAGCTCTTTAGTAATGCATCTGAACCACTTAGACTGCTCAATACTCCTGCCCTTATATTTCATTCATGTGGCTTCTGCCTCTTGTCGCCCTCTTTCCTTAGAGTTGTCTCCAGCGGTCGTTCAAAGCACAGGTGTACACCTGCCCAGCCTGCCGTCACGACCTGGGAAAAGACTACGTCATGACCCAAAACACGACACTTCAGTTGCTGCTCGACCAGTTCTTTCCTGGCTACACCAAGGGCCGATGAGGACAAACACACATTTATTAGTAGAAAAAAACGTACAGACACGCACATAAGCGGTCATTCTGTGCACCCACGTATACCGGCAAGTACCTAAAGCTCCACTTTAAAAAGGCATCACGCACACATACTGTACTTACTCACGGGGAAATGTATATTGCATATACAGCCATTTATATGTATACAATCATTCATACACAAACCACCTCAGTAGGGACTGACCTCATCTTGTTGAACTTGGACCGTCTCCATTAACATCACCAGCCTGAAATTACAATGGATCTTTTTTATTCTCCTGACCCACAAACGCACAAAAGGAGCTCATGTTCACCCACTCGTCCCTTTCCTCTGTAAATCAGTGGTTATCAATAGACACTAAAATTACTTGTTAGATGCCTGCCAACCTTTACACATTTTCTGTACCAGGTAGAGTGTTGAATTCAGCTGGCAAATAACAGCTGCTTTGATGGAGTGATTTAGGCACAGCAAGACTGGCGCTCATGACTCACAGCATGTTCAACAATCAATACCGATAAGTAGGTCATGTGACTTAGTGGTGCCCATGCAGGTGATCTGATATGACAAACTTAATTAGGAAAACTGATCAACAATGTGTATTCAGTTCTGCAGATGAATCACTTTATTTTTATTGGTGACAGAAGCAGCAGGCTTATTTTGTACAAACACATGCTAACATCCTGCTAGGTGCTTGTTTCACACGTAACAATGCTGTTTCAATGTTCGGATAATAAGGATAACAGATGCCAAATTGAATTTGCAGATGTGTACTGTTTGTGCAGGTGCAGTGTATTTCTGGTGCATAAAAAGGCAGAATTTCACATTTAGTTCTCCAAACAGCACCTAATTTTTCTTTTTACAAGGTCCTAAATATAAAAAAATCGAAATGCATACCTTTAATGTTTCCAGAAGGTGCTGTGAAAACATTTAGCATTAGTAAAATCATTGTTTACTTTAATATTGACAAAATGGTTGATATATATAACTCACATCTGTGCATATTTTTTAAATCAGATTACATCGGTTTACCTGTACCTTTAACTCCCCTCTATGTGTCATCTCAAAAATACTGCACTGGTGTAATGGAAATCAAAGGTTACAGCGCAGCGCCCTGAGAAGTGTGAGGTGTGATATTTGCACAGAAGTAGGGGCACAGTGGTAGTCGCTGATGTTTCCAGGCAACCACAATCAAGCAGGACTTCAAACAAAGACGCTTAGCGTTCATCGTGCTCTGCGGATATTCATCTGTCATTGTTCTGTCGGTGAGATTTAGTGTAATTTAAATGAAGAGCAGCATGATCTGCCTCTGTTTCATTTTAGAAAAGTGGCCTGCTGAGCGATTGCACTGACAGGACGATGCGAATCAGAAAATGGAGGCACATCTGTCTCAATCAGCCATGGCTGAGGCTGACTCCTATCAAAGCTTTCTGATAAGTATGATTGTTGTGGATTCACGCCATCAGAGGCTCATCACAAATATGCGCTTTTCTCCCGTCTGTATACGGATTACTACAAGCTAGATAGAAACCCACTGTGTGATCACTCTGATAGCATTATAATTAGTTTTTTAATGTTCAAATTCACAGACAAAAAAGTTTGAGTGCCTTTTTGAACTGACTGTAAAAACACTACAGTATAACTGAAGTTATTTGGCTTTTCTTTGCAATTAGGAGTTGATACACAATCCTACATTTTGACTATTATGTTCAGATGGAGTTCTTGTGCTTGTTCCTGTGTTTTTATAAAATTTAACAATGTTTGAAAAATTGAAAAAAAGTTAATCAGTAAGAAAGTAAACACACTTCTAACCTCAGTTTAGTACTTCAAATGTAAACAACACCCTTTCTTTTAATGGCAACGTTTTAATATTTTATTTAAAGATTTCAAATATCAAGTATGTACTCTTATGTACTCGGTGCGTATAAATTTGACATAGTTCAGTGGTTGTGCTGAAACTCCTGCAGTGCAGTGTCATACAACATTACGTTGAATTTATTGGCCATATTTCAGAAAAAAAAAATGGAGTACACAAAAATGAAGGTTTGGATGATCTCCCGATCTGCACCCTATATTCAGGACTGACATGCAAACTTACAATCATAATTATAATCACTTAGAGGGGCGAATTGAACCAACAATAGAGCATTTATTTTTGTTTGTGGATTTTATGTTGACCCTTAAAAGAAAAAATCATCTGTAACAATTAGAGATCTCAGTACTCTGGCTGAACATCAAACTGAGCATAGGAAGCTGTAACCAAACAAACAACTCAAACTTTCTTAAACAAAAGCGAGTCTGTTTTATAAAATAGTTTTATATATTTTGTTTAAATCATTGTAAGAATACTTCAGCCAGAGATAGCAAAAACAACACTACAGAAAACGATACGTTGTTTTTTTTTTAATCTCTATTTCCTTTTTGCATCTTTTTTATAAAACCTTTTTGTAAAATTCAAGAGCCTGTCAGTCTTGTACTTGTTTTTAACTAAAGCAGCTGCCCAACTGTAAAGTAATATGAAAACGAGGCAGGCAGAAACATGAGCTAAGTGGGATTGAGAACTGACCCACATTCACATATTATGCAGCTCTAGTTTTGCTCGTATTCAGAGTAGCATCTTTTCGAGGACTGATGTGGTACTTCAAAATGTGCAGGGTTGGCAGCTCTAACAGGAACTAATACAAACCTGATCTCATCACCTGGGCCCAGCTGTTCAGAAAGTTAAATCTCAATCAGAAGTGCTTGGGGTCTGAAAAAACCCTCTTTTTGGTGCTCAAGATCAGGTAATCTGTCCTATTTTTGTCTTTGTGAAATAAGATTGGAAAGGCTTTATTGTAAGATAACCAAATCTGGATAGTTCCAAATAGGACTGTGGTATCCTTAGGGGGGAGGCGCCTAAATCTACACAAAGTGAAAGATCGTTGCAGCTGCTTTTACTCTCTGGTTTGATATTAACAGCTTTTTGATGAGCTATTTTTATGGACAGACTACCTTTGAACAGCTGGGCCCTGGAAGTTGAAATGGTTCACGACTGAAATGTTTAACTCTTGAGGTGGTTCATGGGAGATTGTAGCCCCTCTTTCCGTTCATCGAGTCACAGCCTTCGAGGTGTAGCCATGTACAGTTCATAGCCGAGCGGAGGTAACATGCTGCAGTACACATCAGTATCTTACTGCTCTGTTGACATTCAGTGTTACCAGCTCTCCCTCCCCTCTCATTGGCCGGCTGTTTGTTTGTTTGTGGTGATGTCCCAGTTTCTGTTCAATCATTCAGGTTTTTTTTGTCACTCAACAACATGCAAGTACAAATGTTACTATGGTCTTTAACGCTAACTGTGATGTGCATTTCTTCCACTGTTGCTCAACCTTGCTCCGAGGTTTTTCTTCCTGCATTGACTGGCAAAGCTAATAACTCTGGTTTCTTTCTCTGCTGTAACCCTCCTCTCTCTCCTCTCTGCGCTGTCTCCTGCCCCTCTGTGAACCTACAGTACTAACACTTTTTAGACGTCTTGTGGACGCTTGGCTTCAGTGCTGTGTTTTTTGTTTTTTACTTTAACTTTTATTGCACTCTACTGAAGAAAAAAGTTTGAAAAGTTGCGTTTGATTTTCCTAGTACGCTTACTACTATCTATGTCTGTATGCCATTTTTTCTACCATTTTAGTTGCTTCTCTTCTATTTTAATCATTAGTCATTTTTATGTGGCGACCTCAAACATTTGCAGCATATGGCAGTCTGAGGAGTTTCATTGCTTCATATTGTGATCTGAAATTTTATACATGTCATAATAATACTTGATATGTACCTATTAAATATTTGGATTCCAGAAAAAGAAATCTCCCTTTTTCTTTGTATTTGAGTTTTTATGAAGTTAATCATCCAGGACTTCCGTGTTAAGTCTGAATTGTTAGATATAAGTTGAAGTAAATTTAATTGACTGTTAAATTATGATCAAAAGCAGACTATTCCCACTCCCACGCACAGATTAATTTACACATATTTTAATCATAGCTTTCAAGGGCGCACCACAGCCACAACTTTGAGGTGATCATGGTGATCTTGTATTGAAACAGATGTTTAAAATGGTCTTTGAGTGTCAGGTCATAAAGTGACGGAATGACCACTAGGAGGCTCTGTAGCATGGATGAAATGGTACCACATAGACGTGTTAAGGCCTTGACCTCCATTATAAATGGTTAGTTTTGGGATTGAAGCATGCATGGCCAAGAAAAAAATCACCTCCTGTTTGATGGCATACTCTTAATTTTAGGACTTGTCACAATCTTTTACTGAGGTACACAACCTCAGGGGTGTGAAGGCCTGAAGTAGTTCCATACATGTTTCACAAGAAGACCTTTAGCTCCACTCAACTTTCTTGAATCATCATGTCCAAGAGACACTTTTTTATTTTCACCCTATCCCATTTTCTTTAAAATTTTGTTCTACATCCAAGTAAACATCGCCATTTGAAAGTGACAAAAAGACAGTCTCGTCTGGCTCCATCTCTTTCAAATTTGATTGTTCAGATTTTGCTTTAAAGGTTAAATAAAAATCACAAGCTCAGTACCCCCTCATAAATTACATTGGGAGTAGTAATGACTATAAACACCCTGAATGTTCAATCAGGCTTTACAAGGATAAATCTGAGTCCAACACAGCTTTTGCTTTCATAACTGGGGACAGCTGTGCTTTACCCATTGTGACAGGTTGAAACTGCAGCTGTGAATGAAGGGCCTGTAAACTGACCGTTTTGCTGAATCAGGATAAGCAGGTGCTGTTTTTGTTTACCTGAAAGGCCTGGCACACCTGTGTAGGTGTTCTGACTAAAACTCTTTCAGGTAAGACTTTCATAAATCAAAACTGAGCACATTAAAAAAAGAAATTAAGACCTAAGCTTTTACTGCAACCTGTCTTTTCACCTAGAGATGCAACTTTAAACTCAGCTGTTGTGTTCAGTGGTGCCCCCTGGTGGTACAATGCTCTGGATGGCTGCCCTGCTTCTCTTTTGTAACTGACCTGATTTTCTTTAATTTCAAAAAGAAGCAGCTGAGATTACACAAAGATGTATGGTAGTTACAGTGTGACTGTTATAGACGTTAAATTAAAAATAGCACACTAGAGAGAGTGCTCTTTATATACTATATGAGCACCCAAGGGGGTTCTGTGGTTGGAATGAACTCTTATATAATGTGGTTTTGTATTAGAAACCGAAGAAAAACTATTTTAAAAACAGTTGCTATAATTGAATCTCACTTTTTTAGTGTCTGAGTGCCACTGCTGTGACTACATTCAAACACCTTGTCTTATTACCACTGCATTCATTCACCAAATGTGTCTGAAGAAATCAAAATAAAGACATATTCTAGTTGCAATTCAGTCAAGAAAACGCAACAGAATGATTTTGTTTGTTTTATTATCACAGAAGCACAACAGGTACCACTATGCAGGTGAACAACAAACATAATACTATTCTCAGTAAAAGTTAAAAGGAATGCTAATCCAAAAATTAAAACAAAAGAAGAAAATCCAATCATATCACAGCATTTTTTTCAATCTCCAAATCAATCTACTACACTATTGTCTGATAAACATGGCAGGAAAAAAGCATAAGCACTTTGGATTATTCACTTTCCTTTCACTTTGTACCAATTCACTCATCGTAGGATCTTAAACTGAGACTGCAGCGTCTGTATCGGACACATACACCAGCATTCATCTTTTCACTCTAAATGGATTAACTATTCAGCTCTTAAGTACCAAATAATGGGGCTGTCGCTCAAGACTAACCTTAAAAATTCCTTGTTTTTTTTAAAAGAGGTATTAGTGCTACAAATTAAAAGTGGTCCCACTGAAATGCGTTTGTTAATCAGTTCAGACAGAAAGAAAATATGGGACGAATTTCAAGTTATTATTGTACCAATTAACAGAAAGCTGGAGTACCCGAGTGTAAACCTGATGACCTTTTTGTTGTACATTCAAGAAATGAAAAATCCTCCGCCTTTTTCTATAATAATAATCATCAATAAAAGCACAGACTTGAAAATGCAAATGGTACCAGAACTAAACTTATAGCAATGACAACTGCAAAATGATTGTAAATTCAAAGAACAAAAACTTTCCCTCCTTTAATTAATCCTCAATGAAAACAGGATAATATAACACACAAATACAGAAGGTGGAAACAGGAGATGCACAACTTACATATTCCCTTCAGAATGCATGAGGAAATAAATATTCGCATACAGAGGGAGGTGCTTAACACAGATAGAAGTGTGTGTGTGTGTGTGTGTGTGTGTGTGTGTGTGTGTGTGTGTGTGTGTGTGTGTGTAAGTGTGTGTGTAAGCTTGGACGGGAATGACGAACATATAATGGAAAAGTGACACGGGAAGGTGAAGGGGCGATCCAGAGGGCTACTCCTCATCAGAGGAGTCCCGGTCAAAATTGTAGGCCATGAAGAAAACGTCGGGTCTGGGTGGGACAAGGGTATGGCCCGGTTTCACAATCTCAAAGCCCAGGAAACTGAACGTACGCACCAGTTTCGCTGATGGAAGATGAAGGGAAAACAGGTGTTAAGGCACAGTCAGAATACTGAAGCCAATATGGCGATCTAGTAACAGGGAATGAGAGAGCTGTGAGCACCTACCACGGTCTTCTCTGTTCTTATAAAAGCAGACGAACACGCTAACGACTTTCAGATGTTCTTCGGCATACTCCAAGAGAGCTGCAAAACTGAAGGAGGAACAGGAGGCGGATTAGATCAACATAAAGGAGCAAAAATCTTGTCTTTGAGTATTTTGAACTGATCTGCTCCGACTCCCTCTCAGATGTGTCAAAATAGGTTTATCTAAATTTCTAGGTCAAGAAGTAAACAAAGCTAGAGAGTCAAGAGGTTGCACCAATCTGATCATCTTCCTATTACGCGATATTATCCTACAGTGAAAATACTCGGGTCAGAAGGTTTTTCAGCACGAGTTCATTTCTAACAGTCTGGCCTCACCTCTCCTTGCTGCCTTCAGGAAGCGGGTCATGAGGTATCTCCACGTAAAGCGCGCTGTTGCTCAAAACAGCATCCCACTGTATCGTCTTGGTAATGGTAGGACGACTTTGGAAGTGGAGAATCCCAGGGCGACCATTCCCCGCTGGCTCCTCTGTCACAGTCAACTTTCGGTCCTAGAAACACAAACGCTAGTTAAAAATCTGAAATTGGAGTTCATGTTCATTGCACATTGGTTTTCGTGTCCAATAAAGCAAATTAAAGTTAGAAAAACAACTTCCAGAAGCTTAAGAGCTGAACAGTGAAAACCTTCTGAGCTGTGAAAACATTACGCAAATATCAGCTCTGACATTTCAACGGCAAGTGTATGTGTGCTTGGAGGCTTACTGAGTAGAGTTGCCGAGCTGAAGGAGTGTGATCCCGTGTGCCATTCCCTCGCCCACCTGGGATCTTCAGGGGTGGGAGAGGGGCATCAGGAGCACCACAGAGGCCCCGGACTTCGGGTACTACTACAGTGCAGGGACAAACTGGAGAGGAGGACAGAAAAAGACAGAAAAGTGTCATTGAAAAAAATCACACTTGTAAAAGGTTTCCCACAGTTCTACATGATCTTTGCATCAGTCTTTGTTGGAGAGACGAGGACGGTGTTTAGAGCGGAGAGAAAGGAGGGACGCGAGGAAAGGAGCCCCAGGCTTGAACTGAACCCAGACTGTCTCCTCGAGGCATAACCTCCATATATGGGGCGCACGCCTGGACCACAAAGTCTGCAGTGCCCTGATTTTTTGATTATCTCTTACGTCAAAACAACCTCAAAACCTGTCAAGGAACCAAATGAGCTTTCATGATTTTAACCACACATAAAACAGCAACAACTTAGAGTGAACTGATATACTGTAGTGCAGAAACAATGAGAAACTTAAGGCACTTTTTGCCAAAACTCAACCACAGAAAATGTTCCAAATGCAAAGTCTCTGACAAAGCACATGATCTTTGCTCCTTGGCCTAATAACAAATAAACACTGCTTTGTCTACATCAATATGCTCCCTTTTTCTGTTACAGCCCGTAAGTTTGTTGTCTTATTTATAAAAGTATTCATTTGTTAATTTTCCCAGACAAAACTGGGCCGCTCTGAGCTTCCACTTCAATAACCTATTCATATTCATATCGATTTTACATTCAAACATAATGCTGCAATCGCATCAGGTATTACATGACACAAGTGAAACAAAAATGCTGTGTTCGCTCAGCTTTTAATGTTTGCATAACTACAAGAGTGATGCACCACACAGCAGGTTGCATCAGGTGTCAACTAACAAAAAAACATAAACCGCTACAAGAGAAAAAAGAGGCAGCCTGTGTGAGTTCAGCGGTTAACAGGTGTACTGACTAGGGCCTGGTCGAATTATCGGCAAGACGTTTAAATCGGCCAATTTTAGCCCGTTTGAGACTAATCGGCCAGAAGTCGCAGATTTTCGCAGATATTTTTAGAAATAAAATGTGAAGAATGAGATTCGGTTTCACTTCGAAAATGTTCCGCCATTTGAAAATGCTTTTCTGGTCCGAGTTTGATCACTTGGTTTTCCTGTGAAGAGCAGTCTACAGTAGGCTATATAGTATACTGTAAATATCTACAGTTTATATATTTTTTTATAACTTAATAAAAATAATTGGACCCCCCCCGATAAATCAGCATCTGCCCCAAAAAATCCATATCGGTTTTGCCCTACAACTGACATCTACTTCAGTCCGAAACAAACAAACTCTTTGTTGTGCTTCAATGTGCTGACTTGCTGGGTAAACAAACTCTATCTTGTGATCTATCAGGATGGTACAAAGCTGTGCCAGAGCCAGATCTTTACCATTACAATCTAAGTAGGTTTGCTGATCTTATTGCTGTTGTTTAACAGCTTCAACTAATCCATATTTTCAAACCCTAACCCCTTCTAGTCCACAACTATTTCTTTAATAATGAAAATAAAGCACATCTGATTTCTTCAACAAAAACAGGAAATGAAAAAGCCTCATAAAGCAGAATTGGAAAGCTGTTGTGTTAGATTGCATTAGACAGCACGTGTTTATAATGTTATGACTGGTTGGTGTATTTCTTTGAAGAGTGAATTGTGAATTCAATAAAGTAGTTCGGTTGCAAGGTCAGATTACATGAATGCTGCGTTATGTAACGTTGCATGTCTACTCATATTACAAAGGTGTCAATAAATTTATTAACAATGTAACTCTAACCTGGCCCAACTGTCACGGAAGTGCTGCTGCTGCTGCTGCACTACTGCACGTTGCGTAATAGTAAACATGACTCGGTTCTCGGCTCACGAGACCAACGTGGCCAGAAACATGTGCTTACCTGGAAAATTCGATCAGCAGATTTTTGGCCAGGAGACTCACTTTGTCTTTTCTGTTAAGCGTCACGGTGTGATGTAAATATCCGTAATCGCTATCAAGGTTGATTTATTGAGGGTGACGTTTTACAGTGAAATATTTATACTTTAAGAAAAGCGGAATAAAAACTACGTCACAAACATTATACGTGACTGATCGTTGATTGATTTTTTACGTCGCTGACGTATCAAGGTTAAGGAAAATTGGTTATCAACACCGAAGAAGCGAATCTAAATTGACGAAAACCATATAATTGTATCTATTTCAGCCGATATACAATACTAAAATTGTGATACGAAAACGTTAATTATTTTATGTCGTTATCAAGGTAACGACACTGACGTAACGTACCTAACTTCGACGTCGTTTAAAGCTAACGCTAGCTTTGGCAGGAAAACTTGTTTAGCCAGTAAGTGAATGCCTGGGGGTATTATAAACACGAATTTAACACATCATAAAGCATAAATATGTCAGTCACACTGCGTTGCAACCGCTGGCATATGTCTAACACAGCGTCTTCAACGTAAACACGGACATTTAAAATGGTTTTACTTCCGCGTTCTGTGGCTTAGCTACGTGCTAAATTAGCTTAGCCACCCCTCCCCCACATCAACGGTTAGCTAGGTGAGCTGTTTTTTTTTACTTACTTCCCAATCATGTCACAGATACCACTACTCAAGTCCGCCATGGCAGTTAAAGACTGTGGTTTTCCTTCTTTCTCGCGAGCAAAGCAATGACTGTTTAGGATCCGCTGGAGGTTGGATTTTACCATCCGGCCTCGGGGAGAGACTCGACGGGCTGACTGCTCTCTGCTGTGCTCTGCTGGGTAGTGGTCGGTCAGAAAGTCTGGAGCTGGTAAGAAGAACGAGAGTCAAGTTCACTGCATACAGAGCTTTGTGCTTCCGTTTGATTATTCTTCAAAATAAGAGTCAAGTACAGCAGACGCTTTTCTGGCATGCATTGTTGTTCTTGTTCTCCAGTTTTTGATCTATGTGGTCAGTACGGTGGCTGATAACCGACACTGCTGCAAAAAAAAGCAGAAAAAAAAAAAAAAAAAAAAAAGAAAGAAGAAGAAGTCATAACAGAAGTTATCGATGCAAAAAAAAAAAAAAAAAAAAAAAACAAGCCCTTGGCAAATAAAGGAAACGGTGCAGTTAAACATTTTTTTAAAAGCTGCGATGGAAGTTAACGATGCAAAAAAAGTGAGGATGTCAAAAAAACAAAAAAGGTACTTACTGCGAAAATAAAAGGATGCAAATAAAAATGCCACAACAGAAGTGAGCTGCTGGGGACCAATAATGATGATGCACCAGTGTTTTACAATCTAGGCACAGAAGACGATGGCGAGAAGACAAGCAAAAAAGTTAGTGGAAAGGTTTTTTTTTGCTTGGAAAATTTTTTAATGTGTCATTTGGATAGGCCACATAGCACCTGAATCGATATAAAGTTAAACTTAAGGATGCTGGTGTAGTTTAAGCTTCAGTTCAACTTCATATTGACTTAGGCGCTACATGGCCTGACCGAATGACACATTGAAAAAGCACATTGACGTCTTTGCTCGTCTTCTCCTCTTTTTTTTGCATCCTATTATTTTCACAGTAAGTAACTTTTTTTTTTGCATCCCCCACTTTTTTTGTGTCGTTAACTTCTGTTGTGGCTTTATCTTAATCTGCACCGTTTCTTTTTTTATTTGCAGCGGGCCTTGGTTTCTTTCCTTTTTTTTTGCATCAGTAACTTCTGTTGTGACTTCTTTTTCTTGCATTCTTTTTTCTTTGCAGTAGTGGCGGTTCTCAGCCACCAGAGATAAGAATCAAAAATGGGTTACAAACATTTGTAAATTTCAAAAACAAGTGTAATAACTGAGATTTTACAAAAAGTTTAAGTGTTCTAATATGGATGATTCTGGTTGATTGTTATTCTTAGTACAAATTGTACAGCACTTATTGAACACGTTATATAGAAAAGTACATAAATAGAACAATTAAGTATAAAAACATTAACTTTAAAGGAAGCAACCAGTTTGTGAATCTGGTTTATAAGAGACCATCCACATTTGGCCCCCCCCCAAAAAAAACAAAAAAACAACATTGGACCAGGCCTATGTATATGAATGAATAGTTTAAGTTTTTAACATTACAGAAAGTGTCAGCATCCCCAGTTTACGCATTGTTGCAATGTTCATGGATCTCACAGAGTAAAATTAAATTACAGTTTTTGATACCTCCTCCATATTTCTGAAGTAAATATTCTTCTCCTGCTGTAAACATTCTCTCTGTTCGATTTGAACTCGTTGAAAAAAACTTTTTGTTTTGTTTTGTTTAAATTTTCCAGTTGGAAAGTAACTTAAGTAATGACTTCTTTTATTTTGAAGGAAAGCTAGGATGCAGCTAACTTTTCGATATGTTTGCAATATAAATTGACGCGCTGCGAACATGCTAGCGCTGACTAGGGAGCTAAACGCTAAAGGTGCAGGTATAGATCATCTCTGTTACATCACCTAAGATCATTACCTGCCCCTGACCTATGACCGCAGTTAAAACACCAATAAAAAACACGCGATATCGTCACTAAATCGTGCCTTTGTTTAAACCTCACATTTTAATGTTAAAAGAACTGTGTGTCCTTCCTGTTACTTCGCTTAGTTGCTGTTCATGTGTTTACATGGGGAGTCAAATGGAAAAGTACTAGGAAAACAGTCTAAAAACGCATTAAATGATTCTCACAATATCAACATAATCCCAAGGTCTGTGCAAAACATTTCGGTAAGAAACATAAATAAATAATAAATACATGTTTAAGATAGTTGATCACATTTTTGGTGTGGTATTTTGTTGAGCCCAACCAACTAAGTTAATTGGTCTCAAATTCAATCTGCAAAGTAGTTTTAAAACTTTGCAGATTTATTTCAGCAATCAACACATAATGCATTGATCAGGTTGGAGCGTTGTGAATATAGCCCACTGTGTAAATAGTTCAACTTTGTTTTGCAGTGATCAGAAGCATTAAAATACTGTCATACAACAAAATACAGTGGAACAACTTTTGGTGACCTTTTGCACAAAATTTTGAAGGAATCAACGACATTTAACACCAAACCTAAACATACTGTAACTTAAGATCAATAAAAAAAAACATATTATGTTTAAATTTGTATTATGCATTGCACAACTTTTTGTAAATCCTAGAATATGTCTCCCCTGTTTTTCCTTTCTGCTTGGTTTTGAATTGCTATTCAAACGATTTTTTATATATTTTTTTAATTTTAGGGTAAAATATTTTTCATATCACACTGTATGATCTTTAGGCTATTTAATTAAGATGTAATGACACAAAAACGATTATTTTAGGCTTGCAGCGGTTTCATGGTGTACTGTGTGATATATTGTAAGCAATAAACCGAGACAGTGTTTTTAAAATTTATTTTTTAGTTCATGTAATTTTAAAAATATAAAGGAAAAAAATGGTTACATGAAGGCCACTTTGCAAATCGGTGAAAAGACTATTATTCCAAAATGATCCACAAGATGGCGACAAAGCAGGAGAAAAGCAACCAGTCTCTTCTGTACAAATTATACCATGATTACTGGTTTAATACTTCTACTACTACAATAATAATAATAATAATAATAATAATAATAATAATAATAATAATAATAATAATAGTATGTACAATACAGACTTAATATACTAAATATATACAATAAATACAGACTAAGTATAAGGTGCTCGGTAATGTGTTGTGGTAGGAGTTTTTAAAAATGGACAATACAGCAGACAGATGTGAGTCTCTGTCCGACAGATGTGAGTTATTGAATAGTGCTATTGCTCTATTATATAATAACAAAACTAAGGATTTCCTATTTTAATTTTACAAACAATTTATTAGTTTAATTAAGAAGAAAAGCAAGAGAATGCAAAAATGATTCAGGGGAACACAAAATACATTTCAAGATACAAAGGTCTTTTAAGGGAACAAAAAATTCTTGCTGAGTATTGCAAAAAGGTAGTGTTAGTGGACACAAAATACCAGGGGTGGGCATGCAAAAGAGATTGTGAGGGGACACATAAGAGCAACCAGGAAATGAAAAAGTCTTATTAAGGAATGCAATATTCATGCCAGGAAATGCAAAAAATATTACTGCTTTGAAAAAACCTTTAAAGAGCTACTATGACATTTAAGATTGTTGACATATAGCTGTGATGGAAAAGAAACTACTGAAGAATGAAATAGGAAAACAAGAATAACTTTCAAAAATTGTCTCTTTTAATTTTGGGAACATTTTGAAAAGAATCTTCAACACCAAGTGACATTCTAACAAGTACTCAAAAAATGTATAAATACTGTTTGTTTTGAACTGATATGGATTTAACCATTTTATTATGACCTTCATTGACAAGCGAAGCTCACCTTTAACCCGTCAAGCCACTGCTACATTATCCTGCATACATTTTGGTGCCTCATATTTTTTTTAAAACATTTTGCCATAAATACTGACTTAAGTGTAATTGTGAATGCTTGTATCGAAGAATTTGTTATTATTATTATTATTATTATTACTATTATTATTATTTTCGAACATGTGTGTGCAACAGTAAAGTAAGTAAACTGAAAACAAACATAACCAGTGAGAATATTCAAAAACAACAATAACAATAATCAGAGCAAAAAAGTAAAAATAAAATAAAATAATAATAATTAAAAAAATAATAATAATAATAATGTAAACCCAACATGTCCGAAAAGGAGTTGGATGAAGCATTTTTATTTATTTTATTTTTTTTAAACCTCCCCCTTCTCCTTTACTCAATAATAACAGTCACTCTCCACCAAAATTTAATCGGGTACACTGGCTGTAAATCTCACCAGTTTAGGATGAATTGCATGGCTTTTCTGCTGGATCCGTTCATGGGTCATTGAGTTCATTTTAAAGGAATAGTTCAAATTTCCAGGAAAAAGTCTTTCGCATTTTCCTGGATTTTCAAACTAAAAAATGTCACCGACATTTACATGGAAAAGTCAAAGTAGCGCTTATAAAAACTGACTAAATGTAAGTAAATGTATAGTTTTCAGCAAACAGGAGACACGTCTCTGTTTAATTTGTACTACTACTTTGCATTGTCAAAAATCTGCCAGCAGTCACTCACTAATTCAGTAGTTGATTTAATCCTTAATGTTCATATTTAACGATAAGATCTAAGATATAACTCAAACTTAAATGGGCGTGCGAAACTGCTCCCCTCCTGTGCTCTACATTTTTTTCAAACGCTTTTTCAGCCCGCCCCTCGCTTCTGAAGTTTGTCCCTCAGTGCGATCCGTCCTTCGGTCCACCAGAAAAAAAGCGACGCCTGAAAGCGACGCTTGCAGCTGATGTACCGCTGGCTCAAAAAATGGAGAGCGACACCGCTGTCCGGAGAATAAAACCCTTCGGGACACAGAATTATGTAGCGCAAGATAACGACGGTTCCCGGGACTTGTGCGGGAATAACGGCTACAGCGGTGAGCCAAAGAGGAAGCCCGAAGTGAACATTTACTTGCTGCGAGAAGGTCTGGCAGCTTCCCTGGTCTCTGTGTTTATTTTGGTGCTGTGGGGACTCGTTCATTTGTCGTTACAGCAGCTCGTCATTGGAAAGCCGACCGGCGAGTTCAACGCAGGGCGAGCCAGGTGAGTTTATACCTGTTCATACGCGGCTTTTTACGCCTTTATACGTTTGCTAACAGTCTCGAAAGAGCTGAGCTGTGGCTAACCTTTCCTCTAGTTTGACAACAGACCCGCCTAGAAACCACTACCGGGTGTCATCTCACCTCCACCTCCTCCTCCTCCACCTTTACCTGGAGGTAGACAGGTGTTTCAACGGTCTGTAACGGCCTGTGAACCGACGGTGCGCAGCATATTCTCTGTCAAGAGACACCCAGGGGCATTTCAAAGTGTCTAACATAATGAAGGAGAAAATACTTGACAAGTATAGGAACATTATTAAAACAAGATACATTTAAACAACTAGTAAGGACAGAAACAGTGCATTACTGTTAAAGCTCTTGTAAGGAGTTTTTTGACATTCATGAATAAGACTGAAATTTACACTAATGCCTTTTTATGAGATGTGAAAGCCAAGAAACTATCAAAACCAAGAAACACTGTTTTATAACAGTACTGCCCCTGCGAGGAGGTAGGTGTCAGCCGAGCAGCTGTTTTTTACATTTTACACAACCACACGGGCTCAAGAACACTTCAGAAAACCACTGTCAGTAAATACAGTTCGTCGCTCCGTCTGTAAGTGCAAGTTTTAACTCTACTATGCAAAGCGAAAGCCATTTTTCAACAACATTCAGAAACGCAGCCGGCTTCTCTGGGCCCGTGCTCATCTAAGATGGACTGATGCAAAGTGGAAAAGTGTTCTGTGGTCTGACAAGTCCACATTTCAAATTGTTTTTGGAAATAGTGGACTGTTTATTTCAGCAAGACAATGCCAAGCCACATTCTGCATGTGTTACAACAGCGTGGCTTTGTAGTAAAGGAGTGCGGGTACTCGACTGGCCTGCCTGCAGTCCAGACCTGTCTCCCATTGAAAATGTGTGGTGCATCATGAAGCGTAAAATATGACAACGGAGACCCTGGACTGTTAAACAACTGAAGCTGTACATCAAGCAAGAATGGGAAAGAATTCCACTTTCAAAGCTTCAACAATTAGTCTCCTCAGTTCCCAAACATCTATTGAGTGTTGTTAAAAGGAAAGGTGATGTAACACAGTGGTAAACATGCCCCTGTCCTAACTACTTTGGCACGTGTTGCAGCCATGACTCTCTATATTGCTATCTGCGGTCGTTACTAAAGTTGGTATAACTAGAGAAGCAAGCGGTCGGCAACATTCATCTCTCGACGGGGTGTCTAACTTGGTGTTATGGTGTGTTTGACCCTAACTTGATTTTATGTGGGAGTATTCCTTTAAGAGACTGCTTAAAGCTCCCGTGAAGAACAGCAGTTTTAACAGTCCTTGCTGACTTGTCCTTGACGTGTGACATTTGATATGTAAACTCACCCTGTTGAGTTTTGATGGTCAAATGTACAACTTACCGTGAATATTTTATGTGGAAATTGTAAAAAACTGTGCTGTTTTTATCAGGTGTTCGGCTTACACCTACTCCCTTGCACAACTTTCATGCACTAAAAGACTGGTAAGACTGTTTGCCAACAGAGGGCATCAAAAGAGACACAAACTGAAAGTTCCTCACAGGAGCTTTAAGGGATTTAATGCATTTGCTTAATACAAAGCCCTATAAAGGCGTAATTTTAACCAAGCTTTTGTAGGGAGGATGATCATGATCTGCATGTGAAAACTGCCGATATGAACTGTCTATATGGTGAGGCATTATATATGTGCCTACAATGACAGCCTTTGCATGCAAACACAAGCTTCAACATGTCAGCTGTATGGAGGGGTTTTTAAAGTGTCAGAAAGGACAGCAAAATAGCTGTAAGCAATGCTAATGAAGCACAGGTGATGGGAAGAGGGAAAAAAAACACCTTTCTGACACTGTTGAAAAAGTTATAGGAGAGACTTGGCTCTTTTTCAATAACAAAAAGATATTTATATACTGGTATCCACAGAAGTATAGACCAAAATCAATTAATCAGATATTGACCAAAATCAAACATTGTGTGTCCTTGGTTATAGTTATCTCAATGTGTTTGACTAGTGAGATGCAAACAAGCTCTTTGCAGAGTTAATGATTTATCAGTAATTTAAAGCTCTTGAGAGTGTTTTATATTCATCTGGACCTGTTGGTCATAAAACAGGCTGAAATTAATAGAGCTGGTGTCTCTAGATGACCCGCAAAAGCGAACCAGACTAGCAATGGCATGATTGATCATTCATTTTGTGGTGATTTTTGGTGGCTAATACCTATATAACCAATGCTTTAAGGCTGGTGTCAGGTGATGTGGCTTTAAGGAGGTGTAAGAAACAGCCTTTGTTGGCATCTTCTGCTGTAAAGATTTACAGAGAGTGATATCTGTGGCTGTTTATGAGGAAACGCATTCAATGGAAAAAGCTGCCTTTTGACTTTTCTTTTACATGGAAACTGCACTTTATGCAGCTGAAAATGCAACTGGTGAAAAAAAAAAACTACTCACACCTTCCTCAGCACAAAACAACTCATTCATTGTGACTACAAAAATCAATTTATCTTCTCATAATACAAAGAGGCAGCATCATTTATAGATGAAATAATGTCCTTGGCTTCACAGTGCAACAGCTGGTGTCATATTTTCAGCCTCTGGGAAAAGGAAAGACAGGGATAAAGACCTGCAGGGCTGTGGTTAAGCTCTTAAAAGTACTGGTCAATGAGATTTCCCATCAGTTGACTGGTTTCTCAACAAGTGAGTCAAGCATGGCGCATTTGTACTGATACAGACTCTGCGCGTCTTTAGTCACGACCATGGCTTTTATGAGAGCCTGTCCTGTCGATCCTGATTTGAATTAAGGGCCTGAGGCTGTGAGGATAAAATAGTGCTTTACAAGTTGCTGTTAAAATGAATAGATATTTTTAATGCCATTTCTCACCATTTTGACGCTTTTAGAAAAGAGAAACATTTACTGCATTTGATCCAGGGATTCAACCACTTTGGTTAATGGACAGATATTATTCTCATGTACTCTCTCTGGATGCTGCAAACATCAGCAGCACTTCTGCTGGCATGGCCAATGGAGGTAAGATTGGTGTCTGTTGAACAGCTGCAGCAAACAGCAGGAGCAGCTGCTTCTTTCAAGAAAAGACGAGGGAAAGCATCTTTTTTTTTTCTCCCAAGTTGGTTGCTTTGCTTCATTTCCTGTTTGGGGCTATAAGGGAAGACTGTGTGCAGCAACAGATCAGGTCAAAGCAATACAGGCGCATGCCAGAGCACCTTAACCTGACTGACCAAAGGCTTTAGTCCAAATTATAACCTAGCAAGTGGGAAGACAGATGCGTTAAAGAAATGTCTTTTTTGGATGAATAAAAAGTGAATGAAATGGGACTTTTCTTTTGTGGGGCCATCTTCAGAAAGACTTTGGTCCAAGTTCTTTATTTAAATTGTGTAACTTACATGTTCTTGATTTCTCTTCTACAATCCAGACGGCACTTGGAGCAGATCACTAGCGTCGGCCCACGTCCTGTAGGCAGCCAGGAGAATGAAGTTCAGACTGTCAACTACCTGCTGAAGCAGATTGAGAACATTCGGGCTGAAACAGCTGCAGGCCCCCATCAGCTCACTGTAGATGTGCAGCGCCCCACAGGCTCCTTCTCTATTGACTTTCTTGGAGGGTTCACCAGCTTCTATGACCGGGTCACCAACATCGCTGTCAGACTGGAACCTAAGGGTGGGACACAGCATCTCATGCTGGCCAACTGTCACTTTGACACAGTGGCCAACAGTCCAGGTACCAAAACAATCCTCTATCATGTGACAGCGCCTGTCTATGCTTTATAATGTCTAACTGTAGTTTGTAGTTTGTGGGAAATCTACACAGGGACAGTTCACTCATAGTTGTTGTGTGGCACCTTAAGACGGGGTAAACAGCTGGAAGACCTTGGTGTGTCGTGACTTATCTAATCTTTTTATGTTATATAACACCAGCAGCATATGAGGCTTTATCAGCAAGTCCATCACTTTTGTTGGGAACGATCTCAAAAAAACGATTTGGAGGATTCCAATGATTTTACAGGGACATTAATCATCCCCTGAGAATAAAGCCTGGCATTTTCCCAGCACTTCCACAATGTTCTCAGTTATTGTTCCCAGTAAAATATCTATAAGGACCCATATGAGGCTATTTTTAGCTGAAACGTCTATAAAATTAAATAACAAATTCAGCTTCTGTGGAGGATCTGCAGCCTCTCAGTTTCTAACCTTATCACCCGTGCAGCAATCTGAGTTGGGGGACATTTTTTCCTCGTGTCACATTTGGGTGTGAAAAGCTAAATCATAATGCTCTGCTTTAGTCAGGGTTTGCAAATATCAGTGTAATTATTCAAAATTTTCACCAACTGAAAGAATGCTATATTAAGATGGACAACATGTCTCCACTTGTTCCTGCTGTACCAAAAGGAAGCCAAAATACCTGCAAGACAGGCTCTGGCTTAAAGCACATTTGGAGTTGAGTTGGTAGAGCCATGATATTAACATCCTACTCTGCCTTCAAATCATAATGCTCATTTGTGTGAATACTAAAACAGCAAAGACCCCTCAGATCAGCATAATCTACAGCACAGCAGAGTCTTGTGTAAGTTTAAAGCTCAAACTCACAGTTCTGGAAAATTTAACGACTCTCATGGTGGTGTTGTTTACATTTTTCTCTTGCTGTCCAGTACACACAGCTCTACAGCAGCTACATTTGTCATGGTATTATACACAATTTTCAGCATGAAATAACAAATTAAAATCAAACTTTACCAAAAAATTAGATATAAATCAGGACAGAAGAAGCTAACTGTAATGCCAGAGGGAACAAATTATGTCTTGGAGGTGGGATCGTTTATGACCCAGATAACAGCCTATTAGTACGTGGAGTCCTAAGCTGTTTGGCTTCTCTTTCTGGAAGCTGTCATGCCATCCATCTGCTTATGCAGCCCACAGTTAGAGCTTATTCCCATATAAGCTGGGAATCAGTTAGCTGTTGTGACTCAGCTGTTGAAAGCTGGAGAGGTATCAAAATATGTTTTCCTTTTGCTGTATACATTCTGCTTTTACTTCTTTACATTCAAAGTAGCATTTTGCACATGTGGGTGACCGATTACAGCTTTTTAGAGACTGCTGCCGATACCGATAATGAGATAGCAGGTTGGCTGATGACCAATATATGATGCAGATATCACTTATAAATTTATTTCTGACAAACAACATGATAATAATCACAAATGAAATGAGACACAAAGTTGCTAAACTTGAGTGTATGTTAAAAGTCTTTATTTTGGGCACGTAAAAATCTTTTATTTATGGCTATCCTGGAAAGTAACATGTTTGCAATGAATTCAAAAGCAATAATGGTGATATCAGCCTTGTGGTTGTCTGACTCATGTGCTACTAATAATCATTATCAGGCCTGAAAAACCACTATTCAGTTTTCAGCATGCAGGTCCTCTGGTGTTGCATGATAATAGCCCAAATTGTCTCTCGTGTAGTCATGTGGGTCACACAGTCAGAAGATAAAACCGCTATAGCAAAGCAAGCTAATCCACACAGTTTGTGACCAAAAAGCTTCTTGTGAACCATTACAGCTATTCAGAGCTTTTAACAGGAAGCCCATTTGAGCGGTGGCTCATATCTAAACCACACAGTAATAAGAGTGTTTGTTGTTGATAGGAAGCACATTGTGGCTCGTAAGAGACTTTTATTTGTCATGTTTTAAATCAGGAATTTCATAGTTTTATCCCACACCCTGAAGCCTGTTGGAGAGACATCATTTTCCACTTCAAACACACACACACACCCTCACATGTGCTCACACAGCTTCCCTGGCAAGAGGAAATTGATCTAAGAGGTGTGGACCAGGAAGATACACATACATTTTTCTGTCCTCGACTGTGTGCCAAGCCTTTGATTTCATGGAATTCTAAACACTCGCTCATGCACAAAATAATAATGGGAAGTGCAGAAAACCAAGCAGAGAAATTCATGTTCTCCAACGCTGTGGAAAAACTAGGAAGTGCCAGGTTAATAATTCAGGCTACGATTTATTTATATTTCATTTTTTTTGTGTTTTTTGGGGACATTTAATAATATGTAGGTGACATGAGAGAAAGCGACAGAGTCATGAATGGTACCCTGGCAGTCAGAGCTCAGAGCTCAAACCCCCACCTCCCAAACTCCCTCAATCCAGAAAGCCGGAGCACATGATTTCTCACTTTGGCCCTCTGATCTTTTGGGGCATTTTCCTCTTTTTTTTTCACTCCCATTTTCCCCAATAAATCATGTTCTTCATCACCAAGTTTCTCTAATCTGTCTGCATCACATGCTTCTTTCACATGCTCCTTTTTTTTGTTCTCACACAAGCAATGAGATCTGTTTTTTACCAGTTTGTTGCATTCCTTGTGTGTTTGCACATACATCAAACCCTGCTCTCTGGTTTGTTTGTGTTGCAGTGAAGAACTTTAGAGTTTCAAACTTACGTGTTTCGTAATATCTACATGAGCCACTAGGTCAGGGTGATGGGGTGAATGAGGTGAACAATTGCATAACTAAGCTAAGCTCCCTCTGCTTGGTATGAATGTAAAAGTAGGTGCTTGCAGCGCCAAACTGCGCAGCCATGAAATATCTTTGACTCACATGCACTGATTTCTGTGTTTAAGGTGCCAGTGATGATGCAGTGAGCTGTGCAGTGATGCTGGAAGTCCTTCATTCTCTGGCAAACCAGTCTACTCCTCTTCATCATGGGGTTATCTTCCTTTTTAATGGTGCAGAGGAAAATATCTTGCAGGTAAAATGAAAGTGACAGCAGCACATATTTCACACTTTACCAGCCCGTCTTAACCACTTTGGATTGTTGTTCAATTTAAAACGCCTCTCCTTTATCTGCCATGTTGTTTTCTCCGTCCCCTTTTCCCCCTGATTCAGGCCAGTCACGGTTTCATTACCCAGCATCCCTGGGCAAAGCAGGTGCGAGCTTTTATTAACTTGGAGGCTGCAGGTGTTGGGGGCAAGGAGGTTGTTTTCCAGACAGGTATGTTTCCGCTTCTGTCTGAGAAATTTGTCCAGTTTGCGTGCTTGGAGATTTTTCCTCCTTGTGTTTGTTTTGTGTATATAAATATGCATGCATCTTCTGCCCACCTCTTAATGTAGCCGTCTCCTGTTATATGGAAGGCTTGTAAATACATGCAAAGCTGATTTCGCTGTTAGAGAGGAGCTGAGTGCAGTTTGCATTAACAGTAATACCTTTGTTGCCCTCTGGCAGGATGCCACTGTTCTTTATCTGCATGGATTACAAACCTTGATTATGGCTCCTGAGGTGCCTGTAACAATACAGTTATACATTAGACATCATCTAATGCACTTTGCACAACATGAATGCGGCGTCTATTAAAAAAGATTGCCTACATAACAAAAACTGCAAACAGCCAGTGGAGTAAAGGCAGCAAGGAGGAGCATAATGATATAGCTATCTCTCTAGATTAATATTCTTGTAAAGTGAAATACCTTTCCATGTCTATGACCTTTCTCTTTCCCTTAAGGTCCAGAAAACCCGTGGCTGGTTCAAGCTTACGTCCACGCAGCCAAACACCCCTTCGCCTCTGTGGTCGGTCAGGAGGTCTTCCAGAGTGGCGTCATCCCCTCTGACACAGACTTTCGCATCTACAGGGATTTCGGCAACATCCCAGGTAGTACCCAGCAACAAAAAACTGTTTACGATTCATGCAGGCTGATACATTTTCACAGCACAGATGATTTCACCCTCTCTGTAGCTCCTTCTGTATCGCCTGTCAAGCGTCTGTTTTGCCTTGCCATCACTGTAAATGTCACAGACGGGTGGGTGGAGTCGTTCTGCTGCTTGGTCTGCCACAGAGGTAGTAATGGAAGTGTAGCAGAGGTAAACAGCGTCAGTAGAAACAGTCGAGCTAGCAAGATCGGGAGTTGCTGAGCGGCGTGCACACATTTGAGAGTGTGTTAAGCTGTGCTGTCCTTTACATTACGTACAGTAATACGTTGGGACACCAATTATGACATTATGGGGTTCAGTGTAAAAGCATAAAAGTGTGGTGATGAGGGGATTCTTTAAAGCTCCTATGAGGAGTTTTTTGACAATAAGGAAAAAGAAATTCAGATCCATGCCTTTCTATAACAAACAAAATCAGACAAGACCATCAGGTACAAGATTAAAAACATACATATCATTATTTTTGAGCTTCAAGCTGGTATGAGGGGGTAGGTGTCAGCCAAGCAGCTGAGGGAAAATGGATGAGATTTTGTCCACAAGGGGCGCCAAAGTTGACACAAACTGAAAGTGCCTCACAGGGGCTTTAAAAGGCTGTAACAGAATCTTTATCTAAAAAAATCGTATGTCTGAGATTATTCTGAGATTTTGTGTGTATGATTTGTTACAGGCATCGACCTGGCTTTCATTGAAAACGGTTTCATCTACCACACCAAGTACGACACTGCTGACAGGATCCTGACGGACTCAATACAGAGAGCAGGTATGCAATGAAAAAATCGATCTTCCTCTTTTAATATTTATTGAATATGCTAAACAAACATGTCCGGTGCATTTTAGCAGGTGTTTGTTTGTTTTTTAGAAAAGAGGGGTAAACGCAGCCCTGAGGATCAGTCAGTTGAAATACAGCGTTGGCAAATGTTCCCTCCACGCAGACACAAACGCATGCTGCTTACTGTTACTGCTCTTGCATCTGTGTTGCAGAATTATTTTGCTTTACTTAGCAGAGAATCCAGGCAGTCAGCAGTAAAAAAAAAAAAAAAAAGAAAACCTGAGACAGTTGGCATCTTTCCTCCCTCCCTCAGCAGCTACTGGAAATCTCCCTCCTCTACATCTGTGTACTGTAACTCAGCGTGAAAGGCATGAATTATTAGAGAGAGAATGTGAGATTACAGCCAGAGGTGGACTGTATTTTTAGTCTGTGGAGATGAACCGTTTTGCACAGAGGAGAGTGGACAGTTGAAGAGGGAGATCCATGAGGAGATATGCTCTGTTGATGCCATCGATGGATGGAGCAGCTTTAATCTTTGGCTTAACCCACATCTTTTCAAATCTCCTGCCCAAGCAGCTCTGCAGCGTTTTCGCTCTGATAACATATCTCTTTATAATCAAACGGGCAATTTATTCTGACTAAATGAAATTCAAAAGTTTAAGTTGTGGGTGACTCACAAAGCTGGATTGTTGGCCCTGACATGCACAAGTAGATGTTGTACACTCAGTTGTTTACACTTTCAGGCCTAAGAGAGCCCACCAGGCGGAAGAACAATGGCGCTTTGTCTCGCCTGTGTGTGTGTGTGTGTGTGTGTGTGTGTGTGTGTGTGTGTGTGCGCTGTTAGCTGCGCAGACATGCAGGCAGCAGTGCGCAGGGCAGTGCAAATGAAAGAAACTCACCCGCAGGCTGCAGCCACAAATGCAGCGACCTTTTCCTGAACCTTCACATTGATGCTTTAACTCATCTACACACTACATGAGGATTTTAGTGCAGGTCATGGACGGTGCTCTGCATGTTTGAAACATTCAGACTGTTGCACAACTGCAAGCGACTGTTCGGGGTGTATATCACTCTCACACACAAACCACCACTCTCTTTCGTGCACACTTGTGAATCACAGCTGCACACACACACCCATCACAATGTTATTTCATGACTTAACACCAAAACACTCTCAATATTAGTGTTTTTGAGATTTGAGAGTTGTCAAAGGTGACACTGTGCATCTTTTGCATTTCCTGTCATGTGAAATTTGATAATGCAGGAAAAAGAGAGCAGCAGTGAATGTAGGAGTAGGAGTAAAACACACACGTGAGAAGATGTAGTAGCATGTGTGGGAGAGTACTGTAAAATTCTGCCCGTTACAGTGCGAACAACCTCAATTGTTGTATGTTTCTTTCTTCATTTTTATTAATATGAAGTTAATAAAATCGGGTTTGACTTGATTCTAAATTGGCCCTTTTCTATTAAAGATTATAAACATGTTATTCATGCAGACACAGTTGGTTGATGAAGGAAGTACTGTCTTGGTGGTTGTGCAGAAATGACAAAGGCCACAGTGTCAGTGCAGCCTGTCAGCTCCAGGTCACAAGGTCATACTGAGTCACCAACAAACTCTGTATATTTATGTGAGGGGTCAGTCATATCAAGGTTGATCTAAAGTCATGGGATCTAGATTTTTTCACTTTCATATTCAGCTCATTTTTTACTTCCTCTTCTTGTTGATATAGAAACACAAATGGAGGAAACCACAGATCACATTAGCGTAAAATCCACTTTGTGTGCTCATGTTGCTGTTTCCCATGAAGTCCTGGTTTAAGTTTCCTTCTTGTTCCACTAAAAGGACATGTAACGCCCGTCTTATGTGACACTTCTGCTTTGACCTGCCTCACCCTAAAAACTCACTTCTCATTTTCAGGTGACAACATCCTGGCGGTCTTGAGATACCTGGTGATGTCAGAGAAGTTAGCTGATTCCTCAGAGTATCGTCACGGCAACATGGTGTTTTTTGACCTGTTAGGGGTCATAGTTGTGGCTTATCCGGCTCGTGTCGGCACCATTCTTAACTACATCGTGGCCATGGCCACCTTTCTTTACCTGGCCAAGAAAGCCTCTCTGCCAGGTCGTGGAGGTATGTCTTCATTTCCTCTGCTAGAAGAATGTGTTACATGCTTTATCAATGCATATGCAAAAATAAGATTCATAAAAATGCTTTTAAAGAAACATTTAAAGGTGGGGTAGGCAGGATCTGAGGAAGTGCCAGCTTTTGAGAGAAATCTTGAATGTAAACTCTACCCCTCCCAACCAGTTTTCCCCTCCATCTCTGCTCCAGCAAGCCCCGCCCACAAACAAACACTCCTGCTCGCTCATATTGTTCCAATTAAATTCAGATATAATGCAGATAAATACTTCAGATAATTACAAATAGAGCACAGTCAACGTCAAAATTAAAAGCATTGGTGCTACTGTAGATGCCAACAGACTACCAGTAAAAGTATTTAGTTCATTTTCTTGCCTGTGTTGGCAGTCGTGGCTAAAGGAGGATTCAGACAATTTTCCGTCCTTTCTGGTTGGTTTCTACTGTCTGATATTGTAGCACACTAACTTTGTTTGGGCTCCTAAACAACACGGGGGAGCAGCGTCTGCCTCACAACCAATCAGGATGGGGGAGGCAGAGAACGGCTTTGTTTACAGTCAGAAAGAGTGGGACGCTCTGAAATTTTAAACTGTTGACTACACAGACATAACAAAACACAGCGATATTGTTATGTTACCAAATGTCATCAATAACTAATAGCTACTGACTGATATTAAAAGCTTTTTTGAATAAAAACCACAAAAAAAAGATGCTTCTTTAACGGATTCCTGCCTACCCCACCTTTAAGAAACCAAAAATAACTCTGTAAAAGTAGATGTACAAACTGTTTATCAACATGCATTGGTATTAAATGTGGAGTTCCTCAGAGATCAATATTAGGCCCCCAAATAGTTCATTTTAAATATAATTTACTTTATGAGGTATCAAAAATGTTGAATTACAAGATTACACAGATATAATTGGTGTTCTGGGAGAATTTGAATTAGCTTTTTGAGGTGATCACAGTAGAATTAAATGAAAGCAATGGTTCAAAGCTAAGTGAGACCCACTCTGGATCACAAAGTGTTGCTGTTTTGTATTTCTCACTTATACTGCCAAATACTCACCGTGTGGGTGTTAAGGGTAGAGGATTACATTTTTTTCACTCAGTATATCCTCTCTAGATGAGCTGTTTTGGTCAAACATTTACCTTTCGTCTCCATTTCCTCCAAGGTGGTCGCTATGTCCGAGACTTGGCCTGCGCCACAGGTGTAGCAGTCCTCAGCTGGTTCGTCACCCTGCTCTCTGTGCTGATCGTAGCTTTAATCATCACACTACTGGGCCGCTCCATGTTTTGGTACACCCACTTCTACGCCTCTGTCTGCTTGTACGGGTCTGCTGCTACAGGCAAGATGGTTCTCGTTCACACCCTGGCCAAGAACCTGTACTTTGGAGTAAGTGGAGCTCTTGATGGTAAAACTTTGAGGTTATTATTTGGTAAATACTTTGTTTGCAGATAGGTCGGTGAAGCTCTTTTGCTTAAACCACAAAACTGGACGACTGTGGCCTAGTGGTAGAGTCGGATGTTTCTCAGTCAGAGGATTGGCAGTGTGTGCTCTTGAAGTCACATGCCCAAGTTGCCGAGGCAAGATCCTAAACCCTGAAATGTTCCAGGTGGCATAGCCAGCGGTGTGGGAGATTAGTTAATACTGATGGGCAGTTTGTGCAGCTTCTCCTGTCATCGGTGTATAAAAGGTCTGAATGGGTGAAAACAGCGTGTAGAAGACTTGAAAAGTGCAACAAAAGCAAAGTTCATTTTTCAATACTTCAATATTATCATGTAAAATAGAGCTGCAGTACAACGTTGATGAAGAAGATAACGGCTAAAGGTGAGTGTTGACATGGTTTTTTTGTTGAACAAGAAAGAATGAACACAGTCCTGCTCAGATAATTATCTGAAGAAATTCTTCTTTCAGAAAAAGCTTCACATCACGTCGGAGTGTTCCCAATAAATGCAGCAAAGACTCAGTTTGAGCAAACTGCTTAAAGTCAAATTATCTACATGAGCGTGATATCTCATAACGATTTAATCAGGCTGAAGTGCACTGAGTTAAAAGCCAGACAGTTCCTCTTTTTCATGATGATTAAAGAACAGCAGCTCTTTGTGTGTGTGTGTGTGTGTGTGTGTGTGTGTGTGTGTGTGTGTGTGTGTGTGTGTGTGTGTGTGTGTGTGTGTGTGTGTGTGTGTGTGTGTGTGTGTGTGTGTGTGTGTGTGTGATTATAAAACTCTCACACCAGCAGTCATCTGTCTCTCTCATTCACCAAAGTAAAGTTTCTGCTCAGAGCAGATTGACCTTTTCTCACTGAGGTTTTGAAAGGCAGCGCAGGAGGAAGTATTTCAGACTTTTTACAGCTATCAAACGTTTGCATCTCTGCCTGTTTCTACACAGGGGCACGTCTATCAATGCTTTTTATTGACCCTGCACATTCTGTACGTTTTAGGAGTTGCTAGTTCAGATTCAGCAGATGTATCAAAGGCCTGACAGTGGGTAGGAGCTTTGGTTAGAGGTTGAAACTGTTACAGAAAGAGTATTTTCATCTAAAGCTTACCACTCGATGATTTGAAGCTTTTTATGGACGTTTTCCAGAAAGGACTCAGACTAATCTTTCTCCCAGACAACACAGGGCTGCATCCCTGATGTGAAACAAAACCTCTACTGACAGGACAGGAAACATCTCCAGCTTGGTGAGATCAAACCTGATACATTTTGATAAGCAGAGCAGGTAGAGCTTCGTAGTCCTGAACAAAGATAAAATAAGTTTTCTCAAAAATGCCTGCCCATTGATAAACATGGTTGTTTTTTTTTTGTTTTTTTTTTCAAATGTTTAAAACATCTTTACACACAGTAACACTTTTCCTGCTCCATTTGCCCCGATCACATGAGCCAGCCCTGCTGATTGCTGGTTCATGAGTTTTCCCTTCTTTGGACCAGACTCAGATCCTTTAAAAAACAGGTTTTGCATTTTTTTTTTAAAACCTGAAAATCATTTAAGCTTATCGAAACTTTCACGTCGTGTTGATTAAATCACTGTGGTAAGCAGGAATTAGGTATTAAACTACAGAGAGGAATCCTGGTGGTCAGATGCTTGCGACTATGACTGAGGGTGCAAAGAGGTGATGCAAAATGCAATTTAAGTCTCAAAAACTTTCTTGAAAGTGGGAGATGCAACCTCCATGGCTGTGCATGTCAGCATTGTGCATCAAATCAAGCTAAAATACAAAACCTTTGACTGTTACTTAGAACTAATTATAGCAGAAAAGACTCAATAGCCATATCAGTAAGGATTTGAATCATTAAGGAGTCTCGATAATGATATCAGTACCAGGAACATCCCATAGAGCTGCAGTTTTGGAGATGTCTGTCCTGTTGAAGTCGCTCATATTGTTATTCTTTCCTATTTTTCCTGCTTCTAACACATTAGCTTCAAAATGTTCACCTGCTGCCTAACATATCAACCCTCTGACAGATGCCAGTTTAAAGAGATTATCAATGTTATCCATATAACGCGTATAAAGTGGCGACCGTTTTCTCAATTTATCAGTTCTTTTTTCTTTTTCTACACAATGGCTCCAAAATACCAAATGCTTCCTTCCAACTTTCCATTGACTCTCTGGGGCTTCAAGTACAACCAGTTTGGAGCTGGTTTAATCAGGATGATTTACCATTAAAGTGAAAAATCTCAGAAAATTGAATCAGAGAAAAGGACCTCTGCATGTGGCTGCAGTCTCACATCAACCATGACTCTCTGCATGTGGTTTCTGTAAAAAAACAAACCCGAGGGCCGCACTATTGAGATGTTATCCTAACTCGAACAGTGCTGCCTCATGTGCTCATGTGATGTTTTGCCTCTGAACAAAATCTCAGAGCAAGCCTTCAAATCATGCAAAAGTAGTGCTTCATAAAAACAGATAACATAATGTATCCAACTGCGGAGCTCCTCTCTGGTTTGTTTCCATCAGTTTCTAGTTCCTCTACAGGTTATAGCTGAAGTTTCAGGATAAACCAAAATGATGAAAAGTTCCCTTTTGAAGGAACTGAGAAGTAACCGGTCAGTTTTTGGTTCCTGTTCAGGTGGTACATGCTTTAGTGTTCATGAGCTCGGTGTTGTCTTATTTGTGGAAACTTGATAGAAAGATACAAGGCAGGAGCTCTCTTCTTATAAGCACACCTAGAAAACAACATTGGCTGATGCTTCAAAATGAATTTATAAATTTAAGAGACTTTTTTCTGATGTGTGAGAAGCAAGCATGACCACACTTAACATACAAAAAAGCTTCTGTTTGTCCACAGATGTTCACCCTAAATATTTTTATTCCTGCAGATAGGAGTGATCGTGTCTTATACAAATAGAAAGGAGAAAGAACAAGTAGTCATTTTGTTAACTTTTTGTCTATAGTGGGCTGAAAGGCCAAAAAACAGGGTTTAATTTAATGTGTCTTTGGTATCATGCTGGATTACTTAATGTTACCTTCAATGTTTCGTATCAGCTGATTGATGCAGATTTTAATATTCTCTCTCTCATGGAGTTATCTCAGCACACATACTACACATCCAAAACAAAGGTTAATCACCCATCATTGTGCTTAATCCAATCATCTATTGTATTATTTTATGTGCAGGGTGTCCGTTTGGTGGAGTTGGGTGATCTCTTCTTCGACGTGAGCATACTGTTGTGGTGCTGCAGCCTGGTGTGGCTGACCCAGCAGGGCTTGTGTTCAGCCTATGTGCCCATGTTGATGGTGGCGTTCCCTCTGGCCACCAGACTGCTGCTGGCCAATGAATTTAAACATAAAGGTAAGACGCTCGATCTAGACTTAATTTAAAAAAATGTTCAAACGTGTTTAAGCAAGTTTAGGATTTTTTTAAAAATAAGGCCACAGATTTAATTAAATGAAAGTCAGTATAAAATACAGATTTTGTTTAATGCTTGTGAACACTTTTGATATCTGGTTCATTTAGAGTCAAGACATTATAGTTTTTTATAGACAATCAATTTCTGCTACCCAGAGACCAATTTCAGCCCATAAAAGAAAAAACAAAAAAATAGAGAAAAAACATGATGGGGAAAAAAAAGTGTTAAGTCATTATATTAAGAAAAAAGTCCAAATTATGAAACAAAAACATGAGTTGAAACGGTTCAACTTCAAGGTATTAAATCCAAGTTATGAGAAAAAAGTGTGTTTTTAAAAGTTTTAAAGCAAATTAAAACGAAATAACAGATTTTTTTTATTTCATAATTTGAAGTAGCTGTTTTCCAAATACAACTTTTTATAACTTTTAATTTCAATTTCAACTTTTTACACCTTTTAAATTTTTTTTCTCATTATGTCTTTCTTTCATATTTATGACTTATTCTCTCATGCATGCCACTTGCTCATAATTTCAGCATATTTATGTTTTTAATTTCATAATAATGAGTAATTCTCTCATTAAAAACAAAAAAAAAATTCATTCAATTCCAGATCTTTTTTAAAAAAAAATTAGCAGACACAAATATGAATCAAAACTGTCTGAAAGTTTCAGTTCTCGCCGATACAATCAGAGGTCGTTTAATGACAAGTCAAAGTGACTCTCTCTCTCTCTCTCTTACTGTCTTACTGTTTACAGGAGCATCAGTGAAGTACAGTGTGCTTTATCTGTTGGGTCTTGCTCTGCCGTATGTCCACTTCATGTTCCTCATCTGGGTGGTGTTTGAGATTTTCACCCCCATCATGGGCCGCAGCGGCACAGAAATACCTCCAGAAGTGGTGCTGGCCACCTTGGTCACCCTGACAACGATCTTCCTCTCCTCCTTCTTTGTGAGTGTTTCTTTACTGTCACATTTCATATTTGTTATGATCCACTCCTCTAACATATATATAATCATGTCCGTTTCAGCTGCACTTCATCTACTTGGCTCGGAGCACAAAGTGGATCCTGACTGGCCTGGGCTCAGTATTCGTCATCATGTTTCTGCTGGTGTCCTGTGGCCTGTTTTTCCCTTACTCAGGCAGTCCAGACAGCCCCCGGCCTAAAAGAGTCTTCCTGCAGGTTTAAATTCACAGCACACACACACAAACACAAGCAAAAACATGAACACAAAGCAGCGCTCTTAATCCAGGGATTGTCAGGCTATTCACATCCTGTCCTCCGCTGCACCTTCCCCAGCATACGACCCGGACCTTCCACAATCTCCAAGGCCAGGTGGAGAGCCGGGACTCAGGTGTGTGGATCAACAGTTTCGACTACACAGCCATGCAGCATATCACACCCCACATCCCCGAGATCAACGACAGCGTCCGCACCCACTGCAGAGAGGACCGACCCTTCTGTGGTTACCCCTGGTTCCTTCCTGTCAAGTTCCTCAGCAAGTCAGTGACGTTCACGCTCTCGGTTTTATTGGCGCGATAAAGTTGTCTTTTCTCACTTGAAGTATTTCGGTGTCTTTGCAGGAAGAACTGGTACCTCCCTGCTCCAGAAGTGTCTCCCAGCTCTCCGATAGAGTTCAGCCTGCTGTCTAAAGAGGAAACCAGCTGGGGGACGGTCAAGATGACTTTCAGTGTTAAAGGTCTAGAGCTCTTCACATGCACAAAGTGATACAAACCTAAAAATGCTATGTAAATAAGGCTGACATGCAGAGACACAGTTTGATCTCATTTGGACGCAAGCCTCCAAAAAAGATGCTGGATGTGTTTGTGTAAAAGAAGTGCAAATGTGTTGTTAACTGAGGAGATAAGGAGGGTGCACAAGAGTCATGGTAAAGGTACAGAGCTCGAAACCAGCGTGTCCACCACCTCCTAATGTTTGTCGACAGACTCGGTTACAAGCTCAACAGCCAGTCTGAGAGAACAAAGAAATAGAAAATCATTTTATTCACTCCTATTGTGCAGCTTGGCAGTTTGTCATCTGTCAAGTGAGTGGAAGCAGCACTGACAGGGCTGCTGCTTACAGGGTTATTCTGTGCCCTGATTGACAGACTGCTGGGGTAGCACTTGGTTACTGCAAATGCCGACCATAGACTGCCCTACATGTGGATTTAGTCTCAGTGACTTCACCTCTTGTTTCTGAAAAGGTGTTGAGATGAGATAGGATGGTGGCCCTCGTAGTGGAAATGCTGGATTTTACTTCTGACTGATCTAGAAAGTCACTAAGAGCTGCCTATAATAAACTGGACTGTGGCAGCCTTTTAGTTGAACTACCACGCTCCTAGTTTCTCCTGATCATGCATGACTCTTGGCCTTGATATGACTGAATTAGTAAGTTAAAGGTAATAAAAAACATCATCCATCTGCAAAAAGACAAAGTAATGGAGACCAAAACTGTTTTTTTTTCAGGCTGTACTTGTCAAAATGGGTTGTAATCAGGGGTTGAAGATACTGATTATCCTGGTCCATGAGAACAATAGTCAAAATTTGGGACTGATATGCATTGACAGTAGAAATCAAAACTTCTTGTCAGATGTCAGAATTAAGAATATTTTAAACTCCAACATAAAACTGTGTTGAACTTCCCGGAAGAAAAGACACAACAGCAGCGCAGCCGAAGTCTCACACTTTTTAATAGTTCCTTTATCGGCCACGTGTAAAGTAAATATTGGCTCTGATAATGGCAAAGGTCAATTATCAATCTACCTCCAGTTTTGTCTTTGGAGTCAGCATCTAGTGGACAGTCAAGGAACTGCAATGTCCTTTCTGTTCTTGGTTTACCATTAGTTGACATGCGTTGCTTTCAGGTTTATATGAGGAAAATGTTGAATTTGATAAGAAAATGTAACTTTGCTTTAAAAAATACATTCAGATATTTTTTCTGCAGTCAAAGGTACACCCTGCTGTCCTTTTCAAAGAATGATTTTTTGGCATTAACTACACTTTTAAACCGGAGGACACACAAGCTTCTCTTATTACCATCTTTATGCATAATTGAGCCTCTCATATTCATACCCTTCCTCGTTCTGTCTCATGCAGGCCCCAGTCACTTGTCTCTGTACTTGATGCCTCACAGAGGAGCCAGCCTCTCCACCTGGTCCTTCGGGGACGGGACGCCTCAGTTCGACTTGAGCGGAGAGTATTTTGTCTTCTATTCTCATGGCCTTGACGCCCCCACTTGGACCTTCTGGTTCGAAATACAGGTACCCTCCTCGAATCAAAAGGAAAGAGCCAGACTGTACTTTATGTACTGATTAAGATTTCATAACTTTGGCCTCTTGATTTGTTGTAGATAAATAATTTAAACTCCTTTTTTTTTTTTGGGTGAGAGGGTGGAATCTTGGAGGTCAGTAGTTTTGTTTTCACCACAAAATGTCATCAAACATATCAGACAACTTGAGTGTTTTTTTTAATAGGGAAAATTTAATTCTTTAAGGAGTATTAGTAAAAAGTAGGGCCCGACCAATATGGATTTTTTGGGGCTGATGCAGATACCGATTATAGTGGGGGGGGGGGGGGGTCTGATTACCGATTAATCGGCCGATTTTTAAAGTTTTTTAATGAGTTATAAAAAATAAATATATACTGTAGATATCTACAGTATACTGTAGATATACTGTAGGCTACTGCTCTTCACGCCGACAGGAGGACGGACTGGTCAAACTCGGACCAGAAAGTGTTTTCAACTAACCCCACCCCACCCCCGTGCCGATCAGTGCCTCCGTGTCTTAACTCACGTTACTCATTTCCGGTCCGGTCTCATCTGGAGACATGCAGCTGCCTCAGAGAAGTAGTTCGATCATGTAATGTGTACTGTTGTTTATTCTACCGTTATCGGCACGGCTCACAGTGTAGCAAGGCTAATAGCAGGTGGCTAACTCTAACTTTAGCTTGCATATTACATGGTGCTAAACCGTTAACTCGGCGTGACCGAGACCAGCACAGCGGGAAACATCGGCTCACTGATAAATCGGTTGGTAAAAAGGTTATATACTGTGCATGTACACTTAAAAAAGAGCTGAATTCACTGGAAAACAACTCCTTTAGGAATGTTTTTCTCTACCTACAGCTCAATATGAACCATCTGCTACAAGTGTACACTTTGCCTTTCATCCTTGCATTAAGACCAGCCCTTATTTTTTTTTTCCATTCCTTTCATTCCTTACATTTTTACATTGGTGCCAGACTTCACCTCAGGGCCCCAGCCTGTGATGTCTGCAGGAGATTAGCTGCAGTCAGGGCATAGTTGGACCGTGTCGCCGTCATGTGAAAAGAGGAGATTAGAATTTTTTTGATCTGTTTTAAGGAGAGCAACGGTCAAGACAAACTCTGTGACTATTTAAAATGATGTAAAACAATTTTTGTTTTTGATTTTCAGCCTCCCAGAGACCCAGACCCGTCTGGTCCAGAGGGGATGATCTCCGTCGCCATTTCCTCTCACTATTTCTTTGGACACGACCAGAGGACTGCTCAGCTAGAGGAAATTCTGCGCAGGTTTCCCACGTGGACTTTCCCTTCGTCTTGGGTCAGCACCTATGACATGTACCGATACTGAGGCTGTTACGGAGCATGACGACAAAGAGAAACGCAGGGGGGCTGCAGGGAGCTCCTCCACCCCCCCCACCTGAGGAGGACACGATACAAGGAGGACAACAAACCCTGCTGCCTTTCCACTCTGACACAAACTCACACTCTCTCTCACACACACTCAAGCTCCCTCCCAGCCTGCCTGAGAGACCCCCATCACTGTGTCAGTAGGCTTAGTAGCTAACAAAGCAGGAAGACATGCCAGAGGTAAGCTGATCACACGGTGCACGGGCTGAAAAAAGGCCACCGTCCGACTCTGAAGGCACCACAAGCCTGGCGCTCACTCCTGAGTTAGTGAAAAGAAGGAGTTAAGGTCTTTTTTGTTGTTGTTTTTAAATAATCTGCTGTGCCTTTGCTTTTCTCACTCAAACTCACTTCCTCCTGTTTCCCTTTTTCTCTCACGCTAACACTCTTCCCGAATGACTGAGGTTGCATGGCTTAAAGTCATCTGCGAAAAAAAAAAAAAAAAATAGAAACCTCACCACTATCTGTAACGTACCGCTGTAAATGTTTTAGAAGGGAGAAAAAAAACATGCTTTTTCTGCCTTTAACTGGAAACCTTGCCACCTCAAGAGTCACTTTTTATCCACATTCACTTGTTTATGTCATGAGCAAATGGTTTTTGTAACAACGAATCAGCTAACTGTGAAAAAAAAAAAAACATCATTCCTTACAGAAGCGGCTGATTCGCAGCCAGTCGTACCCCTGTGTTGAAACAAGGAATGCCAACAATCTGCTTTAAATGTCAGAGGATCTGGCATGCAGCTGCAGAGATCTTTGCCTGTTAAATGAAAACAGACACAATCAAAATGTCATTGTGTCCTTTTAAAAACAAGTAGCGTTTATGTGGGCAGTGTTTTTTTTTTGTTTTTTTTTCCAAGTGTAATGTGAAGTTTTTATTCTGGGCTTGATGAGGATGAGACCAAAACTGATGGAGGAAGAGGTTGTGTTTTACTCGAAATGTTCTGAGTGGAAAAAAAAACCACAGATGCAGCTCCACACTCATGAACAGCGTTATTGTCAGACAGCTTGTCTCCACTTCATGTGGGAGTTTTCATTATAGCGTGTCCGGTTGAAGCGGTAGTATTTGTTCTTGTTTTCAAACATGATCTCATGATGCAACACGCTTTCTCCAGCAGCACCAAAATCCTTAACCGCCTCTTTCACACATGTGCACCGGGAAATTTTCCAGATCAATGCAGGACTTTTAGGCCCTGAATTTGACGGATTATCTTTAGGTGCTTTTCAAACAAACTTTTGGTTGCAGGGACCTCTTTTCTGTGTTTCCACTGGGGCCAAACAATGGGAAACTTCATAAAGACAACTGAGGCACGCAGCAAAGCAGAGAACCTCTTCCTCACTCTGCAGCCTTCACCTAACTGGCTCATCCTCACCTGTTCTAGACGGTTTTAGGGACTGCAGAGAAAGTCAAGATAAATTCAGAGTGGACAGACTCTGCTGTTTGCTTTTGCTCTGATAATGTCTGGAAATTTTCAGGAGTGTGGTGCATATGTGAAAGGGGCTATAACATGAACCCAAATGCAAATATTTAGTACTTTTCCAGTCTGTGTTTTTGTCTGAACCTCAAATATATCTTTTGTTGTAAAAGCTCAAATATGCAAACTTTATCATCTTAGTCAGTAAAATCACCTAAAAGCAAATTACAGAATTATATTAAAGTCCAATAGAAACCTCGAAAGAGCAACCAATTCAGAAAACAAACATGCAGCCCATCTTTACTTAGATTTTGTATATCACACATTAAATATTATCTTTGTCCAGCATAATATATGATACCCATGGAAGTGATTGCATATGGACTGATAAACTAAAGCACAAACGTCAGTATCTCCTGTGCTAAATCTGAATTGGTGCTGCTGCAGACAGCTCACAGTATTAACTGTTGTCCTCTCACATTCAAATTGCACTTGTCATGTGTGGAGTGGAGCTGTATCACAACCATAGTCCAGATAATAAGATCTGATAACGCCTGCATTTAACTTTGATGATTCCAGACGCTCACGTGTATTAGATAGAGCATATGAAGCTGTCTGTACATTTGGGAGATGCAGTAGCCTCTTTAACGTTTTCTGCTTGTCAGGGCCGTGGCATTAGTTTGGGAAAGCTCTTGAATTTCAACCGTGTGTGAAAATCTGGTCTTCAGCACTACCTCCTCAATGATCAGAAGATAACAGATGCAAATTTTCTTGCATTTTGAATGTTGTTGTTGGAGAGATGTACGGCTGTTAATGTTAAATAGAGAGAGATTATTTTGACGAGTCCTGGAGCATCAACCTGTGTGCGTTTGTGTGTGTGAGTGTGTGTGTGTGTGGGCTACCTCTGAGCACTGCTAACAAAATGGAGGTTTATGAATCTATCTGCGGACGTCTGTCTCTGTCGAGTTATGAGAGTCAAATCGAAATGCTGTGATGTTAAAAAAAATAGAGTGAGCTTCCTTTTTCCATAATCAGCCCCACTCTGATGAAACCCCCCAAAAACAGAAGTCACATTGTCTTTACTCGCTGCTATTCGCAGTTTCTCTCCTCATATTTAACCACGTCTTGAATCAGGTTGTAAAAAATCTTGGGATTGCTTGCACTCGGAGATCAACTAAGCTAAAGCACCTTTTGTCCTCTTTGTATTTCACTTCAAACGGTGATGTGTTGTCATCATGGTCCATGTCGTCCTGGTTGTCGTCAGCCACACAAAATGAGAAATGCTGACATGAAGGAGGCCTTAACATTTAGCTTCCAAAGACGCACAAAATGTTTACTGTTGTGGATTTAAAAAGGTCTTAAAGCTATCAGGTGCTGCACTGTACAGAGTTTTTATCCCTGTGAAATGTCTCTCGAGAAAGTTTGAGTTTGAAAAATCCCATCCCAGCCTTCAACAGCACATGTTTAAGTCAAAAACAGGTTGTCCCATTTCGTCAATTTGACGCTCAACACGGCAGAAAATATCACAGCTGATTTGGAAGAACAAAACAAGCCAAAAAAAGCCTAAAAAAAACAAGTAACACCTGATATCAAGGTACACATATTCACTGCAAGCTTGATTCTTAGTTAACAGCATAATTAAAGTCTTTTCCTGAATGACACTATCCTAAAACTTTGCAGCAATTAAAGCTCCAGTGAGGAACTTTCAGTTCGTGTCAATTTTGGCGCCCCCTGTGGACAAAGCATGATGTTAAATCTGTACTGATCTTGTCCTGTCGTGTCTTGCTTTTAACGACAAATCTTATTCTGCTTTCTTTTAACGGTCAAACGTCACTTTCACTGTGTCTGACACCTGCCTGGGTGTGTGGTTACAATCACTACAAATAACCAACTAGATTTTGTCACTGACGGTTTTGTATGCCACGAAAGGGGATCAGTTTTAATATCATATCAAAAAACCTCACAGGAGCTTTAATGCCAATAAGAAGTAAAAAATCTGTAATTGAGGGAACCATCTTTTATAATTGACCAGTAGTTTTAGGATAAAGTCATGCATTTTGCTGTGCTGTGGGATACCAATATGCAAGCCTGCTCAAAACAATTGGGCATACTGTAAGGGCCTGTTTCCACTAACAGCTGTTTTTGCACGGGCGCCCCCATTTTTAATGCCAGAGTATCGCTCACCTGTGCATACTGTTGCAAGAATATTAAGGTGACTGTTAAGTCTGGTTTAAAACTCTCTGTGTGTTTCATATTTGCTGTTATTGAAATTAATTTTAGTAAGATAACATGTTAGCATTAGCAGCAACTATATACCTCGATAATATACCCATGAAAAAGACCAACTGTGTTTTGTTTCTCTTTTAAATAGACCTCTGCCCCCCAAAAAACAGACATTTTTAGCTGATTTGATAATGAGTGCAGGAAATACTGAACTGAATTTATTTTTGACGCAAAACACCTCTAGTGGACACAGGCCCTAAAGCTAGCTGCTGATGAATTTGTGTACCTGAATACATTACTTAACAATCCCACTATAAGGTCTAATCAACTGCTAATCTGCAAATTAAATACATTCTGGTGTATGTAGGCTAACACTGACATTAAAAGCCGCTAGATAAAAGAGTCTGAATCAGAAATCGACCTTAAAGACAGAAAAGAGGACTTAAAATTTACATTCAGTTTTTTCCTCTTCTCAAATGACCACATCTGAGTTTGTTGCAGGTCTCTTGTAGCTTTGATTACAGATTAAATGGAAGCAAAAACATCTTCCTGGCTGAAAACAAATGACAAAAAAGTCAGCAGAAATATGAGAAGAGAAAAAAAACACACGTATGGTCCTTTTTTCAAAGAAGCTGCTGAATTAACTGCTGTTGAGAGTCATGTTACCACAAGCTGCAGCAGCAGAAACACTAACCGACTGATCCTACTGTTTCTTTTTCAGCCATTTCAGCTCATATTGTATCAAATTTTCTGGATCAGTGGCGATGGTTGTTAACAGAGCGGGAGCTGATGTGTTTGTCTGTCCGACTGACTCGGATTCTCTGTGAAATCTGAGCCGTGAATGTGCTTTTCTTTTCACAGAATTAGTTTATCCTACTGTGGACAGTTAGGACTGAGCAGGGGTGTTTTTTTCATTTTTATTTAATGTTCTTCTGATTTATCATCTAATAAAAAGATCCCTGGTTTGAAGAAGCTGCTATAAGAGAGAGAAAAGGATCAAAATTCACAGGAGGAGCTTCAGTTATGCAGCATGGGAGAAAAAGCTTTATTAACAAATGTAAATGAATATTTTTCTAACGGGGGTGAAGTGGCTGAATAAGAGCGAAAGGTTTAAAAGTATTAGAGAATATTTCTGATGGATCATTTCAAGTTGTGGGAGAAATTCTGCTTGTATTTATAAAATGGGATGAGGACTCTTGCTGATGAAATGCAAGGTTTTGTTTTTATTCAAGGAATTGCTGTAAACGTGGAGATTTCTGACACACACGTTGTGAAATCGCTCATCCGACACCACCAGTACTCCTACTGTCAAACCACAGCATTCATCCAGCACTGCTTTAGAGTCCAGTGTAGAGAAAACAAAGTCTATGAATATAGAGTAACACTTTACAATAGAATCTAATGTGTCGGTGTTTAGAGAGGCTGATCAAGTGCTGCACAGGTTTTTGTTTTACAGCCTAAACTCACACTTGGATGTAGCTTCTTCTTCTTCATCACGAGTCAGTCAAGGTAAAGTTTAACAGCAACTCACACAAAAACAGGTTCATATCAGCTCGAGAAATGAACAGTCGGGGTGTAATCAATGATTCTGGGATACAAGTTGAAATGTCTTAATGCCTGTTGTTAATTATTGTGTTGTTGTTTTTTAATGTTTCCGTTCTCTTAGAGTTGTTTCTTGTTTTGTCCTACATGTTGACTCTTCTCACCTATGCCTATTTCTCTAACTGTTCAGTTTTTGATCTGAAAGTTAAATTAAGTTTTTTTTTATTTTAATGAGACTGATCAGTTTGTTCTTTTGTGATTGATTTAACGACTGTAACAGTTGAATTTCTCCTCTTTGAACTGCTGTTGTTGCTTTTTTTTTATGCATATTTGTTCATCAGTTGGGATTTAGTGATGATGCAATTTGTGAGATTGGGATTAATCTGGTCACAGGGTATCCATCTATTTAAAGGACGGGATGATGTTACATTATGCAAAAAAGAGGCTTGAATTAATTAGCACTCGTAAAGAAATTAAAATGCTTACTACTTTAATTTAGTTGGTGGTTTTGTCCTCTGTTAGAGATCACTGCGTTGGGTTAATTTAAAGACCCACTTCGATGAAAATCTTTTTTTTTTTTTTTGCTGTCTACATGATCGTATGGCATTTTTCTGATACTAGACGACATATCATGAGAAAAAGAAGTGCTAAATTGCATTTCTTTCTTTTTTTTTTGAGCACTTCATTTTAACTTTATTTATTAATATTTTCATGTGCAGAACATGTTATTATGCAATGAAGGTCATGACATATACACCCCCCTCCCCACACCCACCCTCACCCTTAGCAGGCAAATGCGAGGGTAGACAAGAAAGGCTATATAAGATTACAGCTCACCAATATACAGTTCAGGCCATAATTATTAGTTTCCAAAATTTCCTTAGTGCTGTTCAACAGATTATTTTTTTTTTAACAGCTTTTCCAAATATCCTAGTTTTATTTTGGATCCTTACATTATTTTACTAACTACCAGGGTCAAAATTATTAGCCCCCTTAAGAACTGACATTTTCATTGATCCAAAACAAAAACCACTGTTGTGCAATCATGTGCTTTCACTTTTGAGTGCTCACAGCTTGTCATCAATCAATCAGTGAAGTTAAAACAAAGGGTTGTCCTACACTTTACATACTGTATAAAAACCTTGTTACGTGTTTGAGCTGTCACTTGAGAAGGCATCGTGGCAAAAACAAAAGAATTCACTTTAGACTTGAGAAACAGAATTGTTGATGCTCACAAAGCAGGAGAAGGATATAAAAATTTATCATGGCGTTTCCAAGTGTCAAGAAGTGTAGTGAGAAGTATCATCAAGAAATTCAAGGAGAGCCACACAGTACAGAACAAGTCTGGGAGAGGTAGGAAGTGAAAAATTTCACGGAAACTGGAAAGAAAACTGCTGAAAGATGTGTCTAAACACTCTAGAACAACAACCAAAACAGAAGTTGCTGACTTAGTGAAGTCAGGAATTGTGGTGTCAAACAATACAGTCTCTAGAGCCCTGAACAGAAATGGACTACAAGGATGCAGACCAAGAAAAACTCCACTTCTACAAAAGAGACACCTTCAAGCCAGACTGAGGTATGCTAAGGACAATCTGGAGAAAGATTGTTCAAACTGGAGACGTGTTCTTTGGTCAGATGAGACCAGACTAGAGCTCTTTAGTCACAGAGACATTGCTCATGTTTGGAAAAAGAGGGGAGAGGCGTATAACCCTAAGAACACTGTCCCCACAGTTAAACACGCTGGTGTAAGTATCATGTTGTGGGGATGTTTCAGTGCATCTGGAACTGGGAATCTTGCCAAGGTTGAAGGAATAATGAAGAAAGAAGGATATGTGAAGATTTTAAAAGAAAAACTCAAGCAGTCAGCAGCTTTGTCTTCCAACATGACAACGACCCAAAAAATACAGTGCTCCTGGTGAGGAGCTGCCTCCAGGAAACCAAGGCGAACATTATTGACTGGCCTGCACAAAGCCCTGACTGAAATCCCATTGAAAATCTGTGGGCTGCACTGACCAGAGTCAATGCTAGAGGACCATCAGATCTGGAGGAGCTTGAAAGATTTGCCAAAGAGGAATGGGCTGGGATTCCTCAGGGGATGTGCCAGAGCCTTGTTACAAACTAGTTACAAATTATTAGCTCCCTCAGGGGAGCTAATAATTTTGACCCTGGTAGTTTTTGGTTTTCGTGAAATAATAATTGATTTTTTTTTCTCTTTCTTTCCTTTTTTCTTTTTTTATCTTATCTACTGCTTCAAAAAAACATACATACCAATGTGCTGAAGGACTTATTCACCTATTTTGCATTTCTGAGTATTTCTGCATTCAAATCGCTGTGAATCTCTGGCAGACCAAAATGGCAGGATCAGATACAGTGAGATTTCCTACCTCACAACTCCAAGCTCCGCCCCTGGAGCCCCGCTATGCAGGCCAGATTCAGAGAAATAGAAAGGACGATCACGGAACAAGCATCTGCATTGGCGGAAACGCTCGTAAGGAAGCTATTTATGATATTAGCTTTTATCATGCCCCCAAAGACATCAGTGTCCGATAGCTGAACAGCTCCTGTATTACCTTTTTCTTTTACTACACCGGCAATGTTAGGCTGCAAGCTAACTCAAAGAGAAGTGTGCAGCGCAGCGCTGTCTCTGCCCACGACTCAGAGTCGAATTGCTAATGAGCTACAAAAGCTCTGCAGAAAAAAAGATGAAAATGATACAGGTTATGCAATTTTTGGTTAAAAAAAAAAATCATATTCCCAGTTTTAAGACTTTAAAGGGACAGTTCTCCAAAAATTGGGCAGAGTGACTTTGGCATGTGGAGTCCCCCAAGGGTGAGTTATGGATCCCCCCCTTTTTTTAACTCTTTTATCCCTTCATTGAGAGACAGTAGTGTGAGTAAAGTCCAGGAGGGAAGAGAGGGTGAGGAATGACTTGGCAAAAGGCAGATCACGGAAATTCGACCTGAGGCCAATAAATCGAGGTCCCCGGACATGGAGTGCATGATTGAACGACGTGGCTAAACTCCCATGACCCCTTATTTAATATAATTTATGTTTCCCTCTGACACTACTATTGCACAGATGATACTCTCTCACCTCATTAAGCTGCTATTTAAAGCTAATGGAGAAGTTAAATCTGGAGACGTATCACTGATCAACTGGGCAACTCAACAGACACGGGTCAGCATCAGTTACGACTTTAGTCTTGAGCTCATGAGACCAAAGACTGAGTCTACGATGTTGATGTTCCCACAAAGTCAGATCTGACTTTTATTAGCAAAACAATATAGTGTTTGTCAATAGAAAAAAAAGACATTAGAATGAGGTTAAAGGGATATTCCGGTGTGAAATTAATTGAGGGTCAAAAACACCGTAACACCAAGTTCAACAACCCCTCTAGGGATGAATGTTGCTGACCGCTTGCGTCTCTAGTTATACCAACTTTAGTAATGATCGCAATACAGAGAGCCACGCGCTTAACCAAAATGCCACTCCAAACCCACAAATAATGCTCAGAACAGCACCTAACTTCATCAACAGTACATATAGGGTCCCAGCCATAGCACTAGCCACCAAACATCTTTTTAACTTTGCCTGATTTCTTTAGCAAAGAGACTAAACACAACTCACCTACTCTCTTCCAGCAGCCACTTGTTTGAAGCGAGACCTCAGGCCAGTCCATTACAGACTGCTGTGGGGTTATGCAGCTCAAGGAAGAACATTTATGATCATTTCTTTATCATTTCCTTAAAGTAATAATCACCATATTACTCATTTTGCACTGCAGACACAGTAGTTCTTCTGCCTTAGCAACTCGGTCTGATTGCATTTCCATGAAGAAATGTTCATAAATGTTCTTCCTTGAGCTGCATCACCCCGCTGAAAGTTAAAAAGATGTTTGGTGGCTAATGCTGTGGCTGGGACCCTATATGAACTGTTGATGAAGTTAGGTGCTTTTCTGAGTATTATTTGTGGTTATAGAGTGGCGTTTTGGTTGAGGTTTGTTTACAGCTCCTCGGACCGCTGTGTATCGCTATCGTGCGGTCGTTACTAAAGTTGGTATAACTAGAGAAGCAAGCGGTCGGCAACATTCATCTCTCGAGGGGTGTCTAAGTGTTACAGTGTGTTTGACCCTAAATTAATTGAGGGACGCCGCAATATCCCTTTAATATTCAGAGTGGATTATAAATAATAAGCACTTTTTAATTCATGCAGGATACTCCTTTGATTTCTATGAAGCACAGTGTGTGCACAACATGCTACGAGAAAAAGGAAAACTCAGCTGGACTTCATAAGGTAAACCATTTTTAAAAATAATTTATTGGTCTGTATATACAGGGGGAAAAAATGAAGTAGAAAACCACACGAGTAGAAAAGGAAAATGTACAAGAGAGAATCTTTACACTGCATTGAGGATGTTTTGCTGTTCCCGCCCCAGAAATAAAACTTACTCTGAGTCAGGAAACAGGAAATACTTTTACACTGTACACAGGAGAAGAAGGAGGAGGAGGAGGAGGAGGAGGAGGAGAGGGAGCGCCGTCCACCTCTGGGTGAATGAAACACCCGAGTACCATGAGACACACCTTAGCGCCTGCTCCTCACCCGCTGAGAAGGAAACCAGAAAAGATCTGTAATACACATTTCCGTAGGAAATTGTCTCGTATGCTGTCAGCATTAGTTTGAAGCATCATTGGTTATGTTTGAATGACAGGGATGGTTTATGTTCTTCCCCTCTGCATAATGAGTCAAACACTCGATCAAAGCAACCGGTTTTAACAGAAGGCCTCTGGACGTAGAGTCTTTGGTTCATTGTGTTACCATTTTCAAGTCAAGTGAAGCCCTCAGCGCAGCACTGTTGTGGAGCTGTAGGCCTGTCTTAAGAGATCTGAGGGGTGACGGGGTTTATGCAGAGTGACAACAGTACATCAGCAACAACAACAACAAAGGTGCTGCGTAGTCATTTTGCCCTTTTCATGAATTAAGTGTTCTTAGCAATCCATAAAACGTATCTAATTGAATACACCACACACCCAATTTGTCTTATACACACAGACGAGAGAGCGAAAATTAACCAATAAAATATGATTTGGTCTATCATGAAAATAAAAAGCTGTGGGGAAACAAAGAAATACAGAAAATAAAAAAATAAAGCTGAGTAACATTTCAATACATTGCACATCATAATACTGTCTGTGATTAACCGTTTAGTGCTTGTGGTAGAGGCAAAAAACATGACTTTGATTAACTACAGGGGAGGAGAAGCTTTGATATCAGTCATTAAAAACAAACCAAGCATCAATGCATTAATTACCAATCAGCTATAGTGCCAATAAATAATGGTAAATAAAGAGGACTAATACCATTCAAACAGACTGCGTCAATACAATGTGGTATACACGCACACACAGAAGCACACAAACCTGTGGGGCGAAATGGGCGACCACTGTCTCAAGGGCTTCAGGGAAATGATATGTGTGTTGATCTGGACGAAAAAGTCACGAGAGGAGTAGTATAACACGATAATAATAATGCTGATCAGAACAAAAGAAAAACGGTTGGCTTAAATGACGAGAACAGCAGCACTGATATCGACATCTGGATCGGCCGTGATATCCGTATCGCTTTCCATGCTGACGTTTGTATCTGTCAAAACAGCCAAAAATGACTTTCGATGAAAAAAATTCTCAGTGTGGATCTGATACAAAGGTGAATTAGACCCCCAGTATCTGTATCGGTTTCTGTATCGGTACATGTCCAGTCCCCCTCGAGAATATGATACCATACTAAATAAGCTTTCCTCTCAAATCAGCTAGTTTTAAAAGACACGAAAGTCGACAATAACAAACCACACTGGATGGTTTCTTCATCTAGGTACCAAACTCACGATCATGATTTTAAACAAATGTCTAAAATGTCTTTAAATCGACAGAGCAGATTGGCTTAAATCACACAATCTGCCTCACTGTCAATAGGAAACACCTTTTATTAATCTCCCACATGGAGACCCAAAAAGTGTGTTTCAAAGCTGGATAAAGCGTCACATGATTTGGTTTTTATAGCGTCTGTTTCGCCCGAGCTAATCCCTGCACAATATTAGCCGCAAATGCTCTCATCTCAGAGAGGATAAGAATTCCTGACCCAGCAATCTGTCTCTTAGAGAGGCCTAGACTCTTGTGAAGTGTGGGGCGCTGTTGAATGATAAAGACACAAACAGAGAGGTAACTGATCGGTGGTATGAAACTAGTCTGCACTCACATCAGTGGGTTCTTCTCAGAGATCATTTTCTTGGAAATCTTAAGGTCATCACTTCTCAAGAATTACATAGAATTCATACCATGAGTGTTTTTTTTTTCTTCTTTACAGGGACAATGTGGTATTCATAGAAAAATAATGTCATCTTCTACACTGACTGACACATTATTGAAAAAGGTATCACAAAATATCTTAAAATCATATGAGGTATGAAAGTATGAAACACCTCTCTCCACACGGCCCACTCATCGCAGCGCATCTGGTCCGATGGTTCATGACTGAAGAGCTTTGTTCAGGAGACACGGCATGAGGCTGTGATCAAACACTGACACACACTTACAGCGGTTTGATCTCTGGACTGATTCTTGCACTTTTTTTTTTTTTTTTTTTTGCATTTCACCAAAAGAAACAATGGAGCTCTGTCTGCCTAAAAAGTAAAAAGAAAAAAAAAGTCTCCAGTTTCACTTGAATTGAATGCTAAAGAAATGTGACGCACAAAAAAATCTTTCCTGGAATAACAAAAAAAAAAGAAAAAAAAAAAAAAGAAGAAATTCCTGGTGCTTTTCTGTGCTGGTCTACAGCTTTTTAAACACCGCAACCTAAAATATGAACACAAACTGACACACATGGTTTTGTCTAACAGCACATTTTGGTAAAATGAGGCCTGAACCTTCAGGCTGAATAGCGTCCCTCCGTGTGCAGTCGAATCTGTCGAAGCAGTCAGGTTGTGTCGCTCTCTTTGTAGCTCAGTATCCACAGGAGTTTGTCGACTCAAAGGGCGAAATCTGAAGAGTGGATAATACTGACTGAATGAACCTGCAGGAGAGGTACTTTTCTGTGCGCTCTTACACACACACCGCTTACACACACACTCTCACACACACACACACACACACAGAGTCTATTTCCTCCCCTCTTTCCTCAAGGCTCCAGAGTTCACAGGTTAAGAGTCCAGAGGAGGCTCCTGGCTTCAGGACAAGGTGCAGTCGTACGCTCCTTCCTCCTCCCCTTGTTCCTCTGTCTGCTCAGGAGGACAGTCCTCAGAGGGAGGGCGGGAAAAGCCTCCCGCAGGTTCGAGGGAAGGCAGAGCGAGTCCGTGAGGCGCAGCACCTCCTCTGCTGTCCTCCGCCCGTGGTGCAGCGGCGCCTCCCTGCCCCTCTGAGCAGCCGAGCTTGGAGCTCTGGCTGCTGGGCTGGAAGGCCTCAGGCTGCACCGGCTCGCCTGCTGCGGAGTCCATCAGCTGCTGGAGGTGAGGCTGGATCAGGTTGAGGAAGCGTTTGTATCCAAGGCTGGAACAGGTGGAAAAATAATCAGTGAGGAAAAGGTCTGCAAATGTGTTTTTTTTTTGTTCTCATTAGAAGAATCATTAAAAGCATTTTATAGAGTTTGGAATGATTGACAGCCAGTATCTTCACTCAGGTTTACTCAGTTTTAATCACAGACTATATCAGCTCAGTTTAAAGGGGGCATAAAATTAATTTAGTGATCATTACTTCATCATTTCCTTGAAGTATTTATCACCATATCACCATATCAATCATTTTGCACTGCAGACACAGTTCTGCCTTAGCGTCTCAGTCTGATTGCATTTCCATGAAGAAATGATCATAAATGTTCTTCCTTGAGCTGCGTCACCCCACAGCAGTCTGTAAAAGACTGGCCTGAGTTCTCGCTACAAACAAGCGGCTGCTGGAGGAGAGTAGGTGAGTTGTGTTTAGTCTCTTTGCGAAAGAAATCAGGCAAAGCTAAAAAGATGTTTGATAGCTAGTACTATGGCTGGGACCCTATATGTACTGTTGATGAAGTTAGGTGCTGTTCTGAGCATTATTTGTGGCTATAGAGTGGTGTTTTGGTTGAGGTTTGTTTATGGCTCCTCAGACCGCCGTGTATTGCTATCGTGCGGTCCTATCCTAAAGTTGGTATAACTAGAGAAGCAAGCGGTCGGCAACATTCATCTCTGGAGGGAGTGTCTAACTCAGTGTTATAATGTGTGACCCTAAATTAATTTTATGCCGGAATATCCCTTTAAAGTTGGATGAATGTTAAACTCTTAAATCTTACTTGATGGAAACAATAATCAATAATTACAGGCACAGAGATTAACATTAAAGGCTACGAGCTACACCCACCAGTCAGTGGAGGCCCATGCGTCCACAGCCAATAAGCCGTTTCTCACACTCTGCACAATCTCTTGAGGAACCTCCGGACTGTCCAGGTAGCCGATTGCCTGCTTTATGACACCTGCATCCCGCAGGATCAAACCAATCACGACGCACCACTCTAAACATCCCGCCTCCATGAACACATGAAGGAGATACCTGCGAGAAACAGAGACGCAGTCATGAAACTGAAGAACAAAAATCGAAACAGAGACTGATGGACGTTTTTGTTGATCTTACCTGAGCTGCACCTGCGACTTGTGAGGGCCCTTGTTGGCCAGCTCCATGGAGATGTGCTCCAGCTCGGCCTGACTCAGGCTCAGAGTGGATGAGTTCTCATCTACCATCGTCCAATCACCATCCACCACTGAGCTGGTCTCTGTCAGGTCTGTGGCTGAGCCCACACTGTACTCCTCCACTGAGGGAGGAGAGAGGACAGAGGCGTTAGAGAGAGGAGATTGGCATTTTTCAGGAGAATTCTCAAACAAGGATTCAAAGATTGAGTACCTTTGTTGGTGAGCAGAGACAGGAAAGCATCATGTGTCTGAGGTGAGTGTGGGTTGGAGTGAGCGGATGAGGCCGTGTCCATGTCTTTGGGTCTTTGTTCGAGCCCGTCCAGCCAGGTGTGGTTAGTTTGAGCTGCCTGAGGGGGTCCTGTGTCCATGTCGCTGTTCAACAGGCTGTCAGCGGACTGCGACTTCAACAACCGTGTGCTCAGGACTTCAAGTTAGAGCAGAAAAACAGGATTAAAAAGGTCAGATAGAGCCGAAGGTGAAGCACATAAACCAAAAAGAAACTCTGAGGTTTAAAGAAAAAGAAAAACATTGATCAATCAAAACCAGCTCTGGCTAATGCTTCAATTCTTTACTTGATCTACGCCTCACCTGAACGACACCGCCCATTTTTCAGAGGCGAGCTCAAATTCCCCACAGGGATCACAGGAAAAGGCCAGAGGAAATCCTTATGGAGTCTCTTTAACGCCAAAACAAAATCGTCCACTCGGGCTACGCGGTTTCTCTCCCGACATAACCAGCCGATGAGTTCAAAGCCCAGCTGTGCAGAAAAACACCCCAGGTCCCGAAGACGGACCTGCTCCAGGAGGTGGCGAGCATGGCGCCAGAGCATCATATCGATGTACATGTTTTCTGCACACTCCACGTCCCGACTAGAAAGAAACAAAAGAGCAAAGACGATGTTTTAGTCTTTTGATGTTAAAGTGATTAATATAGATAAAACCGTTACTCTTAATGTGTTAGCATGTACGAGCGAGAATACCTACCCTTTGGCTGAGGGTCCAGACGGCATACTGAAGGTCTTCTGCAGGTTGAATTTGCCCGTAGCGATGGAGTCTGCAGACTGCGACAAACTGATGCTGCGGTTTCTAAAGAACTCAAAGCCTCCAGTTGAGCTGGGTTCCTGCAGACATTCAAAGGGAGAGTTTCAGTTTGGTGTTCAATGTACAAAACATGCAGACTTATAACTGAACAACTGAACAGCTGATGCTTGGTTTCTGCAGGGTCATATTTGGTGATTAATTAGTTTTGATACAATACAATATGATACGATACACTATAATAAGGTACAATACGATACGATACTACACGGTCCAATACACTACGATACGATGCAATATGATACAATCCACTATGAAACACTATAATAAGGTACACTACGATACAATATGATATTTTTTTACTACGATGTGATATGATACAAGACGATACAATAGAATACACTATGATACGATACAATAGAATACACTACGATACGATACAATAGAATACACTACGATACAATACTATACAATGCACTATAATACGATACGATACACTACGATATGATACAATACAGTACACTATGATACGATACGATCTACTATGATACAATACGATCTGATACACTATGATACGATACAATACACTACGATGTGATACAATCCAATACGATACACTACAATACAATACAATACGATACGATACGATCCACTGATACAATACGATCTGATACAGTACAATATGATTCTATACACTGCGATGTGATAAGATACACTACGATACAATACACAACGATATGACTCTATACACTGCAATGTGATACAATACACTACAATACAATACTATACACTACAATGTGATACGATACAGTACAATATGATACACTACTATGATACACTACAATATGATACAATACGATCCACTATGATACAATACGATCTGTTACACTAGGATACTACATGATATGATACACTACGAAACGATTCTATACACTGCAATGTTATACGATACACTACGATACGATACACTTTATGATGATTTGATGTGAGTATATAAATGGATATATCTGTAATAACTTTGGATCTAATAGGAATGTGGCGAGCAGAAATAAAAAAAAACCTTATTTCTTTACCTGGGTTGTGGGTGTTGGGGGCGGAGTCTCCATCTCCCCTGAGCCAATAGCTTTCAAGAATCGGATCATGTGCCGGCACAGGTCCCATTTACCCTGCTCGAGCGCTGTGTTGAAGAGTAGAGTGGCGTGTTGCCTGCTGACAGCAGGGACCTCCATGTTCTTTACCAAGAGGGAGATAAGAGACAAAGTACAAGACTAAGTCAGGATTTTATGACCAGCTCTAATTGGACATTTGTGATACAGGAGCTGTTGGTAATTTCTGCATAATGTGTTAAAATCTGACTGAATAGACTACCTGCAGAATAATGAGATAGGAGGCTGCTGTGTCCAGGTCCTGAGCCATGAGACACTCTTCAAAAAGATCTTTGGGGTTTCCCACAGCGGCGAACAGGTAGTTCCACAGGGCGTACTCCGTCTTTCTGGCACAGTGAACGATGGTCTGCAGGAAGAGGGGGAACTCTGTGATGAACTTGGCCACAGTGGGCAGCAGAGGGTCGGGTATTGGCTCCCGGGACGTTGCCTCTTCCTCTAGCACGACGTGAACCATGAGCTCCATGACGTGGGGGAAGTAGGGGAGGGAGGCACATGACTGAGCCAGCATCAGAGCCTGTGGGGGGAGAGATTTTAGTAGATTTTACTCTCAAGAATCACCTGGACCTCTTTATTAGTGATTTTTCTTTAAGAGGGTCAACTTACTTGTTCACCCAGGTTGCGAACCAGCAGCTGCCTCAGGATGTGATGGAGGTAGATCTGGGACGTCCTCTCCACAGTGCAGAAAGGGAACAGCGCCTCCAGAGGCTCGGAGGATCCCTGCAGTCCATCATAGAGCACAGTCTCATTGGTCGCCCCGAGTACGAGGGCGTCTTCGAACAGCACGGCCAGAGGGTAGATGTTGATGTGAAACGGCAGCATGATTCGTCTGGAGAGGAAGGTGTGGGGCTTGCGGTGGTCTCGGGGGAACAGCGGCAGCCAGACTTTCATGCCTGCCTCTCCGCATGACAACCACAGGGCCTCCAGCAGGTGGCGCTTCTTCCTGTTGGAGCGACAGGTGGTCCAGACGTTCTCCACACACTGGGCCAGGACTACTGGAGGACAGAATGGTAGCTGGAAGAGAAAAAGAGGTGTGTAAGGTGAACATTGTGTTATCGTCAGACTGAATCGTTAACAGACTGAAATGAGCAGTGACGTCTCTTTAAAACCTCCAAAAACAGGATAGCCGTCACACAAGATTTGATTTAACCGGGTTATTTGAGCGAAAACTGGCCACACTACAAACCACACTACAGTCTATAAACAAACAAACAAATAATGAAAATGAATCTGTGGATGTTGTTTGGACTCACCAGCTTCTTGTTGTTGGCTGGCGTCTCCTTCTCCCGTACCTGCGGTCCTGAACGATCCCTCTGCAGCATGATCAGCTGACCGGCCAGGTTCAACATGATGCTCTCTGCCATGCAGGCCTAAAAAATGGACACACACAAACACACAAAACATGAACTCCCATGCACTGCAAAGAAGGAAGGGTGGAGCTCACTAGATGAAGGTTTAAATGCTTCTACCTGCTGCGGCGCTTTCAGTGTGATGCCGGTTTCGGTTCGCACAGAGGTGAGAGTGACGGAGACGACGAGGGCTGGGTGAGGGATGTAACGGGACATTGAAACCTCCTGCAACAACTCAACGCTGGCAGTGGGGTGAGGACTGAAACAATAAATAGAGGTAGAAATTTCAGGAAGAGAAAAATGCACCAAAAGGAATCATCAGGATACAGATTTACAGAAATAAATGAAAGGAGTCTGAAAATATTTAAGAACAGGAAGAAACAGCATTTGAGTGCTTTGCAAAAAGGCAGTTTCCAAGAATTTCTAGAAGCTGAAACAATTGGAAAGAAGTAGGGATGCACCAATCCAATATTTGGATTGGATATCAGCTCCGATATTGACAAATTAACTGGATCAGATATCTGATGAATGACACAGATCCAGCGTTCCGCTCCAGTCTTTTTTTTCTTTTAATCAATTTTTCCTTTAATATATGGAAATCTTACTTCTTTTTGCTGTGTGCTAGAGTGTGATTTGTTATTTGGCAATAAATAATATTAAGGAAATTTATATCTGTGTTAATTTGTCACCTTTTTTTTAACAAGGCTAATGTCAAGCCTGATGCCTTCACTCACAGGACATAGTATACAGTTTATTTATTCAACAGTAGTATTGGATCAGAATCGGACATCGGCCGATACACTCAGCCCAGGTATCGGATTGGATTGGAAAAAAACGGATCGGTACATCTCTAGAGAGAAGCAAGTGCAGGATTTCATTTGAGCAAGTTTCCTGTACTAATTAGCACAACTGGACTTGAGCAACTCCAAAAGACATAAGAACCTGAAATTATCAGAAAACTTGAGGTTCAAAGGCCAGTCAGGCTCATTTCATGAATTAAAAAAACAAAAAAAACAAACGTCCAATCTCAGCCAGATGAGCCGAGGCCCAGATTCATCATGTGAGAGGTTTTTCTAAGGCTTCCACTTAAAGCCTCTTTTCTCAGGGGAAATGTGGCAGAGCAACAACATGACTTAACACTAGTATGACTACTGGTGCCAAGGATTTCCCTGCAGCGTGTGAAAGGGGAAAAAAAACCTTTACAGAACACATAGAGTGATTTAGAATAGATGCTGTAATCTCTGAACAAAACAGAGTTTGGTTCGAGCTCCCAGAATCTGGATTTGTGATGTGAGGAATTTTTGTTTGTGGGAAAAAAAACAGCAGTTACAGATTTAGATTGAAGAAGCCATCTGATACTTTATACAGGGCATGAAGAAAAAAATACACGTTCAAGTATGATTGAGCCTGTTCGAATTATCCTTCAGAGGAGATTAACGTGTTTGTTCTGATGTTGAGGTGGCTTGAGGTACCTGTCGCTCCTCCTCTCTATGCTATAGAGGCAGATGGAGCAGTCCGCTCTGAACAGGATGACCATGTCTCTGAAGACGTTGAGCAGCAGGGTGTCTGAGTGCAGCTTTGTGAGGGATGCGAAGGCGTTGTCGAGGTTGGTAGAGCGTTGATAGAGCCTCAACTGGAGTCCACAGAGAGAGGACAGAGAAAGGACAGAGGGACAGGTCACAACATGAACAGGAGAGATCCACAAGAGGAAGCGTTGGTGTCGGCTGTGATTTTGTCTCACCTGCTCTTGCTGGTCTGTAAAATTGTAACAAGCCACCACCACAAAGTCTTTCCACCACGCCAGACCTCCTGTTACTGTCATGTTCTGCTCCTACACAGGTAATACAAACGCACACACGTGATGAAGCGGCTCCACTGTATTTGACTATTACTTATTTTAATCAACAATCTCACTTACCTGAGTGATATTTCCAAACAGCTTCCATTTCCTTGTGAATAAGGAGTAGTGTGCAAAGCCCCGTCTGCCTGCTACAGCCATGCACTGGCCTGCTGTGTCTATGGCTGCAAACTGCAAACACAAACAGACACACACACACATACACATGCACAAGACAAACAACATTATATCAAGTATTTTCAACACAAACGGAGGTAAACAAAGCTTTATGGGTGTATCATCATACAGAGTAGCCATATTTCATATCTTGTTTAACTCTGATATGTAACAATGACCTGAAATGTGATAACTGGTCGATAATGTAACAAAATACTGAGCCCAAAACTTAAAGGGATATTCCGGTGTAAAATTAATTTAGGGACAAACGCACTGTAACACCAAGTTAGACATAGTACTAGCCACCAAATATCTTTTTAGCTTTGACTAATTTCTTTAGTAAAGAGACTAAACACAACTCACCTACTCTCCTCCAGTTTGTAGCGAGACCTTGGGCCAGCCCATTATGGACTACAGCGGGGTGACGCAGCTCAAGGAAGAACATTTATGATCATTTCTTCATGGAAATGCAATCAGACCGAGACGCTAAGGCAGAAGAACTACCGCATCTGCAGTGCAAAATGATTAAAGCTCGTCCTTGAGCTGTGTGCCCCTGCCTTAGTCGATGATGAACTGGTTGAGGTCTCGCTACACATAAGCGGCTGCTGGAAGAGAGTAGGTGAGTTGTGTTGTGTGAAGTTAGGTGCTGTTCTGAGCATTATTTGTGGCTATAGAGTGGTGTTTTGGTAGAGGTTTGTTTATGGGGTCGTTACATAAGTTGGTATAACTAGAGAAGCAACATTCATCTCTGGAGGGGTGTCTAACTCGGTGTTACAGTGTGTTTGACCCTAAATTAAATTAGGGAAGCCGAAATATCCCTTCAATAACCTTTTGCCCAAAATGTAGCAACTTGTTACATTTTGTGTCAGTTATTACGACTGGGGTTTTATTACATTGTTTATATTATATTTTGGACTTTATTATATCTTTTAAAAACATTTCAGACTGTTACATATCGGTCTCTAACTAGGCTTTTCAGTCTGTATGTGTAATTTGAATGAAGCTATTTTATATACCGTATTTTTGGGGCAATAAAGCGCACCAGATTATACAGCGCACTGTGAACGTGTCTATGTTCACACATTAGACACATTAAGCATCGATCGGTTTATTGTTGCTAGCGTGTACTCTGGGCCCGGGCTGCCTTACATGAATGCACTTCTAATTTAGACATTACAGTCAGGCAGTCTACAGATCAGGTAGTGAGTGACACAACGTACCATAATGCTCCAAATATCCACTGAGCAGAGCGGCGTTAACCAAAGTCGTACTAACACATTTGACAGATTTTTGAGCCCATTGAACCACATAAAATCGGACAGTAAGAACAACAAGTAATCATACATAAGGTGTGCAGCATTATAAGGTGCACTGCCAATTTTTGAAAAATTTTAAAGATTTTTAGTGCACCTTATAGTCTGAAAAATACAGTAGTTAAAGTAGATTTTGAACACTTCCAGTCTTTAATGCAGCTAAACTTCTGCTTGCACACACTTGTGAACTCAGCACAATCAGTTTACTCTGTAAACACAGCTGCTCTGTACACTTAGTGATACCACCATGTTTAGTATGTGAACACATGTAGACTGCTTCGACTGATTCGCCTTCTTCTGTCATACATACATTACATCACGCTGAAGGCTTTGACGCTTAAGAGGCAAACTTCAAAAGGACATAGATGATGAATCAGAATAACAGGCACTGCTTGACTTACCCTTATAGGCCAGTTGCTCTCTAGGTATGTGCTGTGAATCTAGAAGGGCGACACATAAAATATATGAGATTATGACTGTTATCCAAACATTCACAGGCAACACCGAGGCCACACCGGCAGCATCTCCTTACCTGGACCACATGCCAGTGCTTGTGTCCCAGTAAAGTGCTGAGTCCCTGAGAGAGAGAGGTGTCGGGGTTTGGGGGGTGGTGCAGGGGGCTGCCGTCGCGTGGGTGTAGGTGTGCGTGCGGGTGTGCGTCAGAGGCGCTGTTGACCTGCGTGGGGTCGCCACAGGTCAGGTAGAGGCGGTCTTCACCATGAAGTAACACCTGCTCCTGGTTACTCTGTACAGTGAAGAGAGGAGCACGAGTGTTAATTGTGTGTGTGTTTTTAAAGGGTTATTACACCACAGTGATGGCCTGCTCCTTCTTACCGTGCAGGGGTTCACTGTGAGGGCAGACTTTATGAAGTGGAACTGAAGTATGCCGGCCTGAAGGGAGGAGGGAGGAGGCGTGATCATCTCCTCGTCCTCCTGTTCCCCCTGCCTCCTCCGCTCATGTTTGTGAGGGAGCACCCATAGGTGGTAGCCCTCCGCTCCCCAGCTCTGAAAAGGGAAATTCAGCTAATGAGCACAATTCAATCAACGTAACACTAAACAGGCAAACTTTGTGCATGTTACTCAGAGACAAATATACAAAGAGATATAATTATAAATTGTTTTTTGTTTAAACTTTGTAGTCTCAGAGTCCATGAAAAGACTCACAAATCAACCTAATAAACACTTAATTGTTCTTTTCTGTGTATAGATGTAAAAGTTTTAAATACATCCACTCACCATAGAGCTGATTTTAATGGGATCCTTCTTGGTACCGTCTGATCGATACCTGAGGAAGACGCAAAATATCAGAAAGCGTTAAAAAATTGTTTTAAAGAGTGTGTGTGTGTGTGTGTGTGTACTTACGCAAAGTCCTCGCCCAGAGTGCAGATGAGGTGAGCTCCGAAGACGCTCCACAGCGATAGGCCCCCACACTCCCATGTAACCATGGCAACACTATAGTCAGGTGACCAGCAGATGAGCTTGACTGGGCCCGTCTTGTTGTAGATGTCTGAACAGACGAACAACGACATGATAGTGTTGACAGCCTGCTCTTGCAAATGATGCATTAGTCACCGGTCAGGGATTCGTCATATCTGACATTTTGGCACGAACGCCGTTCCCTCTCACACATATTTATTCATATTTATTGATGCCCCGGGTTTATTGAGGTTTGTTCTTGTTGTGAGTCAACCTGATTTTGTTTTTGGCAAAAGCTTTGTGAGTAACTGTTTTTAAGACTTGAAGAACACTTAGGGAAAGCGCTTGACCAGGTTTCTATTAATGCTAAGGCGCAAACTGTACAGACAACAACAAGACCGAGGTTCCTGCAGGGTTAAAAATCCAGAAAGTAGATCTAATTTGAAATAGAATTCAATTTATGACCTCTTTCACAATCCTTTTGGCAAACATCTTTACAAACAACAGAAACCAGTTGGCCCATACTCATTAAATAATAACTTACAACAGATTTTCTTTCACTTCTTTCCAGCATTACACAACTTTCCCTAATGATATAACAAATACAACATTTTGACCGGTAGAAGCAGCAGGAAAAAGAAGCTGATAACCAGTTTCCTGTAAAAAAAAAGAGTTTCCTATGAACTGATAAAGTATTCATACTGAGAAAAAGTGGCTTCCTAACCACAGGAGTGAGAATGCTAAAGGCCATTTAATCCATCCAGGTTGGGTTGAGCTGCTGGCTGGTTATACAGTTTGCATTTTCAATCAAATATCCAGATTTCTTTTTTTTTTATTTAACATCCTATCCTTTTTGTTTCTCGCATTTTAACATTTTAAATGATCTTTCAAGATTGCTAAAGACACACATAGAACCTGGAAACAAACAGACTCCTTGTTTAAGTGATCAAGTGCTGACAAGGAACATCTCCCACTAGGGGGAGCTGTCCAATCACAGGTTTCTGACTGAAACAGATGTGCACTATGGGGAAACACAAGCATGTGTACCCAAGAGAGAGACAACTCTAGGAATGCGAATGATCTCAAAGAGGAATTCGTGTTGCTGTATGACACAGAAAGAAGAAAAAGAAATGTTGAGAGGAATGAAGACAAACGATAGAAAGAGCAGAAGGGTGAGTACCTGGATAGTGTTTGGGGGTGAGCTCCAGTTTGTGGGAGAGCTGCATGGATCCTGTTGTGGTGTCTATCATGTAGACCAGAACTGAGCCGCTGTAATAGAAAAAATAACTTGTATTAACATGCTTTTTTGTCGTGATATGTTTTTTTATTGAGGACTTGATGCAATGAATGCAACATACAAACTTGCAAAAAAAAAAAAGAAAAGAAAAGAAGGGATAGTGGGGAACGAGGGGAGGAGTAAATTCCTGCCAACCCGACAAATTGCTCAAGCACACTCGAGGTGGGCTTCTGCAAACACAAACCAAAGGATTCTCACAGCGAACACACACCACATGGACAACAAGCAATCTCTGTCACACTCACGTGCAAACAAACACTCAGCAGAGGTTTCCCATCACTGTACTGTAAAGATATGGACGGAGACATGTACCTGGCACAGCCAAAGGCCATCAGTCTGTACTTGTTGTTGACAGCCACGCAAGTGCCGTCTGTCACGTCTGCTGCCCAGACACCTTGCAGCTGCTGCAGACAGGAACACATGAAATCTGTCTTATATTCAGACTCTATAGCAGATGATAAACACGACATCGTTTGAATTTAACATCAAGTGAGTACAAACTGGCTCTCTGATTTTGAGGACATCATTTCTCAGCAGTGAATCATATTTTCATGCTTTCTCTATCCATATTGTGTTGCTCTGTTTTTAAATCTGTTGAGGCTGAGCATAGTTGCATCATCATCTCTCTGGAGCTTCTATTCTCTGTGACAGCTCCGGGTGCTCTTCCTCTTTGAGATGTTGCAGATGCTCATATCGTCAAACTGAGCTTCAACGAAAACTCAGCAGTGACATAGAAAACGGATTTCAGGAACAAAAAAAACCCTCTAAGTTTCACTTTCAGCATGAATGCTCTTATCAATTCTGAATTTTTTAACCCCTACAGATAACACAGCTTTTGGACTTTTGGACTCAGGTACATTGTAGTATTTTCCTGGCATATACAGGTCTGAGTTAGACCCCCGTCATGTGATCAGATGTTGTCATGAGCTATAAATCTGTAGCTGCCTAAATAGTCTTGTGAGATGGACTTTGTTTTTGTTTCCCCTATAGCAAAAATAAGTGTATTTAGACATCAGCAGTGTGTATTTATTGGTGTTCTTACATCTGCTGTGATGGTGTTGCTGAGCGGTGTGATAAAGCCCAGGCGCCCGTCACTCAGTACCACAGCAAAGCCGTCCAGGGTCACACAGTACTCCATACAGCGGATATGCACTCCCTCCAGGTCCAGAGATGGACCCCCTACACACACAAACGTACACACAATACGTAAGGTTGAGTTTTTTTCAATACTTAAAAGAAAAAAGGGAATTTACAGCTCGTAAAATCCCCTTTTACAGCTTTACAGCAAACAAGAACATCAGCAAAAACATTGATCGTTGTAATTTTTAAAACCATAAGGTAGGTGTCAGAGAAAGTGAGTTACAGCAGGATGAAGAAGCAGCTGTAGTTGACATTTTCTACAGAGCAGATTAGCAGCGAGTGATAACTTTCGCTGTTATGAAACAGCAGATGGATTTCTTTTTATCTGCAAACACTTCACTGACATACAGACAAGATTAGCAAAGCGCTAGGGGGGTCACTCTTAGGCCGCATAGGGCACCAAAATAACATCAGAAATTTATATAAGTGTGTTTTTTTTTAATATCCTTTGTCTTGGAAAAGCATTTTTAGTATTTCACATATTATTACTTAGGGGTTTCCCGATACGATATAAATATCGAATATCGGACATCGGTCCAATATCAGCCGAAAAAAGAATATTGGATTATATCGGCCTGCATCAAAAATCTAAAATATGAGCAGTCCATTCCAGACTCCGCTCCAGCACCTCTATATAGCAGTGCCTGGATCCAGTATGCAGAGCCCACGTAATCTCAACAATAGTGTGTACTAAGGTACATACAAAGTAGCAAGGAGTAGGAGTGATGTCAGCTGTGTGCATTTTTGTTGAAGTCTGAAAAAGACGTTGCAGCTGCGTACAAAACGTGTCATGCACAAGTTTGTGCCAATATTGGATCAATATCGTATCGGCCAATACTGAAGGCTACAATATCTGCATCGTATCGGAAGTAAAAAAAAAGTTGTATTGGGACATCTCTATAATGACTATTACATAAAATAAATACTGTAAAACTGTGTTCTTATTATTGTGTCCATCAGTTCACATTTCCACCAAAAAAAAAATAGTTAACAATTACAGCACACAGTATCTGTCTTTATCAATACTGCTCTTCCAGACACCTTTTACTTTATTAATAACCTGAGCTTGGATTATTGACAAATGGTTATTATTTAAGGAAAAAAGCTTCTGTGAAGGATAAAGGAAAAGGAGAAGACAAACTTTCTGACATTATGCTCCTGTTCATTTTCTCTGGGTTTGATACATTCACTCCACTTGGTCCAAATCCTGTAAAAACTTTCCTTTAGTGCTCTGAGGGAAGGTGACAGTCTCTCATAACATACATTTCATGGATTATTTCTGTCCATTTATCAATCGTGGGTGGGACAGATTCTAGCCATTTCCTCATGACAGCTCTTTTCTCCGCTGTCAGAAGAATTTGAGACGGTTTCTTACGATTTTACATTCCACCTACTGAATCAACTATCGCACATATAGACTGCGCTGCATACAAATGGGACGCTCATTCCAAATGTGTTATATTATGTATGTGCATTTCCTGCCATTAAGGCACAATAACTCCAGGAAACCAAAGAGTGGTTGGTATTATTTATCCCACATAGCCTCAGGAGGCTGCTGTCACCTCCCTGATGTCTGCTTTGCAGGGGCGTAATGAAAAATCGGACTAAATTCTCCCTATGTGGTAGCAGCTCTACTCCTTGTAAATATTAAAACCCCCCTCACTTTTCCACTTCTCTTTAATATACCATGTATTTTCAGGTTGGATTCAGATGTACCTTTATAAACTTTGGAAATGATCCTACAACAAGATGCAGAATTATTCTTTGATGAAACTATTTTCATGACTCCTGTTTTCTCTGGTGGAAATAGCATCTAACTTGAAGACATCTATATAAATCACTTCATTCAAGGTTTGTTTTTTAATTACTCAAAACCCTCTATGTGTGTGTTTTTAAGAGCAAAATCACTTTATCTGGTTTGTAATATACAAAGTGTGGGTGGGGAATCTCCTCTAACCTCGTGCAGACTGCAGGTCAAGTGAGAAGGGAATCGTGGTGAGGCAGATGGCCTTGCGTCCGTTGCTGCCCAGTCCGTCCCAGTGCAGCACATGGAGATACCCGTCTGCAGTACACACCAGCAGATCCTCTTGGAGGGACTGCAGACTGGTGGGAAAAGGAAGGAACACAAATAAGTTAGAGGAAGGCATCGAGGAGGAGGTAGTAAAGGAAAACAGTGAGGGGTGGTAGGTAGGAAGGGTTGGAAGAGGATAACAAAAGATAGAGTGTTGGAAAACAGAGGACTAGTCATCATCCAGCAGTGCCAGCCTGAAAGTTTTACTGGTCAGCTGTGATGAGGCCACATAGCTGCTAATGCCAAGTCTCCAAACACACAAAGGAACAAACTGCGTGTTTGTGTGTCTGTGTGAAGCATTCATTGTCTTCTAAAAAAGTACAAGAAGTCTAAAACTGAGGACAAAACTACAAAGAGGGGGAAAAAAGACGGAGAAATGAAGGGAAGTTAAGCACAGTGGACCCTCTCTGCGGAGGAGGGACCTGCTTTCAGTGTAGTTTCACAGCAGGAGACACCCACTCATCTGCTGCACAATCAAGCTGTGCCTGTGAAATGCCAGCAGAGTGCTCTCACTCAGATGACTACCCTGTAATCTCTGTCGAGTGGAAGGGGAGAAGTGGAAGAGACGTGACAGATGAGCACAAGGACATAAAAGTGGCACACGCGAGATAAACAAAAATATGGATGAAAAGAAAAGAAAGCTGAGCGGAAGAGCGGCGGAGTGACGGCTCTTATCAGTCAGCCGGCAGAGATGTCAGGCTGCGGGATGTGAGGCTGATAATAGGAGGTGAAACTGGAAGAAAGAACCGAAACGACAAAGTACAACACAAACACGAAAAGCAACAGACGCTGGCTCTTATCAAACTGACTTCAGTGATGCTTCTTTCAGCGTGTTTCTGCTGCCCAGAAATAAAAATGTAATCCGTTGAGTTTGTGTCAGACAGCAGCTTCACAAGCTCTTACAGTAACAATGAACGAGGGATCAATATTTTTTTATGGTCGAAAATGAAACATGATGAATCACTTGTATTAGCACACAATCCTGTTAGATTTCCAGTGTGAAAACATGAACCCAAAAATAAAGTAGGTAAAATCCCAATCTTTTACAGGACAGCTGTAACACTACAGATTGTCTTTCTCTCTCTCTCTCTCTCCTCTCTTTCTCTCTTCTCTTTCTGGTGTTGGACAAGACTGTGTTTTGTGTGTAAATCTGTCAGGATGGGGATTGTAAATTTTTACTGATACTGATAAGATTGATTGACTCTTTGTTCAGACTAGGTCCCGACAGATATGGATTATTTTGGGGCCGATGCCGATACAGATTATTGGGGGGGGGGAATCCAATTACAGATTATTATTATTATTTTTTTTAATTTTTAATTAAGTTATAAAAAATATACAAACTGGTTTATTTACCGTTGAGGCAGACCACTCTCCTCTGTGCGTCCTTGAGCTGCCTGCTTCAGATCATCACTCTGCTGTGCTGTGAGGTAGTTAGTGGATGAAGATTGTCATGAGGTCGCTGAACATTTTCGAAGTGAAACCAAATCTTATTCTCCGCATTTTATTTCTGAAAATATCGACTTGCCGATAAATCGGTCGGGTCCTAGTTCAGACCACCTCTAGGACTTCTCAATTGTTTAGTAGAAAGGCACGGCTCATTGTTGTATTTTTATTTGAATATCTGCTTTTAATGATGCATCACTACTACACTGGCAGTTACTTGGTGCTATGGGCTGAGTTGCCACAAGTTACTACAACTATTAAGAATATGATGTTTGGGGTTCAGACTGGGCGATAAATCAAAAATTTACTGATATCAAAATTGACGATAATAACTAATGTCATTTTGCCTTTATTGGTATATTCAGTGTCAAAAAAATAAATGAATAAAAGTTGGTTTTGGATGTGTGTAGGTAGGCTATGGTCTCATGTCCCTTTAAGACGCTGTCCTACATCAGAGACGTGACTCCACCCCATCCAGTCCGTAACAAAGAGGAAAAGACAGGTGAGGAAATGGAGGACGGTTCAAAAGTTGTGGCGGCTGAAGTAGACGAAGTCAATGTGGGAGGGGGTGAGCAGCTTGTGGAGTAGTTATCGTCTATTTATCATTATCGAGGTGAACTGCTCAATATATCCTGGTATTGATTTGAGGCCATATCGCCCTGCCCTATTTGGGGTCCCTACTCTTTAATAAAACACAGGTAACCCATGACAACCGTGAAGTGTTAAATGTCACAGCAACTAAATATCAACAATTCTGCTAAATGCCACCACTTTACTGGAACTCTAATGGTGTGGTGGCTGTCAGAGATACCACAGCAGCTTTCATGCAGAGGTGAACTGCTCAATATATCCTGGTATTGATTTGAGGCCATATCGCCCTGCCCTATTTGGGGTCCCTACTCTTTAATAAAACACAGGTAACCCATGACAACCGTGAAGTGTTAAATGTCACAGCAACTAAATATCAACAATTCTGCTAAATGCCACCACTTTACTGGAACTCTAATGGTGTGGTGGCTGTCAGAGATACCACAGCAGCTTTCAGCAGCAGTGGAAACAAACACCACAGATACAGTCGCCATTAAGGCAACTGCTGATGGCCACCAGATGTGCTGCATCAAGCTCCAGCTGATCCACTGGCAGCTTTAGATATCCACTGTTATGTAACATGGCGAGCAGAGGGTCATGGTTCATGCTGTGGTGGGGTTTCTTTGTCTCTCAGCAGAACAAATTATTGTGAGTAGATGTCTCTTTAATAACAATTATTAATGACTCAATAATGAATAACTTTTTTAAGACTCATAGTAAGACAGTTAGCAGGACTCTGAACTGTTATAAATTAAGCTTTTATCTTGTGAAGCATCCTTGTGGAAAATCTTTATAATGCACTTGTAAACAAGCTGAAAGCTCTGTGTCATGACCACAACTACTGTCGGCTCGAGAATCAGCTAAATTAATAACACAAACTGACATAAAGCAGTAAAATGAATTTTGAATGGTAAATACAATGTATTGGGATGATCCAAATAACATCTGGACAATCCTCCAGGCAGTGCTCCATCAGTCTGACACTGAAATCAAGAATATATATATATTTTTTTATCTTAGTCAATCAGCTGTAATCCTTTCCACACACCTCCATTATCCTGTCAATCGCTCATCTCTCTCTATGCAGTTTTTCTGCAGATGGAAATTTGCTCTCTGCAGGTCTGTGTGTGTTTACAACTGAGCGCAAGAGCTTTGCTCCTTGGAGCACCTCAAACATTTTCACTGCCAATACTGACTTTCAATGAGACCCACTGCTCTGGAGCCCAGTGTCTGTTTTAGATGGATAAATAAGTCATGAGTCAGGACAGGCTCATCAACGTTAAAAATCTTTAAAATATTTGATCAACAGAGAGAGCTATATCATGATTTCACTGAACGGTTCGGGTTGAATAAGGAAAATAATTCTATTAAATTTGTGAGGTATTTACAGTATGTGATAATTTCTTATAAGAGACTAGGGCCCATGTTAGTTGAAAACGATTTTCTGGTCCGAGTTTGATCAGTTGGTCTTCTTACATTCTTACAAGAGCAGTAGCCTACAGTATATCTACAGTATACTGTAGATATCTACAGTATATATATATGTTTTTCATAACTTCATAAAAATGTTTAAAAATCGTCCGATTCATCGGTAATCTGATACGATACATTAAGATTCACCATACCTCACATGATGTAATGAATTACAATATGGTATGATAACAGGATATCATAATATTTAATATGGTTTGATTCAATAACATGATACAAAAATACAATATGCACCTCTAGGAAATCTGTCCTGGACTCAACCTGCACGGGTTCAACGTGGGTGTCTTTGTTTGTGAGAACATGACTCATGGACCGTAGAGTGGGGGAGGTGGAAAAATGAGAGTAAAACCCATAGAGAGAGAGGAGGAGAAGTAAAAGGATATAACAGGGAGACTTCACTTCACCCTACCTGGTAATGGGGGCTTCCAGATCCACAGGTTTTTTCATCTCCAGAGACAGAGCCGGGGCACATTGTTCCTCCTTATAACCCGGAGTTACCTTCACACGAGGACTTCCTCTGTGCAAACACATACACACACAGGCATTAATACAAATAGAGATTACCCATCCAAGAGGGAAACTGTTGAAAGAGCTGCTGCGGAAACATCTTGGCATACGCCCTGACATGCCTGACCTCTGCTGGTATGCTGTCAAGGAATGTGAGCAACACACATTCATAACCACTACAGACACAAAAGCAGTAAAAAAAACAACAACACGAGGCATGGGTGCATTTTACTACACACAATGGTACTACACCCATTTGTCAAGGAGAGGACAGCAGCATGCATACACCTCCATGTGCAAATTTCTCTGTGTTTTTCACAGGCTGTTCTGCAAACATTGCCATAAAAGTGAAGGCCGCTTCAGAAAAATCAATGTACTTTGGCTTGTGAAACGAGTGAATATTTTTCCACCAAATGAATGTGCAAAGTCTGCACACTTAAGTTCTTTGTTTAAGTGAAAAACGCACAGTCAGCTGTTCTAATTTCTCTACCTGCTTGTGTCAACAATATAACCTCAGTAAATACCTTTCGGGTCTTGAGCAAAGATACGAATTACATCAGAGTATTGACTAAGAAAGCAGCGCTGGATGTCAACTGCTCTGACAGACAGCTGCTGGCTAATTGCTAATATGATTCAGCCCGTTTCTCACTATAACAAGGAACTGTTCTCCAGGACTGAACAGCAGGACATAAATAATGCTGAGGCAGTTTATGATTACGAATGAGATGTCAATTAGCGGGGCATGAAATTGGATATCCACTGTTTTGACTCAGACTATGTTTACACGTGCCCGGCTATTTTCATAAACGGACATTTCACTCTCTCTGTTTACACACACAAAAAAAAAAAACTACATGCACACCACTACGTTTTCAGAAAAATTTTCATTTACACTAACCCGTGTATATACATGCAGTCAAGAGCATATCAAACATGTGGGTGGCACGAGAGGCTCAAGCCCACATTAGCCAATCAGAATCCTGCATAGCAGAAACAACAATAACATCCCTTCCTTCTTTCCTCCTGCGCAAAATCTGCCATTGGCTACCCAAATCTTTGTTTTTCTCGGTTTACGTGCAAACAGAGTTTTCCAAAATACTCACTCTGGGCGGAGTTTTTAAAAGCATTGTTTTCAGGGGCGAATTCTCCATTTGTATCCAAACGAAGGGCGCAAACGATGGTTAATGCAGAGCCGGGCCAAGCCTTAAAGGGGCCCTAAGCAAAGTTTGATTTTGTGGCCCTCTATTTCTGCCAATAATGTTAATTGTTGATCATTCACACCTACTGCAGTATAAATTTGATGCGCCTGACATGTCTTTACACATTTAAGGGGATGGTCTAGGTCAGTGGTTCCTCAAGTCTAGTCCTCGAGGCCCTCTGTCCTGCATGTTTTGGAAGTTTCCCTGCTCCAACACACCTGATTCAAATGATCAGCTCGTTATCAAGCTCTGTAATGGCTTAATAACGAGCTGATCATTTGAATCAGGTGTGTTGGAACAGGGAAACATCCAAAACTTGCAGGACAGTGGGCCTCGAGGACTGGACTTGAGAACCACCGGCCTAGGTAATAACATAAATAATTAGTGATGCACGATATGAAAAATTTCAACCGATACCGATAACCGATAATTTTCTTCTTCTCATGGCCGATACCGATACCGATAACCGATAAATTCATATTTTTACATTTATTATAATCTTCATATAATCTGCAGTTTGTGCAGGATGCAGTGATTGAAAACTGATATTTTTGTTGCTCTGGCCTATCTAGAACAACAAACTAAAGTTTTTGGCTCTTCAAATGTTTATTTTTTCCATGTCATCACAAAAATATGTGGTCATTAGCTATAAATAACAATAACAGAGCAAAAAGCAGAACTTCATTTGACCAAAACAGTGCATCCCCTGAACTGTTCAACAGAACTGTAAACTGTAAAGGAGCCATTATGAGACGTTAGGATTAGCATGCTGACGGGACTAACATCTGACGTCCATATGTCTGTGGTAAAACTCACGTGTAGTCCGTTCTTGTCGATCAGGTTGTGAATGTATGTGGCGACAATATCATAGAGTTTAGGAAGGGACACATCCGAGAAGAAGCGGCGGCTTGGGAGAGTGTAACGTGGCTCCAAGTGTGCTATGAACTTACGAAAACCTGGGTTCTCAACGACGGAAAAAGGCTGTTCGTCGACCGCTATGAACTCCATCACTTTGTCGTTAATGGCTTTAGCCTTTTCGCTGTCTCTTGAGAAGCTTCTGCAGTTTTTAAACGCCTGCTGAATGGGGACATCGATCCTCCGTAGTGTTGTTGTCTTAGCTTTAGTACCGCTAGCAGCTTTGGCGGCTGCCTCATAGTCTTTTAATACCGCTTCGCCGCCATGGCGACTTTTCAGATGAGCTATCAGATTCGTTGTGTTAAAACTTGACGTCTTCTTTCCGCCTCTCGGAATCCTCGCTGAACAGGTTTTGCATATAGCAGCTGTTGTCATCTTCTGCCACTGAGAAAAACGACCATGCTGGTGAAGACATTTTATTATCAGTCAGGTAGTGACAGGGGTCAGGCTTGGGACCTGCGAGTAAGGCGCGACGGGCGGCTACTCCACCTGCAAACGTTACTCGTAATTTCATTAATATATCGGCTCTTTCTATCGGAAAAATGCACCTATCGGACCGATAAAAAATGACGTAATTTTCCCCCAAATCGGCCGATATTCTATCGGTCCGATAAATATCGTGCATCCCTATAAATAATACCAATGCAACTATACAAATAATACCAATGAATGACTGATGAATGATGTTCAGGGTGCCACATATGGTTTTTAATCTCCAGTGGGTTGATTTTCACTACATTCCAAGTGATAAAGCATTGTGTTCACTGTAAAAGTATCACTGGCAGTAAGAATCATAGGCCTACATCAGCAGCAGCAGCACTAAAATGTTTTTACTTTATTCTATTTTTACAATAATATTTGATCATACAGAAAGCATCACTCATACATGCAAAAAATAAAAAATACTTATTTATTTTTTAATCGCTCTTGGGGTACCCTACTTGCAGCAGGGCCCTAAGAAGGCGCTTAGTTCGCTTATGCCTTGGGCCGGCTCTGGGTTAATGTCTGTGTTTTTAAAAGTAACCGGGTACGTATAAATGGAGCCAAGTATGTGTGTGTGTGTGTGTGTGTGTGTGTGTGTGTGTGTGTGTGAGCCTTTGCTTGTGCACGTTACTCACTTTGGATACACAGGCTCATAGAGGTACTTGTCATCCCCTCCACCCAGCACATCAAATAAGAGGATGTAGCCGTGGGCCGTCTGAAACAGAAGAAGAAGATTGTCATTTAAAATTTTACAGCCAGAAACAGACACAAAAAAGAGGAGAATAAGAGTAAAATTGTAAAGTCACTCATGCCTGTGTGAGAACAGTTTACAAGAAGATATCAAAGTTTTTAGGAAGGACTAGTTTCCAGATTTGACATTACTCACTTGTAGGACATTTGCATGCAGAAGAGACAAAGCCTGACATTTTCCTGCACAGTCTCCTGACCAAACTGAGCTGCAGGGTTCATCATTTCAGGACCCCAATTCAAATTGGCAAAACACAGATTCACATTAGTCTATTCAGCCCATTACTGTGTACCGACATCAGCTCATAAACTATTCATGCAGGTTTTAACAGGCGCACTTATTAATGAATGATGCTCACAATCTAATTTGTTAGCATATTAAAACAGTTGAAACACACACCATTGTGCGGAGAAACCTAAAAGCATATGTGGTGTGAAAATGGTGGGTAAGCACAATACTTGTCTGTGTGAAAAATACAGCAGATGTCCTTTTTTTTTCCACAATACATACTCATGCAGACACACGGCACAGACCGAGAAACTGAAACTGAGCCTGCGGACTGAAAACATGACACGAAACCTGATCTGAACTCTGCTGTCAGCACTAGTGTGTCACATAAGATACGGGGCGACTCTGTTAACCTGCAGAAACATCCAGAACTAGAGTGAGTGTGGTCAATACTAACCAAAGATCTACAATAAAGAATATTGTTTTCAATGTTTCTCCTTTGACGTGTTTTTATCTAGAGTTTGTGGATATGTCCTGACTTTTGTGCTGTGATTACAGTGTTATTGATTACAGATATATGGTCACAGCTAGGGCTGGGCAATTAACCAAAAATTTATCAATACCAAAATTTATGACAATAACCAATGAATAACATCCAGAACCTGCATTCAATACACAGCTATTAAGATCTACTATAAAAAATATAGTTTCTTATGTTTCTCCTTGAACGTGTTTTTATCTAGAGTTTGTTGGATACTACGACTTTTTTGCTGTGAGTACAGCGTTATTAATTACAGGTATATGGCCACAGCTAGGGCTGGGCGATAAACCAAAACTTTACAGATACCGAAATTTACGACAATAACCAACGTTATTTTGTCCATGTTAATATAATCAGTGTCAAAAAAAATAATACTAATAAAAGTTGGTTTTGGTTGTGTGTAGGAAGGCTATGGCCTCATGTCTCTTTAAGACACTATCCTACGTCGGGCGGTTTTGTGGCAGCTGGAGTGGGGACTGAAGTAGATGAAGTTAATGTGGGAGGGGGTGAGCAGCTTGTGGAGTAGTTATCGTCCATTTATTGTTGTCGAGGCGAACTTCTCAATATATCGTGATATTGATTTGAGGCCATATCGGCCAGCCCTATCCACAGCACTGAGAAAAACCAAACCACAGAAAAAGTTAGCGGCAACTTTAAAGTGGACTATAATAAAATAGTGAGATCTCCTCTATCAGCAAAACTGCGCATGGGTTACACGGACAAAACCTGCTAAAAACAACACAACAGGGGTGTGTAAAATCAAGACAATAACTGAAATGTGAGCCTGATATTCCTCTGAAAGCAAATCCCTATCATCTCCCATAGCGTTATTGATTAACTGCTTTGAAAATAACACTCTGCTGCATAAAGGTGCGTTCATTCTCTTTCCCTCAAAGAGATTATCGACTCCCATCACAAAACTCCCCGTCAACATATCCAACAGGGAGCATTGATTATAAACTCTGTGTGTATCTATAAACTTAAAACACTTTGAGTTTACGGTGTCAATCAATCAGAGTGAGACTTAAAAATGCAATCAATCCTACACAGACCTGACTTTGCTTACAATAGCCATTGTGTTCTCCGGTTAAGAAGATAAACAGCCTCTTGATTCTATTCAGGTAACCTTCGTATATAGTAAAGCATGATCAGGATCAGATAGAGTCTGATTACAATGGCCCATTTAGCTATTGTGGCCTAACGTGCTTATGAAGTCCGCATAAAAGAAAGCACACACTACTAAAACTTCATAATCTTCTATACTTTAACAGTAAATACTTATTTTTTTTAAGCTGCATTTTTCAGATCTGTTTCAAATGAATGCTGATGTTTTAAGACAAAGCAAAAAAACTCTTAAAATTAAACAAAATCTGGCATCCAAATATTTCTAATAGCGATATCTGAGCTGTGATTTGGGTTCAACAACAGGACAGGAAAACTGCAGTACTTGAGGAGCTTTCGAGGGGTTTTTAAAAACCCACTCTGTACCTCAGTAAATGTTTATCATCGTTATTAGGTGAGAGGTCCTTGGCTCCAGTACAAGTGCCAGCGCAGTGACTAAAAAGCACTCAAAAGTCCTGCATTTAAAATCTTGTTCAGTCAGGGAAAGTTTATCTTCTTAAAATACTCTGAAAATACAACCTAGTGGTTACCTAGCTCAAGGTTAAGCCTCATTTAAGGGTCAATGGAGGAAAAGAAGTTGGGAGGAAATTCATGAGAAGACGAATAAAGTGATCACAGCTTGGTATAAAGAAGAATGGATACTCTTTTGGCTTTAAACTGTTTTTTTCTCTCCTTTAAATGAAAACTTTAAAAAGAAGCCCAGATGGAAAATCCCTCTGTGTTTGAACAGTTTGTAACTCACAGGCATCCAACCACACACTGTTTTAGGCTTAGAGGGTTAGAAACCAAATGTTACAGAGCCACGAGTTTAATCCAAACAACTTGTGATGCTGCTGTTGAAGAAGTACAGACTATTTCTCTCCAAGTGTGGAGGAGAAAAAATGACTGAAATGTCGCTGAGTAGAGAGAAATATACCCAAGATGTGAACGGATGACTCCTGACAGTACTCATATATACAGTTGTAAGATTACATTTCACCCCTGAAGTCGTTAGAGGTCTTCAAGCCCCCCTCTGGACCCATTTCTTCACCAATCTGACTTCTTTCCCAGCGGGGATCCATGTGAGAGCACAAAGGAAATGTGAGTGTGACTTGACTGCTACTTCAAAAGCCTGTCAATTACAGGAGGCAGCGAATCTCAGTGAGGTATCAAAGATGGGAGGAGGGGAGGGCTGGGAGAACTATTTGGCCCTTTCATCTGCAGTTTGATCACACCAGATACTTGAAAGCCTTCACACAGTCATTCATCTTTTTTCATGAGACCCTGAAAAGCTTTTCTCTGACTCATCTCGGTCTGATATGTGAAAAGCTGTGGATAAAAGGGAGGGGAAAAGCCGCAACAGAGGTGTCTCCAGGATTCTTGGTGCCCTGAGTGCTTTCACACATGCAGAGATAATGATACAGGAAGAGGCAGGAGGCTGCCCATTGTCATCTGAGTGCTCAATCAACAGCCAGGCTCTGGGAATCAAAAGGCAAAATCCATCCAAGTGGCTCGGGGAGGGGGGAGGTAAAGAAGTTTTCTCTTTTGGGCCTCCGATTGAAAAAAGGTGCAGCTTTTGTTACAGAGATATACTTAAGTGAGTGACCTTCATGACCCTGCAAAAAAGACCAATGCATCCAAAAGAGTGGTGCCTGACCGGCTCAGTTAACACCGCAGACACGGACATGATACACCAATCAATCACACACTGAAGTGAATGTAAAACCGCTTGATAGTCCCCTGCCTCAGCATGCCTTAACTGTAAATACAAATGAGAAGAACTAGGGCTGGGCGATATGGCCTCAAATCAATATCACAATATATTGAGCAGTTCACCTCAATAACGATAAATGGACAATAACTACTCCACAAGCCGCTCACCCCCTCCCACATTAACTTCGTCCACTTCAGCCACGGCTCCAGCTGCTACAACTTTTGAACCGTCCTCCATCTCCTTACCTGTCTTTCCCTGTTTGTTACAGACTGGATGGGGAGGAGTCACGTCTCTGATGTAGGACAGCGTCTTAAAAGGGATATGAGACCATAGCCCACCTACACACATAACCTACATACAGTTTGCTAAACGTCTTTGTTTTAACTTTCATCTGTGCTAAGTAACTTTAGCTCGTAAGCTAACCTGTTCAGATACAACATAGCATATATATTTTCACTGTCTCAAACTCAATCGCGTTGCTGTCACAGCGCTATTAGGTCTTGGTTGTTACCTTACGTTTGTGGATTACAGATTAATGTGCTTATCTGGTACTGGCCCCGACTCAGTACATGCTATCATGACAAACAGCCATCTCAACACTAGTGTCTAATCAGAACTGAAAAACAGTCAGTCTGGTTTTGTGTCAGTCTTCTCGCTTCCACCTGGGATGTGCCCCCCCGGAAAGTCGCAAAATCGCATCGGGGTTGATGTGTGTCAGGCCCGTCAAAATTCGCCTCAGAATATTTCGTAATTTCCTGTCGGATATTTGCGTCTGTCCTGTTGTTTAAGGACCTTAAGCCCTAAGAAGTACATTATGAATTGTTCTGTAATTAAAAGGACTCAAAGCACAGCTTTAGCTCTTATCATGCAAAACTTTCTCTTTAGATCGTCACTAACACACTATTTAAACCAGCTATTAAAGCTTGATACTGTTTACAAAGGGGGACACCCCAGGTTTGACTTTATTCTTCTACAAAACATGTAGAAATGAAAGATGGAAAAAAAAAAAACGCTGACTGCAAACTGCTTGAGTCCAGGCTTGTAAGTAGAGTCAAAGACAGTGGTTTCTGCAGGGAAAGTGGAGAGTCAGCAGAACTCTGTGCAGCACGTAAAAGCGTTAAGGAAGCTTCTCTCTCTTGCATGTTTAAACACGCTCCAGAGGTCCAAATACGTGCGCTAACACTCTAGTTAGAGGGGGTTTGCAGTGCTGCCCCGAACTTAAATGACCTTTGAAAAAGTGACTCATAGCGTTCAGAGAAAATTACACACAGGAAACAGATAGAAATGTGTGCTACAGCTCAAACCAAAACACTGAACAGATGTGTTTTATTGTCAAACAGAAGCTGCAAGGAAGTCAAAACAGTGCAAAGTGTGCATGACAGATGAATATATTAGACTCATTTAGCGGCAGAGAAGTAAGTGTGTGGCTTCAAACAAACAAACTGAGTTATGTCTGATTTGTCTGATTCCTCATATTTGAGATTAGTGGGAAAAAAAAAAACATGAAATAATAAAATCAAGTTAGTTTTTTGAACAGTACTTTGATTTAACTTTGGTTATGCCCTTTTCACACATGCACTTCACTGTTAAATATTTCATAATAATTACCAGATAACCTGCATGTGCGAATGCTAACAGACAAATTTCCTATTTCCTGCAAGCCTCCTGGTATTACTTTGATAATGAGTGAAGTTAAACGAATGTGCAACTGCAGTGAGTGGGAGGGGATGATTATGTTTATCTTATGTGCAGTGCAAAAACGGAAGAGCCGCACATAACAGGAAAATAAAAACATCAACATGCAGGGAATGTAGTATTGTTCTGTTGCACAATTTTGCTGACTCTGTAGTTGCATTCAATAACACCATGTACCAAAAAGTACAGTGGTGTCACAGTTTCCCCTCACACTAGCAGCTGAAAGCAACATTTATGAAAACTTCCATGTCTCTTAACTCTGTAAAATGTCACAGATTATTCTGAAATTTTCCCGAAAGGTTTTCACAGTGCATAGGCAAAAGAGTTGTTGTCCAGGTGTTAACACATCAGTATAAAGCAAAGTTAAATCGAACAAGTTTTCACCCTATATCAGTGTAAAACCAGACCCTCTCTTTCCATCAGGACAGGATTCCCCGGCTCTGTTTGATCAAGGAGGATGTAAAAAATCTAATCCAGTCAAGCCACAACAGACTAGAAAGTAAAGGTAAACATTAGGGTCTGACCAATTTATCGGCGAGCCGATTAAATCGGCCAATTTTAGCCTGTTTGAGACTAATCTGTAATCAGCTTGAAAACGCTTTTCTGGTCCGAGTTTGATTCATGATAAATATGTGGAATACTACTGAGATGATCAGTCGGTCTTCCTGTCCATGTGAAGAGCAGTAGCCTACAGTATATCTACAGTATATCGTATACTGTAGATATCTACAGTATATATTTTTTTATTACTTCATAAAAAATTTTAAAAATTAGCCAATTAATCGGTAATCTGATTTTTTAGAATAGAATATTCCTTTATTGAGCCCCCATGGGGGAATTTTTTTTTGTCACAGCAGCATCACAGACAAAACAAAAAGTGCAAAAATACAGTTATAACAATAAGGGTCCTAATATTAAGAACTTAAATAAATGTAATAATTAAGAAAAAAAAATAAAAATAATAATAATAATAATCAGCATCGGCCCCAAAAAATCCATATCGGTCAGGCCCTAGTAAACACCTTGAATAATGAAGTTCAAAAGATATTACAGTTATTGCAGAGCCTGTTAATGCCACTATCACTGCATCCTGAACATGCATGTGTGTAGAAATAATATGGGAACCCAAGTGAATTAATTTGCAGAAACACAAAGTGCTGCAGAGAACGCAGACAGTGCATGTTTTAAAGTCTGCATCTTATTCAAAATACTTCTTAATGCCTCCTGCACAATAGCCAAGTACTTTCTCTAACCTCCAGTGTATTTACACTATTTGCATAAACTAATAACATGTACCTGCATGTATGTGGGATTATGTCTGTGCCACAGAAGATTGAGCCAAATGAAGAAAAAAAGGTCTTTGGTGGAAACTCTTTCGTGAGCACTGCTACTGAGTGAGTCTAAAAACAGAGAGGGAACAGTTTGGCCTCAGAGAGATCCCAAAACACACACACACACACACACACACACACACACACACACACACACACACACACACACACACACACACACACACACACACACACACACACACACACACACACACACACACACACACATAAAAAGTATTTCCCCTGTTTAAGGAATTTCATCCTTTCTCGGCTCCTGCCACAAACACAAAAAATCCAAGCTGCTAGCTTTGTAATTTGCTTTAGCTGTGTCTGACAATTTCACACACACATACACACTTAGCTAAAGATAGACCTAGCCACAGTTAAGAAGGACGGTTACGTTAGCCTCGATGTCTGCAGGGTGTGAGAGCAGCCAAACATCTGGGAAACAGCTGGTAGTTAAAGAGAAAAGGACTTCTGCTCGGGCCAATGTGCTTTTTACCGCCTGATTACTCACCGTCTGCTCACACTGTAATTAAAACACGATATGCAAATGAAGGTTAGAAATGTTATGGTAGGATAAAAATGAGAAGAGGAAACTAGATGCCACACAGCCTGAGGACAGTTTGTATTTTTGACTTTTCAATGTGGAAATGTCATCACGACCTTCTGTGTGCTCGGGCAGAATCTCCCGAGCGTCTTCTGCAGAATGTCTAATGACGGTGTGTGAAAAGGCAAACTGGGCTGCTCCACAAATCTGAGCACTACATTTGCCAAAAGGACCAGTTATAATTCTCCTGGGTTATTTGCCACCAAAAAAGAAGTGACATCGTTCTGCTGTGGAAACTCTGAACTGTACTTGTTGACCAGACTTGTTGGTACATATTTATTTGTGATACAAGGATCAAAAGAAAGAATTCAGTGTTTAAACTTCAATCAAGCCAACCACCATAATGAGAATTGATGAATTAATAATTATTTTTATTACCATCACAATTTTAAATGTTATTTACTCCCCCATCTAGACAAGGAACTCAAATAAATGCTCATTATCCACATTTTTATTTAGCATTGCTTAAGCTAATTAGGCCTTCATTGAGCTACCTTTGAACAACTCAAACTGAGAGGTAGAAATGTTTGAAATTTTGAGCTATAATTTACGCTTCTTCAATATATTAAGATTCCTCCTTTAAAATCTATTGCCTGTAAATCCTCTTTGGGCTGATTTCCATTTAAAATTCCAGTTTTTATTAGAAGAACAATCAATCACAAAAAAGAACATTTTCCAAAAGCAGTGAAAATGTCAAAAGGGCTATAAGTTATAGTATATGGACTTTATTTATGCAGGGCTTTCTCTTGTCTTTTGACGTCACATCACATTCACACATTAATGGCAAAGAGCCCATCAGCTTTTGACCAATTTCATTCACACACCACAAGGCGCAGGATGTGGACAGTGGGATGTGGGATCTAACCCCCAACCTCCTGACAGAGAGATGACTGACTCTACCACTGAGCCGCCACAGGGGTTCACTCTTTGGACTGACCGAAGGGGACACTACATCCTCATAAATCTCAATACCAGGGAGTTGTGCCAACATTATTCATCAAAAGCTTTAACAAAGCCTGATTCAACTACAGAGTTAATCTATAAAGATTAATTCAACACTGCTTTTACATTTGATTACTCAAACATCTACACTTCACAAATCAACTCAATGCAGAAATCAGCTCAACTTCTTATCATATTCTGTGTGTGTGAGTGTGTTTTTGATCCAGCTGTGCGCACACTCTTAGACACACTAGCATTTTTTTTCTAATTTAACCTTCATCTAAACAGGAGGAATAACTCCTTGACATTAAACGTTTCTTTTTTTAAGAGTGTCCTGGCCAAAATAGGAAGCAGTACAGCTTACAAACTCCCAACCAGAATACTAGGCGAATGAATGTCTGATGGATTAATCTACTTCATTCATAAATATTTGTGTTGTGCATCTGTAAACTTCTGGTGTGTTTAGGGCAGCTGCTGTCACCAGATTTCTCCAGTATTCTCAAGTAGCCAAGACACAACACTACACACTGCAGTCTGCACCCCTATGTCTCCTCATCCACACACAGAGAGCATGCAGGGGTAAGACAAACACAGACAGTTATCTTTCTCATGCTTTTATCAGTCTGAGGCAGAGGTGAGTGCTTAAAAAAAAAAAAAAAAAATACGATGATAACACCACGTGGTCAGAATCATGAGGGTGGTTTGAAAGGTAAGAGTAGTGGTGCAGCAGCCAGTCACGGTTGGTCTATGATCCGTTGCACCACCACTTCAATGAATCCCTTGAACGTTTTATTTTGAGCAAAACCACCTGACGTTGTTTTGATCTTTTAAAGCAGTAAGAGTGCACTTCTGAGAGTTTTTAAGCTCTGTGTAAAATGAAAATGAAAAGTGGATTCCTGCTTAAAAAAACTTAATTTAAAACATCCATTTATGTCCTCAAGGCTCAGATATTGGACTCAGCTCATTTTCAAAAACTAAACACATGCAACAAAAATTGACGTACCACACCCAAATCCCTTGTGTAAGATAAATCTGAAGTGTTGCTTGATATCAATATTTCCTTTTTGAGACAAAGAGCAGAGAATAGAGCTAGGTAAGGAAGTGAGAACAGCACAGAGACTAATCAATCCTCCTGAAGGACATTTCAGTTTTAATGAAAGCAGGGATTCTGGTGGAGTTCACCAACGCAGAACGACGAGAGCCTGAAAGCTGAATCATTTAAGCATTAAGGGATATCTGTGGCAGATTACATGGTTCATGGTTCTTGCAGCAGTTTTGCCACATGAAGAATAGCACAGGCACATCTCATTTACCCACGCAGGGTAAAGCCAATCCTCCCACATGACTTTTCCTTACAATTCACTACTCACAACTCAGAATCAAACTCTGCATTTGTGCAGCTCAGGAAGCGAGAGAACGAGTGCACCCTGGTATTTTTAACTCCTCCACCTGCTCCCTGTTGTGTTTGGCTGGGTGGACCTGGCTGGGAGTGAGCCCGACTTAACTGTTTTCCCAGACACATTCGCAGCATTCACTCATGTGTACTTTGGCTGCTCTGGAAGGGGTTGGGATGAAGGGGAAGTACTCGGAGAAAAGAGGAGCAGAGACAGAATCAAGAAGCTAAAGGCCGTTATGTTTGTTTTTACTCATCAGCTATGCTATGATGTCTTCTGAAACTACCTTTTACTGACATGTAGACCATTTTGAAACCATACAGACATTAACAGTTTCTGACCTTAACTGCTGAAATAAAATCATGCAGTTGCAAACACTCCAAAACATTCACTTTGACATAAAAAAAAAAAACTGCACGTGTGACTGTGTGTGTTGTTGTGGTCCTTTTAACACCTGACACAGTGTGTTTGGAACATTTGCTTCAAGGACAAGAGGCGGTGTTATGGGAAAAACATACACTGACGTCTGCCTGTAATGTCCTTGACTGCATTTCCTTGCAGTGATCTCAAAGAGGTGCAGCATTAGCAGCTGTAATGTGGGGGTTTATGAAATCATAGGATACAACAACTTACACAGACCTTTTTGTTATGCAACTCAAACAACTCACCATAAACATATGCATAAGATAAATTATAATTGTATACACGGAAATGTCGGGGTGCATGTGCTTAGTATGAAAATAGAGTAAAAACAAAACTAAATTATAGAGTTTGTCCGTGGAGCTAACCACAGAACATTTCTACAAGAGGGATCTTTTTGGTTTTGTCATATATGAAGGCCTGAAAGACCATCCAGCATCAACTCACTACAGCACTCTTCACATGTGTGGAGAAGTAAGCAGTGAGCTGATGTTGTCAGCTGAGCTGAGTTCCTCTTATTGCGTGCCTCTGTAGTCATTTTTATGGTTTTTTTAAAGTCGTGTGTACATTACAGAAAATGTTTATGATGTAATAAAAACATACAGAAACAATCATCATCATGGATGGCTACCCACTTCTCCTTTTGCACAGATACTCGTCCTACAGCAGAAGTTCCCAAGATAGCTACTTTAAAACATTCACAACACTCTAAAAAAAGATTATTCAAATCGGCCCGAACACCCCAGCATTTAAATGAACAAATTATTCTAAAGCTCCTGTAAGGAACTTTAAGTTTGTGGACAAAAACAGTTTGTTTATCTCATTCTTGATATGATTTAATTGCGTCTTTTAATAAAAATCTCATCCTTCTGACTTTTAAAATTTATTGCAAATACGTATATTGTTGTGGAAAACGTGAAAACAGAGCTGTTACGACCAAACTCGTTTTAGGCATCAAAACTGTGCGTCTTGTTGCAGATGGTCTTGTTTGTTTTTGTTTGTTGTAAAAATGCATAAATATGAATCTCAGTCTATTTCATTAACATTAACAAAAAAATCCTTGGGGGAGCTTTAAGTTGGGAGCGTCCAACACAGGAAATTTCCAGCTGTGATGGCGAGTAGAGATGTGATATTCGCTGAAGAGTCAGTCTTTTGAACAGCTCTTTTAGTGAACAATGAGACTGCCTTACAGTGATGAGCCATTTCTTAGCAAGCTGTTCTCATGTGCTAATTGCCCATGCTGCCTTCATGTGTCATCTGTGTGCCCAACACCGGGTAGTTATTAATTATCTTTAGTCAAAATAGTGATCTCACTGTCAAAGCGTGGGAGTATGGCACCACCTTTTGTATTGTTTACGATGAAAACGCCAAAGCCAAATGAAATTATAATCAATATTTCAGAATAATTCCCATCTATGTGTACCCCTGATTGACTTCTGAAAAAAAATAAACAAATATAACAATGATCCAGACTTTTGAACGGCTCTTTGATAGGAACTGCTCCTCAAGATTCGACTCCCTTCAAAGATCCATAAAACTCACCTCTAACATCGAGTTCCTCATTAACATGATCTGTAAATGTCAGGAGATCATGTGTGAAGGGGCTTGTTTCAATGACTGTGATTATTTTTTGGTGGAAATAGTGTTTTATCCGCGAATGATTCGGTCAAAAGAACCAAATCTTTTAAGTGAACGTACTGAACCAAATCACTTACTCTAGTGATTCGTTCGTTTCTTACCTCAGTTGAGCTGAAGTGAGAAACAGCATCTGCCAGGCCAGCAGCCGGCGAACGAGGGACCACATGCACCAACGCCTGAATCACTTGGTGAACGAATCAAGCATTGAACGACACTCTCTGGAACCGTTTTTGTCGGAAAAACTACCTTTTTTTCACTGCTAAATTGCCACCACAACAACTTTCATACAATAGAACACAGCATGTAACAAGTAGTGCATTAAACCTGCAGCATCCTATCCTATCATTGCAGCAGTTTGCGAGGGAACAGTGCATGTTCAGTGTCAATTCTCCTAAATGTTCAGTGAACGAATCACTCACTGACCCCAATTTACTGAGCATGACTTCATAACTTATGAACAAGTTCATTTTTAAAAAACCTGTTTGCCAAAGCAACACGGCCACACACTCTCATCTACTGGTCCCAGGAGCTATGAATTGAACTGAATCCTAAACTGTTCAGCTGTGTATCAGTTCAGGAGGTCGGAGTCACAGGCTTCTCCCGCTAAATGATTTGGTGATCGAATCTTTTGAATGAATCGTTTTAGTGAACTGATTCTGGTGATTTAGTACATCTAAAAGAACTGTCGTGCCCATCACTCAGTGGAAACTCAGCATTAGTTATATCAAAACAAAATGCTGAGGTATCTCCATTAGCTTGTCTAATCAGATGGTTGGTTTGGTGTATAATAAAACACTGAATGAAGTTTCTCATGTTGCAAACGCTTTTAGGCAGCTCACAGTCTCCACTCTTATGAATGGATACAAGCACAGAAGAGCACAGAGCAGCTCATGTACACAGTGGGGACTAATGATGCTAATGAATCAATTCTCTGTGTGTGGTTTGTTTGGTGGTGTCCGCTCCTGCTCTTGGTCTTGGCAGTTGTCCTGTGTTGTTGTTGTTGTTGGTCACATGGCCTTTGGAGGCTGATAGAGTCATCTACTGACTCCGGTGCTCTTCTTGTGTAAGATTACTCAGCGAGACACTTCCTTTGCACTATAATGTTAACAAACAGAGAAAGTGCCAGGGTGGGATTAGCCCTTTAAATTAAGTTGCTGACATTTTGTGAAGGTGGATTGTGTTGTTGTTAATTTTTACTGTATTCTAAGAAACAAGATCACTTTCTCATTCAGTCAAGTGCTTTTTCCTTTATCCTTTAGGGCTTTTGATGTTTTGAATGATCGCAGAAACTTGACTATAATCCTTAATTAAAGCATTTTCTGTCAAACAAAGACATCAACTCTAAAGCAAAACAGACCAGCTAAACCAATTCCACCATTTGCATCCTTATCCTATATACTCTGTGGATTCATTTACATGGATTTTTGAGGATAAACAGTCTGATTCCATTACAACTGCTCAGACTTCATCTGCATTTACAAGCTTGACACAGCAGATGCAGCATCCATCTGTTCATTTTCCTAAATCACAGTATGTATCAAGTTATTCATTTAGCACAGAAATTACCACAGGCTGAACTTGATCAGAAAGATTCACATCCTAAACATGAATAAGAACAACTCAATAAACTGAAAAATTGATGAAGTGTGCAGCCTTGAAGGAAGTTATGCTGCTGGAGGGGTTCAAAACACAACCTCTTTTTGAGCTTATCATGCAAAAACTACACTAAAATCCCTCTTGATTTGGTGAAAATGGTGTTGTGGGCACACCAAGGCCAGTCTCATAATCAATATTAGTGTAGATGTACACATGATTATGATTAATAATGTAGGTATGTTGATTTGTTCCCCTGTGTGGTGCTGGAAAAGCTGATGAAATGATAATATCTTACATAAGAAATTCAATACACCCATTTATAAACAACACTATTGAATAATAATTGGATAAGCAGTAGATTCAGTTGGAGAAGTGAAATGTAAAATATGTGATGATCCGTGACAGTGAGAGAAGGTCTGCCTTAATTAAAATCACTAAGCTTGTGTGGGCTTCCACACAGAAACAAGCTGGCAAGAACATAGCTGTTTCGCATCTCCATGGTAATGAGTATAAATTTTTCAAATCACATCTTTTGAGCTTTGTGGGCTGATAATTTGCATAATTTTTTGGTTGGTGGGTTGATCTAGAGAGTTCGCCAAAAGGCAGGGATATGGAAACAGGAAGGAAAGTCCTGAGGGGGGAACACAGAAGTTCATGATTATTTAAAGACAAGAAAAAAGCCGAAGCTGGCTGTGTATCCTGCTCTTGTTTGATTCAGCACGCTGTTAAATTTGTACTGTTTAAACAGAATTCAGGCAACAAACAGTGCCCTCTTAAAATCCTTTAAGAGCTGAAAATACTTTGAACTTTGCCGAAAGAGGAAATCTGCTCTCAGAATCATGAACAAAGGTGGCTGATGGGCACAATCTGACCATTTGTTGGACTATCTGGGTACTTGGCTTGATGCAATCAAATGTAACCTTTAGTTAACAATACGTCTGACTGTGACAACCTACTTCATATAAAACTACAGGTTCATTTTGAGTTGACTTCCTGCAGGCAGACAGAAAATAAAGTCTGAGAATATATCAGAGAAAGAGCAGACTACAACTGGAGCATTTCAATCGTGCCATAAAATGTGCAAAATTTAATTAAGTGTTCTTAATTAATGACCATCTAAAGACATACTGATGTTACAGCACATTTAATTTTAGTTACCTCAGAAAAAGCTTTAACATAGTCCTCTTTATCTCATGCAGAACTTAATGAGACATGAACACCCTCTCTCGTTTCCCTTTATTGGCAGCCTGTCGAGCCTCCTCAAAGTGAAGCTCATGTTTATTAGCTTGTCTTTCACAGTTCAACATCAGGCCAATTTTGGCGCTCCAAGTTTTCTTATGCCCGGAGCAGCCGCTCCCTGAACCCCTGCTACTATTATCTCCAACACCCAGAATTACACTTTCAAATACAGCAGGATTTGCCTAAAGCACCACATGCAGCGCTCTGACTCCTCTATAAGTGGCTACTACATTCCAGAGGATTTGAGCCTGCAGCTACTTGCAATCTTCTGCAAGATCCCGTACACACCTCAAGTGATGACCACCTTAGTCAGAGAGAGGAGCCTCGGGTATCAAACTTCTGAAACTCTGTCTTCAGTGAGTCGAGATCACCAAGTGTATTGAGTCATCAATACACACAGAAAGCACCGAGACAACCAGAGAGGATCTAACACGTTACACACAGTTGCACTCCAGGATGTGTGTGTGTGAGTGTGTGTGTGTGTGTGTGTGTGTGTGTGTGTGTGTGTGTGTGTGTGTGTGTGTGATGGAAAGTGAAACAGCACCATGATGTAAAGAGCTCAGGGAGTATATTTTAGTTCCGCTCTCGTTGCCACGGGAATGCCTACCTTGTATCTTAAGCTCAGCAAAAATAGGACAAACTCTGCTGCTCTGAAGAGGCCTACCACACTATCAGTTTTTTCTTTCCAACATTTTTCATTTTCTTGTTGTGATACACCGCTACAAGGAGGAAGCTGCTGTGGTTTAATTTAATGGAAAGATCCTGATAAATCCAACAGTCTAAAACTACTTCTGCCTTTGGTTGTAAACTTTCAGCTAAAGGGAAATCAAGTGAATTTACTTTGATAAAGCTGAAAGAATATCGAAAATGGTGTGACTGAAAAAAAAAAGCTTCACTTGTCAGAATGGATCCAGCTTGATGGACCCATATCGGTATTAAAAAAAAAAGAAAATAAGTTTCAAAAAGTTACGCTTTAAGAGTTGGTATCATTTGCTTTTCTTATTTTGAAAAGAAACACTGTAGTAAAATCTTGTACGGACAAAGGTTCGAATTGTGGGACAAAGGTTTGCTGGAGGATGAGACTAGGCGGGATGCTCTGAATGACTCATTCAAAAACGGTCTCAAGACTTGTTCAATTCTCACCATCTGATCGGTGAGTCTCCTTAAAAGAGCATAATAACAGAAACATCCTGCTCTGAGATTTTTCAAATGTTATGGATCAGACTCAAAAAAATATGACAGGGTCAACTAAAGTATGACAATATTTTGTAATTTGTCATGATCAAATAGTGAAAAAAAAGGTCAGCTCAACAATCACAGAAACTAAAATGAGGGTTTCAAAGACATTAGCTGAGATGAATAATTGTGGCGAATTAAATCACGTAAAGCTGCTTCAGAGGTATCAGATGGACAATAAAAAAAAAAAACCTAAAGCATCAGCTCTGAATATTAAATCAACTTGTAGTTAGACAGTGGAATTATTAACCATTTGAAACCAACCAACATGGTCTAAAATCATTTATTATGTCATCAATAGATGTTACCAGATAAGACAAAACAAACATGAGTTGAGTTAATCAGATTAATTTGAAATTTTTATTATAAAAGCAACAAATGTTGTGATTGAGTCCGCTCTGTGTCACCCCCTCTATGAGGTCGAATCTCTGCAGTTCAGATTTCATGTGTTAACTATGACACAATGAAGTCAAGACCTCTGAATTCCAGAGAATGAGGTCAGATACAAGATCAAGTCACCAACTATTTTCTGACTTTTTTTAGGAGAACACTTTCTGATTCACTCCAGGGGTTATAGCTTACAAGACAAGATACAAAATCGCCATCATCAATCAACCTGCATATCTGAGAACAGACAGGGCAGAGGAGTGGTGTACTTACCGCCACAGCTATCATCGAGTCGTCTGGTTTCCATTCGGCCCTCTGGTAGAAGCCAAACTGGGCCGCCGCCTTTGCAGACTCGATATAGCTGACTATCAAAACACTGGGCTGTGGGTGGGAAAGAAGGGATATGGAAAAGAAAATGAGCTTTCACGCACCTTCAGGTCACAGACATCTGAGCACTACATATATTAACCTAAAGCAAAACTCCAGAGAAGACTCACACTAGAATTAGTATCGAAAATAGCACAAAGCTACATTTGGATGTGTTTTGGGTGTGAATGTGATTTGACAACACCCCAATAAGATAGCCCAGTCCTTAAACAGACAGCACAGCTGGGCTGAAACTTCAGTTCATACATCATTAGATAATCCCGAGCAGTTTGGTCACATATTTATAGAATGTGGGTCTGATTTCTCTATAGGGCAGCAAATGTATCGGAAAGAACATGAACACTTAATAGTGGATGCAATACGAATGTAAAACTCTATTGTGACAGTTTTTGCAGGATCTTAATGATACTTGACTTTTGCCAAACTGCCAAGTTTAACTCTCTGAGGCTTACTTAATCTAAAAATTACCTCTTGGTCCAAGGCATGTTTACACCACACAGCACAGGGCAGACAGACAGATGAAAGGGCAAACACACAGCCACACTCTGCCTCAGGCTGTTGCCCTTAATTTTCCCGTACCCCTGCTATCACTCTGTTGGATTTCAACCTCCATCACTGAACAATCATCACCTGCAGTTCATTACAATCTGTCATTAAGCAGAACGCACACTAATGGTATGTTTATCTACAGCTGTATGAGTACCGGTGAGGACCGTTGGCAGAAAGCACAGCAGCTGCTAACGAAGTCGGATGAAGACCACCAGAAAACTCAACACCTCAAAACCTTATTCTTCTGTCATCAGCTTCAAAAAAGCAGTGGAAATCCCCTGCAGGTCTTTGTTTTATTAAATGTTATACCTTACAGCTCAATGAAAGTACAAGAGAAAATGAACTGATGCTGAAAACTTATGTAAATTGAAAACTCAACCCTTAATTTCTACCATTTTGTGTTTTCACCATGTGATGTTACCACCCTAGTAACCTCTTCCTCTGTGTGATGCCAGACACAGAAATAGGAAGTGAGAATTTTTTAAAATCCAGAATCACGAGTTCATGTTGGTTTGTGTTAAAGCGAAGCAGCAAGTGTTTTCTGTGTGAGAGTAGAGTTTTAGCAGTGCATGAAAACCAGGACACCTGAATGCTGATCATCAGGTAATAAAGCGAGAAACTGTCTCATGTAATTCCAGCTGTGCAACATTATACGTTGTACCAAGTCACAGTAATGAGAGCCGGGGTTTGAAGACTTTCCACTCTACAGTGCCCTTTGTCGTAGCATGAAATCTTCATGAACCTTGCTCTGGTCTGACGGTGCTTACGCAGTGTGAAACTGAAATAGAAACCTTCCTTACTGCCTGATATGCAATATCTTCAGACTATGATCAGAACTAAGTCTGTAGGGGTTCTCAGAGCCAAAGTAATAACCACACAAGAAATAGCTTATTAAAGTTGGGAGTAAGGGAAAACATGATGTTATTGTTGAACCGATGCTTTAGTTTCAGGACACATTGCAGAATGGGTACTTGGTGCATTAGACTATATAAAGTATGGACAGCGATGCTACTCATGGGTTTATGAGGACAAACAATGACAGATGCTGTGTTGGAAACAGCGTTGTTTTCGTTGATGATGACGTTGACGAAAATGGTTGTTTTTGTTGACAGGTTATTTTGTCCACGCCCCTTTTTTTCCACAACGAAGACGTGACATGACATTGACGAGCTAAACATAAGTCTTAGATGACTAAAATGTGACAAGACGAATGTGTGTTTACGTTGACGAGACTAGACGAAATCGTTAGTGGTGGACGACGAACAGAGTTGCAAAATTCATGAGCATTTCGTCAGTCAAACGTTTATTCTGCAGTGTTGTTTTCGTTGACAATGACGAAATATTTTCGTGTTGTTTTCGTTGACAATGACAAAAATATTTCGTCATCGTCAACGAGAACAACACTGGTTGGAAATACCAACTCTACTCAACCTAGCATTAGGGGGAGAGGGTGAAGTTAAACCTGCAGGAAAACTGCTGCAACGCACCCGCCTGTCAGTCCAACCTGCCACAACCTTATTCCTGCATGAATGTTAGCATCAATAATATTTAATTAAATCAAAATACATGTACAGTGTGTACAAGATATGAACTCTCCAGACTGAAACTGTTTCTTTTTGAATACTGAATTTTGCTGACCAACATGTGTGTCAACAGTTGACTTTTACAGCCAGTCTAAAGCATTCACTATACCCTGATATATTATATGGTTCAAAGTGAATCAGTCCAACACAAATGATTCACACAAAAGAAAATATGTTTGCTCTATCATGTTGATTCCGTCAATCAAACGCCAATATGTTTGCCCTTTTTTTTTTCAAGATATATAAGTCTAGAAAAGTTATTAAATGCAGCACCCAGCCTTGGAGATGAAGATATACAGCATTTATAACAGACCTGCAAACTGAAAACACAGCTCCCAAAATACCTTAGTTTGCACAAAAACACCTCGAACACACAACTAGAGTACATTATTTATACTGAGCAACAACTGAGCAGGCTGCTAGTCGTGGGTCAAGTTCATATATTTCCTCCATCGCTACCTCAAGAGCTGCACTACAATACCATGCAGTTTGTTCGTGTAACTAAAGAAATCTCAGGGGACGCAAAGGATTAAACCCACAACTACCAATATGAGTGTACATTCTGCTAAGTTCCACAATTACACAAAGAGCCAACCATAGTGTCACCACTGCTTCTCAAAAACAACAAAATCCTTCTCTACACCTGGACCAGTTTCCCCCTCCCCACCAATGCAGCTGTGGCAGGGTGACAACGTAACGGCTACATGGCTAAGCCACTGTGTTACACGGATTAGATGAAAGCGCCTCCGACGAACTACACAGGCTCAGGATACACTGGCTGAGGTCGAGGAGTGATGGGATTAGAGAGAATAGAGGTGGTGCTGGAAAGGACACGAGAAGGAAAGTTAGGGAGGAAATCAACAAATACACCAGCACCTCGATTAACTAAAGCAACATGGTGGACAAATCAGCTGTTTTTGGCTATACAGTACTTCCTAATATTGTGCAAAACCAATCCCTCCACTAGAGTCCTGTTTTCAGACTTGGGCTAGATGGTGAGTTAAATTGACATAATGGGTCCAACAGATGTGAAAGGTTAGTGTCAAGAAGGAGAAGTTGCCCCAGTTGACATTCCTGACACAATGTTTTTCCTGAGCGCCTCATTGATACTTACAGATGGGCAAAGTTCTTAAGAAAGGAGGGAAGGAAAATACTGTCACATCCTGTCAGGGGGGCCTCAGGAAATCAGCAGTGACCCTGATCTATTGTAGCAACTACTCAATAAATATACAAACTGCTAAGAACCCAGACTGTCATAAACAATGCCCTCAACCGCAGGTTATCAAATCAAATAGCTTCTCGTCTTATCAGCAGGGCTAAATCTGATGAATGCAAACAAATGAGAACAATGGTATGCAGTTCACACTACAATGCTATACTTGGAATTGCATGGGGCTTCACTACTACAGCAGCTGCTGGTGCTGGCACTTCAAACAGTGCTGAGTGGAGAATTACCACATATTTCTATGGCCATTTTGCCATTATTATTCACTCCATATTTTCTCTGTGAGAAAATTAATTTATTTAGGCAGTGAAAATAGGATTTCCTCTGTCTAGTGAGTCACTTCAATGCCAAAGTCAGTTTATTGTAGCCTGACAATGTCAACAAGAAGCAAAATTGTTTTCTGAAGTTGAAAGTTTATACGACCACATTTATCTACTGTTAGTTATTTCTATGTCAACACTCTACTCCTCCAAAAACCTTTTTTTTTCAGAGTGGTGTTTGGGAAAATATATCATCATTGGTAGAGTAATTATCTCTAATAAACATACTCGCAGAATTATTCTTGTTTTTGTAGTTTTTTAAGTTATAATGCCACCACACTAGTCACATTATAATTAACAGGTTTGATATCCTTCACCATTTTAGGGGAAAAGTGTGAAAAAGGCTGTCAACATAAGACTGGTGGTCATAATCTTTACATTCAATTAGGGCTGGGTGATAAAACGATAATGATATATTTTGAAAATTAATTTCTCTAAATATTTATATAAAACATGGTCAATATGCTTTTGATAGTCGGCATTCTCCCATGTTTTGGTAGACGATACGAATAGCAAATAAAAAGAGGAGTTGCTCCGGGTCTACTTTGCGCTGAACCAATCATGTGCTGTATTAGAACCAAGTAGCAAACAACTGCTAAATCGAGTACATGTTCGCAAAAAGTAGGGGAATACCTCAAATCTTTTTCACCACCTCAAGCAGATGCAAAAGGTTACAAACCCGGAGCGGAGCAAGGAGCCCATGGCACCTATGCAGCAGAAACAGCCGACTATTCAGTCTGCTTTCTTTAGCGCAACGCCTCACAACAAAACGTCAAAGAGGCGCAAAGACAGATGCAGTAGCTTATTGTATTGCTAAAGACATGCTACCAATAAGCACTGTTAAATTTCATTTTTTATATTGTGATAAATATCCATATCTACTGACACAAAAAATATATTGTGATAAACTTTTTCCAATATCGCCCAGCTCTACATTCAACTCTTGAATCCACTCAATACATGATTTGTCAATACATAACATTGAGTAAAAAGTGTAAATAGTGAAAAATACAAGCCCTTTAGAGTAACTAGGGGCATTACAGGACAGTAAACCCAATCATTGTGTGCGATGAGATGCTACTCAAATAAGAACATGTAGGCCTTTAGTCAATTATGTGCTGATATTGCAGTTTACATTCTTACTTGTGAAATTCAAGTTGGGCTGCTTCTTAAAATAACTTAAATCAACACATGTCTTGTGGGTGTTTGTTTTGAAACCTCATACCGGTAAGTGTTGACCTTAAACCTAACGAGTTTTTCGAGTCAAATATTGATAGAAAAAGTATAGACTAGTGTAAACAGCGACTTTATGTGACATAACACATTCGTCAGCTCAAATTGCTGCGGCTGTGATGATGATGTAAAGGTACAAGGCCTGTGTCATGAATGGGGCTGTAAGTGGGAGGAACCACACACGTGAAACGCGCAACTGTACAACTTACAGACCTGATGTGCCGCATTACCTTCGTAAAACGCACACGTATGCGGATATTCACATCTGATGACCTGGAATATTACCTGTCATTCCTGCCACTGAAGTGACGTCTGCACCGTGTCATCTCAAATATGTCTCATCACTATCTATCTGAACACTTGCTGCTGATATTTATTGATTGAACTTTTAATAGCATTAGGGAAACACAGCAGGTGTTGTGGCGTAGAATGCACCCCTGCCGTAGATTGCACCCTCTGACGGGAGCGCGGTTGAAAGTACATAAGGCGAAATAATCTAAGTTTTCCTTACCGTTGGATGTGCCTTTAATGATTTCATTCAGGCTATTCAGATAAGCCGAAAACAACAGCCCTCTAATTCGTAAAATATAACGTACTCTACCTTGACAGCTTACTGTACAGTTTACACACCCAAGTACACCTCTATATGTGCATTTTTAAGACACATAAAATCAGAGCGAAAATTTGCTGCTCCATTTCACATGTTGTCATGATCCAATACTTGTGTTTTTCTCTCTAAATATGAGGTCATTTTCTTCCACTTTAAGAAGCTAATGAGTGGATAGGATGCAGGGGGTGCAGGGGTGCATTCTACGGCACAACACCTGTACTGCTTTACTGTACCATGAGAGTGATTTGTATTCATGTTAAATAAAAGCAGCTGTTTGTGGTGATGCTGTGGTAAGAATATACTAATGCTGGATAAACTGAGGTACCACGACACATGTTTTTGTCCAGTGCTGCAGCTCATGGAGTGGACTTACCCGACTGAACCAGATGCTGAGCTGCGTCTCTGAGAGCACGGCGAAATAAAACCTCTGGGAGCTGGGCTGGATGTGGAAGGGCTCCTCTTCACTCCTCAGCGGACAAAGCAGCCTCCGGGGCCAGCCGGTTAGAAAATACATGACGGCAAACTCACTCCAACTCGACACTCCGAACAGTGTCGCAATGCCAGGTCGTGGGAGCCCCTTGTTCCTCCAGGAGTATTCTAATCCAAGTGAGTCATTGGCGTTGTTATTACCAAAATACAAACTTTACAGAGGTACACGAAGCCCAGCGCTGACTTGAGCTGGGTTATAATCCATGGATGCCGCACAGAAAACCCCCGACAGCCGATGGAGCTACACAGCTAGCCCTGGGTTAGCACTGGCTCTCCAACTTGAAGCTAATGAGCTATCCAAGGCAACAGCAGTCCAACTCGACAATCAGAGCACTCAGACGGGAACAAACGGCGCGCCGCGGCTGGTAAATTAGTCGATTGACCGTCGGTCTCGCTGCCGTGTCAATGTCTACGGTGTCTGGACCAAAGGTGTTTATTAGCGGTAAAGCGTCCAGTTTTTACTCCTCTGTGCCTCACGGTCGCCATCTTTACAAGAGTCTGGCTGCCTTGAAGCTGATTGGTGGACCACACAGACGTTTGCTCGGTGTTGACATCTGACGTCAGCACTCCGTTATGTTAGACTCCGTTGGAAGTGAGCATGCGTGAATGTTAAAGTGACTCGGGGCGAATCTCAATATGCGTTCTTCTGTGTTCTTGCTTTCTTGTCTCCTTGTGAAACGCTATCAGTCTCCGACAAGTTCTGTCTCAAAACACAAGTCTAGCTTTCAGAAACTTCTTGCAGTGAGACAGAGAGGGAGTTCTGAAACATTTTAAGCATCCACCGCCGTTAGTAGGACACTTGCGGCCTCTGGTGGTTAAAACTAGTAAATAACTCATGCAACTTTTGTGTATAGGGGAGAGTGGTGTAGGATGAGCCATTTTTCATATTTCGAATCACTACATCAAGGCAAGCATAGTTTTGTCTCTAACTAGTGTATCTGCATTTATTTCAAGATGTTGTGCACTCCTGCAAACCAACAGAATGAGTGTAAACATAACCGTCTAGATAATATAGCATGCCAAAAAAGGGGTCTCCTATGGTCATGTAACCCCGTGTATGGGGTAAGTTGACCATTGGAGCGGGGAAAGTTGAGCTGTATCCCTACTACCACCCCACTCTCCATCCCAGCCGTCCCTCCCCTTCTCTCTCCCTGAATAACAGTCACTTGTTCACATTCATGTGTATTTTTATCTATTATACACTATTCAACTGGCACAATGACTCTTTTTGTCATTATTATTGCACAAAACTGCTAAAAAGCTGTTTTGTAAAAAGCCACTGTAATAAGAATGCCTTAAAGTGATTCAGAACATTCACAGCTGTATTTTTGAAAAGAAAAAGTAAAACATTTCAACAATCTGAGCTGAAACTCTGATCCTCTCATCAGACTTCTTTACTTTCCTCAGTTGAGCCATGGACTCAACTTATCCCAGTCCAAATGGCTCAGCTCACCCCAGAACTACTATTATGACTTTATTAGTCTTCTAAGCTAAAATGGTGGACTTTTATGCTAGGTTTTTGACCTCATGTTGAAGCTCATACCACAATTGATGTATAAAACAAATTTAGAATGATCTTTTTCGGTCTGAAAACAATCGTAATAAAACTTATGACAGACTTATAATTCACTTCAAGAGTAAAAAATGATCCCCCATGTGCCTTTACCCTTCACAGACTCCATGAATTGATGCCCATTTCCTAATTATTTGGTCACATGATCAATTTCTTTTACCATTTCCAAGCAACAGAGGTTGGCTCAACTTACCCCACTCTCCCCTATGCATAGTTTTTCAGACAGAAGGGGAATTACCAGACAGCTGTGAGATAAACAATTTCTGCAGGGTGATGTTACCCTTTCCACATGTTCAAAACAAAGAGACTGCTTTGACTAACTGATCCTCAGACCTTGAATGACTCAAGAGAAAATGACAAGAAAAATCTTTAAGTATAATAAATGATACCAGCCATTTTGACCTTCTTTTGAGATATTAATTAAACAGTTACTTTGGGAGTGGGACTTCCCTCCCACCTTTGTTTAAAACACAGCTTTTGTTTAAATCTTCCCACCTCAGAACCAGGGACAGAAACACAGTTCTCCCCTGCAGAATAACTGCTCCTAAACTTCCTATTAACAAAATGATCTGAGGCCAAAATTTGGTTGATTTTAAAGTTTTGGTTTGATTTGTATCAGATATAGATATTGAACCATTATTCCCTTCGTGAGCAAATAAATACTATGATGCTACTAGGTACAGCCTAATTAAGCATTACAGTTTTTCTCAGTCTCTTTGGTGCATTTCTCAGATTAGAATGAAAGTTCTTACAACTATTAGTTCAACCTCCACAACATTAAGTCATTTGTGCACATCATCGTAGCAGTTTCTCATTCCTCTGAACAAACTGCAAATGCTCTTGGACATGTATCAGTTACTTTCATACAATTATCTGCTGTTACAAGATTATCATTTGCTTCTGTCATGTCAGTCAAAATTAACTATACTTTTGAATGCTGAATAGTCATTCCCTATAAAACTAATAGTCCTCATTTCATTGCTTGAGTCATTACATACAAAATTGTTGAACTCGTTCTCAAAATCTGTCAAGCTGATTTCATACATTTCTTTATCTTTTTTTTTTTCCTAAATTCAACGATTGCTCTCAGGTGAACCTCAGCTTTCACTCATCAGGAGGTGTGTGAAGCATTAGTTGTAACCAATGACAAGCCAGCCATGAACCTTCACTTGGCAAGCATATATAAACCAAGCAGGACGTAGTGTGTACCATTTCTATAATTCTGTGACACAAAAATGGAAGGTCAGCATTGTGGAGGAGGGGTGAGAATGTGGGGAGGAAGGGGAAGTGGATCAAACGGGCAGAGGAAGAAGAGGTGAAGTTGGCAAATCCCTGATGAAATTAGGGCTACACTTGTGGACCATGTTATGGCTGAGACTGGTTGATGGGTGCAACCCAGTGTAGGGAGAACCACTGTGAATCTTGTGTTTGTTCTAAATACTAAGTGACTGTTTTTTTTTTTTTGCAAAAAGTATATGCAGTTAATATGTGAAACATACATGTGTCTTGTATTAAAGTTGCTTCACTAGATACAAAAATGTGTAACGTTAACTGTAGTTTTCAAATCAGAAGCCTCAATGGGGCCCTAAGCAAAATTTGATTTGGGCGCCCTCTATGTCTGCCAACAATATTGATTGTTGATCATTCACACACCTACTACAGTATAAATTTAATGCGCCTGACATGTCTTTACACATTTGAGGGGGTGGCCTAGGTTATAACATGAATAATACCAATGCAACAATACAAATAATACCAATAAATGACTGATAAATGATGTTCAGGGTGCCACATTTGGATTTTAATCTCAAAATATAACACATTGAGGATGCTCTGTGCACATTGCACAGCAAGAGGCACATAACAGTAGCAGAACTTTGACATTTTGGCAGTGAGAATCATAGGCCTACATCAGTAGCAGCACTAAAATATTTTTACTTTACTTTATTTTATATATATAATTTTATATACTATATATCTATATATTTAAACATATATATTTTTAATATTATATATTTAATATATATAATATAATTTATATTTGATCATACAGAAAGCATCACTCATACATGCTGCAAAAGGCACATAACGGTAGCGAAGCTTTGACATTTTTGCAGTAAGAATCACAGGCCTACATCATGTATTTTATTTTATATATGCAGAAACTCAGATCATGCAGAAAGCATCACTTATTTTTTCCCAAAAAATAATCGTAATTTTTTTTTCTCTTTGATCGCTCTTGGGGGCCCCCTACTGGCCGCAGGGCCCTAAGCAGAGGCTTAGTTAGTCTATGCCTTGGGCCAGCACTGCTCTCTGTCACCTTTGTACAGTTGAAATACTTTGTACTTTCTTGCGGTCAACAGTTATTTCTAAATGTTTTCGTTTTCTCTGACTGAACTTTCAGTTTGATTCCACAGGATGAATCAATTTTGCTCTTTGTACTATACGGGACGTATAGTTTGTATATAAAACTGTGTAAAACTTTGTTAACCTCTGACCTGCCTGAGCTGTGGAATGATTTGATGAGCAGGTTGTGTGTGTTGTGGCTCTGCAGCTGACGCTGTCCTCTCTATCTGACCTCCCTTTCCTCTCTGGCAGGACCAGAGTAAACATGGAGAAACATGGATGAACTCCCACGCCTGTTCTGTCTTTATATTATCCATTCTTTTTTTCAATCTTTTATTTCTAAATGTGATGTGGTTGTTTCAAAGTGAGAACAATATATCAAATAAAGAGATTATCTTTTCTCCATTAAACTGATCTGACTATTTTGTGCGTGAAATATGAAATATGTCTTCAGCAGTTTGGTTTTTAGTACAATGTTCTTTCTTTTTTATGACAGAAAGTGATAAAATAACCAAAAACTCGCCCTTTTCTCTGAGAGTAAATGTCTGTATTATATTTAATGATTTCAAAGCTGTTTTATCATCAGTAGGTTTTGTTTGTATCAGCCTCCAGCAGGTTTTATCTAACTCAGTTTTTGTTGAAACTGAAAAATTTGTAACAAAAAATAGTATCTATTCTATGCCTTTAATTCTGCGCAGAAACACTCTGTACGGAGCGTTTCAATGCTGAGTTTTCTTCCTACACTGCTGCGTCAATCCATTAGCTGGAGTCGATCTGTTTTGACTTGATGTGCCAGGTAACCAATCAGGTGTTAGGATCTGCCCACTGACTTTGATGGGTGAGTTTGACAGATAAAATAAGTTCATGAAGCGATGCAACACAGGTCCATGAAATAGGCTAATTGATTAAATAGTGAAATAAGTAAATATATTTTGACATTGAATAAACTGTTATTTTAATAAATTAATGACACATTTAATGGCACATTAATGTTGCCTATTAAATTCCCATTTTCATTAATTAATGACATACGTAAGTATTTATTTGAAGATGTATTTATTTATTTCATTCTGTCTCTTTTCGTCCTCCACACATTACTGAGCTGGCAAGCAATGTGTATTGCCACCCTGGTCCAGGTTAACAAACTCAGACAGACCTTCTTCATCCTCAGGGACCAGGAGGAGCTCAGGAGACAATGTAGGACAAAGGGGAGATAAGACAAAGATTGGTTAGCAAGAAAGTCATAAAACTATTATTCAATATCTTAAATTAAACAGATTCAGAAGCTTATACTTACTTTCTTCGGCCTCGGTGTCCAAGAGAAGCTCAGTGAGACAAGACAAAGATTGGTTAGCAAGAAAGTCATAAAACTATAATTCAATAAATAATAGTATCAAGTGATATTTAAACTGATTAAAAAGATCATACTTACTTTTTTTGGTGTGTTTAGAGGCACACAGCCCCTCAGGTGGAAGAGGGAAAAAGTGATATTCAAGTGTTAGTAAGACTGGCAAACACTCTTTGAATTATAATGACAATAATCGGACATAAATGACCAACAGTTTTCTTGACAGCAATAGAATAAATTTAACAAAGGTGAGCAGTAGGAAATTAGTATCTTCTCATTGACAACCAAATGAAATGTGAGAGTCGACAGTCATTGGTTTGGGGCCGTCCTTTATAATTCATGAAAATTTGCAGTTTCAACTAGTTAAACCTTAGAATAAATAATACAATCAATGATATGAGACAGATTCAGAGGTTTATACTTACTTTCTTCGGCCTTGGTGTCCAGAAGAAGCTCAGTGAGACAAAAGTGAGACAAGACAAAGATCGGTTAGCAAGAAAGTCTTTCAATTTTTATTCAATAAATAATAATATTTAGTGATATTTGATCTGATTAAAAAGCTCATACTTACTTTTTTTGGTGTGTTTAGAGGCACACAGCCGCTCAGGTGGAAGAGGGAGAAAGCAATATTTAAGTGTTAGTAAGACTGGCAAACACTCTTTGAATCAAAATGACAATAATCGGACATAAATGATCAACAGTTTTCTTGACAGCAATAAAATAAATATATAAAATAAGCCAGCACTTGCCACCTGGTTTTATGGACCCTTGCTGACCTTGTCCTTGTGCCAGTGGTGAAAGACCCAACTTGGGCTAGAAACATTGACATTCTGGAAACATTTTACAAAGATTGTTTCCTACCAAAAATTCCGTCAGAGTTGTAAATCCACACTGTAAACACTGCACTATTCACAAGAGATGTAATACTAGTACAATGTGAAGCTGCTAAATGTTTTTTAAGAAAACTAAGCTCTCCTATGGTGCCTTGTAATTTTTACACTTAATGGTTACAGTAGCTTTTGCACTTTAAACATTTTGTTACAATTTCAACCTCTGAATGGAGCGCTCCACATGGATCCTAGCACTGGAGACAAGTTTGTTTTTCTTCACTTCTTCTTGTGTGAACTGTCCATTTACAAGGAAAGAAGGGATGTTCAGCGAAACCCCTTCTGGCAAGATGTCCCGGATTGTGAAGCCTTTGTCTGCCATCACCATGTCACCTGGTTTTAGATGTTTGAGAACTCCAGAATCTGCTGTTATTGCCTTGTCTGAGGCACTCCCACCGTAATAGTTACTGACAAACGTATTCACTCCATTAGGAGCCACACCTGTTAAAGTCTTGTGTGTGGTCCGTCCTTTGTACTGGCTGTATAGATGACTCTGTGTGTCAAGCCGCTCTGTCTTGGAGACAGCAACCTCTGTGCAATCGAGCACAATCCTACAATTAGGAAATGGACGGAAACACTCTGGCAGTGATGTCTGGTTCTTGGCTGTGGAGGGGATGTTGTTCTCAAGCATACCAACATACAAAATGTCACTATTGTCACTGACAATAGTGAGAAAAATGTCGGTTACTGTGGCTGTGCTACAATTAAATCTGGTTGCAAGGTCTAAATGACCACAATTAAGTCTAAGCTTCAACAAGGTCAGGAACAACTGATTGACTAGTGGCATAAACTGGACTGTTCAATCAGAATGATATTTTAGCTCAAACTTAGATAAAAATGTTTCCAAAAACATGACGGTAGCAGCATCAGGTAAGCCAGTGAAATATCGTACTTTGTCAGAATTGGAAGATATTTGACTGAAGGAAAAGGTTTGTTTTTGTTTCTCCAATTCATTTTTCAATTTCACATTCTCTCTTCTCAACATATCAACCTCTATCTCAAGCACCTCAACACTGTTTGTAGTAGAAGGGTTCTCTGAAGTACTAGGGGTCTCTGCCGTTGCTATGTCAGCATTGTGTAGTTCAAGTTCATTTGTCCCTTCATCTTCACCACTGGTAGGGAGTGGGACCACTTTTTTCTTCTTTTCGGGTGGATGGCTGAGGTGACCTGGGAAAGTCTTCCCCTCGTTCCAAGCAAACCGTGATGGGCCAGCAGCTTTGCCATCCGGGAAATGTCAACTGCACACCCTTGAGTTGCAGTTTGGGGTAAAGTCGTCACGCCTGTAAATAGAAAGGGAATGAGATATTTAAAATGTATTAGTTATGTGCACAACAATTACAGTGTAGCAAATTATTGGCAATGAAAACAAAGCTGTACTGTTACTTTCCTCATCTGCAATGGATTTGAACCCTTGTTTACTGCACAAGCACTGGCATTATTTTTACCATTGATCTAAAAGAGCCATCCTGCTCACTCAGGGGTAAATGTAATCTTGACCATCTGGTCAAAATTGGTGTCAGACTCAGATCCTGTTTCTGGTGGAGACATTACCTTTGACACAATCTAAATGTCTCAATAAAAGGGAGACAACATTAACTATCAAAATGGAATAATTTGCATTGTGTTAACATACTCTACCATAAAGATTGTATAAATTATATCAGCATAGTCTACCAGACAGACTGTATTAGTCAGTGGTTGTCTAAGTGGATCCTAGGGACTTTTATGAGGGTCTAAATCGACCCATACAAGTCTGTAACTCTAACAGTATACAAATGGAACCAAATGTGGGTTCATTTGGTCTCTCTTCTTTTTTTTTTTTTTTTTTTTGGATTGGATGAAGATCTCGTGAAGTTATTGAATTGATTTGGTGTTAATTTTCTTCTTTCTGTACCCATCCTGTTAGAGTTTACTGCAATATTTAACCGAACAGACTATCCCACCCTGTGGCAGAGACTATAACCAGTCACGTTACCATACCTTGCAGTCACACTCTGAGCTGGTGGTTAAATAACATGAATGTGTTGCCAGCAAGGTTGGAAATTAACAAAACGTTGACAGACAAAGAAAGACAGAACAAGACAAAACTTTCATATTGTTTAAACAACCAGTATAGAGCTGCAAAAATGACTAATGTTTTCAGAGTGAGATGCACATTCAAAGGCAATCTATGACTTAATATCCTTCCTTCCAAATCTGTTCCGTTAAATGCTTTAAATTATCACACACTGTACCTTTAAAGTCATGGGACTCCTCTGACAGCAGCAGAGTTCATCAAACAGAGAATCTTTTGGTCTGAAGCAAGATTGTTGGTATGTTGACAATGCAATACTAAAAGGATATGAGTTTCTTCTCATAGAGGTCACACAAATGAAAACTTTTGATCGAATTCTGACAGAACAGATAAAATTTTCTTGATTGGTAAGCAATAAGACGATATTTAAGGAGAAATGTAGTGGCTGCTGATCATTGCTCGTGTCCTCCAGGTGGAGGCGCTGCAGGTCAGACTCACACAGCTGCTCTGTACAGGATAGAGACATGAAGCTGCAGAGTCAGAGCTGAAGCTGTTTGAACACCGAAAACTCTGTTGTTGATCCTGTGTGTGTTTGTTAGTCTGTGTTCAGAGTGTAAAAAGTCTGAGTCTCGCTGTATCACTCAGGCTGGACTACAGCGTCTATTCACGGGCGCGAACCCACTACTGAGCGGCACGAGGGCTTTGACCTGCTCCGTTTCCGACCTGGGCCGGTTCACCCCTCCTTAGACGACCTGCTGGTCCCGGGCTCCCCCAGGATCAGCATATCGATACCGAACTTAGTGCGGACACCCGATCGACATAGTCCACTGCAGCTCAGAGCTCCTGAACTCAAACGATCCTCCAGACTCAGCCTCCCGGGGACTTGGATTACAGGCACGCGCCACCGCACCCGGCGACAGACACAAATCCTGATTCAGAGAGGTTTACGCACGAGACGTCACCGTGGAGAAACAGCTAGACCCGGAAGACAACAGACACAACAGTTTATTAACAAACAAATCGCATACATTATCAGGTGTCATTAACTGAAAAAAGAAGATGAATTGGAGAGATTTAGTGGTAAGACTAATAGATTTCATACCAACCATCTTACACTCAAATATTTGGTATATTATCATTGAAATAGAACAGTATGAGACAAAAATTTAATGCAGATTAGTGAAGCACTTGAGGGGTCAGGAGTCCAACTGCAGTCTACAGTATTGTTTGTTTGTTTGTGTGGCTTTTTTTCTAATTTAATTTTTTAAGGATTGTTTGTAGAGTCACTTGGGAAACCCATTTTGCGAAATGTTGACTGAACAAATATATGGAGAGTTATAGTTGTAGCTTCTACATTCACCATGCACATGGAGAAAAAGTTTGTAGTTTCAACATCACAGCAGCTTGCCAGGACAATTTTAGGTTCACCTGTGTACAATCACTGATAGTCTGATTGGTTTGATAGGCCAATGTGTCTGGTAGACCCGGGGATGTTTAGGAGCTTTGAACGATGTTTCTTTTGTTTTTGTCTGTCTTTTATGGCTGTTTAGCAAGGGTCTCGCCCTGCTCCAGGTTTCTGCCTTTTTAGAACAAAGGTTTCTTCTGCGCCACCTTAATTTTCTAAATGCTGAAAGGTGCTCTGCTTATGGTAGATTAAGATAAGACTGAAACTTATCATATAGGATAAGAATGGATCTTATCCTACAGTGATATTGGCATAACATAGAACTGATTTATAACTCCACTTTCATACAGATATGTGAATAAAGATATCAGCTGCATAAAATAATATTCAATTTAGTCAAGTAATATGGAGGTTTGACATAAATTTCCCACTTAACTCTTTATTTTTAGATCATAATCATACAGTTACTTCGAATGTGATTCACAAAACAATTTTGTATCAGCACACCCAGTGGCGTGCACAGACATTTTTGGGCGCAGGTGCTGAGTGAAAAATAAGGGCACTTTATGCAGCGTGTAGAACTGATGGCTGCCTTATTATAGCAGTGTGAGATTTAAAAGATAAAAAAACATTACAGGCACATGTTGAATGTAACTGCATATCAATCTATGTCAACATCTTTGTAAAATTACTTGACCTTTGAACTGGTACAGTTTCTCATGATAGCACTGATCAGTCAATCACAATTGTTTTATTTCTTCAGAATGAACACACATGGAGAGGTTTTAAGCAAGTTACAAGCTACAATGATAGATTATCTATCACTATGGTGGATTTAGACAGGCCTGAAACTTTGTTTTTATTTTAATATATTTATATTTAGCACTTAAAATTCTGGACAAAAAAACATTTTCGTATCATCATTGCAACATTTTAGTAAAATATAATTTGCTGAGTTTTCCTAATTACTGTAAATTCTCATCCGTGTGCTTAATATATAGAGCACTTCATGGCCTGGCGCCACCTCCACTTAACATCTTTATCAGATTTAAACCGACCAGGACTACCAGAGCCGTTACTAACAGGGACTGTGTGGTTCTCTTCAGAAAAACTTTCTTCAGTCAAAACGCCCTATCTATTAAAGGGACTACAATTTGGGACACGCTCCCCTCATGGATAAAAGAATGCTCCACTCTGACCACCTTCAAGAAGCACCTGAAGGTTTGGCTCAGAGCCAACCAAACTTGCCATCACCTATGAATGCATGCTTTTCTATTGCTCTGTCTTAACTTATACCTGTAACATACTTTATTGCTCTTGTCTTATACTTGTAATATACTTTACTGTTATATAGTTCTATGCTGTTTTTATATATTCATTTGAAATGTACTGTATTCTATGTTTTTTTTCATTTGTTTATAATGTAACATCAACCTGCCTAGAGGACTCCAGATGGAAATTAGCCCTTGGGCTATAATCTGGCATATTTACAGGTACTGCTGTACATGTTCATTAATATACATGTCCTGACTTCTAAATGAATAAATAAATAAATAAATAAAATAAAATTAATAAATAAAAGAAATGTTTAATATGTCATTTCTTTGAAATACAGCTGCTACATCATGCCTTTCTTGTTCTCCCTCATTTTGGTCATCAGACAGCACTTCTGATTCTGTAACTGCATAGACTTGGTGCTGCTATGGACTCGTCTTTATCCGTAGATGACTCTGGAGATTCATCAATCTCAGCTTCTTTGCTGGTTGTTGGTCGACCGCTTCCCTGCTGTAGCTGCCTAGAATAGAATAATAATAGTTTTAGTACTAGTCTATTTTTCTAAGGTTGAATATAGCCTATAAAGGTAACTTTACTGCAAGTCTTGTAACATGGAAATAACTTGTTGGTACAAAATAATATCATTAGCTAAAATAGCTTAATGCCTAATTTAGTACAACCAAACCACTTTGTGTAGACAGCTTTTAAGATATTTCAGTCAAATTAGAGGAACAGTTCAACTTCAAAATCTGAGCTGTAAAATGCCCTAAACAGTGAACATGACTCTTGACTCTGACCTTTTATCTTCATCTTCCTCCTTGCTGCTGGTGGATGCTTTTATCCAGGAGAGTAGAGAGCTGCTCCCCTGGGCTGCCTGCTGTAACTCCCTTTCTGTTTCCCTTCTTCTCCTCTCCTTTCTAGGCATGATGCTGCAATTGGTAAATAAAAAGAGACCAACTATATGAATAAGACTGTTTGGTTATATTTCAACAAGGCACAGGGCTACTTTTTCTGTAGGGAATTGGGAATTGCCTGTTTATCATTTAGCAAATAAATTACTGCAAGTGTTAATTATGTAGCCTAATGTAAACCTACACAATAGCATACTAACTAAAAGTTCATCTTAAGTAGGTCAATAGAGCAGCACACCAAGACAACAGTTTGATGATATAAGACACATTCATCAAGCTTTACTTACTTTATTTCTTCATGTCGGCTTGTTCATCACAGGGTTGGTCGTCATCTTTGGGCTCCTCTAGAGTCATTTTGGGTGTTTGACTCTTTGGAGTTACCTGAAAACAAACATGAATTACAGCCCTTCAGTTACTGTGAAAATGTGTATTTTTTCTTAAAAGCCAGCATATTGTACTTATTAACCTTTTAAGTATTGATAGAGTTATTTACCTTCAAATATCCAGAAACACTCAGTACCTATCCCCGTCATTCATCTTGTCTTCATGGGCCTGTCTCTCGTATGCTCAGTCCTCCTGCGTCTTCAGTCTCCTGCTTGGCTCCTCTGGGGGTTTCTTCTTAATTGAGGTCCTTTTCCTAAAGAAAACCAAAATGAAAAAGAGTCCTACACTAACCTTGTGTCATATAAAAAAATCACTCTGGAGGAACCAAACTCACCTTTTAGACTGACTTATCCACTAAGTGAAAAAATCAAGTAAAAGACACGCTCTTACTTTGAAGGAATCCCAATACATGAAAAAAACAAGACATCACAACACAAACACATGCATGACAACACAACTCATGGAACAAAACAACACATTACAAGACATTACACTAAAATCGTGCAACTACACAAAACATCCCAACACATAACATCAAAATAAATAACCACACAACACAACCAAGGACTTTTAGGGTAATGCCTAATGAGTCCAAGGTGAAGTTCTTTTTTCTGCTTTTAATTAAAGGTTCTGGTTTGTTTGTGCGTTCCGGAGCCAGTGCGAGAGGAGTGAGCACAAGAGGAGCGAGCATGTGAGGAGAGCGAGTGCGAGAGGAGCGAGCACGAGAGGAGCGAGCATGTGAGGAGAGCGAGTGCGAGAGGAGCGAGCACGTGAGGAGAGCGAGCGGGAGAGGAGCGAGCGCGAGAGGAGTGCGAGCGCGAGAGGAGCGAGCGATTTGTGTTTTTTTAGGGGAGGAGAAGAGGAGCTGCAAACGAGCTGGAGGCTAACTAATGCCACATTACAAAATAACGCAATTTCTGAAATTTCTGCTTTAGCCATATTTAGGGGAGAGGTTGGAGCTGGAAAAGAGCAGGTGGTTAGCACAGTCAGTGAACAGTCAGTGTATTCATCACTTTTCTTAACTAAACAGCCAAACTTATTCTAACTTATCTTAACTAAAACTTAACTTACTCTAACGTTACTTATCACAACTAAACAACTTAATTTACTATAACTTATCTTAACTAAAACTTAACTTATTCTAACTTAACTTAAACTACTAAACTACAGCCCAGCGTGACCCCCAAAAGGACCCTTTCTTGGACGGTTGTTTCCCATCCGTCCAGCAGTCCTCTTGGGAGTCACCTTGGACCCCTTGCACCTAAGTTTGAGGAGCGCTTTCAGTTTCCTCTTCCACTTGTTGTCAGGAGCAATGGAGATGAGCCTGTTGGATGGAGGGATGGTGGATGGAGGGGGTGTAGGGGTCCTCAGTGGGGCCGTCCACCGCTCCTTCCTCCTGGCGAGCTCCTCCGGGTCCTCGGGCTGCAGACCTGGCCACTGGTCCTCCTCTGTCAACAGCGAGGGCAGGCAGGGGGGGGAGCTGTGGGAAGGTCCCGCAGGGCTCTTCCCTGACCTGGCTGGAGAGGAGCAGAGAGAGGGGCGACGAGTACGGGAGCAACGAGAACGAGAAGAGCAACTACCAGAGGAAGAGACAGGAGGAGGGACAGGAGGAGAGACAGGAGGAGAAGAAGAAGAAGAGCTAGAAAAAGAGAGAGATGGAAAGAAGGGGGAAGAGGCAATAGGAGAGAGAAGAGGAGGGAGAGGAGAAAAGAGAGAGGGAGAGAAAGGAGGAGAGTCAGAGTAAGGGACCTGGTTGTGCTCGGGGGAGGAGACACCTGGAGGGCCGTCCATCCTCCTGGACCTGACGAGGCTGTGCTGTTCCTCTTGGACCTGAGACCGAAAAAACCACAAATTCAAAAATCTGAACTCTGCAGAAATGGTTTTCTGGTTTTCACATCTTTGAAATAAATTCATGAATACAAGTCAGTTCAAGAAAATTAAAATAAAAGACAAATTCATAAACACATTTCTATAATCAAAATTATTCAGACTATAAAAGTTTTGTATGTTGCCTTGAAGGCATGCTAACGGCCTCTCTATGTTGTCAGTGTAATTTCCTACTTACACCACAAGGCTTGGAAAGGGGCGTGGGTGCTACCATGACCCTCCTGAGCACCAGCCTGGGACAGGGCCATTCAGGGCTGTCCTTAAGTTCCGAGGTCCATGTGTAGCGACAGCGGGTCTGAAGACAGAAACAACGCAGACATTTAAATTAAACAAGCTGTAACATGAAGGAATCATCTGTAACACCAGTATCATCAAGAGGAGAAAGTCAATACATTTGAATTTGTATTTGGTCTCTAATCAGCAGGTTAATGTGCAATAGAAACAATTAACATCAATGCAACACCCCCGTTAAGAACTGATATTTTTGGTATGTCTATTTCAGTCATTTTATTTCATGGGGGAAAGACTGCATATTTTCAGGATTCAATAATAAGAAAATCCTCTGTTTTCAGTTTGATAAAAATTGATTTCTACAAAAGGACAGTGTTTCCATTACACTTAAGGTGGGTTTTTCCCTGTTAAAAACATAATGTAGTTTTAAATATTGTGGTAGAAAACACACACTTGATTCATGAAAACATAAAAACATATTTGAGTGGAACTTTATCAAACTCTTAATTTTAAAGCCTGTACATAATACATTTCTTTTAACTTAATCTTGTCTGTTTTTGTAAGTTTTTAAACAGGTTTAAATGTAATTCATAGGATTTTTTGGTAACTTAATAAAAATAGGTCTAACTTTGATATATATTTTTAGTTAATTTTGTTTGATTTTATGATGACTGACAAATCTTTAAACTTATGAAGGTGTCCCTTATTTTAACACTTCATTTCACTGCTTTAATCCGCCTCTTTCGCTGTAATTAGAGTAAAATGTCTTGTGTTCAATGTCTGTTTTCACCTGATAGCATTTGTTAATGTAAAAAACCGTCAAATAAGTTTCAGGCTGACGTCTTTAAAAAGCCCAAAAGACAAAAACATCTTTGACGAAAACTAAACGCAGAGATTTCTCACAATAACATGAGCTTTTCTGCTCTTAAACATGCAGGACAGAACCACAGAAGGACTTTGGGCTCATCATACAATGTCAATGCATCACTTTTAAGCTAACTGTTCCCAAAGTCTCGACGATAACACAAGTTTTCATGATAATATTGTCATTCAATCTTACCGTCTTCTTGTCGTCGCTGTTGTCCATTCTGTTCAGATGTTTGTCCGCTGAATATCTGTCGTCTGGGGAGGTTTTATTCTCGATGGAGCAAATTCAAAGCTGTCAAAAGCTGAAAGTTTGTAATCCACAGAAGTTGTTCGTGTTGATCTTCAGATTGAATCTTCAGAAATGACCGTTCTTTATCGACTTGTAGTGATTTAAAGATTTACATCGTCGCAGGTTACCATGGAGATTTAAAATGCTGTTTACTTTATTTATTTATTTTTATTTTTATTTTTTTAATTTGTGCAGTGTGACAATACAAGACATACAACAAACAACAGCATTTGTGGTTTTGTGTGTGTGTGTGTGTGTGTGTGTGTGTGTGTGTGTGTGTGTGTGTGTGTGTGTGTGTGTGGTGTGTTTGTGTGTGTGGTGTGTGTATTATATATGTGAATAATAATGAGAAAAAAAAATATTACAATTGCTGTTTACTTTAGAAAAACACTTCTACCGGAAGGTTTTATCTAAAAGTTTAATATCAACTGTAATTCACTTTAATCTCAAAGGAATATAAATATCTCTTGAAGTAAAGTGGAGGTTATTTTTGTCAAATAGTCTAAGAGTTTAAAAAGCATCTTAAATCAAAAACCTTTATTTCTTTACAAAACTACTCCTTTTTGACTATACTATAGCTTAGTATGTCTCGTAGGTAATCCAACAAAAACTGGAAATTTTGTGTTTAATTATAATTTTTACTTAAATCAAATTTTCATACCTTTAAATATGTTTTTCACAACATTTGAGGTCAGTAGATTTTCTTTTAAACTATAGGCTAGTAAAAATACACTATATATTCTTATCATATCAATATTTTAGAGCAGTAGCTTCATTTGTAAAGCACTTTGTAACCCTGTTTTGAAAAACACTATGAGGTGATAATTGTTATTTTACATAGCCCATTATAAAGCACCAAAAAAAAAAAGCCATTAAAGACATCTAATTTTGAACTTTAAAAAATAAAAATATCACATGAGCTCTGAGCCAAAATGTCTTCTTCACTCAAGTAGAAAGAGGACTATTTTCCTTTGATAGTACTTTATACTAATTAACATATAGAGTGGAGTCATTACATGCTTTTATTAACTTACAAATTCTTTCTAAATTGGCATAAAAAATAAAAGATATTTGTCTGAAAAAGAGATTTATCAGAATATGAAATATAATCTAAAAATACTTCCTTAGGAACCAGAGGGTGACAAGATACATCCTTGTTTCACACAGTCCATGATTTCAACATATTTTTATTCTGAGGTAGAAAAAAATAGATAAAAAATAACAAATGCATCTTTATTTCTATTTTTGGGTTTGGATGCATGTGAAAGGACTGTGCTCAGTTGTGTGGTATTTTATTCATATCCCGTTAAAACTGCTTTTATAGCTGTGGCTCTTAATCTGATGACAGCTCTGGATGGTAATTTACAGAGCCAACTTTTATAAATAATCCCTCAATATTTTCTGCAAAACTGATTATTCATCATTGCAAAGTAAAGCAGGATTTTCATAAAATCTGACTGGATAATAAGTTGGATTGGTCTAAGAATATAGACTACATCTACAGAAAGGGGCAGAGCCGCCTCTTTTGCCTGAGAAGACTCAGATCAATAGACATCAGTAGTAAAACGCTGCAGATGTTTTATCAGTCTGTGATGGCAAGTGTTCTGTTCTACGCTGCAGTCTGCTGGGGAGGAAGCATCAAACACAAAGATGCAAGACGTCTTAACAAACTGGTGAAAAAGGCTGGCTCAGTGGTTGGACTCAAGCTGGACTCAGTGGAGGATGTGTTGGAGAGATCTACACTGAGGAAGGTGGAGACTATTCTCAAGAACATGGATCACCCACTTCACAACACCTTGATGGACCAAAGGACAAATGGTGGTGGACGGCTCCTCTCTCTTCACTGCAGGTGAGAAAGATTTAGAAGATTTTTGTACCAACAGCCATCAGACTTTAAAACTCTTGTGTAAATAATAGATAACTTTTATAGACATATTACGTGAGACAAAAGACAATTGAATTTCCCTTCGGGGATCAATAAAGTTGCAACCCCATGTCCAGCTTTAAAAATAAAAATTTAGAAGTGCAGTTTTTGTGTCGCTGGGTTCTCAGTTTAATTTGGATGCAGCAGAAGAATGTAATGCTCAATATTTTATTTGCCATAAATGATAGTTGTGACATCTCCAACAGTTATTTTATAATTTTGACATACTGTAGAAATACAATGGACCTAAATTCACACACAAAACATAAATCCGAGAGGAAAAAAGTAACATTTTATACCGTGAAAACCACAAATATGTGTGACGAACCGTTTTCAAAACTTAAACTGCAAATAAAAATTGTAAACTTCAAAACATTTTAACAAATAACATTGTAATTTACCACTATTTACATCAAAATGCAGGCAATGCCTCAGGCGTTTTTTGTGATTTTTTCTGCCTTTGTTTGATTTGTCTGCATCTGTGGCTATGATGATGGGCACCGGATGTAATCTGTGCAGCAACACAGTCCAAACAATTTTTATCACTTAGAATGCAAATTTAAATAGAAAACTAAAGTGCAGCAACACAGTCCAAACTATTTACAGATTTACAGTGTCATAAATGGCACATTTTACTTGTGCCACTCCAAAAAACAGTTTCTGTCCAGCACGACACAGAGGGCCACACCACAGGCCTGACACATCCATGGTGTGTCATTCCTCTTGTTGTCCACCTGGAGGCAGCGCTGGCCCCTTTTTCTGCCCTTGTTCGGTTAGCCTGCAGGAATGTGATCTGCCCTCCTGCTCTGGGGAACACCTGTTTTGTCCACGCCACAAAGCTGACACCCCAGCTCCACCATGAAGTCTTTGTGAGTCATGGGCTGTACCTGCTTCGTTTTGCACATCTCACGGTGCAGGATGTATGCATTTGTCGTAGCAATGTCCAGGAAGTGCAGCAACACAGTCCTGTACCAGCGAGCAGTTTTTCTGTGGGTGGAGTAATATTGGATGAGCTGGTCAGACAGATCAACTCCACCCATGTTTTTATTGTAGGCTGTGATTGGTGTGGGAATGGGGATGTCTCTCACAGCCCAGTGCCCATCTCCATCCTTCACTCTCCTCTGCACTATCTCAGCCGAAAATGCAGGATGGATGGTGGAGCACACAGACACCTCCTGTGTGTCCATCCACTTCACAAAAACCAGGGAGCCCTCTCTAATCCATCTCACTGATCCTCTTTCACTTTTTTTGTGAGAGCATTTTCCCTCCCTCTGGGGCATCCTTTCCTGCTCTCTCTGTAGGTGCCACATGCTCCAAACTTCATCCTGGCCAGGTCCATGAAAAGTTTGGGGCCGGTGTAAAAATTGTCCATATAAATATGGTACCCTGTGCCAAGATAGGCTGGACGAATGAGGTCCATGACCACATCATGACAGCCCATTCTCACTTACAGTTTGAGCCTTTCCTTGATAAATACTGAAGCTACAGGTGTAGCCACTGCTTGACTCAGCCAAGACAAATAATTTTATGCCCCATTTAGTTGGCTTGTCCTTCATGTACTGAGTCATGCCAGTTTTCGCCTTGGTTGCCACCATCCTCTCATCCACAGACAGCTCCCTCCTCGGGTGGTAATGAGCCTGGCAGGCATTGAGGATGTCATTGTAGAGAGGTCTGATTCTGAACAGTTTGTCATGGCCTGGTGTTCCCTTTTTTTGGTCATTCTTCTCATCTTCTTCTGGATCACTAAGGTGGATATTCCAGAAGATTGACCTGAACCTGTCTCTGGACATGATTTTGGATGGCATGGGCACAGACAAAAAGTGATTATATCTCCAGTAGTCATGGAGACTTGGTAGCGACACTAATGACATGTAAATAAGGAGACCAAAAAACTTCTGCAGATCCTCCTTGTCTATGTCAGTCCAACTGTACTTTTTTCCCAATTCTTTATTTTTTGCTGCATTCTTGTTTGTGTTGCTGCAGA